TACCACCCCCCCCCCGCCCCCCCCCCCCCCCCCCCCGGGCGCCCCCCCCCCCCCCCCCCCCCCCCTAGCTGGGTGCTGGAGTACATACCGCCGAGTCGCCGGATGTGGAGAGGACGATAATACCGCCGGCATTAACGTCGATAGAAGCACGCACGGCCGCCATGGCGCAAGACTCGACGGAGCTGAGAGGCCGCTTCATGTCGTTGAGCGAGGCCATTTCCTCATAGTGGCTGATATAGGGGATGGTGTTTTCAGCCTTGAGGCAGGCCTCGCTCATCTCCTGGACAGCCAGCTCGGGGTAAATGCCCTTGGCGGTTTCTCCGCTGAGCATGACACAGTCGGCGCCGTCGACGACGGCGTTGCCGACGTCGCTAATCTCGGCGCGCGTGGGGCGCGGGTTCTTGATCATGCTCTCGAGCATCTGGGTCGCGCAAATGACAGGCTTGCCAGCCATGTTGCACATGGCAATCAGCTTCTTCTGCGCGGAAAACACCTCAGCGGCTGGAATCTCGATGCCAAGATCGCCTCGGGCAACCATGACGCCGTCGGTCTCCGCCAGGATCTCCTTGAAGTTATTCAGGCCTTGCCTGTTCTCGATCTTGGCAATGATCTGGATGTGTTTTCCCTCCTCGCCCAGCACTTCGCGGATAGAGCGAATGTCCTCAGCCCGCCTGATGAAGCTCTGTAATCAACCAAGGTCAGTACTCCAAGGATCGGTCAACGGTCCGGGGGCTAATAGGATTCTACCTACGGCGAAAACCATGTCGACGTTGTTCTTGACGCCGAACCTGAGGTCGTTCTTATCCTTCTCCGACAATGCCGGGAGGTCAACATCCGTGTTGGGCAGGTTGACTCCCTTCTTGGAGGAGATGAAGCCACTGTTCCTTGCCCGCACTTTGATGGTCTTGGCATCGGTGATCTCGAGGACCTCAAACGCGAGGATACCATCGTCAACGTAGATGATGCGGCCCGGCTCGATCACCTTGGTGATGTTCTTGTAGTCCACGTACATGTTCTCAGTGTCGCAGCTGGTAGCATATTTCTCGTCGGTGGTGATGTTCAAGACCTTGCCGGCCGAGATGGGGATATCCTGGTCCTCCTTGGTGTTGCCCGTCCGGATCTCGGGGCCCTTGGTGTCGAGGGCAATGGCAACCTGCCTCCCGGGCAGCGTCTTCTCGGCAGCGCGCGCATTGTCGATGACAGACTGGTGGTATTCGTAGCTGCCATGGCTGAAGTTCATACGCACAATGTTGAGGCCGGCCTGACGGAGGGCGTTGATCTTCTCCACCGAGTTCGTCTTGGGGCCAATGGTGCAGATGATGGAGGTCCGCCGGTAGTTGTTCACCGGGGTAGCGGCAGTATCGAGCTCAGAGAGCCATTCGATCCTGCCGCCAAGGGCGAGATGGTCAAGGGCATTGGCAGCCATTAGAGGGGATGATGGACGATAAGATAAGAGTGATATCCTGGATGATGTTGAGCAGGTCTCCGGCGACGGTTGTGCCTGGTATCGAGAGACAGGAAAAAGGGGCAAGAAGAGTGAGACGATGTCAGGGGGGGTTGGGTTCTCTCAGGCTTCTTAAGTGAGCTCCGGCGAAGGAAGAAAAAGGCGCAGGTGGTGAGAAGCGTCTTGTATGGCAAACTTAACCCCACTATATTTTGTTTCTACCTCTTCCCAGCTTTACCACGGATTCTGGCAGGGAAGCGTATCTACGAACCCAAAGCAGCTAGCTCTCATGCAGCACTAGCACAGTCGTATCCACTTGGCTTGATGGGCCTCAACATCAACAAGGCGATCTCAACCACTAGCATCCGGCGCTTTTGTCGGATGTCGGAGGGTGTGCCGTGCCAAGGAGTTCCCGGCGGTACTAATCCAATTAGGCGGTATACTTTAGCTTGCCAATTTTGAAGATTAAAAAACATTTACGACATTTACCTGCACTCGACGAGTGACGAGTTGGGAGGGGCGCTGGACGCTAAGTGGCACGTTATATCAGCCTCAGTTCAGATGTTTGGCTGGAAGACCCCGTTGCTATCAGTCCGGGACCCTGGTTACCTAGAGTCTCCACCAAGACCAAGCGCGAAGGTACCTAACTACCTATGTATAGATCCAAACTTCAAAGCCATATGGAACAGACCCTGGAGCCTAGGCTGGGAAACACGGAGCGGAACTCCAGTCAAACCGTCGAGGCAATAAGAAGGAGTTAGGCACTAAGATGGAAGGAGTTCCTGCTTAGGTCGTTACCTAGGTATTTTACCAACCTAGTGTAAAGGAAGGGTGCAAATTTCTCCAGGTAGAGGAACAAATACCAAGCCAATCGACTTCCGCTCATTGGAGGGGTTTGGGCGGTGTGACAGGGAAGCCACTAGAGCTGCCCCTCTACCTGGCAAAATTCTCCAAATTTTGGATTTTGAGGCGGCACAACTGGATCTTCGCAAGTTCAGCTCACCCTCCTCCAGCCAGGCCAGGAGTTCCCCCTATTGCTATCGAGATTAATCCGCCACATTATTTTCAATAATTTCAATATTGACAATTATGCCAAATACTGCCACTCAGTACCTCCGTAAATTCCCGCCTCCTTCCATTCGATACCTTCCGTTTTCCCGCGCGCCTAACGTGAGGCGGTGACACTCCGATCTCCATGACGACCCTGACTTCGACCCTACGAGGCCACAGCGGATCCTCCATCGAACCGGCGACACCGGTCAAGCCGATATTGAGAAAACCTGTCTCAGTTCTAGGCACTCGAACTAGAGAAGATACAGAAGATGAACTTGAGGCGCCATCAGCCAAGCGACGGAAGATGGTCATGTTCGACGAGAGCCTTAATATAGTCCGCGACATCGGGAGCAAGTCCTTGGATGACGTGAAGAGAGAGGTCAGGCAAGCTCTTGAGCGGCACGCGAGGGGCGATGATGAGGATTATGACACCCTGAAGGAGGTTTTCAGCAGCGACCAGAACCCGGACTCTTCTCTAGCCGCAGGGGAAGACGAGGAAGATGAGGAAGCGCCGAGGCCTGGTGAGTTGCTGGCGTACATCGTTGCTCTCACGAGCCATGTACCCATGCTTGGGAGGTCTTGCTCCGGCCTGGTTAGAAGCATCCTCAAGTGGTATGGACTCCCACGGTCCTCGTTTACTCGAGTATTCATGATTGGCAAAGCAACCTGCTAACCCTCCGAGTTGGTAGCCAATGGCTAGCGAGGGACGAAGTTTTTGCGAGGGCCTACATCCAGTTCCTGGCCGCTTTGTCTAGTGCACAAGGCGCCTACCTGGTGCAAGTGCTCTCCATGATGGTGGATATGTTTTCCGAGGCACGATCACCACGCTCTCTCCCTGGCTACTCCGGAGTCAGTCGCGAAATCATGAGACAAAGGCTCCACACCGGCCTTCGCTACCTCCTCGCTCTCTTTCCGGGAGCTCGATCTATGCTTCTCAACTTGATTACAACCAAATTCCCTTATAGCGAGGAGTCGAAGAAGATCCACGTGGCCTATGTCGACAATCTCCTTCGGCTGAGGGAGTACAGCCCCGATCCACGCGACATCATGGAGCTAATCACCAGTCGTGTTGTCAAGCTGGATGTTGAGATGCAACTGGACTTGGAGGATATGGATGACGAGACAACGGCAGCCGTGATGCTGCAGCTCAAGCCCTCCGACGTGAGCGGACATTATGAAGGCGACGAGACGAACGACAGCGATGCTGAATCCGTTTTGAGTGATGTGTCCGACCTGGACGAGCAATCGACCCGGATTCTGGACATCAAAAACCGCGTCGAAAAACTCGACTGCCTACTCGACACCATGTTCGCCACCTACGAGCCATACTTCTCTGACCCGGATTCAGCCGAGGCCATTTCCTGTTATGAAGACATGCTCTCCGACTTCTCGAATATCGTGCTGCCGACGTATAAGAGCCGTCACTCGCAGTTTCTCGTATTCTTCTTCGCGCAGAAGTCAAAGCGGTTGACAGAGATGTTCGTCGGGACGCTCTTCAACATCGCCTTCGAGTCCAACAGGCCAGGCATCGTGAAGCAATCAGCCGTTGCATACCTCGCCAGCTTCGTTGCTCGGGGGGCACGCGTGGATAACGAACAGGTCCAGACAATTGCTCGCACACTTCTCAATTACATGGACTATCACCGCGCGAACTACGAGCCAGAGTGCCGAGGCCCGGATCTAAGGAGGTACTCGCAGTTTTATGCCTTGAGCCAAGGTCTCCTCTATCTGTTCTGCTTCCGATGGAGAGACCTCGTCAACCTCGAGCTAAGCTCACCCAGGATCGATCGGGACGATCCCGCTTCGTTCTTGGGCCAGGACCTGCAATGGATGGACGGCTTCAGAGCAGGGCTCCAGAACAACATTTACAGTAAACTTAACCCCCTCAAGGTCTGCTCGCCGGTGATCGTCTCGGAATACGCGAAGCTTGCTCACCACCTCGGACTCATGTATGTCTATCCGCGCCTCGAGCTGAACAAGTCCATACACCTGTCGCAGTCTCTTACCGGCGCATACTCGACCGGGGGTGCGCTCCGCGACACGGGCTACGATCCCCAGGACGACAAATGGACACACCTGGACCCCTACTGTCCGTTCGATCCGTACCAGCTGCCCCTTAGCCGGCGCCGGCTTGACGAGGCCGAAACTTACATCCCTTGGACGTCGATACCGGGATTAAACAGAGATGACGATGACGAGAGTGACGACGGCGGAATGGACGAGGGAGATGAGGATGTTGGTAATATCCAGGAAGATACGGCTACTGATGATGAGAACACGTACGATTGAAGGGCCGGGAGGGTCGAGGGTCGGTAGGATGTTGAGTCCGGGAAAAGGGTCTTGCGATGGGCGTCACCTGGAATTGGGCTCGCGATTGTGAGCACCGGGCCGTTCAAGGGGTTGGAACGGATTTGTTTTTACATTTATGCATAGCGATTGCGTCAGTGCATCAGCGGCGTTCAGGATGCGAGGGAAAAAGCTATCTTGAACTTGAAGGAAAGAAACCCATTTACGAAGAAGTTCGTGGTGTTCGCTGTGTGATGTGACCCTGCCTCGAATTGTCCTCGGCCTCTTCTTTTGGGATAGAGACCAGGGGAGACTAGACGAATCGAGACTGGAGGAAGAAAACTGTCGTAAAGTCTCATATACACGTGGAACACGGAGGGAAACGGCACTGGAGGGGGTATCCAAGCATGTCGAGCTGCCACTTCCCCTAGACGCGTCCCAGGTGAGCGTATAGAGAGGCTAGGAGGATTGCATCCACAGTTTGAGAGAGTCTACTCTTTGTGATGTTTCTGATAAATGAGTTTGATGTAAAGTGAGTAGGCAGCGAAGGGCTGACCTTGGACTGTCAGTCAGGGGTTGATAAATACATCATGAAAGCTGGTACAATACATGCAGATGGTATACTAGTTTGGATGCCATGTTGACAGACTCACCTCTGACAGGCACCCCTTGGTGACGACTAGGAGAATGAGCCCTTCTGGGAGGGTATTTCTGCGACTTAGACGAGGGTATACCTATACATGGAAACATCGCTATTGAAATGGGATTCTACGCAATATATGCCACCGCTCATCTAATCCTCATACGGGACGAGAAACTAATAACGAGACTTTGAGTTTTCGAATCATGGCGTGGGGGAGGGGGGATAGGGGTTCTCGATTATACTTTCCACCTGGCGCGGGCATACATTTGCCAAAAAAACCAACACAAAGGGGGGCATGCCTCCGCCAAACCTCGACAAAGGCTTGCAACGGGGCATCAGAACCTCGATCACATCAACATTGGGGCGAAAGACCTCTCAACCTTCCTCCTCTTCTCCATCCATCCATCCGCCTACCACATCAAGAGCACCCTCAACCCAGGCCTCTCACCACAACACCCACCCACACAACCCCCAGTCAAAAGCAAAAGCAAACCCCCAACCAAGACCAACAGCAACAAACAATGTCCATCATAGCCGAAGCCCCCCGCCGCACCCCCCGCATCGGCCTCCCGCACGCCTACGTATACGGCACCATAAGCCGCAACCCGCACCCGCACCCGCACCACCCCCAGAGCTACAACCGGCCCCCGCCGCCCGCGGAAACCACCACGCCGTCCGAGTCCGAGTCGGAGTGGGGGACCGACGGGGGCAGCAGCATCGGCAGCGAAACAACAATAACACCCACCGACCCGGCCACCTCGCGCCTGGGCCTCTGTGGTGTCTTCGAGGGCCTGCGCGCGCTTCTGTCGTGGTGTTGAGGGGATTGTTGGGGGGGCGGAGGAGAGGCGTTAAGTTGGCAAGGATCTGGGCTAGCTCTGAGGTGGTTGGTTGGTTGCTCTTCGCTTTCGGAGTCCGGGGCTGTGCTCAGGGGGCGAGGGGTTTTGTATTGTCATGTTATGCAAGCTGTAGAAGGCCATATATTATGACATAGCAGCATATTTCAGGGTGCCAATGAGTGCCAGTTGTATGTTCCGGGGGTGGCGAAGGATAGGGGTTGCCTAGAGGCAAGTAGCAAGGAGGAGGGGGAAGACTTTTATTTAGTTGTTGGTCACTCCATAGCCAGCACACTTTCACTTTATGGTCATCATTCCTCATTTCCATGTTACCTGATAAGCCTTGGCCTGGCAATGCTGCCGGCTCCAATACATGCTATATCTAGCTTGCGGCTAGTCTGTCGGACTACACTGTGGTATCAAGGATCCGATGTATACCTTCACTTTGGTTTCTCTGCTGCTTACGAGCTAGAAGTGTCATAAGTATACGATACCCAAGGCTAGTGAGGAGTCAACGTCTATGTAACAGATAATTAAATTTTAAGGGGTAGCGGAAATGGACATTGAGGATGGCCAACGAATGAGTGTGTATGGAGAATATTGACGCCTGGGTGAGGGTGACCATGTAAAAGCGCCATCATCCCCAACCGAACCAGTGTAGTAAACCGGTGTATTTGTTTCCCCCTGATTCCTATCCGGAAGTCCCCTATTTCCAAGCCCTCCTCCCATGTATCCGTCACATGTTGCGCCGTCAATACTCATTCCGTACACGTATCCACTGAGACCAAGACCGAACAACCACGAGGCGACGTCCAGGGGATGAATATAAAGTGAAAGGAAAGCGAAGAATGATAGAAATATCCGTCCTTATTACTTTTGGAGGAATATACTAAGAACTAGATATTATATTTTCAAAGTGTAGGTTATGAGCCCACGATAGAACCAAAATGAACAAGCACAAGAACGAAGAGTGGCGGTCGCGCCTAGATACCAGGCTTAGAGAAGAGGCTAGAAGCCGGCCAGTTTCCAAGTTTGGCCGGATCGCCACCGATGCGGACATAGACACCGACGGCCGGGACACCGCCGTCCAGGATGAAGAACTGGTACCAACCCGGGGGGGCCACGAAGGCATTAGGAGGAACCTTGACGCTGCAGACGGTGCCCGCGCAGGTGATGGCGGGCATAAGGGTGCGGCCGCCCATCGAGTTGCCGTGCGTGCTCGAGACGGCGCCGAGGAGAGTGGCCGTGATAGCGCCGTTGCCGACAGCATTGACATTGACAGTGATTGTAGTATCATGGGCCCAGTCCTTGTTAGCCACGGTGAAGGTCGGTCGGGGCTTGCCGTTGAGGAGGTACGGAGGAATGAAGACCTCGACACGGTACTCCTGCGGGTTGACGTCATCCTCTGGGTCGGAGCCGCTGATGAGAACGCGGCCGTCGAGGAGAGTGATGGCTTCGCTGTGGTACAGGCGAGCGATAGTCGTGTTGGCCATGACGGTGATACGCGAGCCAATCTCCTTGCTGGGGTCGTAGAGCAGGGCATTCAGGTTGGGGCTATTGGCAAGGCCGAAACCAGCGACACCATGATGGGCGCCATTGGCGATCAGATAGGTGCCATCGGGCAGAGGAGCAATGCAAGGCATGACGCGGAAAGAGGGCATACGCTCGAGCGTCCAGGTCGGGTTGGTAGCCTCAGGGTAGATGGACACGCAGTTGTCCAGGGCATTTGACGGACCGTTGGTCGAACCGCCGCAGATCAAGATACCCAGATCATCAGTGTAAGGGGACTTCTGGGGCAGAAGTACGGCTGTGCCCTCGAGCGGGTAGGTTCTGCCACCCAGGTCGTCGTTGACGGCGGCCGGACTGTTGGGAAGAGTCTTGACAGTGGCGAAAGTGGCCGGGTTCAGGATCCTGGCCTCGTTCCAGTAGGCAACAAAGATGCCACCGGTCTTGGGAAGGACAGTGACGAAGGGGTACAGGTTGTTGGGGTCGGTACGGTCGAGCCAATCCATGTAGACGGGGGCCCCACCGGTGTAGGGCAGGACCTCGATAGACGGAACGGCAGCACTGTTCGAGCCAATCTCGCCGCCAATGACCATGACGGAACCGTTGGACATGATCATGGCGCTGGGATACCAACGGCCTTTCTGTAGCGACAGCACGTTGACATTCTCCTCCCAGTCGTGGTTACCGTCGGGCCAGTACAGACGAACGCCCTCGGTGGAGTCGCCAGACCAGCCACCCACGTTGAGGTGACGACCGCCCTTGTCGGGGAGGGTGATACCAGCGGAGCAAAAGATGTCCGTCTTGACATGGAGTGCGCGCCATGCCTGTTGGACGTTGGGGACCTTGGTGAGGTCGAGTTCGTAGGCGCCAGTCTCGTTCGCCTTGCCGGTTCCCCACTTGGAAAGGAAGCTAACCTTGCCGGTGATTGTCTCCTGGGTCAGGAGAGGAACGGTGACACCGCCGAGCAGGAACTGATATTGGCCAGCCCGGTAGTCTTGCGGGAAAGTCCAAGAGTAGAAGGGCTTGCCGGTCCAGAAGTAGGTCGAGAGGCGGCTACCACCACCGCAGTAAGCAGACGCGTTACCGGCGCACACGACATTGCACTCAATGTCGGGACGGTACGCGGCGCCACTTGTCGCGATGTTGGCCGGGTCGCCGCAGTAGCACTCCTCGCCGTATTCGAGACCAGCAGCCATATAGCCGTACTTGGCGCATCGATCCAGGCACATCTTGGCCGTCATGACACCTGGGAAGAAGAGCTGCCAGAAGAAGGTCCGCTTGTCGTTAATGTTGTCCTCAACACATCCCTTGTAGGCCCAGGACCCGAGACCACCGGTCTGGGCAGCTGGCGGGGAATCAACGGTAGGAGTGCCTTTGGAGATGATGTTCATCCTGCCGCCAGCACCACACGTCTGGGTCTGGTCACCGGTGCAGGGAGTGTTGCATTCGGACGCAGCCGTTTTGGCGCCGCCATTGAGGATACTCTTGCCGCAGAAGCATTGCTGGGCCCACTCAGTGCCGGAGATGGTGTAACCATTGTCGCTGCAAAGCTTGGCGCAAGACTGGGGAGTGAGGGTCTGGCTGTCGGGAGCCTGGAAGGACAAGATGCGGCCGTTGGCGCCATCGATCCAGCAGCCCTGCGCCGACCAGCCAGCAGGCAATCCGGTTGGCTGCGGAGTAGAGGTGGAAGAACCAGGGGGTGCGGTCGTTCCGGTTCCGGTGTCGGTAGGAGGCGGACCGCCGGGCTTGGAGTAGACCGACAGCCGGTTACCAGCACCGCAGAATTCGGAAGCATCACCTGCGCAGGTCATGCTGCATTCAGAGGCGGGAGCCGCAACGGAGCCCGTATTGAAGGTGTTACCGCAGTAACATTCCCGAGCGTACTCGACCCCGAAATACTGGTAATTGGCGCAGAAGGCCTTGCAAGCCTCGAGAGTCATGGTATCCGCAGCAAAGGTTGCCCCACTGAGAGCGCGAATGCCAGTGGCTTCGGTACGGCATCCGTACCAAGTGTAGTCGCCGACTGTAGGAGGCTGGGCGGGTGCCGTGGCGGTGACAACTGTCCCACCTACACTGGTCGAAGTCCCCGCCGTGGTTGTTGACCCTCCGCTGGTGCGTGTTAATTACCATGTTGGACTCGTTGACGTCCTGACTCAACGTGGAAGTAGGGTCTTGTAGTACGTACGCTGATGTTGGGAACTGCATATTGTAATCGTAGACATTCAGCCTATTGGGGCCACCGCAGAATTCAGTCTGGTTGCCGTTGCAAAGCACGTTGCACCCATCTGAAGCCCGGGCACCTCCATTGGAGATTGTGTTGCCGCAGTCTGGGAGAATGTTAGAAAAACAGTGGTACGAAAGGGGGCTGTGGCTGTCGAGCGGGCACTTACAGCACTCGCCACCGTACTCCACACCAGCCAGAATGTAGCCGGCAGTGTGGCAAGCAGCAGTGCACTTGGCAACGGTCATCTGGGCTCCGGGAATGGTCCCAACTCCATAGGTGAGCGAGCGTCCGGTTGTGCCCTCGGAATAGCAGCCAATGTGGACGAAGCCGTTCACGCCCGGGTTGGGTTGGGGCCCGACGGGAACACTACTGTAGAAGAGGGTGAGTCGGCCGCCTCCTCCGCAAGGCTCTGTGGCATCTCCGGCGCAGGCAGTATTGCAGTCCGCCTCGGCAGCCTGGGCTGCCCCGGCGGCAAGGCTGCTTCCGCAGTAGCACTCCTGCGCGTACTCGGTTCCGGCATATTGAAACCCCTTGGTCGAGCAGAAAGCGATGCACGACTCAGCAGTCATTCCCACATTGTCGAAATAGGCGGCCGCGTCGATCGTCCGGCCAACGTCTCTGGACGTCGGTGTAAGTCCAGTGCGCGTCAGTCAATGGCTGGTTGCTAGTGAACTTACGTATAGCAACCCTTGTATGCCCATGCGCCCGGGAGCGTAGTGGGCACGGCAAGGGCCCGTTTGGCTAGGCCCGCATTGGCAACGGAAAACTGCCATCGGGTATCAGCAGGATCCCAGACCGGGGGCCCAGAGCTGGGAAACAGTTGTATCTTACCGAGGAAAGGAGAAGAAGCCGAGAAAGAAGGGGGTTCGCGTGTGCGGCCTTCATGGTGAGCACCTATTAGTCGGTCGCTACCACAAGGGGAGCTGACACGGCGGGAAGATCAAAAATCTAACGAGCGTGGGACTTGGGTACCAAGACTTGGAAAGGAAGGAGATAAAACGAAGGACGGGCAGCGGAAATCTATATATTGGCCATGGGCAATGGCGACGAAAACCGAGACCTGGGCAACACTGCAGTCTGGGCCTGCGGTCAGTGAAAACAACCATGCATGTATGCACACTAATACGAAGGGTGCCATAAGCGGATAGACTCCTTTTCCCTTTGGGCTGGATCAGGGACTTTTGCTGCGGTAGATGACAGGCTAGGGGAGCCATGCAGCCGGGCTGACCATCCATGATCCAGCATGGCATGCCGCGGACAGGGATGCCTCGTCAGGCCAGGGGCACGGTGGTGGTGAGGCACGGTTGGTGGCGTTCGTACCTGGCAACCCCAATCCGCCGTCCCCCTCCGTCGTCTCGCCTTTCCCTTCCAGCCCTAGCAAAGCGAGAACTCCTGAGAACTGGCAGGTGTCACTGCCATCGCTTCCATGCCAAAGTCCGCAGTCGCACAGCAGGGGAGAAGAATACGGGAAGTAACCTGGAAGGTCGCTGGGCTGGCATGACAAGGGAGGAAGAAAATCCCATGGTTCCGATGCAGGAAATCGATATGTGGGTGCACGATGGAGGAGAGAGCTGGTGGACCGATACAAATTTACATAGTTGCATGATCGGTCCAATAAGGCTGAGCGCACCGCCCGAAAGGGAATGGCGGGGAAGCTCGGGCAAGCTGTACCTAAGTTGGCGCATACACCATCTGCGATTACGTAGATGTAAACAACTATCGCTAATAGATGCCTAGGTGGGTGTGGCAGAAAGAATAAAGCAGTGCGACTACGCAGGCGGTATTCTGTACACTTTTGTGGTAATTACAACGTACAGCAGCCCAAAGGAAACTATCGTTATCAAGGCAACTGCACTGGTACGTTTACCTCGTAGTATACCGGTGGATACCTAGGTAAATATCCGTACCTACCTAACGGCGCTAATGTGTGCCTGAGCCTGGTTTGCTCCGGGACCAGCAACCAGCCGCAAAAGCCATCTAATCAAAAAAAGACGCACTGGCAGGGTAAGCCCGGCCGCCAGTATGGGAGTTCAGGAGAAGCGAGCGACCAACTCGGTACAACGTACAAACTCGACCCAGAATAGTTTCGATCCAGACTCCCCGGTTAATGTTAATCATGCTTCGTCTCCCCCGGTGAGGCTGAGAGCGTTCTAATTAACTTGGATGCTTTCCTTGGCAGTGGACATTAACGGATCGTGGCATGGACCGATTTGCCCAACCGCCCAACTTGTCTTATCTGTCAACGGGGCCTGTTCCTGCAAGCTTACCAGGTGGTTTCCCCGTTCATAGTCCGTCCCACCCCGGCCCTCCCCCTTTCGCTCTATGCTCACAGCGATGGACATCTCCGGCCGTGATGCTCCAATACAGGAGCATACCTAATGGGATGGCTGCCATGCAGTCCTAAATGCGTATTCTTGATGGCCGCCCAGCTCATGCCAACTTCGATTTTCCCTCGAACTATCGGATATGCTGGCGAGTAATTGGCTGGTCTTGATGCCCCAAACAGCCCCCGCGCTAAGTACCTGTCCCTATCCCCCACCACAGCTACAGAGGAGATCAGCTCATTTGCCTTACCTATCGGGCCACCTCCATTCGCCAGCCCGAACACCAAAATATTCACCTGGCAGACTGGCACGGGCCTCGGTCCATTTGCCAAGTCCCCAACTCCGTGAACCAGCGTGGGGCTGAGAGGTCCAACACATTGTACGCTACGGAGTATATGCCTAGTTTACTTGGCCATCACTCTATCTGGCCTAATCCTCCCCTGATATGTCGCGTGTGTGCCACGGATACAGAGAAGCTTCGCTACACGGGGAATTGGCACTTGTGTGCCAACACACACCAGCAGGGCAGGACAGCACAGTCACACGCATAAGCCAGAAACTGTTGCGTACCTACCTACCCTAGCTAGCACCTTGTGCCGAATCACAGGCTGCGATTCACAACCTTGGCTGCATCAAGGCTGGCTCGTATTCCTCTGATAGTGTGTACCCCTGATCCCGACTTAACCGCTTCACACTAGTGTAGCTCGGTGCTCGGTACGCAGTAGGTTGGAGGGATGTGCGTTACCCCTGTTTTTACGATCTGTTTTTGCATGCGGGCCATCGGCTCTCTCTCAACCTGGCGTACCATGGATTGAAACCGGGATGACTTTCGTATCCGCTGTCCATCTCCTCTTCCATCCCATCTTCCTTGAACGCTGGGCTTCAACCTGACGAGGGACAGAAGCGTTACAATATATTGGCTGGTTGCTACCTGGAACAATTTTGGTCCAACCCGACAATCGATGGGCGCCTCGGCCCAGACCATTCCATTCCAAAGGGACCATGAACCATCTGGGGATGGCGCCACGTTCCGGGTTGCAGGTTGCAGGTTGCAGCACGGAACTGAGTAGGTCGGAAAATATTCATTCATCAGCCGGGTGGCTGCATGTTTTGCGGGGGAAACTCATGAAGAAGAATGCGCGTGGCTTCGCGTACGACGCCTGCGGCAGCCAAAGATAGCACGACAGGAGGGCACTGACTGGTAGGCTTCACTGCTCAGAATTGCTGCAGGCTCCGCATCTTGTATGATGAGGGATTGGCCGTTGAGAAAATCCTATGCTCACCGATGCAATCCATATAAGAGAGTCTGGTGACCCATTCGTTTATTTATTTCAAACATCGTCCGAGAAAGCAAACCCATCAGGATCCGGCAGCTCGGACTCGGTAATGGAGATATTCACGGAAGTGTGTTCCACCCTCCAATTCGGTCTCCGCTCGCAAACGGGCCCGGCGGGGCGGTTCGGGTGCCCCGCTCCGGGGCCATGTGCCGATATGCTTGCTCAGAGGGTGGGGCAACTGTGCTGCGGCTCAATTTCGCCTGAAAAAAGTTGACTCATCTTCTGTCGAATATCCAATGTTCTCATCCGGCTTTCGCCACCTCAGCTTAGAGCAGGAGTCAGTGAATTGCCCTTTGACTTGGGATCGTACTAGTTAATGTACTCTGCACCTCATTTTGACTCGGAATTTAGCCTTCCATCTTGTCTCGTCAGCTCGTTGCAGACAACGACCTCTTCTTGTTTCCTTTCCTTGTGGCAGAAGTTCTTGACTTGAGCCCGCGCTTTGCAAACGCACAATTACAAACAGCCAGCACTGCTTTTATTCTCATTTTCCGAAGACGCTGTATTTCAAAAAGCGCAACCGCTTCTCCCCGACAATACTGCCTGCATTGTCCGCTCAATTTTCTCCCTCCCGTATCCTCGTTTGCAACGCCATGTCGGATGTTCAGGCTCCTTCAAATCAGGGGTCATCCGCTCAGCGGGGCAATCGCCGAAACAGACTACGAGGCCCAAGACGTGGTGGGCGAGAAGGTGCATCACGACCTGTGGGTGGTGAAAGCACTCAGCAGATACCAAATGGGACGACTCCTAGTGTGACGGTTTCCACTTCTGCCTCGAGTGAGGCAGTCCAACGCCCTGTCTCTCAGGACCAACGCCAGCCAGGATCCAGAGGGGGGAGGGGGAGGCGGGGCCGGGGCTTCCAGGGACGAGGAGGTCGCTCCGCAAATCAGCCTTCGGCCGTAGTACCCCAAAGGACCTTTGGTGGCCATCTGACCTCGGATCAAGGAGCAGGCGCTTCTCCTGGGCTATCCTTGAGTGCTGATGCCCCAGAGTTTGTACCTGGCCGACCCGTCACGTCGCGGAGATCCGGCTCATCTCGGCCTCAGGTTCCGGGACCTAGATCAGGCCCCGGTTCGCAATCCGGTCCGTCGATGAAACCCACGGCCCAGTTCAGCCGACGAAGAGCTTCCAAGTCCTCGGCGCCGGATCTGCCCACCCGGATCCACGATGATATCGATAATGGCCAGTACGAATGCGTCATATGCACCAGCGAGGTGGTGAGAACCTCTCGCATTTGGGCATGCTCGATTTGCTGGACTGTTGCCCACCTGCACTGCGTGAAGAAATGGCATACGAATCAGATCAAAAACCAGGACCCGAACCAACCGCAAAACCCAGATCAGCCACCAGGCTGGCGGTGTCCGGGTTGCAACTCATCTCTTCAAGGGGAGCCCGGTGCCTATCACTGCTGGTGCGGTAAGGAGATAAACCCGAAACCTATTGCCGGACTCTCGCCCCATTCATGTGGACAGACCTGCTCGAAGCCAAGGGCGACTTGTCCACATCCATGTTCCTTGATGTGCCACGCGGGACCGTGTCCACCATGTACACTTATGGGGCCAACTCAAACGTGTTACTGCGGCAAGAACACATCTACTAAGCGGTGCAGCGATACAGCATATGGCCAAGGGTGGGGCTGCCAGGAGGTCTGCGGTGACCCTCTCCCATGTGGAGAGCATACCTGCTCTCGGCCGTGCCATTCGGGGCTTTGCGGCGGCTGCGAGGTCCCCGTTCTCTCGACATGCTATTGCGGGAAGGAGCAGAAAGAGCTCCCCTGTGATCAGCGAGACACCGTCCGCGATTCCTTCGACTATGGCCAGCTGGAATCATCTGCCGCATCCGAGGAACCGACCTCCTGGTTCGAAGGCTCGTTCAACTGCGCCAAGCGTTGCGGGCGCAAGTTCGATTGCGGACACCACTCTTGTGAGAGAATCTGCCATCCTCAAGACGAACAGGCGGAACATTGTCTCTTGTCACCGGACCTCGTGTCGCACTGCCCTTGTGGCAAGACACCGCTTAGAGATATCTCTGAGCGACCCCGGCAGTCATGTCAGGATCCTGTACCGCACTGTGACGAGGCCTGCAGTAAGCCACTTGGCTGTGGCCACGTCTGCGCCGACAAGTGCCATACGGGCCCGTGCAGGACATGCTTCCAGACTGTCGACATATCCTGCAGGTGTGGCCGGACCACGACGAAGTCCGTTTGCCATCAAGGCGACATACAGCCTCCACAATGCTTCCGCATTTGCCGCGCCCAGCTCAACTGTGGGAGACACGAATGTGGGGACCATTGCTGCTCGGGGGAGAAGAAGGCCGCGGAGCGCCGGAGGCAGAAGCGCAACGCCAATGGGGATTTCGAGGTTGAGCACATATGCTTGCAGACTTGTGGCCGCACTCTGAGGTGTGGAAAACACAGTTGCCAGCAGCTGTGTCACAAGGGCGCTTGCCCGTCATGCTTGGAGGCCGTCTTCGACGAGATCAGCTGCTCTTGTGGCAGGACGGTGCTCCAGCCACCGCAGCCTTGCGGAACAAGACCCCCCGAGTGTCGATTTGAATGCACGAAGCCTCGGCCATGCGGGCATCCAACGATATCTCACCAATGCCATCCGGACGACGCACCTTGCCCCAAGTGCCCGTTCCTGGTCGAGAAGATATGCATATGCGGCAAGAAGGCGTTGAAGAACCAGCCCTGCTGGTTTGAGGAAGCTCGATGTGGACTCCCATGTGGGAAGAAGCTCAAGTGTGGGACCCACGAATGCAAGAAACTCTGTCACCGGCCTGGCGAATGCGAGGATGTCGCCATCTCAGGCTCACGTTGCTCCCAACCATGTGGTAAAGTCCGCAAATCCTGCGACCATACCTGCGTTGAGCAGTGCCACGCCCCGTACCCTTGCAAAGAAGACAAGCCCTGCCAGTCCAAGACGTTTATCACCTGTCCCTGTCAACGAAGGAAGCAAGAGACCAGGTGCTTGGCAACGCGGCTCAACACCTGGCCGACCCGCGAGCCCCTGAAGTGCGACGACGAATGCCTAACCTTGCAACGCAACCGTCGCCTCGCCGAAGCGCTCAACATCGACCCCGAAACGCACACGAACGACCACGTGCCTTACTCGGACGCGACGCTGAAGCTCTTCAAGGATAACGTCAACTGGGCGCAGGGGCAGGAGCGCGAGTTCCGCGTCTTCGCAGCCGACCCCGACGAGAAGCGGATCCGCTTCAAGCCCATGCCCTCCCACCAGCGTGCCTTCCTGCACGCCCTGGCCGAGGACTTCGGGCTCGACAGTGAGAGCCAGGACCCGGAGCCCCACCGCCACGTGTGCGTGTTCAAGACCCCGCGCTTCGTGTCCGCGCCCCGGAAGACGCTGGCGCAGTGCCTCCGGATCGCGAGGACGGCCGCCGCCGCCGCCGCCGCCGCGTCGTCTCTCCGGCCACCGCCGACGACGACCGCCGGGCACAACCAGCTCTTCAACGCCTTCCTCCTGACCACCCCCCGCTTCGGGCTCACAATCAACGAGGTGGACGACGCCATAGCCGCCGACCTCGCCACCACCCGGCCCGCCCTGGGGTTCGCGACCAGCTTCCTGCCCTCGGACGAGATCGTCGTCAGGGCCACGCCGGCGGAACTTACGGCCGCCAGCATCGCCGCGGCCGCAACCCCGACCCCGGCCCCGCAGTCCGTCGAGGCAGCCGTGACCGCCGCCAGGCCCGCCGTGGCCGCGACGGTCGCGCGCCTCGGCCTCGCGGGGTCCGTCGTGCTGTGCCACGCCGACGCCGATGACGCGTCCCCGGGCCCGTGCGTCGTCGCCGTCACGCGCCGCGAGGGAGACAACGCCGGCTCCGGCGCGGACGGCTGGAGTACCGTCGCTGGCAGGGGGTCGTGGCGCCGGGGCGCCGGGACGTCTGGGTCGACGACGCCGGCGGTGGCGGAGGAGGAGCGGCGGGCGCCTAGCTCGTTTGTTGCGCTGAGGAAGATGGGGGTGGGGTTGAAGAGGAAGGAGAAGGAGAAGGAGAAGGAGGTCGAGGAGGACTGGCTTGCCGCTGCGGAGAAGCTGGATGGGGGTGGAGGGGCTACGGAGGAGGATGCGAAGAAGGAGGCTGAGAGTCTTGATGCCGTGGTGGATGTGGAGGAAGGCGTCGCGGCGAAGTCGCCGGATGTGGTCGCAGAGGCTTGAAGTTTGCACACTGTCTAATCTTTATGGTGACATGCTGGTATTCAGGGTGCTCCACCATGCTGGTCCCTTGAGAGAGGGTGGTTTGGTTGGTAGTCCCAAGCATTGAGGCACCTGATGATGCCCTCGCCTACGTGCAGATCCTCAACTACATACCTAGTTTAATATCCACGGCTCTCGAGGCCGGACAAATGTGAGCCTCCTCTATAAGGATGTCTTCAGTCTCCGACTAGAATTCTACTTCAGATAACCATGATCAATCAATGACCCTCCAAGTCACCTTCTGCTCAGACTGACCAGCAGACCGTCAGCAAGCCCTCAGGGGTCAGAAATAACCTGCATCACCATCATCGCCACGCTGAGACCACAAAGCCCTCAGGGCAGCGCTGTTTGATCCATCCAATTCAGTAGCTGCTCAACCAAGTTTCCCTTTTTTTTGTCACCGGCCCACTCAAACCCTCTTCAGAATTTGGGAGACAAGCTTCTCCTCAGCCAAATATCGCGTCGCAAGGATTAAGGGGGAAGGGTGGGAAAGAGGCAAAAGTAGAAAAAGTGGGAAATATAATATATACATACGTGTATATAGGTCCGTCTATATACACACAATAAGGATTAAGGAACATAAAATGGAAGCTTTTCAGATGAACAACCCCCTCGAAGTGAGACAGCCCAGTAGCACGGAGCACGTAAATGGGAAACCCCATCCCAATCCGGCCATGTCGCCGTGGGCAGAGTGTAGAGAGCATGTCCAGCTATAGGGGTGTCTTTCATGCGTTGCTGTCTGGGATAGAGTGAGTGGCACACGAACCGAGTAAGCGGGAAAGCTTCCGTAGGCAGGCAAAAGCAGGGTTGGGTATCTTATTGAGCAAGACAGTCTGTACTCTTTTATCTTATTGCTTTCCGCCCCCCCTTTTCGGATGATCAATCATTGCAATGGCACACGCCCCTGGCCGTGGGCTTATCGTGCTTCCGTGATCGTCAGGTCAACACTTTATGCCCATGCACGATCACCCAACAGGGTAGTTCCGGCCCCCCAAATAAGGTTATTGCATATTACCGTCCTACCTAATTCAGCTCCGCAAAGGGGGGGTGGGTATCAAATTGTAGAATAGAATAAGGTATGTACATAGCAGGTGGTAGCGGCCTTCAAGTAACCCGCTAGTCCGCCCTTGCTTCCCCTGTGACCCGGGTAAAGCCGTAGAGATAGGCGAATCGCGACCTTCGCGGGCAAAAAGGAGGAGGAGGAAAGAAGATGGAAGGAGAAGAAGAAGAAGCCGTTCCTCCTAAGCTCATGATGACGTCTGCTTCTTTAAATCATCCACCCTTCAGTCGCTGGTGACTTGGGCGATGAAGTCTGCGATGGCCTCGAAGTACCCCTCTTCCAGGACGCTCGAGTTGTGGTCGCCGCTGGGAAGGGGTTTCCAGATTTTGGTTGGCGCCGTCGAAAGCTCATATAGTTGCCGCATATGAGTTGGTCTTTGCGAAAGGATACATATGTTAGCATCGGCGGTATAGCGTGAGACCTAGTCACTAGCTGCTGGAGGGGAGCATAGAGAGCAGAGACGTGATTCCAAATGGGGAACTGCTAGAATTGGCACTCTGCCCTCGTAGATGTAGACTTCGTCACAGAAACGCTCCTCAAGGAAGCTTCGTGCGCAATGTGTAGGGACCTCGGCGAAAGGGGGCAGCCAGCCTCGGGCAGACAAAAAGGGAAGGGATGTCGGATATGGGATATAGACGAGGGCTACTCACGGGACAATCTCATCGCGTAGTCCGCTGAGGAACAGGATGGGAACCTTTTTGATCTGGGGTATATATGTGTCGCTCGGCCAGACCTGGTGACATAGCAAGGTGAAGTATTTGGCAGGCGGAATTATGCTAGGAATCAGCTTCCTCATGCTTAGGAAGGTGTTCTCGAGGATCAGGCCTGAGATATCGTCGGCCTTCTGGTGTTTGGCCACGAGCTTGATGCTGACCGCACCGCCCAGACTCTGGCCGTAGATGATGAGTTTGTGGTCCCGGGTCTCGGCCCGGTCTCGAAGATAATCGAGCGCCGTCTGGGCATCCACCATCAGGCCGTTCTCGTCCGGCTCGCCTGTTGAGAGGCCGTAACCGCGATACTCGAGCATGAAGACGTTGCAGCCCGTGTAGCTTATCAGCATGCGGGCAATGGGAAGCCGATGGCCGATATTGCCCGCGTTGCCATGGAACATGAGCACCGTGACATTGGCACGTCCGCTCCGGGTGCGGGGGCCCCGGATGTAAAAGGCCGACAGTTTCGCGCCGTCATTGGTAGGGATGATGAGCTCCTCGTAATCTTTGATCTGGAACTGACTTGGGCGGGGGACCTCGGTTCGGGAGTTCGGTGGCATATGTGAAGGGTAGATCAGGGCTCTGAGCGAGTCTGTTGTTAGCTCCGTGGCACGAGAAGCGCCCATCACCATATAGCGCGGACTGCCATGAACCGACTTACTTCTGCTTGAAGTAGAGGACAGTGGTGAGGAGAACGGCGATACCCTAGGCGGTGAAGAGGTGGTGTTAGTCGACTGGGTGCCTATGGATGGGGGAAGCTCCCAACTTGCCCCCTCGGCCAGCCGGCGCTGCTGGCGATGAAGCCATGGCCGTGGGTGGGAGAGATAGAGGTGTCTGGTCATACAGTTGAGGCAATGGCCGGCAGGCGCATGTAGCCTGCGACGCTGCTGAGGAGCGACACCGTCTGCTCCAGGACGCTAACGTGGTTCGGAGGAGGGGTTGAAGGGGGCGAGGGTGACATGACGATGAGAGCTCAAGCTGGGGAACATGTGTGGTAGAGCTCAAGCTTAGAACGCCAGGCGCAAGACGGCCGAATTCTTAGTGTGCAGCATAAGGAGGCGCCTGGAGTGAAGCCCTCGTTGGTGGGTGCCTGTACGTTAAATTGGGACAAAGCAAGGTGGAACAGAGGCTAAAAGCACGGTCCAGGTGAAGGAGGGGTTCGAGCGTATAAACCCACCCCTGAATGATGTATTTGTGCAAATATCCGTACTTTCGAGGTAATCCGGGCAGTGTCTTTGAATAGTACCCAGCACATCCTACATATACAGAACCGTACGGAGTCAGGCAGGTAGTGATCACTGATTGCGATAACTCCTCTCGGTGGCGTTAGCAACTGCTGGGATTGGTCGCTATTCATTGCGGGAAGTGGGTCTTACCAGCTTCCATGTGAATTGACAACCCAATGCGAACGTCTGCCATGACAAAGGCGCAAACGCGGCGATGATTCAGTTTGCTTCTGTAAATGAGGTGGAGCATCGCCCGGTTGTATGTCGGATTGCATGAGACGTGGCTTGAATGAATTGTGCAGTATTTTGAATTATTGCTGCGCCTAAAATGTCTCGTCACAATCCCACCAGAACCCCTTCAGAAAGGGGCAGCAGGCGGGATTGGGATTCAAGGCTCGATCCGAGCCTAGAGCGGATTCACCTCCTGCAGCCAGCCAGGCTTGACTAGGGCCAGTTATCTGGCCCGGCAACTGCAGTTTGCCCTCTGACCACCATGTTTGGCCCGGGCCCGTGGTTATTATTGTTTGTGGGTGTTTGTGGGTGCTTGGGGAGAGGTTCTCATGGGCTCGCCTCTTCGGGTTGCATGCAAGCGATAGACGCGCGCGACGCGCCTCTGCACCATTGGGTCACGCTGTTTGCTCATGCGCCCCTTCAAGATCCCCCTGAAGAGCGTGCTTAGCTTGCAACCCCTGAAAGTTTGATGCGCCAATCCCTTTGGAGCAGTATCACCAGGTCGTCGAAGGAAGCTTGAATCTGAAACACTCCGAGAAAGGGGTGTGAAGAGACTCGGGGAGGGGGTCACGGGGAACAGACAATCATTGCCAGAAGAGTGAGTTGCTCAAGACACGAGTAGATAAGTTGAGATGACCAATCCTGGAACGATCTCTGCTCTGCCATTGACCTACCTATACGTACTACGCAGTATTTCCTCTTGGAGCCATCCGTTAGCCATGTCTGGCCATGGATCTTGATTCTCAGCGCCAACATGTCTTGTTATAGCATATCTTGTTATACGTCTGTGTCAAGGTGCCGGGCGTGTTGATGAATCAGAATGATGAAGTCATTGTGAGAACAGGCGATTGGGTTGCCCCCGACTATTGCTGCAGTCGATCAAATCAGGTAAGTGAAAGTATCCCATCTAACTTTCAAGAACTGCTGCATCAGCCCCATTCAGAGCCCACATACTGTAATGTGCATACATACAAGGAGCTCCTGGTTAGCTTATTTAGACCAAAGACAATACGGATCAATAGTCCGTACCTGATTCGGAAGTACGCAGTTGCAAAACATCAAAACGTCCTTTTGCTCATCAACGTTGCATGGGATCTCGCGATGCGGCGCGACGTGACGACCAATTGGCTGAATTTGCTACAATCACTCCCCCGATGTCGGTGCAGCGAGAGGCTGTTCGGCATTGGTCGTGACTAAATTAGACATTTGATTGAAACGCGCCCAAGCCAAGGTGTCTCCTGACCAACCATCAATACGCCTCATTCGGGTTTCGTGTCAGATGCCTGTCGTCTACTCCCACACCCCAGTCCGCGTTTGACAGGGATCCAGTAACCTCCAGTCTTTTCGCAGACTCCGGCAATCTGCCAATCTGTGGAGGGGATGCGGGCTTGTTTACCATCAGAATGGGGCCCAGCAACAAGCTAGCGATGCATCAACGCCCAAACACAGCAGAGCCTTCATCCACTGCATATTTTTTCCCTCCCTTCTCTCCCATTCCCTCTTCACACACAACCCACAAAACCCATCAACAGGAAAGTCTGATCGATATCACTCACCGAGACGCCAACCCTAGCCCGCGCCCATCTCTCCCTGCTTCGGCATTGACCCATCATCGCCGAGACCCGCCCTTCAAAGGAGAAGCGAGTTTTAGCTGGTCCTACATCTGTTCGTCAGCTGGGTCTGATCTCATTCGACGTCCCGGATTCTAGCCTGGGTAAGGCTCGTGGGCTTGTGCACTATCCTCCCTCCTCGCGCCGCCGACAATTCGTACCTGACAGGACATCCGACGAGAGCGGCTAGTCCATCTTAGCCCGGGGCTTGTCTAAATTCCTATGCAAGGCGTGCGTCTCCCAATTTCTTCCGGTTCTTCTACCACCAGCAGAGCTCTCGTTTTCCCCGTTGCCTCCGTCCGTTGTACGGATCCGTATGTCTCGACTGATCTTCCACCCAGTAAGAAGCCGTTACACAATATAAGTTGCGATATCTGCAAATAACCCAAAAGACACCACGGCCGCTCCCATTCGTGCAATTCGCCGCCAATTAAACCATTTTGCGTCAGACAGCGCATCACTCAGCATCATTATCCAGTGGGAAACATGGTTTCCTTCTCCTGTGAGGTAAAGTTGCAGTTCTCTTGGTGCATTCCAACCGCCCTTCCTCTCCTCGCCCCATTCAATCCCCCTACCTCCATTTGGTCGCTTCGCCCATTTCTCTCCCTCTCCCACTCCCTGCCTGTCACGGTACGGATTCGAAGTTCAAAGCTCCCCGTTACCGCGTTAGCTACATAGGAGGCGCAATCTTAAGACCTGACATCACACCCGCATTCCCGCACACCCACCACCACGGAACATCCTCCAACACTCTGTCACACGCCTCCCCACTCCGTCTCACACACACCCCTCCCCCCCCGGTCAGATCAGGTTGATCCTCCCCTACGATTGTCTCCTGTTACTCTCCCTTGACATTCCCCAGTCGCCACCATCCTACCAGAGCTCCCTCCCTCCCTTATCTACCCACCCGTCCCCATACAGTCCACTAGGAGCAGTCCTTTTCGTAGCATCTTCCCGAACTATTTGATCTAACTGTCTGCCTTGTTGCCTCCTTTCAGAACTGCGGCGATGTTTTGACCAAGAAGAAACTTGACCCACATCGAAACCGTTGTCGAGGGGCGACTTTTACCTGCATCGATTGCATGGTCCATTTCCCTGGCACTGAATATCGCGCCCATACGGTACGTGCCAGCCCTCCCTTCCCGCCAGTGCTGACTATTGACGTGACTGACTCCCTCCCAGAGTTGTATGACCGAAGACCAGAAATACCAGGGCGCCCTGTATAAGAACAAGAAAGCAAAAACGAGCAACTTCGTTGCGACACCCCCCGCACCACCAAAGACCATGCCCCAACCTGCTTTTGTTGAGGATGCCACCGAGGAGTACGAGTGGAGGGATTATGAGGACGACAGCGATGATGACAATCTATCACCAGCCGAACCACCTCCAGAGGCACCCACTCCACCTCCTGCGGATGAAGGTCCCGTCAACGTCTTTGACTTCCTAGTCGCCAATCCGACGCCTTCTGCCTCGAATGTGTCTCTACTTCGGCCTACCCAACTCAGCAAAGAAACTCAACTGGTGCGGTTCGACTATGACGCGGAAGCCTACCTTGACCCTGAAGGGCAAATGCTGGAAGAAGGGGCTATGGTTGAGTACGGCGCTGGGCCGGTTGCAGCCTCCCAGTTTGAGACCCCCGCACCAAAGGGAGAGAGGAGGAGGAGCAAGGATGGCGAGAAAGACGTCAAGAAGGACAAGAAGCGGAAGCGATTACACGTCGACGTCCACGACCAAGTCATGACTGATGCGCCGCCAGTACTACACTCGGGCTTGACGGGAGGATTGAACAAGCTGATGACTCGGCCGTCCGTCTTCCCGCCTTCGCCCGACTACTCTGGCGGTGACGTTGCCGAGACGCCAACCAGCCCTCTAAAAAAGACGAAGCATTCCAAACATGGCAAGCCCAGCCGCGCCGAAGCCATTGGCAACACTCTGATGGCCATGATCTCTTCGGGACCCAAGACCAAGACTAAGAAGCGCAAACATAGCTCGCCGTCGGGGACAAAGAAGTCCAGCCGCCACCTCCTAGAGGGTGCGAAGGAACAGAAACTCCTCGAATACCGGCCGGGCTCCAAGGAAGGAAAGGAGGGCGGCGACAACGCCATGATACTATATAAGCCTCGAGCCGAACACTTCCTGAGCTTCGTGAACAAGGGCCCGGATAGCGAGCGAGGATGCAGCATGAACAAGGCACTGAAGCGCTACCATCGCGAACGAAGCGCTTCCGCAAGCCAGTCCGTGAGCAAGCTGATGGAAGAGAAGGAACTCTGGCGCTCGTTGAGGTTGAAGAAGAACGACCGCGGCGAGATTGTCCTGTTCTGTGTCTGAATTACGATAAACCCGACCCAGCTGAGAAGAGAAGCCTCGCTCGGTACGCGGGTCTGGAGGATTTAACGGAGTTGATGTCGCATGGATTTTTCCTTCTCATGATACCTATACACAGGCATGGACTCATGCGCTGCATGTTTGCATACATATCAAAAGCTGCAAGGTTTCTAAGGCTCATTTTACCGGGTTACGGCGGGGTTCTCTCGGTTGGTTTTCGGCATTCTCTCCCCTCCGGAGCACATGGCAAAGTGCTCTCAGCTGGTCTCGGGAGCCTTGATAGATAGAGTAGTTGGCGCGGCGCTGTTCTGCTCTTCTTTAATGGTCTATCCGTTTTGTGTCTCAAGTACACACAGCAAACCAGTTCGGGGGGTTGGGGGGTTGTTCTTGGAATGGTCCCCCTTTTTCTTTTCTATATTCCCTCTTTCAGCTTTTTGCTGGTTTATTTTCCTTTGGGCAATTGAATTGGCAAAGAGAGAGCTGTGGTAATGAGAGAAGCAGCATAGACAAATTTATTCTGTCTACCGTTAGAGGAACTTACTCGCCGTCTCATCAATGCGTTGTCACCCCATGCTCATCATACATACAGACCAACGACGAAGCGCTCGAGAGGAATGCTATCAACGATTAAGCCGCCCTCAACGGTAAGATATGCTGCACCATAGCCTCACGCCTGCAGAGCGGACACTCGGGCTTCTCGCGCACCCAGTCCCCAATGCAGCCCCAGCAGAAGACGTGGCCGCACTGCGTCGCGGCAGGGTCCCTGAGCCCGTCCAGGCACAACGTACACTTCCGCTGCTGCCTCCCCTTAATCCACCCCATGACTCCCTCGGCCGCGAGGTCGTACCTTGGCCCCCCGCCGCGCGGCAGAGGCGTGTGCGTCGAAGCCGCGATCTCGGCGGGGCTACGCTGCCCGCCACCGCCGCCGCCCCCCGCCGCCGCCGCCCCCACCAGAAGCGCGTTGTTGCTACTATACGCGTTCTCGTCTAGCGACACCTCCACCGCGCCACCGCCGCCCACCACCCTCTCCCGCACGGCGGCCTCCTCCTCGGCCTCGGCAGCGCCGCCGCCGCGCGCGGTCGCGCGCACGTGCAGGTACCCGCGCACCAGCATCTGCACCGCCAGCAGCACGCCCAGGACCTCGTAGCCCACGCGGTCCGCCGCCCCCTGCGCCCCTGCCGCCCCGTCGCCCGCCGCCCGCCGCGTGAACACGTACCGCAGGCCGAGGAGGCGCTTCGGGAGGCTGTAGTAGGCGCCCGTGAAGTAGAAGACGGCCAGGGCGGCGGCGCGCAGGTGGGAGCCCGAGGTGAGGTCGGCCAGGTGGGCGAGGAGGTACCGCTGGGCGCGGTACGCGCGGGAGCCGCTGCCTTCCGGGCCGGGCCCGCGGCGGGCCAGGGCGGCGAGGCGGGACTGCAGGCGCGAGCGGAGGGCGGCGCGGAGGCGCGGCATCAGGAGGCTGGCTATGTAGGGCGCTAGGACGCTGGTGGCGACGAGGGCGGCGCGGCGGGATGGGGTCGGGAGGAGGGGCCCGCCGTCGTCTTCGGTGGTGGAGGTTGTAGTGGTGTTGTCGTCGGTGTCGGTGTCGGGGGCTGCGGGGGTTTCTCGGCGCCTGCGTGCCCGCGATGACGGTCGCGGCGCCTCGACCTGCACGAGGTCGCAGTACTCCTCCCCGAGGGTGCGGTTGCCGGGAAGGGTGGTCAGGCACAGGTAGAGGAGGTCGGCGGCGGTGCGGGCCTCGGCGGCCCAGGCGTGGGCGGAGCGGGCGCCGCGGAGGCGGCGGTGGAGGTCGGAGAGTTGGTTTGTCAGGACGCCCTGAAAGTAGGCATCTTTCTGGTGCGCGCGGATGATGTCCGGGGCCGCGGCGAACGGGTAGGGGGAGCTCGTAAGCGGCGGCGGCGGTTTGACGCCGGCGTCCGCCATTGCGAGTGATTATTATTATTATGGGTGGGTTGCGAGCGATGCCGGCCGCTGTGGTATGTAATTATTCGGATTGTGACTGCTGGTTCGGGCGCGCTTGGGAAACTGGATTTTGGGTCGTTCAAAAGGCCTAAAGTGTTGTCGGCGCAAGTCATCCGGTTTGGCGGCTTCGGCAGTCGAAATGCGTTGTGCCTCGGATGAAAGCTTAGGCACATGGCAAGGCCGCAGGGGGTGTTGTTGATTGATAAGGCTGGCCAGTAGAATGGCTTGGTGAGCTTGACAGGGGTGGTAATTAACAACGTCACCTCCCGTGGTTGCAGGCAGTGGAATTCGTGCATGCTGCATCTACCTTCGGCACTGGACTCTTGTATCTGCTGCACTCTCGCCGCAGGGCAATACCTGCCCTTCATCCACCATGACGATAGACTCTCCGACGCCGAGTATGACTGTACCTCAGCTGCCGGGTGCACGAACACCGCCTGCAGAACCGACGATGGTGCCCTACATGTTCCCGCGCAACAAGCTTAAAGTGTCGCATGACTCAGGCGAACAAGGTTCCTCTTGTTCTTGTGGCCTGTGGGAGCTTTTCGCCCATCACTACTCTGCACGCTTAAAGATGTTCGAGATGTCGAAATGCATGCAACACGGCACCGACACCGACTTCGAGATAGTGGGCAATTATTTGTCGCCAGTACGTTACGTTCACAGTCGTGTCTCAAGAGTCGGAGATAAGCCTACTCTCGAGAAATGCTCCCGTTGCTCTCGAAACCCCCTAACTAAGCCAATACCAACTCGAGAACGGAGCGTTGCAGGTTAGCGACTCTTACGCTAAGAAAGACCTCGCCCCAACGCAGCAACGTTTGGCCATGTGCACTCTGGCAGTCGAGGATACTGATATTCTGGGCAAGTGGCGCCAGTGTCCTATACCGGGACTTGATCCCTATTCCTCTCGAGTACTTTAGGGGCCTAGCAAATGGGATCGCAAGTCTTAGTACAGGATGTTAACGTATATCAGTTCACCCTTGAGAGGCTCTGCGCTGCAACGAAACTGGCTCGCCGGTTTACAGGACGACGGCAGATGTTCTCTAACATTTCGATCATGTATTAATAACGTCGGGTCCTTGGGGTCATCAAATCTGTGGAGGGCACCTTCAAGAGGGCGCGGATCGTCCTACTCATCGGTGCCGACGTAGCCATGACTATGGACCATCCGAAAGCCTGGGCACCTACAGACATCGATACGATATCGGGGGAATACGGCGTTTTCATCGTTGAGTGGCCTGATAAGGCCTACCTGCACCGGGTTCTGGAAACCTGAAGCCGTGTGACAAGATCTGGGTGGTGTCGTCGTCCTACAACGACGTCAGCTCTGCCAAGGTCCGGGCAGACCTCGAAACGGCAACAGTGTCCGAGATCTGATTCCAGAGTCGGTGAACAAGTACATCAAGTCACAGAAGAAGGTGTACCAAGGAGCACCCTAATGAAAACAGCCAGGAGACACAGGTTCAGCCTCGATCCCAGCGCGTTCACCCGCCGCATCGCACAGAGAAGAAGCTCAGCAGCCAACGGCTTACGACGCTACCGGTTTATGGGGTCCGAGTAGTAGGCCTAAACAAGGCACGCTGTCCGCACCCTTCTATCGACGATAAATGCAGCGCCGGTTCTCACCACCATGCGATAAGTCATGGTGGCTCTACCAGTAATCCCGACGGTCAGCGCAGCAATGGCCAGTGTTACGACGTGGAAACTTGAGAAGGTCCTTATAGCCTGGTTCCAAGTCACTTGGTTGGAGGGAATCACGACGCGCCTCATAATGTCCGTCAGGTAGAAAATGCTTCCTCTGCGTTTTCGCGCTTGAGGGTTCTTGGGGTCACGCGACATGATGCAGGCGAGATGGCTAGCCGCTTGAGGCATGATATTCAATATCTTTGCTAGCCCAGCCTCAACGAATTTGAAGACAAATTTCAGCACACGAGGGGTCAAAACCCCAGCAGAAGTTTATTGATTGCGAGTCTCGAAATGTGATGTGATGGTACTGCAACCTTGTTGGCCTGCTTGGATCAGGGGTGGATTTAGCGTCGGGATCCTCTGTAGTCTGAACTTTAGCATATTAGATCGAATCTAGGGGGTCGTATGACGTATGACGCGCTGCTTCATTTTGTGGTTCGTAAGGGGGTGCTTTGGGGGCCAAAAATAGCGGGTCCTCCAAGACCGCAACACATGCCGAGCCTTGTAATTATCTATTCAATTTCAATTCCAGACAACATTTTATTTCTGCCCTCTCGACGAGCCCGGATTGCAACGCCGCTTAAAACCCGATGCCTCCTAGATATAACAGGAGGCCTAGTCACAATGGACGGTGATCCTGCAGTTGAATCACGGCTCGACTCGTTCAGCCTAACGTTTCCGTTGCCATACCGAGTCGCCTTCATTATTATCTTAGGTTAGTCTCGAGCAACATCGCAGAGCATCGTGTCTCCGTCCGGGGTCTCAAGCTAACCTACCACCGACGTCTAGCTGTCTGGGGATGGGGTTTCAACCTCCACTATCTCGAGCGCCTCAGCATCGACGTGCCCTCCTTGATCCGTTATCCCCAACGCTCCAGCCCGTCTCAATTATCCCACCACAGCTCGACGTACCGCCTGGCGACCTTCCTCTCCGGCACCTTCGCTCTCTCCATCGTCACATTCTGGTGGTTCACCCATCGTGACCCCGAGCTCGTCATCTACTATGACTGGGTGCCGATGACCTACCTCGTCGTCCTGGCGGCCCTGTTCGCCCTGCCCCTCCGCAGGCTCTCCGTCTCGCACACGGGCCGCAGCCGGCTACTGTGGGCGCTGAAGCGCGTCAGCATCGGGGGGCTGGCGAACGCGCAGGATGGCAAGTTCGGCGACATCCTGCTCGCCGACGCGCTCACGAGCTATGCCAAGGTGCTGGCCGACCTGTTTGTGTGCGTGTGCATGTTCCTGGCGCGCGGCGGCAGCGCCACGGACCGGCCGGACCGCGGCTGCGGCGGCTCCGTCATCGTGCCGATGGTTATGGCCGTGCCCAGCTTGATCCGCCTGCGCCAGTGCCTGATCGAGTACGGCCGCGTGCGCCGCGCGCCGTTCAGCCAGAGCGCGGGCTGGGGTGGCCAGCACCTCGCCAACGCGGCCAAGTACGCAACCGCCTTCCCCGTCATCGTCTTTGGCGCCATGCAGCGCAGGGTGCCCACCGAGGACCAGCACTTCTCGCCGGCCGGCCTGTATCGGGCCTGGGTGGCCTCGCTGCTGCTCAACTCGCTGTATTCGTTCTACTGGGATGTGGCAAAGGACTGGGACTTGACCCTGTTTAGCAGCGCAAGGGAGCGGAACTCTCCCGAGTATCCATTTGGCCTGCGCAGGAGGCTGCTCATTCACAAGCCGGGGGTCTATTACGCAGTGATCGTGCTGGATCTGGTCCTGAGATGCACCTGGGTCCTCAAGCTGAGCCCACAGGAACGCATTGCCGATTTCGAAAGCTCAATATTCATCACCCAGTTCTTGGAGGTGTTCCGTCGGTGGATGTGGATTTTCTTCCGAGTCGAGGCGGAATGGCTCCGCAATACGTCGACTGGCCTGGGGGTTGATGACATCCTCCTGGGAGACTATCTGGGGAAGTACGCGGATGAGGAAGATTAATTCCCTCGCAGATTTGACTGGGAGGCGTCTGTCTAACAGCTACACGGGGTTCAATCTATAGACCAACAGTCGAATGTGAGTGCGCATTTTCAGGGATGAGGGGAGTCACGGGGCATACGGGGGTAATAATGATAGACTTTGGCATCTCTACCTAGGTCGGCTTGTAACACTAACATAGTTTATTAATTCGGGGCAGTTGGTTGCTGTTGTCCGTTCATCCCTTGGGTTATTTCTTCCCTCAGGCCATCCCTTGACACTTCAGCCCACGCTCCTTCTTACGTTGTGGCATTTCTGACCCTGGCTCTAAGGGAGCTTTAACTTTCCCCAGTCTTGCTTTGTTTGTTTCCCGTGGGGGGATTCTAGGTTGTAGGAGGTGCTCTGTGAAGGTTCGATATGACTCGGGTATGACCAAATGTGCCCCAGTTTGGTGCTCAGCAGCGGGATGAAATCATCCAACCACATTGATGCTGCAAGCATAGGTGCTCTTCCGGCTGGCAAACTTACAGTCTTGACAGGTGGAAGCCTTGAGTGGGAGTCAGGGGAGTGATGGGAGAGTCGAGATCCCCGGTCAGTCTCGCAGCCAAGTGGTCATCCAGCTGGCAGCTGACTCGTTACGGGCTGTTGGACTCCTTGCCCGCACTATTTTCTAGTCAGCATCCTGGTCGAGTCAACCGTCTTTGTATGGCATAATACTTTCGACAAAGGACTCCGCTGTGGCGGCCAAGATGCGCCGTAATCGGCCTTAGAAGCAACTCGGTGGAATGGAGGCGACGCTGTCTGTTGCTTTGTCCCTCGTCGATGTTGGTTGAGATTTGGAAACGCTCGGGGTTAAATCATGGCTTGGTTCTCAGGCAAAGCCTCTCATCATCTCTTTCCCAAGGCTGTCTCACGCCATGGATCATAAATCCCACTCGAATATTGCAAACAGAAGGCCATGGCTGCCCAGCAAGCCTTCCAACTCTTCACTGAGAGGGATGGAAATAGGGTTTCCGCCCGGACGGGGGATTCCTCCACCAGAGGCAGTGGCAACCTACTCGGCCAAACCTCTCCCGCCAGTCCCGACCAGGAGAAGAAGATCTGGGGGCTCAACATTCAGCAGCGAAGTGAACAAGGCCTTCAGAACTCCAAAGGACAGTGTTGACTACCACGATACCAACCTCGACTGGCTGAGAGAAGCCGACATCGCCGTCATACTAGACACGCAGGTTACAAACATGAAGCCGCAGCCAAAGCCGCAGACGGAGGCGGAAGTGAGGAGCACCTCGGTTACGCCGGAAGACGAGATACTGTCTCTGTACCCAAAAGAGTCAGTCCAGAATACTCCTTGCCTCCCCAGCATGAGCATGCCCACGATGGCAGTCCCTGTGTCTTCTTCCTCGCCGCCCTCGGGACACGACTCTTCACACAAGATCAAGCAACTGATGGATGTCGATGTTAGTCTTGATAGGTCGTACCTCTACAACGTCCAGGAGATATCTCCGCTCTCGCCCACGAGCACCACGAGTAGTGTATATAGCCAGGACCTGGAGGCTACCATCTCTGAGCCGGATACAGACATCTATGTCAAGCTCTATGGGGACTCTTCATCTGAGGCTCGCATGACCAAGTTTGGGTCCGACCCGACGAGCTGGGACACATGGGATATCCAGTCAGCCATCCAGGTCCCGGCCTCGTTGAACCTCACAAGGTCTGGCGACAAACATTGGGTGGCCCAACCGCTTAGCAAAGACCTTTTTCAAGGAATCACTCGGCAAGGCCCAAACCAAGAACACTCACTTGACTCCGATAGATTCACTGGCTCAAGTTATCAACAAGACCTTTATCATTCTGCGGAAACAAACCTAGGGCAGAGTACCTCCTCTTCTTCCGCAACCCATAACCGTCGACACTCTAGTCCTGGAACAGACAAAAACAACACTCCTACTGGCCTAGCCCGCACCCCAACCATCACCTCAGATCCAAGCCCTTACCAGCATAAGCCCAGGCCCCCAACCAAACACCGCCAGTCCCACCTCCGCATCTCCCTCCCAGGCGACCCAAGCATGGACCACCCGCAGCAGGCACCAGCCGGCCCCGGCGGCGGCGGCGGCAGCACCACCACCAACCGACCGCCCCCGACCCCCTACCCGCCGCCGGCGCTACAGAGCACGTTCGACGACGACGACGACGACAGCAGCGACGACCAGCAGGCTGGCGCCCGCAGGCGCCGCCTCTCCGCGCTGGCCAAGGTGTTCCGGCGGGACTCGGCGTCGCTCTTCCGGGCGTCTGCGTCGACGGCGGGGTCGGGGGGCTCGGAGGCGTCCGTGCGGTGGTGGCAGCAGCAGCCGCTGCAGCAGGGGCAGTCGCGCGACGTGGGGGGAGGGGAGGAGGTAAAGGTGGAGGAGGGGAGGGCGGGAGAGGATGACGACCAAGGGGGGGAGGGGGGAGTAAAAGGGAAGGGGCGACGCGGCACGGAGAAGGAGAAAAAGTCCAAGGCGAAGATCAAGAAGACGAACACGGTAACAAGCACGACGTCGAGCACCAGCACCACCAGCATGCGCCGCTTCGGCCTCGCAGCCCTCTCAGCCAGGGGCAGGCGGCGGATTTCGGAGCTGGCGGCGCGGACGGGCGAGATGGCGCGGCAGGCCGCCGGGCTGAGGAGCCCGGAGGAAGTGCGGCGGGAGACGCTCAAGAGGCGGATCCGCGTCGTCGAGGTGAGGGGCGAGCACTGCCAATACAACCAGGCGCCGCCGCCTCCGCCTCCGCCTCCGCCGCCCACGCCGATGCCGATGTCCCCGCTGCAGCATGGACGGCCGCCACCGTTGCGACCGGCGGAGCGGCCGCCGTCGAGGAAGGATGGGTTGAGTTGGTTGTAAACGGGGAATGAAAGAGGTGGAGGGGCGGCTACGATGGTGTTGGAGTCGGGCTTTCCCCTTTTTCTTAAGAGACTATAACTTGATAGTGAGCCTGGCCTGGGACCCCAGGCCAGAGTCTCAGGGAGGCGTCTCCGCCCACATGTGGCACCGGCAGCCTACCGATTAATGGTCACGAATGGGAAGTTTGGCACAAATACCATAGTGTACTTGCGAAGGTCGCAGGGGAATCATCGCCGTTACATCATAAACATATTAATTAGGTGGTTGTGCTCATTTCCCAAGAGCGTGAGCGTGTCTCAAGTAGCCGGAATGGTATCTCTGCGGAACTCCATCCGAACCTCCATCCATCTCGCTGGTCCGCCAGGGTGCTCCCTGATCATTACCTCTGGCTTCAAAATTCGTCTATGCCCACCATCCTTCCTAGCCACCTTAAATTTGCCCCAACTGGTAGATGATTGGTCCTCCCTTATCCCAAAGTACACCTGAAATCCAGACCCAACAGTCCAGGCACCGAGGTAAGACACAGTTAAAAAGAATTAAAATAAAAGGGCCGAACCAATTCCCTCCCCTCGGGGGCCCGCCCTCAGCAGAAGAACCTGTACACCTTCTTCCACCTGGGCCAGTAGCGCTTCTCCTCGACCTCCTGTGCCAGCAGGATGGGCAGGTTGAAGTCCCTCCGGCCGGTGTCGATGTCCATGTCCTCGATGCGCACGATGCTGGTGCGGAACCAGAGCTTGTGGGCCAGCCAGAAGACGACGACGATGGGCACGGCCATGTACTCGAGGAAGAAGCTCTTGGCGACGGCGCCGGGCGTGCGGGGGTCGTCGGGCCCGCCCGTCACGACGGGCCAGGCGGCGATCCAGAACTGCGACACCAGCACGAGCACGTTGAACGAGAAGCCGATCCACGACCCCACCACGCCCGCCTGCGCCCGGAACGCCAGCTCGTCGAGCGACCGGCCGCGCGCGGCCCATGCCTTGCGGAAGCGGATGTGCGCCAGGCAGATGCTGCCCCACGTGAAGATGGACGACAGGCCCGACACGGCGAGCAGCCAGCCGAGCACGTCGGATTGCTCGTCGATGTCGGTCAGGTAGGCGAGGAAGCCGAGGCTGGACGCCACGAGGATCGCCACCAGCGGCCGCCCGCGCCGGTCCACGTAGCTCAGCACCCTCGGCGCCTGCCCCTGGTCCGCCAGGGCCGCCAGCGTGCGCGAGCTGCCGAACACGGCGCTGTTGCCGACCGACATGACCGCCACTAGGATGACGCTGTTCATGACGCTCGGCAGCACGCCGATCCCGGCGCTCTCGATGGCGATGACGAACGGCGACGCCGACGCGTCCACGATGCTCTTGGCCCCCAGCAGCCGCGGCTCCGTGTACGGGACCAGGAGCCCGACCAGCGTCAGCGACACAATGTAGAAGAGCGAGATGCGCCAGAACACCTGCTTGATCGCCGTGGGCAGCGACTTGCGCGGGTTCGCCGTCTCCGCCGCCGCGAGCCCCACCAGCTCCGTGCCGGCGAACGCGAACGCCGCCGTCACGAACACGGAGCAGAGGCCCTTGATGCCGTGGTGGAACGCCCCCGGGTTCTGCCAGTACTTGCCGCCGATGTACCCCTCGTTCTGGGTCCCGCCGATGTTGATGACGATGCCGAGGAGGCTGGGCCCGTGGTCAGTTGTGTAGAGCGGGAGAGTATGAGGGTAAACCCCCTTATCAGGCAAATATGGTCCCACTCACATGAAGCCCACCACGGCGGTCACCTTGATGATGGCAAAGACAAACTCGGCCTCGCCGTAGCCCTTGACGCCGAAAAGGTTGATGGTGATGGTGATGACGAGAAAAATAGTGACAAATATGGCTCTATCGATGGTGGCGTTCCAGTATCCAATGGTTATGGCCGCCGCCATGATCTCCAGGGGCAAGACGACCAGCCACTGCAATGCGTAACTTTGTCCCCGTTAGCCTTTTCGATTTCCTCTCTATAACAAGCGGTACAGCGAAGAAGTTGATCTCGCAAGCTGGAGGGGGGGAACGACGCTTACTTCCACCCCATGGCAAAGCCCCAAGCCGGATCCAGGAACCTAGTCGAGAAGGCCGAGAAGGAGCCGGCAACGGGGAACACGACGGCCAGCTCGCCGAGAGCCTGGACGGTGCAGTACAGCATCACGCCGATGAAGGTATACGCTATCAAGACCGACGCCGGCCCGCCGAGGAAGAGCGCCTTGCCGGAGGCGACGAACAGGCCGGTACCTGGTGTGGATCATGCCATGTTAGCCACGGAAAAAGCAAACATCATTGATGCTGCAGCGGGTCGGCGCATGGGTGGCTGTGCGCCACACAAGGGTAAAACATTTAATGGAGAACAATTGGATTCTTCATCCAAAGAGAATCAAGACTAGGGGTGGGAGAAAGTGGGAAAAGCCTCTCACCAATTGAGCCTCCGATGGCAATCATCTGCAAGTGTCTCCCCTTGAGCTCCCTCGACAGCATGGTATTCGCGGTGCCCAGGTTGGCGGCGTGCAGGTCGAAGTAGTGGGCGCCGCGATGGCGACCCCCCGAGGCGGCCGAGCTCCTCCTGTCCATGGGACCGCCCATCCCGTCCCGGCGGTGGTCCGCCCGCTTAGCTCGGCTGTTGGGGTCCCTCCGGAAGCCCTCGACCCAGCGGCCGAAGGGCGACACCGGCCCCCGCCGCCGGCCCGGCGCATCGTAGCCCGCATCCCGCATGCTCCAGGTGCTCCCCTGCGCCAGCGAATCCTCCTTTCCGGTCAAGACGTTCAACTCGATATCTGGCTGCATCGCGCGCGGAGCGGGCAGTAGGTGTGGGATGTCGTCGTCTCTCCGGGCACCGCCCTGCCGCGATGCGAAGGTGTGCTTCCTCCCCCCGGTCTGGGTTTTCTAGAGTCTAGCCGATATATGCCACCCCGCCGCACGTCGCTGGTGTCGTCGGGGCTGCTGATGTGCCTGTCGCAATCCACCGTCGCAATCGGCCGTCAAGGTTCTGCGTGTGCGCTGTCGGTCGTCGTTGTAGTCTTTACGTCTGGTCGGGCGAGCTGCGTGGCGAATCTGGGGGGCGCGAATTCATCCTCTCAGGAGGTTCTGTGGTAAGGTCACCGGTCCGTAGGGGTCTCGCACCATTGGCAAAAGCAAAAATATACGGCTTGTTTGCTGGATCAGATCGTGCTGACGCAGTCGCGCAAAGAGTAGAGAGGTAAGGAGAATACACCGGTGGTCGATTTGGCTAGCACCGACCCGCTGTTAGGAGGACCACCCGCCCGAGGTCCATTATACGCCTGGACTATAATAGACTCCAGATGGAGGCCGCAAAGACGCAGCTTATCAAACACCTCTATCAAAGTCTCAATGCTCTTCCGTTCTATCTAAGCCAAACACATTGCCCGACTCCGTTAAATATTCGGTCCAGTTGTTCAAAAAATCAAAGAAAAAATCCTATCCAAGACTGCTTAGCAGGTACCTTCCCACCTACAACGTAGCTTCGCTTACCCCAGAGCCTCTTGCAAGGTAGTTGGGTCAAAGTGGGTGGGTGGGACGAGATTCGCTGCTGGAGTCCCATTGGACGCATGGCAAACCAGGTGAGGCGAGCACATCGCGCGCAGGCCAGGGACAGAAAAGACGAGTTGGAATATCCTGAACGGTGCCTTGATACGCTGGAATTCGCATGTAACCTAAGCATCGGGAATTAACCCGGTGGGACAACAACTTGGACCATGGGCTCGGTGGCACGAGCCCCAGTTACAATACGGGAAATGCAATCATCTGGCCCGGCTTTTCAATTTGGAAATCCCCCAGTTTCCTCCTTGTAAGCAAGCCCTTTGTCCGGGAACCTCGATAGCCGAGTATGGACTTCTTACATAGTGGCTATATCATCCCCTCTTATGGTTCGACCGGAACACTCAGATCGGCCGCCCGGCCTCCATAGCCGAGGCAGCAGGAAGGTCGTGACGACAGCAGGATTATTCAATTGCCAACTTGTCTCGCCCTGAGCCAACCGAGGTTTGGGAAGCGGCGATGATCTGCAGATCGATCCTATTACATAGCTGGGGTTGAGACTGTGGGGTTGGGCGGCCATTGGTCTACATACTGGGATTCGATTCCGTGCATATTGCGGGTCCATGCGGATACCTCACCCAATACCCACCTCCGATAACAGGATGGACTTCAAATATGCAAGACATGAGAGCGGATCATGCAGTTTGCTTCAACTTCCAATTCCAATTTCTCGAGCTGGTTCTTTAGCCCTTCTGTAGGTAGACGGCATCCCACCGTTGCATATTACCTAATCTTTCCGTCCCTTGAACTAGCTCCTTGAGATTCAGTTGAAACTCCAACTCATGTCCAATCTCGAGCTCGGCGTCCCAAGCTGTCGTTTACGTGTTGTATACAAAGAAGCAGCCTGACTCCCGCCATTTTTCAACCAAGTAAAACGATAGCCGAGGCTTGACGATGCTTTCTTGGACCATCAATGCAATCCGGAAGACCCCCTCACGTGATATACCGGGGGTTCTTCTCAACCCTCGGCAACGATATTTCCGTCCTTGTCCCTGGGTTTCCGCTTCCACCCCGTGGAGAACAACTGGCCCATATCGAACCTCGGGAACGGATGTGCCTCGGTGTTGATGACGACCTTGTCGAGCGGGAGCAGGTCGTCAGGGGAGAACAGCAGGTAGAAGTACTTGAGCGTCTCCGCGAGCCAGAAGCTCTCCATGTTATCCCTGGGCATCGGCGGGACGATGTTGGCGTTGGATAGCGAGGTGAACCCGCCCCCGTTGTCGACGGCGGTGTGCTTCATGAAGCTCTTGAACATCTCCCAGCCCCACTCGCGATACTTTGTCTCCCCCGTGATCCGCCACATGTAAAACAGGCTCTCGACCGTCTCCGGCCGTTGCAGGTTATGGCTGTCCATGGGCTTGACGTCGAAATCCTGCCGCCATTGCGCGTAGGGGTCCGGGTCGAAGTCGGCAGGAGCCGAGTGTGGGGCGGATTCGGCCAGTGGCGGATTGCCAATGTTGAAATAAGTGATCTCAGCCGCAAGCCCAGTCGCCATGTACTTGTACATGCCCCAGCACGTGTGCATCAGCTCCCGCGCGAGTTGCATGTCTGCGTCATTCCGCTTGGTCCAGGTTGGGAGCTTCCTGGCCTCCTTCTCGGGCAGGCCGCCCGTGGCCCCCAGCGCAATCGAGCCGGGCATGAAGCAGACCAGGTGGTCCATCTTCGGCGACAGCTCATAGTCCAAGCCACTTGGCCGCTCACCGATGATGGTAAAGCGGGATGGCTCGGTATACGTGACGAGGTGCTTCCTGACCCCATCAAGGGCTTCGTGCCACATTTCCTTGTACACCGGCTCCTTCTCGTTTGTTTGGAAATACTGCTTGATGAGATACTCGTAGTAAGAATCACCGCGGCTGCCTAGTCGGATGTTATTCCCCCTGAATTTCCCGTCCGTGGCATATATGTAGATGGGAACCAAGCCGTCCTTGGCACCGTTGTCGTCAACCACCTGCATCACCTTCTCCGCTTTGTCCCAGAAGAGCTTCTCGCCCGTAAGTTTCGCAAGGTACTTGAGCTCCAGCTGCAACGTGGTAGTCTCCGCGGTCGACGACGCGCCCATGTCGGCGTGTGAGGGTATGCCTTTGAACTGGGCCAGATTGACGCTAGCATACGGCACTCCCGACGGCGACTCAAACGCCGACAACAGCCGGTTTGCCAGATCAGTGGCCTTCTCCAGGTACAGATCCTCTCCTGGCGCTCCGGGGTTATCGTCAGCTATCGGGGCGAGGTCCGGATACTCGTTTGAGAGATAGTGTGCTGACAGCAAGCCGCCCAGCATCCGGATGGTAGTCTCAAACGTATTCACGTCCTGGTCCTGATCCCAGGTCAGGGATTGGGAAATCCATTCTCTTGCGTGCGACAGTCGGGATGTAAGGTTCATTAACATTAGCGTGTCCAATGAATCAATGATAATCCACCCCAAGCCCTTCGGCGCCATATATGTCCCCGTTTTTTGTATGGGGTGGAATTCGTCTTGACCTATGCGAGTCGTTCAGTCAGTAAAGCTCCCCTGCGGCGAAACCCTCGGATTTCTCTGCTTACCCCACGCATAGCGCTCGTAAGCATCCCAACTGAGCTCGAAGGCCTCGACAACCCGTTCTCTTCTCTTTGACCAGTCCACCTTGCCCCCCTTTGCTTCTGCTTCCTCCTCTGCCTTTAGCCATCCCCACCGGGACAAGGACGAAACAGCCCTCTCGTGGCGGTCCCTGAAGGTGCCTGAATACCACAGGAACACCAGGCAAAGCAGTGTGAGCAGCCCCAGGACCCTCTTCTTCCTGTACAGCGGGCGGGCCCGCTTGGAGGGCGCGTACGCGTACGGCTTGTCCTTGTACATGGGCAGGGCGTTTCTGTCGGGGTTGAGGATTCCGCCCACCCTGTTCTGCACACCTCCCAGCAGTCCTCCGGCGGACTGGCCGCCGCGGGGTCCCCCGGTAGAGCGAGCGGTAGCGCCGGAAGAGGGCCACAGCTGGTCCTCGACTAATCTCTGCGGGTTCGCAAACGACGGCACGTTCTTCGGCACGGCGAATGACATGTCCTCGACGGCTTGCCTGCCCTTCTCTAGCGCATTGGTGCCGACCTCGACGGCCTTCTCGCGGATGCCGGCGGCTGCCTGGGTTGCGGTGAGTCGGAGGACGTTGAATGCGGCGGAATTGCTGTTTCGGTGTAGATCGAAGGGATCTCGGACGTTCATTGAGCTGCCACTGGGGTCCGGTGCATCGCGAGCCGAGTACGTGGGCAGCTTTCGTAAGGATAGATGACAACGACAAAGACGGGAGTAAGGGCACACGAACAATGCAATGTCAGCTCCAGCAGTCAAGACCTCCCCAGTAAAATCCGGTAAGGGATGGAAGGAAGCAATCCAAAAAAGGTACAAGAATTAGAAAGTGCAGTGAGCAATCAAGGCGCCAAAGGCTTGGCGTTCGCAGGGAAAAGGACAGTTGGAGAAAAAGCTTGGACCAACGACGAACTACACTATGTAGCACACTTATAGGTACCTCTGTGACTTCAGAGTCTGAAGTCTGAGGAAGGTAAGGCACCTATTTAGCTGGCCTGAAGCCTATTTCAGCTTGAAAATCTGCATGTATCCACTGTTTTCAGTAATGCTACATTTCCTACCATCTCGCTCGCAATCTTTGTAAAACGAATCGAAAAAGGGATGTTGCATCCGCTCCTTAGCAGTCTTCATCTTTTCAGGCAACCACTGGAGCATGCCAGAAGCAAAGTCAAGAAATGCTTCTTTCTCATCGCCAGCTAGTTCCGTGACGGTATCTGCCAACTTCTTCCCTCCCCCAAGAAGGTCCCTGAGGAGAATTTGGTCTGTCATAGGGCAGCGTGTAAGTTATTCCATATTTCTGCTGAGATTTCCGATTTTGGTGTTGTGACTTACTATCGTCGTCAAAAAAGGGACCGCCCCAGAACTCATTCATGTTCTTGCACTCCTTCCCGCGCGGATTTATGACTGGCCTCTTGAGCTGGTGTTCGCGAAAAAGTCGCTCCCTCTTGACCAGCTCCTCAGGCGGATCTCCCAGGAGAGACACCATCTGGGCAAGATGGACATGCGCATCGTATTCGCCATCTTCGCCAGCAGGCCGGTCAAACAGGTTAATGTCTTCTAGAAAATTCCACATCTGGTGATATTAGTATTGTCAAGCTAGGGAGACAAAATGCAGCTAAGGAATATTTTGCTTACAAGAAGACCAAGATTCCAGATTCCAGATATCAACACTAGACGACCATGGGCAGCCAAGCAGTACCTCCGGGGCACGGAACCGGTGAGATTGGATGGCAGAAAATGGCCAAGGTCCCCATCTCGTCTAGGGAAGGCAAGGTCGAAATCAGCCAGCCGAGGCAACAGTCTGGGGCCTCGCAAAGGACCAAAGTTGCCTTGTGAGAGGTAGATCTCGCGGCTATCCTTGGTTCGGACGTGCCTAGGTTGGGGATTCCTCTTGTGAAAATTGACAAAGTCAGCTAAGACAGCGTCATTTTCAATGGTCACCATAATGTTGTCGTCCTTGATATCTGCCAGGCTACAGTTAGCATCAAGTTCAGAAAGGTGTTGCAACGCCATACCTGTATGGATGAGACGGCACTCTGTATGCAAATAATCTGGAGCTTCAAGGAAACAGTAGATGAAAAACTTGACAAGGGTAGTGCCAATCTTTGTCGCTTCAATCTATGCTGAAGCTGAAAAAGTCTCTCTCTCATTGGCTCATAAACAAGACAGAAGTGTGTTCCTTATGGTCCTTTCAACTGAAATTCATCGACAGGCGTCTGGATGAACGAATGACCCTCGTGTGATGGCTTAGCGTTGGCGATAAGCTTCGAAGTCATGGTCTCTCGAGATGCATCTATATCAAGAGCTGCGATTTTGACGCTGACATAGCGAGGAACCAACGACTTCCTCCGTTTTTTGCTGATATAAATGTCAGGCTAAGTGGTTGGGCAGACAGACTAAATGAGACACAGCTTACAATTTGAGATTCTCTGCCAACCAAACAGTAGAGCCAGCGCCGAAACCGAGTTTGGCAATCGTCTTGAATCTACCATCTAGTACCTCCCCAGGCTGCGTCGGGTGGAAATACCTCAGCCGATCGCCCGGGAACAACTCCTCTTCGATAGGTTCATTCATCGATCATGTGAGCCATTGATCCGAGCTGGGAGACTGAGACGCGCAAGTGCCAAAGAGCCGACAATCTCCGGGGCCGTTTCTGCCAGGTAAGTCGCAGCTTTGGAATCGTTATTATGGCCATCATCTTCAAGGGACGGCCCTCCAGCTGTATTTGAGCATTATTCGACTCCTGGATGTCCAGGTCTCACCAGCTTGCACGCCCATTGGGGTGTTTGGACCTTTTTAAGTTAATTCGTCTGATCCAAGTCTCAAGTCTCAACCGCGATGGTATCAGGGAGAGCGTGTCTCGGTTGCCCACCCGCGTCACGTAGTCACGTGGGTCCCGAAACTCATGCCCCTGGCCGCTCGAGTCCTTGATCAACATCTGTACATTCAGTTTGTTCAAGTTACCCAACCCCGCCCTTGTCCAACAGGCTGTTATTCCCGGCACATTAGAGACCGAGAATCCAGCAAACCCAAGCCACATAGACGGGAGAATAGCTCAGATATGAGGCCACAGGCTTCGGGTGATGAATGACGGCGGAACTAAAAGTTATTATATTATTCCATCTATGTCCAAATTTCCAACATATATTTCTCGCCAGGGGAATGAAGTCAAGCTCAAGTTGGAGCCGGTGTCTAACGCCGTGTGTAGTCGACCCAGTGTATTCTCAACGCCGTGAAATGCTGAAACATCGCTCATCCCATAACCCTTTTGACCCTCCAGCGCCGTTTATTTTTATGCGCCGTATCTCTGTCAACACTCTCCGGTGCTCGATACTGTTCCACAACCACAACCACGCAAGGGATCGTTGGACAAGGAATGGTCCCCAGTTCCAAGTGACCACCACAGGGTCTCGGGGCCCAGAAAAACAAATTTAACACCCGACACCTAGAATAACAAGACTCGGGCCATCCAAGCTTTGAGGCTTCGTATATCCGCTCGGTGGTCAGCAGAACCCAACAGACTGGCGAGATGGGGTCGGCCGCATTGCTGCTCTAAATCATTCCTCAAAATAATTCGACTTCTGAGAAATTCGATACGGAACGGGTTGTTGGGGTCGGCTTTGACTATTCTAAGCCAACCCGTGTGTTCGGTCCCAGACGCCCTCGGGTTTTATGCAAGAACCCGACACAGGTATCACAGCGACCGGCACAAAAGGGGTAGGGATCGAGCTTCATCATCGAGTCTCCGCTATCAATCGAGCGCAAACTCGGACTTCGGTATCGTCGGGTTTGTCGGGGACACTGTATGTAGGCGATGGTGCACCAGATAACCGAGGTTCAAACGTATAGGAAGCCGCAGCACAACGCCGCAGAAACGATGAGGCCCCAGTATAGCCCAGTACGGCCGACGGAACTGTCTTGCTGGTAGCTCCGCCAACAATTCCCGCTGCCGACAGACCCGGAGTTGGTGGCCGGACAGTCGTAATGGGCGAAATTTGGAGGCTCAAGGCAGTGGGGCGATTCGCAGGGCTGACCCGTTTGACCAAATCCGGTACAGTTGATGTCCACTCCGTTGGCTATCAGGTCTTGATCGGTTCGATAACTGGGAACACCGTCACTTCCCATAGCGTACGTGTTAGATCTGTACAAAAAGCCCCAGGATGCTGCCGGCGAGAACCGCGGGTCGTAAGGCGGAGTGGCGTTGATGTAGGTGAGATTGATGAAGAGGCCGGTGGAGGCACAGCTGGCGTTCATAAACCGTTCGTCCCCATCGGGGTTGTCGATCTCGCCCAGAATCTGGGTGAGCCAAGTGCCAGAGGCGGTACCAAGCGGATGAAATCCCAGACTCGCCCAGCCATGATGCCTGCTCGGTTTCCCAGTCTTGTTGGATGATTGGCAGCCATTTGTCGTCTGATACCACTTCTTCCCATTATTGTAATCGCAGGCAAGTTTGGACTGCCAAGTAAGCTGGCCCAAGTCAAATACCGGCGGACGTAGCGAGCCGTTTTTGGCTTGGGTTATCGTGTCCGCAAATAGAGCCTTCTCCTTGTCGGTCACCCATTCAGGGATTGGGGGAGAGTCGAACGAGATGGAGGAATTCAGGCGGCATGAATAGGATCTCGAACAGGCGTTGATGTTGGCTTTCTCGCAGACACATGAGTAGTCGGGAAGGGCACTTGCGGCTAACAAGAAGATAAACAAGACGACGGCCGCGACGTATGACATTGTCTTGGCCTTGAGGAATTTTCGAGGAAAACCTCGTCGGCGAGGGCCTCAGCTTTGGGTGTGGGACACGAGACCATGGGGAATTTACAACCGCCACGTGCAGGAGGAGTAGATACGGGGGGAAGACATTATTTGCTCATGTTCGGTACAGCATGCATCAAGAAGCAAGAAGCCAGAGGCCAGAAGCTAGAAGCAAGAAGCCAGAAAGCAGGAAGGATTCGGTGCGATTGCCGACACTGATCGACTGGAGAACGCCATGCAGCGGAGATCAGGTGTCTCATTTCTCCCCAGGCACGGCAGCGAAGACGTACATACCATAGTAGAAGGCTAGACCCCCCCCATGGGCCTGACAAACTGAACGGTGCAACCACTTTCAGTGTCCCGCATGCTAAATGTCGGAGGCTGAGCCGCAAGGGATGGCATTTGTCCGATGTGAAATGGATTCACAGCAGGGGCAGCGGTCTAGAACGCGGTCCGCAGTCCTAAGCTCAGCTTTCTTAAGAGCGCGACAGGGATCCTGTTTGGATGCCAAGGGGGTACCCTGTCAGTCCTGAATGCGGTGCCCCTGTTACTTTTGGTACAACGAAGTAATCCGGAGTCTTTCCCCCTTGGGATTATGTGTACACACACTACTTCGAAGGCAGCCAAATAGGACGGGACGGGCTGTGTCTGGTAATAACCTAGTTTAAGTCTGATATAATCGATGTATCCGTAGTACTGCTTTCAGGAAGGAACCACCCGACACTAGTGTGCGCTACCTAGGACCCCTACTATATACATAAGATTTACAAGTACATATTGTGGTACCGCTTATCCTTGTGCAGTAGGCTGAGGCTGTTCCTCGGTCCACCAGGGTCTAGACCATTTCATCCAGCTACTATAGGCAGGTAGGTGCAATTCTAGCTTAATTACGTAACCAAGATATTCTTACCACGCACGCAGTATGTATGGATTACATTCATACAAAATAAAGGCCCGTCTATGCGGACAGCTCGATCTCCTCATCTCCCCGGCCGGACTTATTGCCCCGCCCCAGACGCCGATATCCTCTATACCTGTAAAACACACATCGCAAAACCGTCCTGGTGACAAAAAACCCCACAGCCATAGCACCCAAGAACCCAACCAGGTACCCAACTGCCTCGCCCGTGTTGTTGCCTATATATCCAAAGACGTGGTTGTCCCAGTTGTCCCACGTACCGCCCCTCTCCTGCGTGAAAAACACCCAGGAAGCAGCGCCGGGCCGCATATCCATCATTACGCGGGTCAGCGGCGGCGCGTCCTTGGGTAGCTGCGCGTGATATTTCTCCCACACGACAGTCTCGAACCACTGCCCGGTCGCGTAGCTGATGGTGATGTACGGGAATGGGTAATTCCACGCGTAGGATATGAGGGAGTCGGTCAAGAGGATCCAGAACGCGTGGTTCGGCTGAGCTCCAAGGATGTTGTTGCTCAGGGCACCGTGGCCACCATCGGTGACCCAGGCCGGGTAGTAGAGGAGCGGTTCGAGGTTCTTAAGGCAGCCCTAAATAGCGGGGGAGGGGTGGTCAGTCCACGAAATGGATCCAGGATTTAGAGAGCCGAGGAGACAGTCTTTCTCACATTGTCAAGATCGAGGTATATCCCGCCGTAATGGCGCATAAAGAAGTATCGAAGAGAGTCGATCTTCTGGACGGGAAACTTGAAGTTGTCGTAGGTGCTCAGAAACCAGCGATATTCGGTCTCTATGAAGTCGCGCGACGATTTCTCTGTCCACAACTGCAAGGCACGTCAGCATCAATAACTAGTCACGGCATTGGATGACAAACAAGAAGTCCCGAACCTTGTATTCCCAATCCGGGTTCAGAGAAATGCATGTATGGCGCACTTTCTCCCAGTCGGATGGCAGAGTTTCGTTATTTGGGTCATTCCAATTGTGGAAGATCTGGTGAATGATCTTTGGGACAACTTGCGATCGTGGATCGGGGTCGGTGGAGTTGTGGGCGATGGCGACCTCATCTTGAGTCAAGGCAACACCAGCATGCTCGCGGAAGATGCGGGAGAAGACGGCGATGCGCGTTAATACGTAGCCGGAAAGCAGAATCAAGAGAAACAAAAGCAGAGCGGCAGTGAGGCGCTTGACGGATGGGCGTGTCATGTCTGTCGTCGGAGGCGCACGGGGATGGCGACAATCTCAGCTGTTGCGACAGCTGAAGCCCCGGAAGAGACTGATGGCCGTAGAGAATAAAAGTAGGGGCAGTTTCCCTATAGCGCGGCGATGTAATCCTATTGAACCCAGGGGTTCCCAATCCACGGGAGTACATCCATCATCTTTGATATGTTGCAAGGCTGATACTGATACGGGTTAGTATCACGACAGCGAGGTATGTCCCAAAATGTTAGCGCACAAGGCACCGCCCGGGCTGAAGTGTCGGTATACGCCTACGTCTCATGCCGCGTAGCACAGACCCAGCAGAGTGGTGCAGAAGCGAACCACATTTATTGAGGTACCAAGGTACTTTGCAGGGCGTGCCCGGCAAATCCACCTTTAAAGAGATCCGCTCAGGGGCAATTGGCGTGGGGGTTGTGTGCGCAGATGGAACTCTGGGATACCCAGTGTCAGATGACATTTTCAGTGCCCTGGTCCAAGAATAAACTTCAACAATTCCTGGATTTATTCCATACCTAGCTGTGTTCTGGTCTGTCAGTCGAAGCATATGACGTCACAGCTATTCTCCCGGGGTCTGTGAGTGAGAATGTCGGGGCCCACTGCGCAAGTCTCGATGTTAAGTCCTGGGAATCGGAATCCAGATGTCCGTGGTCGCCGTTCCGGTCGGAAGAGATGGGAGTCGGAGAACCTGAGGCGGGGTCGAAAGAGCGCCGGGGTCGGAATAGGTAGTAGACCACCATAGGTCGGTAGATCGGAACCCTAGTTTATTGTACCTCAACCAGCCACGCCACAGAGGTTGGGTATCGGGTAGAAATGCTAAATAATGTTGGGCGTGATTTCTTACTGGCGGATCTGAGACACGCAATCTTGATCGATTTCAAGTAACGCCGAGGGTTCAACATTCCAGAGCTGCAATCCGGCCGCATTAGCTCTTCTCTCCCCAAAGGTGGCGCCGGACGGATCAGGAGCCAGGTGCCACAGCATGGCTGGCGTCAAACGGAGCTCGGAATTCCACAACTACCCGTTTTTAAACGGAGAGGAGTTTGCCGAAATCTGCCACCACCTCGACAGCAAGTATCGCCAAGCGACCTTGGGCCCCGTGAGGCGGCAGTGGAGACTGAGAGTGTGCGCCGCACTCAGCACATCCTTCACTCTGGACACAGAGTACAGCACATACATCCAGGTCGTCCGCCCTCTGGACGGCGAGCTTGACGATGGCGACCTTTCTTCCCAGCTCGATAGGGTGACTCTCGACCCGGGACGGGATGCCGAGATGATGGGGCCTGTGGAAGAGGATCGCGAGATGCTCGAGGCTGAGGAGGCTGACAATGTATGTAATTTCACCTAGCTGCAAAAGCCTACACTGCCTCACACTCGTTCCCAGTCGGCACTACGAACACAACCACCCAAGCCAACGCTTGGATACGTCACATATGAGATACACCTCCACCCAACATACAGGGGCCCATGCCTGTGGTTCACTCTACATGGTCTCCCGGCAGACGAACCAGCTTTCAATATCGACACTGTTTTCAGGCGGCTAGTGCCAGATCAATACAAGGACGGCCTCCTAGCTGCTGGCGCAATAGGGGGTATATCGGCAGATGTAAGCCCTTTATGCTGCCAATAAGTTAACTAAGACTCTGAAAGTCCAGGTCTAGACTAACAAACCACATTCAGCATCACCCAATTACAGGTGTTCCCACTTTCTTCGTCCACCCCTGCCTCCTTGGTGAGGCCATGTCGAATTTCGACTGCTCTAAGGAGGACTATCTGATGCTGTGGTTGGGCCTCGTGGGCGGATGCGTAGGGCTCTGGGTGCCCAAGGAGATGGCTCTTGACCATGGTGAACCGAGATAAACCACGGCCACCACCGTTTCGGTCCTGCAGAGGCAGAACTCGTGGGTATCACTCATCCTCGCTGTCTTCCTCCATAGCCACGTCTGAATCGCTCTCCTCCTCCTCCTCCTCCTCCTCCTCCTCGTTTTCCTCTCTCGGCCGTTTCATGCCTCGGCTTTCAGGCGTCCCAGCATCAGCCATGGCCTGGTCACCGCCTGCAGGCGGCCTGGACGGGAGGTCGTGGGTTGTAGAGGAACCGCCTCTGGGGACGGGAGCATTAAATATGCTCTGCTGGAGATCTGTGATATCGACTGGGGCAGTAGCACCAGTTGTCATTCTGAAGGTGCCGTCGAGTTTGGCGACAATATTGGACTTTGACTTGGCATATGTGATTTTCTGCGCCCTTGTCAGCTTATCTGTGCGGTGGCTCGCAACAATAGACGTAGACATACCATCGGCCGGCCAAAGAACTCAAAACCATCCAAGGACCTCATGGCCTGAGTGGATGTTTGAATATCGCGATAGACAATATGTGCCTGGCCTCGCATTTTGGTTGTCTTCAGCGCAACAACATCAAGGACTGGACCGTGTGTCGAGAAGAGCAGGTACAGAGCCGTCCTGATATCGTCCTTCTGAATCTTTGCCGAGGGTAGGTTGGTAACATAGAGACTAGATTGGGCCTTGTCAGTCCACGCAAATGGGATGGTCGAGGTGACGGGATCGGATGCTCACGTCTGGTTTGGAGGGATTGATTGCACTTTGGCGGGCAATCCAGCCGGAGGAGGTCGCGTGGAAGTTGCCGCCATTGTCATGCACTGGATATATCGGTGTGCAGATTGGGCAGAGGTTTGAGATTCGACGGCGAAGGTGACTTGCTGGGATGTTGTCCGTCGCGTGGAGGTTCGGTCGCCCGTTCAGTCCTTCAGTTCCTGGACGCAACTTTTTTTGGCGTGTGGTGGTACGTGCCACCTCAGCCTTGCCAACCCCGCCGTCTCATAGACCTAGCCTCCAACCCAAAGGGCATTACTCCGCATTACGCAAGTCTTCCACAACCGACCTACCTAGGTACCTGTGTGAATAACTCCATTTCTCTGAAATTCGAGCGATAGTAGAGAGCTACTCCTATCGCAACTTCTTCATCGCCAAAATGCCGCAGTCCGAAGTCCACCACCTCTTCCACAACCCCATCGCCGACCACTCCTTCTCTGCCGATCGCAAGACCCTCGCCATTGCTCGCGACTCAACAGTTGAACTGTATGGCCGGGTTGGAAATGCCTTCAAGCTCAAGGACCAACTCAAAGGCCATGACAAGACTGTAACCAGTGTCGATATTGCCCCCAGTTCCGGGCGCATTGTGACATGCTCGCAAGGTTCGTTATAGCACCCCCCTTCGCCGCCTGAGGAACATACTGATCGCCGAGGACAGACCGGAACGCATTGGTCTGGGAACCCTCGCCTCAGGGCTACAAACCAACCCTCGTCCTCCTCCGAATCAATCGGGCCGCCACATTCGTGCGCTGGTCTCCATCGGAGGCCAAGTTTGCCGTCGGCTCTGGCGACAGGGTTATCGCCGTCTGCTACTTCGAGGACGAGAACGATTGGTGGGTCTCCAAGCACTTGAAGAAGCCTATCAAGAGCACTATCACCACGGTGGCCTGGCATCCGAACTCGGTCCTCCTTGCCGCTGGCTCTACGGACGCCCATGCGAGAGTCTTCTCCAGCTTCATTAAGGGGGTCGACTCTAGGCCGGATCCTGGAGTCTGGGGTGAGAGGCTCCCGTTCAACACCGTGTGTGGCGAGTACTTGAATAACTCGGCTGGCTGGGTTCATGCCGTGTCATTCTCTCCGAGCGGCGATGCCTTGGCCTTTGCTGCCCACGATAGCAGCATTACAGTTGTCTATCCCAACGGCCCCGATCAGCCCCCTAGGGCGATCATAAGCATCAGCACCCAGCTTCTGCCTTTCATGAGCCTCATCTGGAATGGAGAGGCTGAGATCATTGCTGCCGGCTACGATTGTGAGGCATTCCGCTTCCAAGGCGGACCGGGAGGCTGGCAGCTGAGTGGAACCCTGGAATCCAAGGGAAGACCAGGGTTGGGCGATGCTCGCGAAGAGTCGGCCTTCAACATGTTCAAGCAGATGGACCTCAAGGGCAAGACCAAGGATGATACCCAACTCAAAACTGTCCACCAAAACACAATCACAATGATCCGGCCTTACGAATATTCCCGTGACTCTGTCACCAAGTTCAGCTGTAAGTGGAGACTCCCTGCCATCTTTGGTGACATGTCCCAAGGTACTAACAAAACAATGTAGCAAGCGGTGTGGATGGAAGGCTCGTCGTTTGGGACACATAGACAAGCCATAGAACCCGATACAATGAATAATCAGAGTGATTCTGGTATCTGAAACAGCCATGATCATACCTACAACGTCTTGATTCGTCTTTCCCTGCAAGTTTGAAGCTCTGGTCCCTAACAATAGCGTGTCATCGATGGATGGAAGCGTCTGGCTGACACCGTCAACAGCCATTGTCCTTGGGACTGCTTAAATACACCCATATGTAATGTCCCCTAGAAATGGGATTCCTCGCCCAACACGACCTTGATCCCCGATTTCACACAAACATTGGCTGTCAGATCCCAATGTCCTCTCCTGAATCTCCGAGCCGATTCATCTACGAGTCCAGGTCTGTCACTCCGACCCTAGGAAGTGGGAATCGCCGTCCTAGTGCAGGCGCATTCGGCATCAATATGAGCGACCGCCCAATTTTCCATCCGCCGGCCTTTGGCTCACCCTGGCAACCAGCAGTCCTTCATAATTACAGACATCCGCTGGATGGTTTTCCGGAGCCCCGGGTTGTCGAACTGGGACAAGGGCAGCCAGGCCGGATCACAGAGTTGCCCGCGATCAGCCTGTTCGACAACTCACTTTGGGCCGCCGGCTTGGAATCTCGTGACGATTGTGTCAGCCCTCGATCACAAGTGCCGTCTGGCGTACCTGGTCGGCGCCCTCTTGCAAACCAGGAACCCATTCCTTCCGAGACCCAGCGCGAGACGCCTGCCAGCGGAGGATTCGCACTAAGCCAAGCGGAGATGGTCCAGATGGTCCTTCCGCCGCTCCGGCCACGGCCCAGAACCGGCACGGCCGTGACGGTGATATCCATCAGCGAGGATGGCCTTTCCACCAAGAGCAGCACGGATTGGACTCTAGTCTCCACACCCTCGCTTCCAGCCCTGACTCACTCGACCATCACTATCAAGACCATCCAGGACATCTGCCTCGAAGCCACCCAGAAGTACCTGCAAGCCCACCAACCCAACCGGCACCCTCGCGCTTGCGAGCGGCACCACGTGCCGGCGACGAGAAGCCAGGGAAGGCAGGACCGGCGATTCTATCCCTATCCAACCACCCAGCGACGATTCCCGCCCGCGCCGCCGCCGCCGGGCCGGGCCAGCGACAGACCCGACGACCACGGCACCTCGCGAGCCGCAAGACCGACCGCCGGCCAGCAGCGAGCCTCGCGCGGCGTCCGGCCGCCCGCCTGCCCTACCAGCCGGACCTCCTTCGCGGACGAGCCGTTCGCGGGGACAGGCACCCGGCGCTACTTGCGCCATGGCGACGACTACGAGCACGACGGTAACGGCAACGGCGACGCCGACCACCACTCCTGCCCCTGGAATTGCCACTGCCACTGCTGCCACGACAGTGACCACCCTCCCCCTACCCCCGACTCGGACTCGGACTCGGACTCGGACTCGGCCTCCCTCCTCGCCAACGCAGGCGCCATTAGCGCGCTCCTGTGGCAACAGGCCCATGGCCAGCGGCCGGGCGCTACCACTGACACTGCCTATGCCGAGGCCGCCGTCGTGCACATGAGCGACCTGCTGCAGTGGGCCGTCTGCGTCTCAGGCGCGGTCGCCGGAACCGCTGCTGCCGCCGCCGCCGTCGTCGTCATCCCGGACAGGTTTTTCGAGTCGGCGAGACGGCTTTGCGATTTCTTGGGGGATCGGGAGGCGGTTGCGGCTGTGGTTGGGCTGGAGAGGGGCGTTGCGGCGGGGGTTGGTGGTGGTGGTGGGGTGAAGGGGGGGGTGGACGAGGATGGGGATGAGGGTGGTGGGAGCTGGGCGGTTTGAGATGCGACTTTGGAGTTGGTGGGGGGATGTCTACCTAGTTGTGGAGTTTTTGACCGGGGGCAGGAAGGGCACTTGGGGTGTGATTTCTCAGGGGGTGAGAAGTGAGGGTGAGAGCCAGCTGGATTACATTGGCCGAAGGGATTTGCGGAAAAGGGGTTGGCTTACGGAAACACCGATTCTGAAGACAATCTCAGAGGCAGGCGTGGATATTCCCTGCAGGATAGAATTCCCAGAGACTTTTATTTGGGCCATATTCCGACAGGAAATTGACATACCCCTAGGATCTGACCGAGACTCGGAGTTTCCAGAGCCATGACCTAAATTCTATCTGCAACCCGTTCTACACCACGTTTAAGGCAATTTTCCAAGTGAAAACAAAACCAAGACTCAAAAAAAAGTAAATACAAGAAAAAGAGGAATTTCAACGAGCCAACTTGACAGGATCAAAACAGCCCGTATCAAGTGGACCGGGAGTTGTGGATGTCCAAGACCAAGATGTCTGTTGCACCAACCTCAGACAACCGGTCCATCACCGTTGCGATCTGTTTCGTCTCAACCATGGCGCTCACCGCGACCCACCCATCCTCTTCTAGGGACGTGATTGTCGGCGCGCGCTTGCCAGGCGTGATATCTGTGGCCTCCTTCAGCCGTGCCCGCTCTATATTGTATTGGCACAGGCAGTATTTCTGGGCCGTGATAACGCCACGTATACGTGACGCAATCAGCTCGACCAGGGCCGGATTGCTGGGTGCCTTGGACTTGATCAGAATCGCCTGGGATTCAAGGACTGTGTCAATGGGCTTCAACCCGGCAGCCTTCATTGTCTCGCCCGACTCTGTGGGAAGCAAAGGGGTCAGCGTTTTCCCGGACACTCGCGGAGGGGAGGGGGGAATAGGGGCAAATAACTAACCAACGAGGTCCACAATTCCACCAGCAACACCCAAGGCGCACGCTGCCTCAACGCTCCCACTGAGCTCGATGATCTTAGACCTCAGCTTCCGAGGTGCAAGGCTCTGCGCCGCGTCGCTGTTAGCGACCGCCGTCTGCCCCTGCTCCTGCTTCTGCTCCGGGTCCTGCTCCTGCTCCAAGCGGGCAAAGTACTCCCGGGTGACGTGGACGAAACTGGTACCGATGTTCTTGCCAATCAAGTCCTTCGTTGTTGTGTATGCCCCCTTCTGCGGCACTTGGACCTGCAGCTTGCACTTGCCGAATCCGAGTTCGAGGACTGTCTCGCAGCCGCGGGGCTTCAATGCTTGTTCCACATTCCAATCCCCGCTCATGCGCCGGGCTCCCGGCGAGGCGCGGACGCCGGCATCGTGCTCTTGAACCTGGTCGGAACCGGTTATGCCAAGATCTACACGGCCCTCGCCGACGAAGGTCGGAATGTCGGCGGCGGGAAGGAAGATGAGAGCGATGGGCAGGTTTTTAACTAGGGCGATATCCAACCGGTTCTCGCGTCTGAACTGGATGTCGGCGCCTTCGAGAAGATTGAGCGAGGCCTGCAGCAGCCGGCCCTCTGAGGGAGGGTGTCAGCGCGTCGGTAGTTTCTTGTATTCAATCTCGGTGACTCACTCTTCGGCACGGCGAACAGCAGGCGGCCCTCTAGGCTTTCCCCCAGGGTTAGCCGTCATAAAAACAATGCGAGGTGCCGCGTGGGTAGGAACGGATGAAATTGGGGTTTAAAGGCAGTACTGGGTGGAAGACCAACTGATTCACCAGATCCATCGCTGGTTGCTAGTCACGGCAAAAGGTTGGGCGAGGGGTTGCGAACGAGCGATATCGGAGTTCAGGGGCGTGTGAGCCCTGTGAGGGTTGTTACAGAGCAGAAGAATCCGTCGACTGAGTTGTCTGTCCAATATGTCGTTAGCGAACAAGGTAGATGTTCAGGAAGCAAGAGGCAATGACACCGGTGTGCAGAAGTCGGTGAGGTGTATTTATGGCCGAAACAGGTGGGGGTATATAGGTGGGATGGAGGGGCAGCTGCCAATATTGGGCGCCAGAGGAAGAAGGTACAGCCCGTTGAGACCGGATTAATCTGGTGATGCAACGGGTCAATTGGAGAGGAGGTATCATTTTCTTACCGTATATACTCCGTACAAGCTTCGAACCAAATTCGTTTTGCGCGGGGTTGCTCGAAGTTTGGAACTTTGAAGCTTGGAGATCTCGAACTTGACTAAAAAAAAAGACCGTCACAGAGGAGCCCAATGGTAAGCATGGCGGGGTTGTGGTTGGCCATCAGATCTGGTACCCGCAAATTTTAGCATCCCGAAAGCCTCGTCCAGGCACGGATGATTGGATACTCGGGTACCTAATGAGATGAATAATTTATTGGTGCGATCCGACGTCCAACCTATACGCAGACAACCTCAGATGACGTTGGGCAGCGATTTCAATATCTCCTTGAGAATGCTGCCACAGTCGACACCGATTCATTGGACGTATCTAGGTACCTAGTTATGTACCGTACATTACAATGTAAGGTATTATCTGTACCTACCTACCAGGAATGCAGGTGGAAACCGCCAATAGAATTGGCCGAGGTGTTATTGGTTGGACTGAAGGCTGTCCTGGTGTGTAGGGTGTCTCTTATACATGAAGGCCTCTAACTTGAGAAGGCAATGGCATTTGGATGCCCTCATATTTGAGACGAGCATAAGTCCAAATCCCAAGGTCCAGTCCGCGTCCTGGAATAAGATGACTCGACCCACAGCCAAGTTCTTGGAGGGGTCTTGGACCAGAGACTTGGCCAGTGTAAGAGGAGATAAGTCCCAGCCGCCCAGTGGGAGACGCGATACGAGGGTCTTATGCAAGCTATCTGCTTGAGTGGAAGGCACGTCACAGCCTAGTGATTCCGAGCCCCCTTTTATCGCAGCCCTTGCTGATACCTGGTCCGATAACGTTTACTATTGTAGCCACATATCCCATAATACTCCATTGCGATATATATTCCTTTCCCAGCCCGCGTTCGGGACGATTACCAAGGTTACCTCTCCCACACTTCTCGACTGCCAACCTGGCCCGAGCAATTCACCTCCAGAAAGCCAAATGCAGCGCGATTAACATACGCCAGTAAGCACATGGGCTTGAGCTCAAGTCAAATGGCCAATCACAGATTCTAATACCATCCACCTTCGCAGGCAGCCTTGCGATGCGAATTCAGCCAGCTTTCGCATCCGCCAACACACGAACACACGCCGAAGGGGGGGAACCGAGCGAGGCTTCCATTTGACCGGGGCGGCTGGTTGGGCAGAGTACCAAAGGGTTGAGCAGACGGCCCGGATGGGTGTCACGCGACCGACGACGACGAACATACGCTCATCCTCGAGGAGGATCCTGCCAAAATGTCGGCCTGGATCGGTCAGCCCTCGGTGAAGGGCAGCTCCGAGATGATGCGCATGGTACTTCTGACCTTCAACTCGGTTGGCATAACGTCCATTCATTCCGCCCTCTGCCACCAAAGCCCATCGCTGACAAGTCTTCTGTAGCTTCACATGGGGAGTTGAGCTCACTTGTAAGTCAATGGACCCCACATACCCGTGACATTCCAATTGGGGCGGGACCCGGAGCTGACAGTCCTTCATCCAGATGGCACTCCCTACCTCCTTTCTCTCGGCTTGACGAAAGGGCAGACGTCGCTCGTATGGATAGCTGGTCCACTATCGGGTTTGGTGGTGCAGCCGATCATCGGCGCCATTTCAGACCAGTCCACGTCAAAATGGGGACGAAGGCGGCCGGTCATTGCCATAGCGTCGATAATAGTGTCCTGTTGCCTACTTATGCTCGGGTTCACCAAGGAGCTGGTGGGCTATTTCATTGCCGACGAGGAGGCCGCCAGGGTCCCCGTTATCGCCATTACCGTCTTTGCCTTGTATGCCACGGATTTCTCCATCAACGCTGGTGAGCATGCCCCGCCAGGCCGAGTCGAATGAGTTAGCCACTAACCGAGATGGCGCCTAGTCATGTCCTGTTCCAGGAGTCTCATAGTGGACACACTGCCCGTACATAAGCAGCAAACGGGCGCGGCATGGGGTGAGTTCCCCCGGAACCGCGTAATGGCCATGTGCGTGTATATGCTGACACGGGAGGGAAAGCGAACCGAATGTCTTCCATCGGCCACATTGCCGGCTACGGCATGGGTGCAATTGACCTTGTCAGCTTGTTCGGGACCACACTCGGAGATACCCAGTTTAAGCAGCTCACGGTCATCGCGGCTCTCGGGATGCTGATCACTTCCGGGGTCACCTGCTGGGCTGTCTCCGAGCGTGTTGCGCTCCCGACACGACACGATCCCCGAAAGCCGCAACGGCGATTCAAGGTCCTCCACCAGATCTGGTCGACCCTGTCGAACCTGCCGCCCAGGATACAGGCCATATGCTGGGCCGTCTTCTGGTCCTGGATAGGGTGGTTTCCCTTCCTCGTCTACAGCAGCACCTGGGTGGGCGAGACCTACTTCCGCTACGACGTCCCCGAAGATGCCAGGCACAGCGAGGACGCGCTGGGGGAGATGGGGCGGATAGGGAGCATGGCGCTCACGGTCTACAGCGCCGTCACCTTCCTTGGCGCGTGGATCCTCCCGCTGTTCGTCAAGGGCCCCGACGAAGACAGCTTCACGCCCCGTCCGCCGGCGAGCATCGCGCACCTGGTCGAGAAGTTCAACAAGCTCAAGCCCGACCTCCTCACGGTCTGGGTGTGGGGTCACATCATATTCTCGGCGGCCATGTCGCTCGCGCCCTTCGCGGCCAGCTTCCGCTCCGCGACGGCGCTCGTCGCCATCTGCGGGCTGCCGTGGACCATCTGCCACTGGGCGCCCACGGCCTTCCTTGGCATGGAGGTCAACAAGCTGAGCGGCGGCGGCGGCGGCGTCGACCCCAGCCCCATCGTCCCCTACCGCCGCCTCTCGGTCGGCTCGAGCATCGAGCTGATCCCCCGGCCGCGCGACCCCTCGCTCCTCGAGCACGGTGGCCCGGACGAGCCCGGGTCCGCGGGGGCGGCATCGGCCACGGGCGAGCTGTCGGGCATCTACTTTGGCATCCTCAACATCTACACGACGCTGCCGCAGTTCCTCGGCACCTTCCTCAGCGCCATCGTCTTCGCCGTCCTCGACCCGGGCAAGAGCCCCGAGCTGACGGACGGCGCCACCGCCCCGGAGCCACACGGCCCCGACACCGAGGGCCCCAACGCCATCGCCGTCTGCCTGTTCCTCGGCGCCATCTGCACCCTCGGCGCGGCTTACTCGACCCGCCAGCTGAGGTACGTGGCTTGATTGTCGGGATCCGTGGGGTGCGAGCCTCGGGCTATGAGCAGTGGTGCGTGCCGCCCTGGTGTTCCAGTTTCCAGTATAATATACGCTTGCACGGCATGCTTAGTTAATTAGAGGCGGGATAGACTCACTTGGCGTCGCGAGGGCTTGTGTACAATAGAGTTAGAGACAGTTTTGGCATATCGCGGCGGGGCGAACATGGGTGGTGTTTTGTGTCTAAGACCAGCCGCTCTTGTAATACAGAATTGGTTTTTAGGCCTTCACTCCCCGAACGCATGTGATGTGACGTACGGATTACATCTCGAAAGTCCCGTCTATATATGTTAGTAGGTATATAGATGGTCCCGTGTAGAACAACCGTTGGCATGGGGATTTCCCACCCTGCCCCGCGCTTTCAATGAGGATATCAGCGGGCTGCATTCATGGAGTACGCATGTAACCATAACCTGCCTATACCAACGAAATGGAACCGAATTACGGCCTATCTCGATCCCTGCCAAAGGCAGCATGCTCCGGCTTTAGGGCACGTTCGACTAGTCTAATAGGAGGCAACTGTTGGGAGAGTTCGCGGTCTTTCACCGACTTTCAGCATCCGCTTGATATATTGGACAATCTGGAACCTACTGGATATAACGCTGACCATTTCTAGAAACATGGTGTAAAACGCGCCACAGAACACCACAGAATGCAGACCAGGCCATCCAGACACCGAAAATGCATGCCCAGCACGTGAATACACAACCATAAAAAGAACCGGGAGATTTAACACAATCAGATATCATCCTCCACCATGCCCAATATATCCAATTCCGTCCGGACCATGCGCTCGAACTCCTCCCGATCGATGCCCGATGCCCGCGAGAGCAGGAAGAGGCTCCTAATGCTCCTCGAAACGTGCTGCTTGACGCCGAACTCGCCCTGCTCCCGCCTCCCGGCCGCCTCCTCGAGCTTGGCGACCGACAGCGACCCGTTGGAGCTGGCGCTGGAGGCCGGCCGGGGGTGCACGAGGACCGCAGCCCGCTCTTCCTCCTCTGCCCGGCGGGAAGACTCCGAGAGGGACCTCGGCCGGGGGTCCGGCTGCGTCCCGGCACCGCCGTTTGCCTCGTCGGGGTCGGCCGGATCGAGACTGCCGTTTGATCTCGATGCCGAGGGCCTGGCGAGCCCCAGGGGGGGTTGGGATTGGGCCTGCGCGACCTGGTGCTCGTCGGGGTCGTCGTTGTCCATGGCCGGCTGGACCGAGTCGTATTGCGCGTAGTATGCGTCCTCCGCGGATGTGCTCCGGTTTGGGTTCGATTGCGCCGCTTGCGGCGCGGGCGATCTTTTGGTGGCCGGCGTGCGTGCAGGCGTTGCGTCGTACCGTGCCCAATAGTCGTCGTCGTCTTCGTCTTCGTCGCCGTCTTCCTCGCTCGATTCGGGTTCATACAGCCTGTTGGCGCCGTTTGCCTTCGGTGGCTGACTGCTTGGACTAGAAGCCTCGAACTGCCGCTCGGCCTCGTCGACGCTTGTCTGGCCGCCGAACAACGAGAGGATAGACGGATCACTTGCGACGCCGACCTCACCTACCCTCCACCCATCGCCGCCCCCCTCTTTATCCCCTACGCAATATACGAGGCGGAAGAAGAGATCGAATGCCTCAAGGACGACTAAGGCGTGGAGGGTCTCCTTATCCAGCCTTTGAAATCTAAGTTGGGCATCATAGTCCCAGTCAACCTCGATCTCCCCGGAGACGGGATGCGGCTCCAGCGTTCCACGCTGGGCGATCTCGGTCAGCTTGGGGACCTTGGAAGTGTCATAAGACAGAAGACGAAGCCACGGATCCGTGCTGGAGGAGGATAATAACTGGACGCGCTGTCTGAGTATAGGCGAGAGCAGCGGCAGTATTATGGGAGCGGGCTGCGTTGACAGTGCCGCAGCTGGCAGAGTAGCTAAGACGGGAGCCACGATAGCTCTCACATCGGGCGGGCTGATGCTGGACGAGCTAACGGCGATAGCCATGGTGTGATTTCGAAGTTCGTGAGCGACCTTCTCTGCTGTTCCCTTCTTGTCCAGTCTGGGTTGCTGTTGGCAGCCTGGGGGGAGAAGGATCACATGTGCCGGCTGCAGCTGACTCCTGTAAGTGGGTCCTCGAGGGCGCCTAATCGTTCGAGTTCTTCAGTGAAATGACAAGGTGCAGCCAGATGATCTTTCAGAGGCGATTCTCGGGTTCGTAAAGGCAGATTGGCACTGAGAGCAGACGCGACTTGAAAGGAAAAAGAGAGGGAGGTTCCATGTTAATCCATAATGTATGGGGTCGCGGCATCTCCACTTGGGAGGCAGTGGAGTGGGCTAGGCCGTGCCCCTCGTGAGAGCACAATTCCCATCCTCCGCCACTAGCCTTACTCGGACGGATGGAGCCAATTAACAGCTGCCGCTTCCACCCCATGCTGTCATTGCTTGAAACCAAGCACTCGGCAATGCGGATGTGATACGCTGAGCGGGCTGAGGATGGCCATGGCCTAATTAATGGTTGCGGCTTCTAGATTGCTAAAGCCTAACCCTATTGCTATGTATCTCTCACTGGACAGCAGGCGTTAGCATTGACCTCAATCCTACATAATAGCGGCCGGGCTGAAGTCCCCGTTCTGCGAACGCCATTACGCGTAAAGTAAAGGCAGGCCGCCTTCGCTCAGATAGGAGCTGCTGCTTGGACCTGTTGGCTAGGTAGGTGCCTAAGCGAGCTAAAATATCCAACAAGCCGTATAGATTAGCGGTCTTTAACCAAAATAACGGGCTGCTCAAATGTAAACAACCACCTGAGGGAGCCTGGGGTGATGTCAAGGGTTCAAGACTCTGGTTTCCTTCCAGAATTCGAAGGGTCTGTAGCTAACCAGAAGTGGCAAGCTTGCAATGCTGAACCGTCCCAAGCCGCAGCTCTGGTGCAGTAGTGCAGTGCGTGGAGAGCCGATCCCGCCAATACCCTAGCTCCCTGCAGTCAGGCACTCCCTAGCAATGGCGTCACTAGAATTTATTGATTCGATTGGGATTTCAAAGACATCAATCCCTTCACGATAAGCCGTGCTGCAGCAATTTTGGGGCCACGAACTACAAACTGTCGCCCCGAAGCCTAAATCTTCTTAGCTTTGCAGGCGACATCATGGGCTGTGGATTGGCATCGACGTTGCAGCCAGTCCATTAAACCTTCGCCGACCCAGCTGGACGCTCGCCAAACGTACAGCAAAGGCCTTGCTCTAGTAGGATACGTCACGACCAACCAGCACCACTAAATCCCGACCTCCATCGGGAATAGGAACTGGATGGCATGTTAGGGAAAGGCGAACACCTCAAGGACGAGGGCTCAAGGCTCCAGGTCGTCGCCGCGGGGGCAACGGCCGGGCTGATCTCGCGGTTTGTTGGCCCTTACCATGCCTGCCACGGTCTCCATCGGGGCCAAAGCTAACCAGCACTCTTCATCCTCTCGCCCGCAGATTCGTCGTCGCCCCACTTGACGTTGTCAAGATCCGCCTCCAACTCCAGACTCACTCGCTCTCGGACCCGCGGTCCCACAAGGATCTCAACGGCGGGCCGATCTACAAGGGCACCATCCCGACCATCCGACACATCCTCCGACATGAAGGCCTGACGGGTCTGTGGAAGGGCAACGTCCCCGCGGAGCTGATGTACGTCTGCTACAGCGCCATACAGTTCACCACGTACCGCTCGGCAACCCTGTTGCTGCACCGCGCCTTCGGGGAGGGCCGCCTCCCGCACGCCGCCGAGTCCTTCATCGCCGGCGCCGCCGGCGGCGCCACCGCCACGGCCTCGACCTACCCGCTCGACCTGCTCCGCACGAGGTTCGCCGCCCAGGGCAACGACCGCGTGTACCCCAGCCTGAGGCGGGCCATCCTGACCATCAAGCGGGACGAGGGGTTCCGTGGCTTCTTCAGGGGCCTGGGCCCGGCGCTGGGGCAGATCGTCCCGTTCATGGGCACCTTCTTCGCCGTGTACGAGTCGCTGCGCCTGCCGCTGGGCCGCCTCGAGCTGCCGTTCGGGAGCGGCGACGCCACGGCCGGCGTCATGGCGTCCGTGATCGCGAAGACGTGCACGTTCCCCCTCGACCTGGTCCGGAAGCGGATCCAGGTCCAGGGCCCCACGAGGTCGAAGTATGTCCACAAGAACATCCCCGAATACCGGGGGACCGTGCGGACCGTGCAGATGATTCTGGCTACCGAGGGCATCAGGGGTCTGTATAGGGGCTTGACCGTCAGTCTTTTCAAGGCCGCGCCGGCGAGCGCGGTCACCATGTGGACCTATGAGCAGGCGTTGAAGTTTTATGTCGGCGTTGGGGAGAAAATAGACGATGGCTCCTTCATGGGTTAGATTATGTATGCAATGTAGGAACTAGGAACTATTATAGAGAGTAATGCCACTAATCTCACGGGGCCGAGTTCCTAGCCGTCCCCTCTACGACTTTATTTGCGAGGTCAAAGTAGCTGTGATGCAGCCCCGGCTTCGCTGGGATTTAAATCTGTTGTTGCATTGGCTGTCCACATAGAAAATTCCTCTATAGTCGGCGCCAGTATGATACATGCTTCGCCATGACACTGCGCTCCCTCGTGCCAAACAGGAGGGGCAAGATGGAGAGGCTCATTTATTTTTTCAACTCCTTTCCCATCTTCCCTATCCGAAATTCCACTCTATTTCCCCTTCCTAACCCACCCCTCCACCGTCTCCCTCGCATCGACGACCGTCTCGTCCACCTTCCGCACGGCAAGATCGGCATGGACCTTGACAAAGCGCACGCCCGTCTCTACGCCCTCCCGCGCCCGCTTATGCGCGTCCGCCACGGCAGGGAAGCGCTGCTCGTACCGCCACGCAAGCTCCGACACATTGCCCATGGTGACCGGCAGGACGACCCACGCGGCGCCGAGGCCGAGGGCCAGGGGCGCGGCGGCGCGGACGACGACCCCGCGGCGGCGCGACACCACGGTGCCGGCCATGGCGGCGACGAGCACGTACACGAGCCCTGGGACAAGGCGCTCGCCCGACTCGCGCGGCGGCGCCAGAGACGCGACAGTGCCCGTGAACGACCGCTCCAGGTCAAAGGCCCGGTCCATGGCCGCGTTGACCGCGTCCTCGGCCCGGCTGGCCTGCCCGTGTAGGAAGAGCCGGGCCACGCGGATCTGCGCCGCAAGGCGGTCCGTCGGTGTCGGGCGGCGGTGGGAGGGGGCGGGGCCTGCTGCTGCTGTCGCTGCTGGGGCGGGGGGGGGGAGGACGTGGGCGAGGACCCCGTCTTCGGGTGATGCTGGTGGCGCTGATGGGTTGGACTTGGCGGGGGCGGCGTCGAGGTCGTCGTAGTCGTAGATGGGCTTCTTGGACTGTGTGACGGAAGAGGTTAGACAGGTGTGTGTATTGACGGTTCGTTAACCTTGAAATGCAGAGAGGAAACCTAAAAGGGCACGGAGATGAGGGTGAGGGGAAACTAACCCGATAGTCTGTTGGAGCCTCGGCGTGTGCTACTGATGGGTAGAGCACAATGCCTCCTGCCAGCAGGGTCGCCGTCAACGGGGCCACGGCGCGCTAGGACCTCGTCAGCTTCTTTCTCGGGGGAGGCGTAAAAAGCCAATTGGAATCTGCGGAGCTAGTCTCACCCGTTGCAGCAGCACTCTTGCAGCCATTGTCGTCTCAGGGGGCGATTGTTTGGAAAGAATGGAGGGCGGACGGGGGGTAGTTGTCTGATGATGGCTCTCGACGTCGCTCGGTTATTTCCGGTATCTCGGATTTTTCTCCCCAATGGTTTATTTTCGGGCGATGCCGTCAGCCTTGCAGGAAGCTACCTTATTACCTAATCCACGTCGCCCCGCCCTCCAATCATTATCCTAGTCCGGTTGCACCGTCAACCCCCCTTCCTCAGTTTGACCCCTTTTACAAGGGAAACTGACGATTTTTCTACATTGATTTGATGCTAACTGATTGAGAGTTTTGGCCTGGTAAATATCTGGCTCTGCCTGTCCACATGTTAAGTCGACCGATTGAGATTTATCGCGCTTCCATCGCCAAGATCCTCACCTAGCTCGCCGGCTGTGAGGTCACCCTTGCTTACGATGTTATCCAATCCCCTATCAGCCCACCGAACGGCGACTTGATGATACTTCAAGACGCTTGAACTTTTAGGTCGCCCCGACCTCGCGGCCCGCTTGCAGCATGTCAATTTGGCAATGTGATGGGCATGTCTTTGCGGCTCGGCAACGTGCAGCTATTCAGCAGTATCCTCGACCAGACCAGCGCGGCCATGCATGAGGTGATGCACCGCAACACCGTCGAATACGCCCAGATTGACGACCCTGACGTGGATGACAAGCAGAGCGTGAAACACACCTCGTGCATGTTTGTAGAATTCGGTACAAATCCAACCCAAGTTGCAAGTGGCAGGATGGCGGGGCAGTTCTACTGTGGTGCACCAGGTCGCTCTGCAACCGCGTTCTCTGCACCGAGATGACTAGCAGTGGCCTTCTCAAAATGTCAGCTACTAAGCGAGCAAAAGATGAGACAGGGAGGTGTATGAACGCGCTCAATCCAGAGGACTTCATCAGGTTTCTTCGGGTCCGGAAAGCTGTCAACAATGACGCCGTTCACAAGCTCCGTATCTTTCTCAAAACCCTCCCCCAGGCTGAAAGTGGCTTCCACGTTCATCCGGAAACCCGGAATGTTAGAAACTAGTGATAGAATGGCATATAGGAGCTGCAGCAAGTTTCTGGCAAACCGGGGTTTCTGTCGAGGTAACGAAGCTCAGAGGTGGATGGTCAACATCTTCTAGAGATGCCCACCCGCGCCTTATGTGTATTATCACTCGCTAAATCTTTGCCTCCTTTAGTACTAACGTTGTGCATAGCATCCCGCATCAGGGCCAATCCCTCCCCTGCCCCTAGCTTTAATGGTATTGAGGTGGACTCTTCCGACAATGTGCCAGAGCTACAGCTGCCAGAGTATGTTCTTAACGAAGACAACGGCAAGGAGAAGAGAGTGAGAGACTAGGCAGCTGGCGAGGAAGCTGGTGGTAAGCAAGCTAAGCGATTGGGGTGAAGCGGCTGGTAAGGGAGTAGATTGGCCAGTCAGGAGGCACCTAGCCTATGTGCAATCCATCGACGAGTCCCCGCCAGGAGTTGATTCCGGCCAGCAGACGTGGCGTGGTCATCGAGAGGCTTCAGAGAAAGGACATTGTAACCATCTCTGAACCGGGCTCCCCTCCATTTCTCGGACATGGCGACGAGCTCGGCGTCGGATGGGAGTGGAGGAAGCCCCGGAGTAAATTACAGTTCGGCAGGGACGGGGGAAGGTGGGTCTTGATCGCGCTAAGTAGCCTTTTTAAGCACCGACAGCCCCACTCTTCTTAGTTCCTGCCGAGCCGTAACCGGTACGCGTTTTTTAGCCTCCCATTTTCGAAAATGCGACTTTCATAATGCATTGACTAGGTTAAGCTTCTTTCTTATCGAGTATCATGCTCCGATCTGCCCGGCCCCGGTCCTGGGTTTGCTCCGCCTGCCTCTCCCGGCGGGCACCCCGGGTTCCTCAACGGCGCTGGCTCCAAATAGCACCTGGAGTAGTGAATCGAGAACATGGCTCGAACCCGATCGATCATTCCCCTCCCGGACAGCGGATTGAGGACTCGATTCTGCGCCAGATCTTCGATTCGCCCTCGGTCTGGAAGGCCTTCTCCAAGGCGCACGGGCACAAGAATGTTGGGCTGTTCAGGAACGCATACCTCACCGGGCCGGAAGGGTTCCGATCATTTGCCCGCGTGAGCTTGCGAAGGGCGCGGAAGATTGTCGACAAGGTTCTAAACGCCTCCAGTGTGAACGACTACCGAGCCATCGTGAGGGACCTGGACCGGCTGAGCGATATCCTCTGCCGGATCCTTGACATGGCAGACTTTGTGCGGGTGACACACCCAGATCCGAAGATACAGCAGGCAGCGTCGGAAGCCTGGGCCCTTGTCTATCAATACATGAACGAGCTCAACACGACGACCGGACTGAACGACCAGCTAGGCAAGGCAATGGACAATAAGGAGGTCACGGCGGCATGGACGGAAGAGGAGATGACTGTGGCCCAGATACTCAAGCTGGATTTCATGAAGTCGGCAGTCAACCTTCCAAAGCATTCGAGAGACCGATTTGTCCACCTCTCGCAACGCATTAGCGAGGTGGGATCTGCCTTCATGGAAGAAATGGCGCCGGAGCAGAGGCAGCTCGTGCTTCCGAGTAGCAAGTTCCAAGGGATGGACCCGATGATGGCGAGAAATTTCACAAGGCGGGGCTATTTATATCTTCCTTCGATGAGCTCCGAGGCGGCTGTTGCGCTGCGCAGTGTCCATGATCCAGAAACGAGGAAAGCGATCTACTATGCAACGAGGACTGCATCAAGCAGATCGGTCAACACTCTGGAGAGCACGTTGAAGCTACGCGCCGAGCTCGCGAAACTGTCTGGATTTGAGAGTTACGCCCATATGGCTCTTCGGGACAGGATGATGGCCAAATCCCCCGAATCCGTGAATCAGTTCCTTTCAGCCCTGGCTAAGAATAACGCCCCCATCGCCCGACGAGAGGTGGCGGATCTCCTCGAGGAAAAACAGAAGCATAATCCCTCTGCCGCGGGCGTTTTAGAACCATGGGATAAGGACTATTATGCGGAGAGCATTCGGCGTTCACTAAAAACCAGGCTCAGGCGAGATGATTTCCTGCCCGCCTATTTCTCACTGGGGACAGTGATGCAAGGTCTGTCGAGAATCTTCACCCGGCTCTACGGCATTCGGTTTGTATCCAAAGAAACGCTACCGGGAGAGACGTGGCACCCAGATGTGCGTCGCCTTGACGTGGTATCCGACACCGACGGACACGTTGCTGTCCTATACTGCGACTTGTTCTATAGAGAGGACAAGTCCCCGAATCCGGCCCACTTCACGGTGCGCTGCTCCCGCGAGATCTCGCGGGACGAGGTTGTAGAAGCAGCTGCCGAGCCGGGAGAAGACCCGGAACTCCCTGCCTTCGAGACCCCGGAGGAGGCGGCAAATGATGGGATGGCGCTGTCGATGCAGGACGGCACTTTAAGACAGTTGCCCACGATTGCGCTCGTATGCGATTTCCCGCAGACCACGGCCTCGGAGAACCGCCCGGCTCTTCTTAGCTTCTTCCAGATGGAGACGCTGTTCCACGAGATGGGACACGCCATCCACTCGATCCTCGCCAGGACATCGCTACAGAACGTTGCAGGAACGAGGTGTGCCACGGACCTGGCGGAGCTGCCGTCCACGCTGATGGAATACTTCGCTGCTGACCCGACGGTCCTTGCCCTGTTCGCCTGCCATCACGAGACCGACGAGCCGCTACCCTACGACCTGGTCGCCGAGAGGCTCCGCCTCTCCAAGAGATTCGAGGGCTCGGACACGGAGAACCAGATCGTCCTCGCCATGCTAGACCAGGAACTACACTCGTCCCGCGCCCTGGAGCCGGGCTTCGACTCGACGGCCATCTACCACGGCATCCAGCGGGCGCACGGCAACACGCCCGCGGACGCGCCGGGGACGAGGTGGCAGGGCTTCTTCGGGCACCTCGTCGGCTACGGCAGCACGTACTACAGTTACCTCTTCGACCGGGTGCTGGCGGAGCACGTCTGGCGCGTCGTCTTCGCCTCGGGCCGCGGCGGCGCCGCCCTCGACCGCGCCAACGGCGAGCGGCTCAAGGAGAACCTCCTCAGGTGGGGCGGCAGCCGCGACCCCTGGCGCTGCCTCGCCGGGACGCTGCGCGACGAGAGGGTCGCTGACGGGGATGAGAAGGCCATGGCCCTTGTTGGGAGCTGGGGGACCAGCAGTACCTTTAAGGAGTGAGGGTAGCAGCTATCTATGTAACATACTCTGTTCTATACTCTGCCCTGTAACGTAATGGCAGCATGGCCTTGAGCATTTAGGGGTTGAAGTGGGGCGATGGAGGTGCATCACAACTTCACAAGTGCCCGTACATCAATCAACATGCATGCAAGTAGTTGTTGCAGTTTGGGGAGTTTTGATCACTATGGCTCCTTTTCAACCTAAAGTAGCCATTGGTCCATGAACCACTATGTGGCATAGATCAACCACAATGGAAGTCATCGTCCTTGTCAATAACACCCTCCCTCTGCATCCCCTGGAGGATCCAACAGGTAAGTTGAACCCACCAGTGCCGCGACCATGCGGGGCATTCGTCATCTCCTCCTCATGGCCCCGCCACCAGCCGCCCCGGTGCCGCCCCTGTCGGCAAGCGACACCACCTCGCCGATGCCCGCGGCCTCCTGCTCGTCCTCGAGAGCCGTGATCTCCTCCCTGCAGTCCCACCACTTCTCCTCGCTCAGCTCAAAGGCCTTCGACTTGATCTCCTTGACCGTCAGGGACTCGGGCTGGATGCCCTTCCAGCGCAGGCTCGTGATCAGGACCTCCTGCCACTCATTGGTGGTGCGTTGGAAAAATTCTCGTCGGGACTCGAAGGGCTGGGGGTTTTCATGTCCGTCAGCACTAGGCAACTCAATACCGCCATTGATCGGGGTTAGATCGGCGGAGGGGAGGAGGGAAGAGAAATGATGGCCGCGAGAGAATCAAAATGAGCGAAAACGGAGACATACCCTCGGGTGGGGCAGGCCATCATCAACAGTAGTTGCTGTAGTGTCCGCCTCCCACTCTTCTTCGGAGCCTGCCACCGACGGCGTCGTGGGCTCGGAAGAATCAGCTGTGGACACCTCGTCCGCACGCTTCTTGTTGCGCTTGCTGGGAGACATCAGCTGTCGCACCTCCTCGTCCGCCATCTGGACATCGCCGTCTTCATCCTCTTCCTCCTCATCCTCATCTTCTTCATCTTCTTCATCTTCGTCATCTTCATCCTCATCCTCGGACGCCTGTTGCATCAGATTAGCAAAGAAGAGCTCCCTTCCCGGTGAAATAACCCGCCGAGAAGGCATCATTTGGGGGCGAGAGTTATGGCTTACAATCCAGTCCTCGACCGGACGGCTGAATATCTCCTTGCAGCCGTCCAGCTTGCCGAGGTCGACGGCATACAGGTCGTCAAAGGTAAACTCCCGATCCCCCTTCTCAAAGGTGCCACCGTAGATGTAAAGCACATCGTCCTGCACCGCCAGCTGCGCGTTGAACCTCGGGTGCGGCAGCTCCATGGAGACAGGCATCTCCCGCACCGGCTTCTCGTCTTCCCCGCCGCCGGGCACGCCCCCCTCCTTCCCGCCGCCCACGTCATCCTCCTCCGCATCATCCGGATCCTCCGCCCCAGCCCGCAGCGCAGCCAGGCCCCTCAGCAGCTCCTCCTCATTCGCGGCCGCCCTACCCCTGCGCCCACCGCCGCCGCCGCCGCCCCGCCCCCCACCTTCCCCGGCCTTCTTCTGCGCCCGCGGCTTGCGCAGTGCCAGCGGGAAGAAGCGGTTCCGCTCGACGTTCCACGCAAACAGGCCGTTGAAGAACTCGCTGTCCATGCCCTCCTCCCCCTGCTCGACGTCGTGCACCCCGCCGAACAGCACCCCGCGTCCCCGGTGGAAGGTCATGGTGGCGCCCGCGCGGCTCGGGGCCGGCGCGTTGGCCGGCCGCTTGCGTCTCTCCCAGCGGACCGTCGGCGGGGCTCCCGGCGCCGCGGCGTCGGCGGTGGGGGGCGCCGTCACCCGCAGGAAGAAGCAGTCCTGGTGCACCATGGGCTTCAGGGCGTTGCGCTGGCTCGCCGCCGCCGCCGCGGCGGACTTGTTCGCCTGCTTGCCTGTCGCGGAGGCGGTCACGGGCTTGACCCGCGAGTAGCCGCCGTACAGCACGGCGCCCTGCTCGTGGGGCAGGAAGGTGAAGGACGAGCGGGCGTCGGGCTTCAGCTGCGCCGGCGGCAGCGCCGGGCTGTGCCAGACGAAGTTCTGCGTGTCGTACAGCCAGAGGTCGGCCAGGTATCTGGTCTGGTTGGCCGTGTCCTGGAAGCCGCCAAACAGGATTATGTACTGCTTGAAGCTTCGTTTATATGATTCTGGTAAGCAAAGAGGTACTGAGCGACGGAAGAGGGTGAGGGGCCCGAAGACACTTGTCTCTCCTATCTCCACATCCTGGAAAGGGGGGGGGCGCGTACTAGGTCATGCGATGGCCGCTGCGGGCAGGCGGCGACTTCCCCTTGGTCTCGATGCGAGTCCACTCCCTGGTGCTGGGCTCTAGCCGCCAGAAGTCGTTGTAGTGGTAAAAAGTGCCTTGCTTGGGCGAGCTGAACTCGCCGCCAAACAGGTAGACCGAGTTACTCTGGTTGCCCCCGCGGCACCAGGCATGGCCACTCCGGGGCAGGGGCGCGTTCGGGCTGGTCACGCACCGCCACTCATCGCGGTCGACGTAGTAGATGAACAGGTCGTTGTAGAAGGTGGCCAGGGCGCCGTTGAAGTACTCGCCGCCGAACAGCAGCAGCTGGTTGCTGTTGGAGGGGCTCGCGAGGAAGCACGAGGCCGCGCGGGGTCGAGGCGGCCCGTCGACCACCGTCTCCGTGACCTTGAGAAACTGCTCCTGCTGCTTCTTGTACTCCTCGAGCACGGCGTCCAGGTCCACATCCTCGGCGTCACTGCCGTCCACCTTGGAGGCTTTGACTTTTGCCTTCTTCTCCGCCTTCTTTTCCTGCCTCTGTTTCTTCTCCGCCTTCAACACCTTCTTCGACTCGTTTTTGCCCTTCTTTTCCTTGGCCATGGCGACGACGAGGAATCTCCCTAGAATTTTATAGGGACACGAGTTCCTATGGTTCGCTGTATAAGATGAAAGTCAATTCTCAACCAGCGGGAATCTAACCGATGCCCGATAAGAAAGCTCTCCGCCTATGGAGTTTTGAGACAGTGACCCCTATGGGCCTCCGTACTAGCAGCCTATAGAGGACACTGTCTCTAAACTATTTTCAAAATTTTCATACAGCCACAAAACTTCTATTCAAGCAGCAATCGCACCCCCAGGCGAATGCTTTTTTTTTGTAATGCGATTTCCTGTTGCTATTACTATTGCTGTTGCAAGTTGCTGTTATCATATATGACTACTATTGCTCTTGCCCTTGCTTTACCCCTTGAAAACCCAATTAGCTCCTGGCCAGAATAGCCATCAAGTACTCTGGTCATGTCACAGCTGGCAACCAGCATTGGGGTAATTTTCATGGCAATCGCGGTATTGTGTATTGAAGGGGTCCTAACAGACTGTCGAGGGGACAGGGACGGCTAACGGTTCAGGAGTTGAGTTGGGGAGTAGGACGTTAAGATGGGCTAAACAGGCGGGCTCTGAAAGAAAACACGGCTGCTCTTCACATCACACATATCATACATTGTTGGTTGATTGAGTGTATCTTCTAGAGATTCAAACTCACATGGGGATCAACTGTGCTGCCCATGGCAGATTCACCTTATGAGGCACACAAATTGATCCCTCGTCTATCAGGCTCTACCTCTAGCATTATGAAGTATACCCATTCTGCTTTAACCAGGTGGCCACATCTGCCCTGTCCCGCTCCAGCCAGGAGACCTTGGACCGAATGCCATCTAGGCTCTGAGCCAAAGATTGGTCGAACCCGGTCGTGCTCTTGCCCTCGAAGAAGGTCTCAACCTTGCTGAGCTGTTCCTTGGTAGTGAAGCCCGAGGTGAGAATCGTCACCATGGTGCCAAGCATGGATAGAGCTGGTGGGAGCTTCACAACAAGCTCATCCCAGTTTTCGGCCATCCAGTCAAAGAGAGCCTCAATGCCTTCGGTGTGGCTGCGAAGCCCTGCTGCAGGCATGTATATATCCTGATCCTTCACCTCGCTGGACAGGAGCATCCCCAGTGTCCTCTTGATCAGTTCCGGATCCTTGGCTCGTCCCAAGGAGCGCAGCGCAGTGTTGCGCTCATCGCTGTTGGTGGAGGTACGGTAGAAGTTGAGGATAGACTCGTACTAAGGGGGGAAGGTTAGTTAGCCTCTGAGCTCCCAAAGGTATACTGGTCTGAAATAAGAAACCTACCTCGTCCTTGCCACCATACTTCAGAGCCATGCCGAATACGCTGCCCCGGATGTTTGGGTGGATCGCCGACTTGTCTCCTGCCATGAACTTTCCGAACATATCCTTGGCGGCCTTGATGATGGTTTCATCACCGCAAAGCCCCGCACTCCCGAACAGCAAGGCCTTGAACTGCTGCTCGATGTGGCCGTCCTTGTCCGAGAATTCCCAGCCCAGCTTGTGTGCCCTCGCGCTCACGAGTTCACGCTGGAAAGCCTCCAGCCCATCTCGGGTCGACTTGTCTTCGAACATCCAAGCGGTCTGAACGGAAGCGATTCGTGATATGATCTCACTCCACACAACGAACTCGGTTTCGGAATCGAGCCCCTTTAACAGGCTGAGAACCCCCGAGGTCTTCTGATATCCCGAGACAGCCAACGCTCCGGCATCGGCAATCATTCCTGCTCTGTCCTCGACCGTAAGGAGCCCGCTCTTCGCAGCCTCTCCCAGCTTCTCCAGCCTCTGTGGGGAGTAAGCAGTCCGGTACAGTCCGGTGTGGTTAGCATTCAGCTTGAAGAAGTCCATGCTCGGCACCTTGAAGTTCCCCTCCCGCTGATCAAGCGCCAGATTCTCGTTTACTCCATCCTTCGTCCGGAGGCCAAGGAACACGGGGTAGAGAACTTCGTCCTCTTCCGGCTTGGCATCGCCGGTCCGCAAGAAGCGGTTTTGCTTCAAGTGGATAGAATTGTCGTTGTTTTCCGTGACAGTAACGACCGGGAACCCGATATGTTTGGTCCACACGGTCATGACGTCGTCCACCTTCTTGCCGCTTGCATCACTCAGAGCCGCCCACAGGTCACCAGTCTCGGTGTTTCCGTAGGCGTGCTTCTTGAGATATTGGCGAACGCCTTCCAAGAAGGTTTCCTCCCCTAGATAGGTGGAAATCATCCGCAACACACACGAGCCCTTCGAGTAAGAAATAGCATCAAAGATCTGGTTGATCTCATCAGCCTTCTTCACAGGGACCTCGATCGGGTGACTGCTTCGAAGCGAATCAAGCGCGAGTGCCCTCTGGAGATTGTCCGTCACGTAACTCTCCCAGACCTTCCACTCCGGATAGAAGACGTTGCAGGAATACTAAAAGAAGACGGCGCGTTAGTAGAACCATGGGCCCATCTGTCGGGATAGTTACGAACCCAGGAAGCCCAAGTGGCGAAGCCTTCGTTGAGCCACAGGCCATCCCACCAGTCCATGGTGACGAGGTTGCCAAACCACTGGTGTGCAAGCTCGTGCTGGACGACCTCGGCGACCCGCTCCTTCGTCGCTGCACCGCTAACCTTCTCGTCGAGAAGGAGATCGACGACTCGATAGGTGACCAGACCCCAATTCTCCATGGCGCCCTGGGCAAAGTCGGGGATGGCAACTTGGTCCATCTTTGGGAGCGGGAAGTCGATGCCGAACACCTTCTCGTAGAATGCCAACGTCTTGGCTGCCAAATCCAGAGAAAAGCGGCCATGTTCGATGTCCTGGCCTGGGGGTGCGTAGACACGGACGGGCACTCGGAAGTCGTTACTCTCAATGTAGTTGAGCTCGCCAACGATAAACGCAACAAGGTAGGTGGACATCAGTGGCGACTCGTTGAACTTGACGGCCGTCTTGGACCCAACTTCGGTCTCGCTGGCGACATCCATGTTGCTGAGGCAAGTCAAGTTCTTGTCGGCAATGAGAGTGACGGTGAACTTGGCCTTGAGGGATGGTTCGTCAAAGCAAGGGAACGCCCGGCGCGCATCAGTCGGCTCCATCTGGGAGACCGCCATTATGCCGTCAGTGCCATCGGCTTTCTTGTATGTTGACCTGTAGAACCCCGCCATCTTGTCGTTAAGTTGGCCGGTGAACTTGATCTCCAACTGGGCCTTGCTGCCTTTGGGGATGGCATTGTCGAAATCGAGCTTGGTGGCCTGAGTGGACTCAATGTATGTGATCTTGGGGGACGAGCTAATACCGGCCTGTTAGGTTCTGGTTCATCGAAGGGAATATGGGTGGACGAGGGGAGGGGTAACTGACCTGACGGTCTGCCCACCCGAGGTGATCTTGGCATTGTGGATGTCCAACTCGAGTGTGTGTAGGGAAATGGATTTGGAGTCATCGGCAACATCGAGATCGATAATGACAGTTCCGTCAAAGGTCAGATTCGCAAAGTCGGGTTCCAAGGTGAGGTCGTAGTGTCGGGGGATGACGTTGCTCGGAAGCAGCTCCCGGCCGTGGATGTTGTTGACCCCGCCTGACATGTCGGCTCCTGCTTGAGTCCTGCACATATTGTTCCGTCGGTAGGAGCAATAGCGGGCGGGTACGGCACGGGGACGAATTGATCGCAAATAGGTCGCAGGTCTGTGGCGGGAAGGTGGACAGGAGACAATCGCAGAATAGAGTCTTCTCGAAGAGGGTTTCCTGTGTGTGGGGTAATCAGGTTAAGGCAATGGACGGAATGGGGGGTTGTCTCGTGGGCTTTCTCCTACTGCAATGCAAAATTCTGCAAGACTCTGTTTGACAACGGCTTCGAGTTTGAGGTTGGACGCGCAACGGAGGTGGATAATCTTCGGCAAGCAGAACCGATGGAAGGGCTGGAACGAAACAACATGACCAAATGAGTGTGAGAATGAAGCAGACAAGTGTCTTTTATAGGTAGTTTAGGTAGGTAGGCACGTATATCTTACGTTTGCTACCTACGGACGGATATGTGATGTAAGCGCAGCAGTGGCGCCTTGCCCGAATGCAGATGAGTTGCCAGTTTGCCTTTGCTGTGGATTAATACTTTGCTTGGCTCCCCGCGTTAACCCCCTTTTGGCAGGTGCCCCATTCGCAGGCCTCACTACCTACCAAACGCATCGTAAAGCTTCGATGAATATCGACGGTGCGTTTGAGCGAGGCCGGATAAGGAAGCCAATGAATATTTTACATGATACGGAACTTTTTCAAATTCCAGTGCACTACTGAATGCGGCGTTGGTTGTTGGTCCTGCGCAATGCAAGGGGATGAGCATGCCGGAGTTATCCATGGACCTATGCCAAAGAAGAGTCAATCAAACATGCAGCCAAAAATCTATTGTGCGTATGATAATGGAATGAGGCTTGCTTTATTATGACATAAGGCTTATCGGAAGGGCAAAGTATTCTAGCTGGTATGTGTACGTATGGAGTCATCTCATCTGGTAGGCTTTCCCAACGGCGGTGCCGCGGGGTAGTTGTAGATGGCCTGTGCATGACCCCGTGTTGCTATGGGTAACCATATCTAATCACCAATCAATGAAGGATAATGAAAACAATCAACACTCACACAATTACATTTCTTCGACTTGCAGAAAAAGAAATGTTCCTCTGCTTCCACACACCCACCCCAACAAACTGCCCGTGAGCTGGCAACTAGTATCAGCCGTTCGGCTTGGGATTCGTGTTCTACGGAAAGCCGGTCGCAACTCGGCCGACACATTCAGCAGCCATGGGCTCCGAGGACTTGATCAATTTTGATGTTATTGAGAGCCACAAAGAGAACATCCAGTCTCTTCCGAGCGGAAGGTCAGCAAAGAAGCTCGCCGAGCTCTTCTCACCGTCGCCACTTCACCAACTCTCGACGCCCACACCTTCAGACACAAAGAACATCAACGACTGCATTCGCGCAGAGTACGAGGCAGAAATCGTGAACATTGCCGAGTCCGACGACCCGCTCGATGTCTTCGACAGATACGTGAGGTGGACGCTCGACGCGTACCCTTCCGCACAGGCCACGCCCCAGTCCCAGCTGCACACGCAGCTCGAGCGCGCCACCAAGGCGTTCGTCAGCTCGCCGCAGTACAAGAACGACCCCAGGTACCTGAAGCTCTGGCTCTACTACATCCAGTTCTTCTCGGACGCGCCGCGCGAGACGTTCCTGTACCTCGCGCGCCACGGCATCGGCGAGACGCTCGCCCTCTTCTACGAGGAATACGCGGCCTGGCTCGAGGGCGCCGGCCGCTGGGCCCAGGCCGAGGAGGTGTACAAGCTCGGCATCGAGCGCGAGGCCCGGCCCGCGCAGAGGCTGATCCGCAAGTTTGGCGAGTTTGAGCAGCGCCGCGCGCAGCAGAACCCGGACGGGGAGGACGACGACGCCAGCCCTTCGTCCCCGGCCCTGCCGACGGTTCGGCCCGCCCTAGCTGCCAAGATCGACCCCTACGCCGCTGCCGCTGCCGCTGCCGCCGCGGCACGGGATCCCCAGGCTCCCCGACCGAACCACGGCGTTGGGGGTCAGTCCTCGAAACCGGGGAGGTCTAAGCTCACGATCTTTTCGGATGCGGATGCAGCCCCCCCGGCCATACCGTCGGGTGCGGCTGCCGGGGCAAAGGGGTGGGAGAACATCGGGTCGCTGGCTGACCGTAAGAAAGAGAATGTGGTGGAGGCCCGGCCGTGGGTAGGGGAGACCCTCAAGGCGGGAGGGAAGAAGAGCAGCGCTCCGAAGATGGCGGTGTTCAGGGATACGGTAAGCCCACGACTTTTTTCTATTCCCCCTTCCTCAAAAAACACATGTTGATCATTACAGGACTAATCAATTGGTCGCTTGGCGTATATGTATTATCAGTCTTTACTTAAACAATTATCCGAGTCACACATTCCTATCCACCACTCCAAACACCAGGTGATTGTGAATCCACATAATGGAAAGAGGGAGCGCGTGTTCGTTGACCTGAGTGCCATCTATCCCACGCCGGAGGAACCTGGGACGGAGCTGAGCTTTGAGGAGATATGGGCGGCCAACCGCGGCTGGTTGGATCGGGCATGGGACGATGACGAGGCGGTTGAGCAGGATTACATTGCGCAGGACGAGAACAACCCCCTGGAAGTCGACATCCTTGCCGATAGCCTCTCTGAGAAGCTTATCGTGCATAGCGATGTTGTCATGCTTGACGAGAATGGTGCTCCGATCTTACCCCGTGAGGGCAAGGCCAAGAAAAAGAAGGTGACGGAGATAAATGAGACACAGATCAGTGAGTGCTACATGTCTCTCACCCGACGGTGCTCCAGCTGACAGGCCCGCAGTCAAAGCAAAGCTGGACTCGCCTTCCGGTCCAAAACTCCGGAAGCGGAACGCAGCTGAGCCGACGATGACCTTGCATACCAAGGCCGCAACAGACGACATATATGAGATCTTCAACCAGCCTCTCAAGACGGAAGCTCAGAGGGAAGAGGAAAGCGCAGACGACGACGATTATGAGACGGATGATTATACCAATTACACCAGCGGAGCAGAAAGCACTGGGACCACAAGGAACATCTCAACTAGCGAGGCAGGTGACGAAGAAGTGGTGGAAAATGAACTTGACGAGGAGACTTCGGACGTGAAAAGTGTCAGCGAATGGTCAGATTTCACCGCCCGAAAACATATTCCTGACGTTTTGGGCGACGAGGACCACATCGACACACAATCTTCAGACAGAAGTGAGGTGGCAGATCCCGAGGCATCAACTGTGGTATCCGAAGCAGCCGAGGATCAAGAAGAAGACGACGAGGTCTTGACACCAGTAACAATGGGGTCCATTTCCAAGACACGCACGTCGTTCGTGCCCATCCCGCCTGAGGACTACGTCCCGCCCATGAGGTCGTATAGGGATCCAGTCGAGGTGGCTAACAACCGGCTCCCCTTCATGACGCCCATCACGGAAAGGACCGAATCCTCCCTCGATATAGAGGCCGACGACGACGGCCTCCACCCCAAGACCCCATGCAAGAGGGGTGAGAATGCTATTTCATCGGTGGCAGAGGAGGATAGTCTCGAACTCGAGCCTCTCAGCAGTCCGCTGAGGGAAGTGGTGAACGACGAGCTCCCGCCAAGGAAGATTGCTCAACCACTCCTTCAGAAGCCGAAGCCTGCCGCGCCGAAGCCTCTGGCAGTAAAAGCAGCACCGAAGGGGCCCATCATCAACGACCCCCAGTGCAACCCCATGGACGACGGTGTCCGGACGACGATCCTCGAGGCCATGCAGCCGCCACTGAGCGCCTATGAAGGCTTCTACGACCACCGGAATGAGCTGTACGGGAAGGGGGCAGAGATTCGCAAGTTTTCCAAGGCTCTATCGAAGCATAACAGGAACAGCACAGACCGGACGAGCAACTTCAGCACCTCGTTTGTGATAGAGTTCCCCGACACGACAACGCAATACACGGTCAAGAAAGAGCTTGGGGCAGGCGCTTTCGCTCCCGTCTATCTTGTGGAGAACTCTTCTCACGAAGAGCCGGAGGATCAAGAGGACATCCCGGCAGCCATGGGCAAAGGGGCCTTTGCAACTGCACACAACCGGCGAAGCGCCCTCGAAGCCCTCAAGATGGAAGAGCCGCCGTCGCCGTGGGAGTTCCACATGATGCGCCTCGTGCACAGCCGCCTCGGCCCCCAGCACCGGGCGGCGGCGTCGCTCTCGACGGCGCTGGAGATGCACCTCTACCAGGACGAGGGCTTCCTCTTCCTCCCGCACCACCCGCACGGGACGCTCCTCGACGTGGTCAACCTCTTCCGCGCCGACGCGTCGGGCGTCATGGACGAGCAGCTGGCCATGTTCTTCTCGATCGAGCTCCTCCGCACCGTCGAGGCCCTCCACACGAAGCAGATCCTGCACGGCGACCTCAAGGCCGACAACTGCCTGCTCCGGATCGACCAGCAGCAGGGAGAGCACGGACACGGGCACGACCGCGACCTGTCGCCGCAGTGGAGTCGGTTGGGGGCGGGTGGCTGGGGGGCCCGCGGGGTGGCGCTCATCGACTTTGGGCGGGGCATCGACATGCGGTGCTTTGGGCCCGAGGTGCAGTTCATCGCAGACTGGAAGACGTCGGGGCAGGACTGCGCCGAGATGCGCGAGGGCCGGCCGTGGACGTGGCAGGTCGACTACCACGGGCTCGCGGGCACGGTGCACTGCCTGCTGTTCGGTAAGTACATCGAGACGGTGCGGTGCGACACGGGCGGGCTCGGCACGGCGGGCGGGCGGAGATACCGGATCCGAGAGAGCCTCAAGAGGTACTGGCAGACGGAGATCTGGGCAGAGTGCTTCGACGTGCTGCTTAACCCGGGCGCGTTCGTCGAGGCGGAGGACGGCGCCAGGATGCCGGTGCTGAGGTCGATGAGGAGGGTGAGGGAGCGCATGGAGGGCTGGCTCGAGGCCAATTGCGAGAGGGGCGTCGGGCTGAGGGCCCTGATGGGCAAGGTGGAGGCTTGGGCGACGGGGAGGAGATGATTGCGTCTCTCTTTTCCTTCCTATTTTCTTTTGTCTTGCATTCGTCTGGGGGCCTTTGGCATGGGCTATACGGTGGCTTTAATGAACATAGGAGGGTGTCGGAGTTGGGACATTGGCTTGAGGTTTCCCAATCTCCGTTTTCAGTCCTATCTTTGCACGTAGCATAGGCAGGTACCTACATACCTAAAATACCCCTGATTTTCAGTGCGAATCATCATGAGGAGATCAGAAAGTCTACAAACTTGGGATCCTTATGCCACCTACTTTGTGGTGCTCTGGGTGGTCATGTGGCAGCGCGTTAAAATTGGCCCATGCACTTTGCTGCGACGCGTGCCCCCTGTTCCTTGCGGGGACTCGGGCTGTTCTCGACTTTCAAGCTACTAACCATGCTAACCTACCTACTTGATAATGATTTCTTCGCAACGTCAGCAAACATCGGTTTCGTCGTAAATGGTATCGAAATCTACCGAAGCGATTGATCTGTCTTTGCGCTAACCCTCTGCGCACCATGGTCCGCCAATTGCCTCGAAAGGCCAAGGCAAAGTCGTCCCCGGTGGAGCTAAGCCTCATCGAGGAGACCAGCTCTATCAAGGCCATAGGCAAGTCCGGAAAGAAGGCCACGCCCGTCGAGGTCAAGGTGGAGGTTGAAAAGAGAACCGTTACCAAGCGGAAGTCGGCCGGGGGCGCTGAGGTCAAAATCGAGGAGTTCCCTGCGGAGACCAAGAAACCCGCAGCCAAGAGGCGCAAAACCAAGGCTGAGAAGGAGGAAGAAAACATGCCGCTGGCTGCGAGGACGGTAATTACGTCGATGAAGAGGGCGATGTACATTGGGGCACACGTCAGTGGTGCTGGCGGTTTGTCTCGTCCTGGCCTTTCTCTTAATGCATATGGGAAGCTGACTGGCTCGCTCCAGGTGTCCACAACTCTGTACAAAACGCCGTCAACATTGGCGCAAATGCCTTTGCTGTCTTCCTAAAGTCCCAGAGGAAGTGGGAGAGTCCGCCGCTGGCCGATGAGCATCGGGACGACTTCCACTCTAACCTGAAGCTGCACAATTTCGATGCCGCTAAACATATCTTACCGCACGGCTCTTATCTGGTGAACCTGGCACAAGCAGAACCTGCGAAAGCAGACCAGGCATACAATAACTTCGTCGACGACCTCCAAAGATGTGAGGCGCTTGGCATCGGGCTCTACAACTTCCACCCCGGATCGACGGGAGGCGATACGAAGGAGGCGGCCATTGCCAGGATAGCAGCGCAATTGAACAGATCACACAGGGCTACGAAGACGGCCATCACCGTGGTCGAGAACATGTGTGGCAGCGGCAACGTCATTGGCTCCAAGTTTGAGGAGCTTCGAGACATCATCAGCCAGGTCGAGGACAAGAGTCGAGTCGGAGTATGCATCGATACCTGCCACGCCTTTGCCGCGGGGTACGATATGCGTACTCCAGAAGCCTTCGCCGAAACGATGCGGACGTTTGATGAAATTGTCGGACTGACCTATCTCAAGGCTTTCCACTGTACGCACCGTTCCTGTCTCGCAACTTTCTGCGATGGATAACCAAGAATTGACTGACGCGACTGTAGTAAATGATAGCAAGGCACCGTTGGCCTCGCATCGCGACCTCCATGCTAACATTGGTACTGGATTCCTTGGCCTGCGAGCCTTCCATAGCATCATGAACTACGAGCCGTTCCAGCACCTACCAATGGTTCTCGAGACACCGATAGATTCAAAGGGTCCTGACGGGAAAACCTTTGAGAACAAGCAGATCTGGGCAGACGAGATCAAGCTACTGGAGAGTTTGATCGGCATGGATCCCGAGTCCGTCGAGTTCCAGGCCAAGGAGCAGGATCTCCAGGCCAAGGGCGCTACTGAGCGGGAAAGAATCCAGGATCAGGTTGACAGGAAGACAGAGAAAGATGCGAAGAAGAGAGCTACCAAGGCCAAAAGGAAAGGGCGGAAGAAATCCAAGGCATCCGATCTGGACTCTGGCGAGAGCGATTGATTGTCTGAATTGCAGCTGGGGGAAACGTCAGATTATATCCCGTTTGAATTCATTTTAGAGGTGGGCGAGCAAAATGGACAAAAATAGCACTCACGTCTTACCGTATTGATCTTCCGCTAGCGCCGAGCGCAAGCACGAAACAGGAACAAGGAATTGGGCCCTCTTTGTTTGCATGAGGGGGCGACTTCTAACTTGCAACCTTGGAAATAGCAAAACGCACTGAAAATCCGGTGATCAGTTCATCCTTGGTGGGCCAACAGATGGGAACTTGGAAGGCTACCCATTGGAAGAGTCGAGGCCCGATCTTGGCTTCTATCCCAGCTGGGCAAGGTTAGGGAGGAATACGCCACTGAGCGGCCGCACCAAATTTGCATGAAGCTGATCTCTGGGCTGGAATTGCCCCATTTGCGCTGAGCTCTCTCCGCCCCATTCAGCTCGGCCTCCCACGTGCGAATAGGCCCCTGGATCCCAGAGGATTGAAGCGCATCGCCTGGAACCGTGACAATATTAAAACAGGCAGTTGCTTAACCCAATTCTAGTGGCTGACCAAATATTGACCAATGCGAGAGTCGCCGCGTAGCCCCGAAGTAACTGATGCAATACTCCGCCTCACAATTCGTGGCCGTTGATACGTCGCCGCACCATCCAACACCATTTGTTGCCCGCCGCTGACTGCTGGCCCCCCCCCGTCTGACCGATCCCAGTCGCCTGAGAGGAAAAAAAGGGGACGAGCAACAGATCATGTCAACTCCCATCTCTGTCGATTTGCTGTCGCCATAGCGTTCCCGTTAAGGTGCTCTACGCAGAGCCCTTTGGAAATGCTGGAAACCGCGACCTCGGACCCTGACGAGGGCCGACGCTCGTCCATCGAGAAGCGGCCCATCGTCATGCCCGACATCCCTCCAGTGCCGTCGGCATTCGAGAGGCTACCCGATGAGATCATCCAGCAGTAAGTCCATCAATCTCGGTGACCGCGGAGGAAATGGTAGCGCGCCGACTGACTCCTAGCGTATCCGGGCAGGATTCTCGAAGCCACCGATCCGAATGGCTTCGCGTCGCTCGTGTTGCTCAACTCGAAATGGAGAAGCGTGTCGCAGCAGGCCCATCTCTACGCATACCACTTGTCCCAGTGCCCTTCCTATGCCGCTAGTCACAAAGCATCCCCTGCCACCTCCGACGAGGACAGGCTGCCCGAACTCCGGCGCTTGTTTGCTAAGGAAGTGAAGAGGAACCTGTTCGAGGCCTACCTGCGACCGAAGCAGACCGTCATCAAACTCATATCCAACTCGATCAGCTCGTCGTCCTGTCCGGGCGGAGAAGGGATACAGTTCAGTGCATCGCCAAAGGGACACCATCTGCTAGCCTACAACTCGTCTCGAATCTATGTCATCGACGTTCGAGGGGCAGAAATAGAGGTGAAGAGGGAGCTGAAGATATTGCGACGCCCGGCGGCGACATGCATCAACGACGAGGGCACCACGCTTGTGGTCCTCCTGACCGAGATGCAAGTTGACGTCTACGACCTGAAAGAATCCCCGCCGAAACGGTCCCAGTCCGTCATCCTCGACAACAGCCCGAGGGCCCTCGCGCTCTCGCCTTGCTGCTCTGTTCTGGCCTCAGCATACGCGGGCGGGATCGAAGTCTCCTCCCTTGCCGCCACCGCTATTTCCACCGACAGGCGCGCCGTAAAGTGCGATGCCGTCGACTCGTTGGCTTTCTCTTTCGACGGGACCCAGATCTTGGGCACGACCGCCCACTCGTCGCATCCGAATACGGTTATTCTGACGGCGCCATACTACGATCCGGGGAGTCACATGGCCGACGACAACATCAGCGCACTGTGGACGACATCTATATTGTTCCCCAATACCAGCCGAGACTGCAGCCATGCAGTCCTGCTCCAGAACGGGCGTTACGACGAGGCAGCCTGGACTTTTACGTACGATCGCAGCTTTGAGACTTTCCGAGCAGTCCGCATTGACGACTTGCGCAACGGAACGACATACTTTACTGGGCCGATTCCCAGTTCCACGTCGCAAACCAAGCTCATACCCTGCACCCTGCCTGCTGCCTCGTACAACGGTGAACTTGTGTCCGCCGGCTTCCAAGGCAATGAGGTCTGGCTCTATGGCGTCCCGGAGGATCTGGATGCTGTTCCCGAGGGCTCGAATGCTGGGAGCAGCGACAGCGGGTCCTCAACCGGGGGCCTGAACCGCCGTAACAGCGGCCCCTCCATACGATCTTCGCCGAGATCGCAGGAGAGTCACGAGGCGGCGAGGGTCCCTCAATGGCAGATACTGTGCGATAAGTTCCGAAACACTTTTGTCGGAGGCCGCAAGATTGCCGAGCTCGACGGGGTCAACACGGTGAAATGGGTCACCGACTTCGGCGCTTCTTCCCTCAAGGAGCGGCTCGTTGCTGCCGCTCGTGGCGTTATGCCGCCCAAGCTGATAACGGAGGAAGATGGAATCGACTTCGTCGACGGAGGCAGGATCACGCTCATTGATTTCGATTACGGATTGGAAGATGGCAAGACTATCAAGGTCACGATAGAGGTTGGCACGAGGGAACCGGAGACCCTGGAGGAAGAACGTCGTGACATTGATACCGAAGTGGCGATTGTGCGGAGGAGGACCGTCGCGCAGAATAGAAAGGGCCGCAGCGCGGTTATTCGAGCTGCCACGACGACTGCGAACCGGGCTCCACCTCTGCCCTCGCAGCCTTCCTCGAGTCGGGCGGAAGGCGAAGCCGAACATGATCCTTTAGTCCCCCGCCGCGTCGGGCCTCTACCCAGAAGAACTGAACAGCAGGACAGCATCAGCGAAGAGACGGAAACGCAGTCCATTATCGAGGAGCAAGAGGCATTGGATGCCCCCTACGCACATGCCAGTCCTCGCTCGGGACCTACGCTACGCCGCGCTGCCACCGCGGTGGCCGTGAACCGCCGCCTTCACCCGTCGGCCGCAGCCGCCGGCCACGTCCAGTACCGCCGTGCCGATGGCCGTGCCGAGCATCCGCACGAAAGCGACGCAGATAACTGGGTTCCGCCACCGCCCCCGTACCAGAAAGACGACCCTGGCGATGTGCCTGTGTTCCTGCGCCATGCAGCGACGGCGGCTCCGCCCGTCCCGCCCGTTCCCCCCGTCCCGCAAATCCCGCCTGGCGCGAATCGGGACCTCCAAGCTCCCGTCCAACAGCCACCACCTCCGCAGCCGCCTGCGTCATGGCAGCAGCCAGGGAGGAGCCAGACCGCTGCACCCGATCAGCGAGGGCTCCCGCCGTTATCGCAACCTGTCTCCCAGCATCGAAGGGTGCCGAGTGACATGTCCTTGCCGACATCACGTTCTAGTGAGGTTCCACGGCCTGTGTCGAGCCAATCACGTTACCTCGATGGCGAAAACATTTACGATGTCTCTCCGCCTGGTTCTCCCAGCAGGTTATCTCATGCTGCGCCTGCGAGGATTCCTAGTGATACTAGAACAGTGAGCGGCAGCACAACTGAGGGAAGTCATGGAGCCAGTCATGGAGCCAGTCATGTCTCGCCTGTGTCCCCGGGTCTGAGTCAGCGAACTTTCCCGGCCGTTCCTCGCATCCAAACCGTGAATGCGCTGCCGCAATCTAGTCGCGTGCCGGTCCTCGACTTTGATATCCCCTCCGCAATGCTGAGCGGCGGCATTTCAACACTGTATGGAACCGTTCCCGAACCTAAGCGCATCTCAAAAACCAATACATGGCCCACACAACCACCAGGTCCTGGAGCCTCCTCCGCTATGTTGCCTACAGGCTACCCGTATTCCGCTCCGCCCACCAATTTCAGTGGGAACCAACTATTTGAGCAGTCCCTGCCACCAGCTCCGAGAGCAGAACAACCTGCTAGCCTGAACAGCCCAACAGACCAACCCGCACACAGAGTCTCGGGCAGCTTCCAACTCCAGCGTGTCCCGGTCGGCAACCGGACCAGCGCTGAATACACTCCCAGCCAATCATACCAGCAATCAGCGCCATCGCAGCAACAATCTCAACAGCCGCAGCAGCAAGCTCCGCAGGCGCAGGCCGAGCCGGGGCCGCAACAAGACCACCTGCACCATCCCGCCCCGGGACCCCACCAGCCACGCCCGCGCCGCGAGCCGCCCCCTCCAGTGGAAGACACACCGCTGATCATCAGCACGCCAAAGGGCGTCTCGGGGGCATTCGACCCGCCCGGCCGTCGCACCTCGGGCCGCCGCGCCGAGACCCAGATCCTCGCCCCCGTGCCGCGCCACGCGCGCGCCACCGCACAGGCGGCGGTCCTCCGACCGCCCCCCGCCGAGCGGCTCGACACCACCATCTACAGCACCGCCTCTGGCTCGGGCTCGGGCTCGGGCTCGGGCTTGGCTGGCTACCTCGTCCCGCCGGAGCAGCAGCAGCAGCAGGGGGCCGTGCGGGTGCCGAGCCTGAACAGGAGGCAGTCGCGGGCGGAGCGCAGCGCGGCCAAGAACATTGCCGACGCGAAGCGGCGCGGCTGGTCGGGACGGCGCAAGAGCAGCAAGCGGCAGCGGAAGAACAATAATAGGCAGAGGGAGCGCGCCGACTACGACGCTGCGAGCAGCGCTGCTTGGACGGACGTCACTACCGCGAGTGCGAGGTCCGGGGGGGGTGGGGGTGGTCGGTCGGAGGTGAGAGATAAGAAGTGTGTTGTTATGTGATTTTGGGTCTCTTGCATGTTTCTTTTGTTTTGGTTTTGAGGGGGAGAAGGGGTCTTTCGTACCCGGGTATTTTCAGGATATGCCAGGATGATAGACAGACATGGGGGGGTTTTGGATACGTGCCTCCTGGACGAGCTTCAACAGACTGAGAACCCCTTCTATTTGATTTTTTCTTTTTGTCTTGGGGTTTCGCTGGTGCCACGGACAGCGAATGGGTTTTGGATAGCGATGAGGGACATACACAAACATATACGGGATTGTGTTGTCTGAGATATGATACCAGAAACTGTCTTTTCTTTACTCCATCTGGCGGACAGATTGGAGATTCTGCTAGACTCTACATACCCATCTTAGCTAATAATCACAACCTGCTAGCAGCTTGATCGACCTCTCTGTCTTGATTCCTAGTGACGAATACGAGAGCATTCACATCGGTTCAGATGTCGGCTCTCATTCATGACGTCAGGCCCATTCAGGTATCCGGTAGAAGTCTTCGGTCCGAAGCGTTGAGCAAAGTTTAGGTTATTACAGACCGAAACCATCACTGCCAAGCAACGCCGTTTCGTACAGTTGGGCGTATCCAGGTAAAAGGGAACGGCTCGGACCGTGGATCAGCGGCCACATGTTGGAGACTATGAGGTTGAAGTGGAATAAGCAACTGGCAGCGTCGTTATGCTGTGCAAACCAAACCCAGTCTCACGTCAGCGGTTCAACACTCAGCATCGATTGCATCACCTCAATAACCCTGTCTGCGTCGGCTAAGAAGAAGTACGACTTGAGCCGAGAGACGCATTGTCATATCGCTGAAGGGAAATGATTTTTGGAATGGCAACCCTCTTACGTCTGGGTGGAAGGAGGGCATACCTCGAACCCAGCGTGCCGGCCCGATAGAATACCAGATCGGGCTACTGACGGGCCGACGACAACGCTCAGTTGCAAACCCTTGTATTGTGAACCTCTCTCATCTCTCATCTCTCAACGAAAGCGTAGGTAGGAGTCGAGGACAATGGTTTGTAGGAGTTTATTTTCAAATCCAGTGCCTCTTTTTGAGGAGCCCACCTAAGTCCCTCGTTAACTTTCCCTTCTCCCCCGTTGCTAGAAGTAGTCTGCATTGCTCTACCCTTCCGAGATGCTACAATGTTGTGGAAGGCATCACACGGTCTAATCGCCGTTGCATCTCGACAACCGGCTTCCCGGAGGACCCTATCAACTCTCCGGCGGGGCTCTACATCATTTTCTATTGCCATCGGCTCGTCCGTCTCCAAGGTACGAGAACCTTGCCCCTCACTCATATTCAAGATTCGTCGCTGAGTCATGACAAACAGCAACGCGTGGTCGAGAAGGCCAGAGAGGCCGCCAGCCCGGCACCAAGGGGCTTAAGCAAGGCCCTCGACGATGCCAACGGGCCGGACGCGGCGGTCATCCTTACCTCGCGGAGCCTCGCCCCGTGGCTCGCGGACCAAGACTTCCTGTCCGCCCTCCTCCACGTCCCGGGCCAGCCACCCCCGGAAATCAACGTGTTGAGCGCTGTGGTGGACGGGATCCCCTGGCCGGACGCACCGCACAGCCTCCGGGACGGGATCTCCGTCCTGCACGGGGGTCTCGCGTCGATGCTGCCCGACCTATGGGGGAGCGCACAGGTGGATTGTCCCTCTGTGCAGCCATCCATCACCGTTCCCTTCCCGCCGTTGAGGAATGATTCCGGGCCGCTCGAGGCAACGATCCCCCTGGCAAACACCGTCTTCAACAACGGCCGGCCGTTCACCATGTTCGCCAGCCGATGGCAGAGCCAGCCCGGCTCACCCCTCAAGCTCACCCAAAAGGTCGAGAAGAGAAGACAGCTCATCGTCCCCGACCTCACGGGAACCAACACCACCAGCAACAGGAGCAGCAGAAGCGACATCTCTGCCCCGCTCCTCCCCATCACCCGCCCGCGGCGGATCGTGGCCGGGCTCGGCAACATCATCCGCCAGGTCGAGATCGACGGGAAGCCGGCGCCGGCCTCGGGGGAGCTGGAGGCCGTCATCCCGGCTCTCCTCGACGCCCGCTCCGAGTCGGCGCCGACGACGACGTCGACGGTCGGTCCCGTCGGCGTGTGGGCCCTGGTCGTCCCCGAGGGCGTGGCTGCCGCCACTGGCGGGGAGATGCCGCGGCTGCTTCGGGGATCGGCAGCGTCCGACTACGGTGGCGGGGGTGGGCTCTCTGAATGGGGGGCGGCGGTGGAGAGTTCGGTGGTCATGGCGAGGTTGCTGGCGTCCGGGGCCCGTCTCCAGAGAATCCGTAAGTTTTGGTTTTGATAACGCTCTCTCTAGCGTCTGTACTGACGAACCCGTGGCAGTGAGCGGTGGAGGGGGTTGGGGACTAAAGCAGGGTCTGCTTTCCCTGGATCCGCAGGTCCGATATTCGGTGCCCGATGAGGAAGACGTGGAGCGCTTCATCAGGTCCTTCAAGGGGGAGACTTCCCCCGACGATGTAATCACCCCCGGCTCTTACATACAGTTCTTCGTGGAGCCCATACATCCATCGCAAAAAGTCTCGGCCATCAACCGACCCGAACAGGCGGGGCTGGACTTTCCGGAGGTTGTGGTTGGCACATGTGACACGGCCGAGGAGGGAGAGCACTCGGTCGAAGATGGAGTCCAGGTTGTTACGGATTATTTTGGGGCCCTCTCATCGCAGGGGATGTTCATTGCCTCTCCTACCGATACCGTTGGAAGTCACGGGATGGGGCTATCCACGAAGATAGACGCACCTAACTGCCGGGTTGAGGTCCACGGAAAGCCACGACACGAGAGAGACGACAGCAGTGCTTGAGAGACGGCTTGGCGTCGCTGGATTGTAAGGCGAATGAATGTGTACTATATAGAGTGTATACTATTGTCGCTATTGGAGATGCCATGTCTTGCGTCGACGACATGGCGACTAAGGGGTATTCGGAGTTACCCGTGGTAAGAGTCCATGTGGTTGACTCTACTGGCTGTCCCTTCAACCTGCTGTCCGATCTAGCACAGCTAATACGATGCGTCATGTTCAGTTAGCCGCTATCCAACCACCGCGTGATACTGTGCTATTCGGGAACCTGTAGTGACGGCGCCGAAAATAATGAGGTTGAGATTGCCCACCATGTCTAAAGGTTGATTCATACAGTCTCGCCTGTTTTCTCTTCCAATCTCCACCTCCACGGGCGCATTCACGGGCGCATTCGATAGATACTGGCCATTCCGATGCTGATCGGCTGATCCTCCCCGATCCATCACTCAATCATATCCATATCCTCGATCGGCTCCCGTCCGACACCTGCATTGGCAGCGCCGTTGGCAGCCGGGGCCGCAGACTGCTGTTTGCCCGCTCCGCTGTTACCGAAGTAGTCTTCCATTTCAGCATCCAACTCTTCCTGGGTCTTCTTGAGACGCCCCTCGCGCCCGTTCCGCGGGGCGGGATTTCCGCCTCCTCCCCCGTCTCCGCCACCTCTTCCCCGTGCACCGGGCCTCCTACCACCCTCGCGCCGTCTGCTGGGCAGAGGGCTGCGTGAGCGACTACCGCTGCCTCCGGGCCGGTAGTTATCACCACCCTTTCGGGAGCCCTCCCGGCGAGCTGGAGAGAGCGAACGAGACTGGTTCGAAGGGTGGCTTATCCGCTCAGAAAGAGGCCGACTAGGCATGACCGCAGTGTCAAAGGGATTCCGCCGCGGGGTTGGCCCAGTGGGCATCATAGTGAGACGAATTGGCTGACCTGCGTATCGCCAATTAGTACTTCTGCTGCTCCAGAGATGGTTCTAGAGGCACGTACCCGCAGCATTGGCACCATCGTACTCTCGAATGGCCCGCAAAGCGTCTTGGTTTGATTCGTACGTGACGAATGCCGTCCCTTCGGAGCGCCCGGCACGATCATAACGAAGCTCAAGCCGCTCTACCGGGCCGATCTTATTGAACAGTCCCTGCGACTGTAAATATGTGTGTGCATAAACCGTCAGGGATCTGACTCACATCAAGGTCATCTTCAGTTAGTTCGTAGTGGATGTTGTCGACTCGGATCTTAGAGCCTCTGGAGTCGCCGGATACGAGGTTAGCACAAGCGCTGTGGCGACCCGATCAGGTGTACAGCAACATACCTAGACTGATCAGGGAGTGCCTGTCGTCGTGGACCAGTAGATCGGCGGTCATCTTAACCAAAGGCGTCAGTGATCGAACTCGGTGAGGGAGACAGTCAATTGTACCATTGCCGTCGTATCTGTCGTGAACCCACTCGCTATAAACAACATCAGCCTCGGTTGCTTCGCGGGGGAAATACCGTTGGACATACGAGTCTAGGTTTCGGGGAGCGTCATCTCTGAAAGACTGTCCCCCAGTAGATCGAGGAGCGTCATCTCTGAAGGACTGTCCCCCCCAAGACCGGGAGGTGTTAGCTGGGGTTTCTCACGAAGTCAACTTCTCCGGTCGCGATCCGAGGCATCGAGCACAAGTCGTGAAAAGTGTGGCGTCGAACAGATGTGACCGAAGAGGGGAAGAGGAGAGGATTCAACCTGTCGCGGGAGTGATGTTAGTCAGGTATTTGTTTTGTGACAAGAGGAGGAGGGGGCAGATAAGGGAAGATCGGGGTCGCACCTTTCTAACACCATCTCGAGGGTAGTCCTGCCTCTCGCGCCGTCCGCTAGCACCGCTGCCGCCGCGATTGTTACGTGGGCCGCCTCTCTTGCTCTATGAGGGGTCAGTTGTGGGCAGTTGGCGGATGAGAAGAATCTGCAAACCTTCTGGCGCTCAGCGAGAATTTCGTCGAGGCTGCGGTCCATTTCGTTCAGAGTTAAAATTCGAGGTAATGTTGGCGCCGGTTAGAAGAATGATTGGAAGATGAGTACCTATGTTTGTCGGATTGGGGTCAGTACGGAAACGCGGCTGCAGGCAGACAAGAGAAGGCTGGATGGATGCCTGGGCGGATTTGTACCTATTAGGTACATACCCATTACATGCATGCACGCTCGCCGAATATGCAATATTCGCGGATATGCATTGTACAGTACCAACGCTCCCTGTTTTGGGATCTCCAGTGCGAACATGACAATTTGGTCAATCTAAGTTGGCATTTTCTAGGAAAAAACTTCCTCGAGCACTAGTTACAGATGACGATTAAGGAAATAAAGCAGCCGCAAACCCTGCCTTTTATCTTTTGTTGGCACCGGGCACCATCCAATAGAATTAAGATGCCGGAGCCGCAAAACACCTGTCCAGTTCCCAGCACTTTTTCTGAGGGAAGTCCAAAGCTTCAACATGCAAGACCATCTACCTATTTCAGGCCTGCCGGCTCTTCTCCTTCTATCGGATAAAGCAACTGATGCCCCTCCCCCAAGAATCAATCGAATGCGGAACGCGGCGAGTAGCAGGTATGCAGATGAATAGAAGGGTAGGAAAGTGAAGCCCGAGGTGTTCAGATCAGATCAACCTAGATCAGATCGGCCACGTTCATGGGCATTTCCTCGATCTGGGTGCTGTAGAACTGCTCGATCTCACGCATCATGCGCACATCCTCGGCCGTGACGAAGTTGATGGCAACGCCCTTGCGGCCGAAACGACCACCACGACCAATGCGGTGGATGTAGTTCTCACGGTTGGCAGGGAGATCGTAGTTGATAACCAGGGAAACCTGCTGGACATCGATGCCGCGGGCCAGAAGGTCAGTGGCAATGAGGACGCGCGAGGAGCCCGATCGGAATTCCTTCATAATCAGGTCACGCTGGGCCTGGTCCATATCGCCGTGCATGGCGGAGACGGTGAAGTCACGAGCAGTCAGCTTGTCGGTCAGCCAGTCAACCTTCCGGCGGGTGTTGCAGAAGATGACGGCCTGGGTGATGGTGACCGTCTCGTACAGGTCGGAAAGCGTATCAAGCTTCCACTCTTCCTTCTCAACAGCGATGTAGAACTGCTTGATACCCTCGAGGGTAAGCTCGTCCTTCTTGACCAGGATGCGGACAGGGTCACGCATGAACTTGGTGGTGACCTCGAGGACGTCCTGGGGCATGGTGGCCGAGAGGAGGACGACCTGAGTGGACTGAGGCAGAAGCTGGAAGATGTCGTAGATTTGCTCAGTGAAACCACGCTATTTACCGTGTTAGTAAAAGGTAGGCGCACCGGTTGTGAACTGCAGCAGGGGCAACTTACAGAAAGCATCTCGTCGGCCTCGTCGAGAACGAACATCTTCATGGAGTCGGTCTTCAGGAAGCGACGCTGGATCATGTCCTGAACACGACCAGGTGTTCCGACAACGACTTGGGGACCATCCTGAAGGGCCTTCATATCATCGCGAACACTGGTTCCACCAATGCAGGCGTGGCACTCGACCTTCATGAAGTCGCCAATGGCGACGACGACCTTCTGGATCTGCTGAGCCAGCTCACGAGTCGGGGCAAGAATGAGAGCCTGGCACTGCTTGATGTTGGGATCGATCTTCTGCAGAACAGAGATGGAGAAAGTAGCCGTCTTGCCGGTACCGGACTGGGCTTGGGCAATAACATCATGACCTGGACTGACGTCAGCGAAAACCGTCCGCCGGTGAGAGGATTGAGGTTGTCCATACCCTTGATGACGGGCATGATAGCGCGCTGCTGAATAGCAGAGGGGCGCTCGAAGCCATAGGCATAGATACCTTGGCAAGATTAGTTAAGCCAGGTCGGAATGGGTTGGGTTGGCCAGGAGATCCTCACCTCGAAGCAACTCGGACTTCAGGTTCATGTCATCGAAGGAGTCAACGGTCTCGTCATAGTTGGACTCGATCTGTCCTGCATTATTGTGAGACTGGTTAGTGGCAGGACATTGGATAGGTGTGAAAGAGTGGCGAGGTGTATGATGCAGGAATGAAGGTGTGCGCCTCCGCGACCAGGCGTGATGGGATGGTCGCCGGGATTGAGAGGATTGAGAGAAAACTTACCCTCGGGGACATCTTCGAGTCCCTTATCAGTAGCCATGATTGCGAGTGAAGTGTCGCAAAAATTTCCAGATCACAAGCCCTGCTTGAGATCTAGAAATACTCGATGAAGTTGATGGTGGGGCAGAGAGAAAAAAATCGGCAGACGTCTCGATCAGAGAAGTTCTGCAGCGTCCCGACGGAATAGAATTAGGTCGAAACGAAATAGACTCAAAATCTCCCAGTATTATCACTGAGAGCGCCCGAATCTAGAAAATAATGGGATGTTTGCTCGTGATGTTCTTCTTTGAAGTTTGGTGGGTTGGAAGAGAGAATTCTCAGGTGGGAGCAGGATGGAAAAAAATTTGGGTGACCGAGATATATTGCGCCTGAGGCCAAACAAAGCTAATAGGGCCCCACCACAGGTAGGAGGGGCGAGGGCTGACACAGTGGAACGGTACAAGGTACTTGCCAATTCCCCACTAATTAAAACAGCAGTCATATCCGGGCGGGAATCGCATCGACGAATTAAATAAATTTTAGGTTCCAGGATACCGAGTATTGAAAAACAAATAATTTTCAAAAATAAAACAATCCTTTACTCGACCTTCAAGCTTCATGACTCCTGAGTCACAAAACCTAGATATTTGAGTCACAGAGCAGCATTTGGAGTCACGGATCTGCGTAAGCTGAGAATTTGGTCGCCACTGCTTCTTGCCTGGGATTCTGACTCCTTTCCCAGGTCATGACGCCAAATGCCAGCGGAAGGCACGAGGATCCTGCGGGTGATCTTCTCCAGTCTGGACCTTCAATCCCTCTCCATCCACTAGGGATCAAGCCCTTGGGAAACCAGTACCTATCTACGGGCCCCAATGCGCGCACATCTGCCGGAACCCTCCAAGCCCTGCCCGACGAGGTTTTGGCAGTGTTTCTCGAATACCTTGATCAGAGAAGTGTCAGACTCCTAGGCTATACTTGCAAGTTTCTCTATGCATTTTGCAATTATGATGAGCTCTGGAAGACCTTATTTCTCGAGTAAGTCTATTCCACGGAGCCCAGCACCCCCTGAACTGTTGTTGCCTAGTCAACGTGGCGGCTCGAAACCCCAGAGCTCTTGTTGCCTGTCTGTACCAGTGAGATGGATGTCTTGTGGAGAATGCTGCATGCAAATGCGGTCCATGATGCTGTTGTTGACGAACGTTTAGTGTGCATTCTTCGGAAAGTTTACCCTTCACCTGGCGTGGGACCTGGAAATCAACACTGTTAGACCTCCCAAAGGAGAAGCAGATCAAAGTTGACTGTAGCAACGTATTCTCGGATGTGTTGCATAGGCCTTTTGTCTGCAGTCATGTCGCGCTCGGCCAGTTCACATCCAATATACCCCAGGCCAACCAAGTCCGCCGCTTTGAAAACCTCAGCTATGAAGGGTTCTCAAGCAAGTGGAGTGACAAGCCGTTCATCCTGACGAGGTGTATCCAAGAGTGGCCAGTCTGCCAAAGCTGGAATATGGACAAACTCTTGAGCAAATACTCGGACGTCGAGTTTCGGGCGGAGGCTGTCGACTGGCCGTTTTCAACCTACCACCAATACATGTTGGACAGCCGCGATGAGAGCCCCCTGTATCTGTTCGACCGGAAATTCGCTGAGAAGATGCAGATAAGGGTGGGGAAGGAGGACGGCGCGGCGTATTGGAAACCTGACTGCTTCGGTTCGGACTTGTTTGAGCTGCTTGGGGACGAGAGGCCTGCTCATCGGTGGCTTATCATAGGGCCCGAGAGGAGTGGCTCGACTTTCCACAAGGATCCGAATGGCACGAGTGCCTGGAACGCGGTGGTCCAGGGCGCAAAGTACTGGATAATGTTCCCGTCATCTGTCTCGGTTCCTGGCGTTTATGTGTCCAAAGACAATAGCGAAGTCACAAGCCCCTTGAGCATCGCCGAGTGGCTCCTAGAGTTCCATGCCGAGGCGCGTCGACTTCCAGAATGTGTCGAAGGCATTTGCAATGCAGGCGAGATACTACATGTACCAAGCGGCTGGTGGCATCTAGTGGTCAATCTTGAGAGTGGAATCGCCCTCACGCAGAACTTCGTGCCCGAGTCACATCTCGTCGAGGTATTGTCATTCCTGAGAGACAGGCCAGAGCAAGCCACGGGATTTAAGAAAGGTATCGAGGATCCTTACGGCTTGTTCGTCAGTCGGTTGGGAGAGCAACGACCGGAGCTGCTCGCAGACACGTTGGAGGAGCTGAACCAGAAGCAAGGCCGGAAAAGAAGGAGATGGGATATGGCTGTTGGTCATAGTACCGAGGAGGATCAACCACAAAAGAAAGGCACCGGGTTCAGCTTTGGGTTCTGTGACGACGAAGGCGAAGTTCCATAGATCTGTCCTGCCACTTTTTGTGGCTAGAATGCAAAATAGCCAGCAAATGTTCATGCGAGGTGCAACAGTAACCTGGAACCTACCTCTACCTCCCTACCTTAGGTACGGACGGGCGTACAGTATCTAAGGTATCTCGGTACCTTCTTAACGGAGACTTCTGCCTGCGTCCCGATAGGTGCCCTGCCAAGAGCAAACTCCTAGACTTAACTTTGCTGGAAGCCAAAATGGTTTGTCCCACCTCATCACCCCACCTCGCCACCCCACCAGCCCCCCCAAAGCTTCCAAGCTGTGACGTTCCGTCCAGATACCTGACATTCGCTTGACAACCACCTTCCAGTCATCCCTCCTTCAAAAATTCTCTTCTTCGTACAGGACATCTAGGACTTACAAACTTACTCCCAGAACGTACCTCAAACCTCTCTACATCAATCACAGGCAAGCTCAACGTCCTTTCTTTTACCCCACCAAGGCCCAATCGCCATCTCAATGCTCCCAAGAAAAAACCCCGCCATGACTGTCATGACAAATTGAGCTCTTTTAGGCATGCGGGATATATGAATTCTTCACACACTGCTTCCCATCAGTAAATTTTCATCGAGATTGGCATGCATTATCCGCACTACCAATTGGCTTGTGGTCCCTTGGCTGGCATATCTCCTCTGTTTTCTCCCATACTCTTCTTCGGATTCCCCCAAGCAACCACGAAACATCCTGTGTGGCGTGATCTCTGCCTATTAGCTAACACTAAGAGTAAATAGGATCCATCTTCTTCTACTATCAAGATGCCTATCTCCAAGATCCACGCTCGCTCCGTCTACGATTCTCGTGGCAACCCCACCGTCGAGGTCGACCTTGTCACAGACACTGGGCTGCACCGAGCCATTGTCCCCTCTGGAGCATCCACCGGTCCGCAAACCCCATTTCTGAAGGTGAAATTGTACTGACGTATATGGCCAGGTCAACACGAGGCCTGTGAGCTCCGTGATGGTGACAAGTCGAAGTGGGGAGGCAAGGGCGTCACCAAGGCCGTTCAGAATGTGATTGACACCATTGGCCCAGCTCTTATCAAGGCGAACCTCGACGTCAAGGACCAGTCGGCAGTCGACAAGTTCCTCATCGACCTCGATGGAACTCCCAACAAGACCAAGCTTGGAGCCAATGCTATCCTGGGAGTCAGTCTGGCCGTTGCAAAGGCTGGTGCTGCTGAGAAGGTACCCAACAAATGGAAGGATACACGTCGTAGGACTGAGCTGAGCTGACGCGGTTTAGGGAATCCCTCTCTATGCCCACATCTCTGACCTTGCTGGGACCAAGAAGCCCTATGTGTTGCCGGTGCCCTTCATGAACGTTCTCAACGGAGGGTGAGTTACGGCCATTCTTCAAGGCAGGGTACTCACTAACACGAGCAAAATAGGTCCCATGCCGGTGGCCGGTTGGCTTTCCAGGAGTTCATGATCGTCCCATCGTAAGCCACCTCGAGCCCCGGCGGATGGAATGCGGACGGCTAACAGTTATCTAGCTCTGCCCCTTCCTTCTCCGAGGCCCTGCGCCAGGGAGCTGAGGTGTACCAGATCTTGAAGAAGCTCGCCGTGAAGAAGTACGGCCAGTCTGCCGGAAACGTCGGTGACGAGGGTGGTGTCGCTCCCGACATCCAGACTGCGGTAGAGGCTCTCGATCTGATCACCGATGCCATTGAAGCGGCGGGATACACCGGCAAGGTCCATATCGCCATGGACGTTGCTTCCACCGAGTTCTACAAGGAGGAGGAGAAGAAGTACGACCTGGACTTCAAGAACCCCGATAGCGACCCGACCAAGTGGCTCACCTATGAGCAGCTGGCTGCTCTTTACGGCGATCTCTGCAAGAAGTACCCCATTGTCAGCATTGAGGACCCGTTCGCAGAGGATGACTGGGAGGCGTGGAGCTACTTCTTCAAGGCCCAGGATATCCAGATTGTCGCAGATGACTTGACCGTCACCAACCCTCTGCGCATCAAGAAGGCCATCGAGCTCAAGGCTGCCAACGCCCTGCTTCTCAAGGTCAACCAGATCGGCACCTTGACCGAGTCCATCCAGGCCGCCAAGGATTCCTATGCTGACGGATGGGGTGTCATGGTGTCTCACCGATCCGGCGAGACCGAGGATGTCACCATTGCCGACATTGTTGTTGGTCTCCGAGCTGGCGAGATCAAGACTGGCGCTCCGGCTCGATCTGAGCGTCTTGCCAAGCTCAACCAGATCCTTCGGATCGAGGAAGAGCTCGGCTCCAATGCCGTGTATGCCGGCGAGAACTTCCGCAAGGCTATCAACCTCTAAGGTTGAAGAGAGACCCACTCGGAGTGCATTGGACGAAGCTGTAAGGCGGATCCATGCCCCATGCTTTTAGCTTGGTGACTTGGCTTGAATGGAATCGGAATGCTTACGAAAATGGTGAAAATGGAATGATAGAATGCTCATGGTTGGGTGGAAAGGCCTTCATAACAAAATTCAAGCCATGGCTCTTGTCGTTGCTGTTGATACAGTAGCGCTTGCTATGGCTATCGATAGCTCTTTGCCGTGGCTATCAATATCACTATCGATGGCTCTTTCGGTCACTGTCAATTGCTCTTGCCGTCACTGTGAACTCGTTGAAACGCATCTCGATTGCAGAGTTTCGTAGGCCCCACTAAAGCACTGCAAAACTCCCCTACAGACACAGGCAAGCGTGCTTGCCATACGATTCTGTCATGGACATTTTTTGGTACCCGGAGGTGGTCTTCGAGAACAATTCTGGAGAGTTAGGGAACGGAATGCTACGCTAATAATAGAAATTACCTTTCTTTATGATCCTCACCACTAATGTAGGCATCCGTCACAATCTAAAGCCACTTTACCAATTCCAAATCTCCAGTCCCTGGTTATTAGGTAGGTAGGTAAGTAGAGGATGGAATGCAAGCAAATAGGTAGGCTTCATGTTAGCTTCCGTCTGGGGTGCCCGAGCAGTGACCACCGACCGTTCTCATGAGTGGACACATGAATTGTGTGTGAGCCAATTAGCACCCGATCCTGCACCTAGCTCCTCTCGCCGAAAACCAGCTAGCCTTGGAACCACCCACTCACAGACTCACAGAACCACAGAGAAGGGCGGCCAAAGATGGCCACTGCGACCCCACGCAACAAATAAGACGCCCCAAAAGTGCAGCTGTGCAGTACTGTGCAGTAGCCAAGAGCAGCAGCCAGGCAGGTCGTTGACCTCAGCTGAGTTGAAGTGAGCAGGTGAGCGTAGCCTAGCCTTCCCGACTGACTACCTACCTTCCAGACTAACAACCAACCTTCAACAAGGTTCCTTCTCTCCCCCTTGCGACGCAACAACAACAAACCACCTAACCCAACAGCCTAGTTTCGTGACCCTCGCTGCGCCCCCTTTCACAGGCATCATTCCCGTCTCTTTACGGAATACGGTTTCGTCGTACGGAGTTCCTCTATCCCCACTCTCACCACTCCCCCTACCCGATTCGACATCCTAGACGTCAATGATGCCGGCTCGAACATGATTACATGCGAAGAGGCAACCGCCGTCCATTCCATTTCGCCCTTATACACTCAACACATTCACCATCATCATTGTTGGCTGGCGAGAGTCCGATTCAAAAATCCCCGATCCGGTTCCGCCCCTTAAGTCCGCGAATGCCATTCATTTCGAGCCCACCGTTCAACCCCATTTTGCGACCTTCCCACCGTTCCCACCGCTCCCGCCGTCCCTTCAATTGCCTCAGCCGAGTCGCGCACGCTTCGCTCGTCGCGGCTGACTCGGAGACGAGCTCTTTCGAACTCCGGTGACCTTACGCAACAAGTCTAATTAATTCGTGTACTGTGATCGCAACGGCCCGCTTCATCTTGGTCTCTACCCCTTCTATCACCGGGAGCCTGTCTCCCTCGGCGCAAACATGGTTTCCGACGAGACATACGACATCTGTCTCCCGATCCTGCAAGACCCCAGCATCGATGACGAGGAGAAGACGGACAAGCTCGAGGACCTGCTGAAAGAGAAGACTAGCCTCACCGGCCAAGCTCTAGAACACGCGATTTTAGATGCGCTTTGGAGATATCGTGAAGGCGGTGGCAATGCGACATCGCCGCCGCCGATACGACAGACTATACTGCGAAGACCGTCGCCGGCTTCGTGGCGTGGATCGGCGACCCCATTGTCGGGCTCTCCTCGCCTTGGCGTGAGCCCGCTTGTTCCCCCAGGTTTTGTGCCTTCGAGCTTCAGCCGGAACAAGTCATCGACCGCATCGCCTTTCGGTTCGCCCAGGCCATCTCCCCATCTCGCCTTTGCAACCCCGATTATACCCCACAGCCCCAATCTGGGTGCCTACCAGTTTGCCCATGATGATACCCCTTCGCAGGTGACGTTTGGTGATTTCCAATCCGACAACGTGGACTGGCTCGTGAGTGATGATGCTGCTAGCGTCACTTCATCGGTCGGCATCTCCAGCGGACTCAACGTCGCCGCGCCCGAGTTCGTCTCCTCGCAGCAGACGGACATGACCCCCTACGACATGCTGAGGTCCATCCTTGGCCAGTCGCGAACCGACGAAGAGATTGATGCTGCTCTGGCCATGCACGGATATGACCTCGGGGCCACAGTTGCCGCCATAATGGAGACTCAGGTGCGGGACAACTTCGCCATGGCTGTCCAGGCAGAAGAGGCGCAGACTGTACTGATCGGCAAGTCGATGACCCCTGACGGCCGACCGGTTACTCCCGCAGATCAACAGAAATCCGGAGTTATTTGCAAGTTCTTCCTGTCGACCGGGCAGTGCATGCGGGCAGACTGCCGCTTCAGTCACGATCTGAGAAGCCACATCTGCAAGTAAGTGTGGTTTATTTAGACCCAAACCCGTGTTTTGTACTGCTTTGCTAACAACCTGACTCTGAAGGTACTGGGTAGCAGGGAACTGCCTCGCCGGTGAGACTTGCATATTCTCACATGACCCCGCGCATCTCGTCAAGGGATTACAGATCGATGGTGCCAGCACGCCACCAGCTCAGAAAGCGAATCCTCAGATCCCGGACCAGAGCGGGTTTCCATCCTTGAAGCCAGCGACGCCAGGGACACCTGACCAATGGCTCATGTTTACTGCTTCTGCGAACTATTCCTCCGGCGGGATACCTCCACCGCCGGGTTTCAAGCCGTTACAAGGTTATACAGGCGAGCGCCCTCGCTCTCGCCCGGGTAGTCGTCACCAGGACCAAAAGGTGTCCACGCCCGCTGCCCCCTCGCTCGACGATGCAGATGCCTTTCCATCCCTGGGCTCGACATCGTCGAAGCAGGGCAAGAAGCACCACGGCAAGCGGGGCGGGCACGGGCACGGGCATAAAGAAAACTTCACCCCGAGCACCCTTGCCGACATTGTGAAGATGTCGCCGTCCCCCGCACCGACAGCGGCACGACTGGACCGCAAGCTTGGCCGCAACGGCAGTTCCACCAGCATCCGTAACGGAGAAAATAGCGCTGCTGCCCAGGCGATCCCCAACCCGAAACACATCCCGTGGCTAGAAACCGGCGAAAAGGCCAACAGGGCCTATCTTAAGGCTCGCCAAGAGGCTATCAAGCACGGCGGCCTTAGGAACAAGTTCTTACAGAGGTTCGTTCCCATTCAGCAGTACTGTCTCGCTCCGCGCTCTTGCGATTATACTGACATCTATATAGTGCTGCGCAAGCCTGGAACCGTAACGATGCACGTGCTGCGAAGGCGCTCAGCCTACGTGGCCAGAGCGAGAACGATCTCATGAGAAAGGCGCACCGCGAGGCTGCCCGAGAGTTGTACGAGGAGCGCAACAAGAACAGCTCGAACAGCCCGGAGATGTATGTCGATCTGCACGGGCTCCATCCCGAGGAGGCCGTCGAGTACCTGGAGCGCGTCCTCTTGGAGAATAGCAAGGAGCCGCGGCCCGTCTACGCCATCACGGGGAGCGGCCACCACAGCAAGAACGGCAAGGACAAGGTGGGCAAGGCGCTGCGGAATTTCCTCAACGAGTGGAGGTATGCCTACCGCGAGTTCTCGGTTCCCGGCGACCGGAACAACATGGGCGGGATCCTAGGGATCGATGCGAGGAGCTGGGACAAGTCCCTCTCGCGGGAAGGAGGCGCATCGCTGGCGACGAAGGAGGAGGAGCCCAAGGTTGAGGTGGACATTCTCGACCAAGGGGTCGAGATTGGGGAGGGCAAGGTGAGGCTGCTGGTCAGAGACACGTCTGCGGCCAAGGAGCCGCCCAAGGGGCCGAGCGCATACCGGGCTCGGTGACCACAGCGAGGGAGGGGATAGGGGGGCTATTACCGAGGATTGACATAGCTACCCAGGTCTGCAGTTAGTGGTCGAACAAAGTAGTAAAACTAAGAAAGGCGAAACGCCAGTCCAGTAAACCACACGAGTCCACCCGCTCATCGTCGGAAGGATATCCCACCGGCCCGCAGACGAACTAGGTACTGTAGGTTACATTGCTAGTTCGAGATCGATGCTTGGAACCTGTTGGCAGATCAAGAGGCTCTGCTTTGCGAGTGACGTCGAGGTGTGCAGGGGAGCTGGCCAATTGGGAAGGGGGAGTGGGGGAGGGGCAAGGGCTGATCGAGGATCACCCATCATTGCTGGCTGCTTGGGCCTGAGAGCTTCGAAACGTCTGAAACCACTCCCTTTTCAATGGAGGATATCTGTCTGTCTGCTACATCTCAACGTCGAGAACTCGTCCCTCCCTTTAAATCAACATCGTCTCTGTGCTGTGGCGTCTGCACTACGTTGAACAGACGTTGCATTTCCGCCCCATCCGTAAACCCTGTCCAGGACGTGCGGCTGCGCCCCAATTAACTTACACCCTACCTTGGGACGAGGAGCAGCTTCAATACCAAGACTACCCACCTCCTGTTATTCTCCTCTCTTCTCGACTCAAATGGCCAAGATCAGCTAGCACCCGCTTCTATGCTTTTCTGCTTTACCTAGCTTCCCGGCCCAACCATTGTTGACCGGAAGAGATCGCCCAGTTTCCACCAACAGCCCTACCTCTCCCGGCCGTTCCGGTTCGAGGGATTCCTACCCATCAACACCCCCCTCACGATGCCGGCCGATTACCAGTCAGCGGCAGCGGCGCTCGCCATTCCCCCGATGCCCTCGCCCCCGACCTCCCCCTCCGCCGCGACGCCTCCGTCCCCCGACCTCGAACCGGGTAGCCCCCTCCCGCCCTGGGCCCGCCCGCGCACCGCCTCCACCTCGGCCCGCCGCCTCTCCTCCCGGCCGTACACCCTGCACAACCGCGCGCACTCGCGCCAGCCCCTCGCATCGCGCCTCCTGCACGCCGCGGCCGCGGCCGGCGAGCGGGCCTGGCGCCTGTTCCGGCGGCTGCCGCCGGCGTACCGGGTCCTCGTCGTCGCGGGCGGCGCGGCGGCGCTGGCGCTGGGGATCACGTTCGCCGTCTTCAGCGGGCGCATCCTCGCGGCGCTGGGTCCCGTGGCGCGGTCGTGGAAGGCCCTCCCCCTCGGCTGGGCGCTCGTGTGGCTGCTCGTGTTCGCGGCGGCGTTCCCGCCCCTGGTGGGCTACAGCAGCGCCGTGACGGTGTCCGGGTTCGTCTACGGGTTCCCGCACGGGTGGCCGTTCGCCGCCACGGCCACCGTGGCGGGGTCGGCGGCCGCGTTCCTGGCCAGCAGGGGGGTGTTTGCGCCGTACGTGCAGAGACTTGTTGGCCGTGACAGGCGGTTCGTCGCGCTCGGGCAGGTACTCCGCCGCGACGGCATCGGTGTTCTCACCATGATACGCTTCTGCCCGTTGCCGTATAGCCTTAGCAATGGGTTCCTCGCCACCATCCCGAGCATATCTACCGGGTCGTTTGCCGTGAGCACCGCGCTGTCGACGTGAGTTCCCCTTTGAAGCTCTCTATTATTTGGTCCCCCCCCCCCACCCCCCCCCAAACCAAAAAAAGCAACCAACTAACCCCCGAAACAGCCCAAAACTCCTCGTCCACGTCTTCATAGGCAGCCGGCTCGCCCTCCTGGCCGAGGAGGGCGACACCATGACGGCCGGCGACCGCGCCGTCAACTACGCGGGCATGCTCCTCGGCGGCCTGGTGGGCCTCGCCGTGGGGCTCGTCATCTACCGGCGCACCATGGCCCGGGCCGCCGAGCTCGCCCTCGAGGACGACGACCCCGACGCCGCTGCCGCCGCTGCCGCTCTCGGGTTTACCGGAGAGGAGGGTGAGGAGGAGGATGAGGAGGAGGGAGGGGGGCGGGAGGAAGGGGCCCGACTGCTGCGTGGCTCGTCCGCTGCCGGGGCTGGGGCTGGGGGACCCGACGCTTCTGAACTCGACGCGGCGGCGCTGATGGATGATGATGACATATCGCTGTGGGAGGCGGAGGGTGTAGAGGGCGGGTATAGGGATAGTTGGGATGAGGAGGAGGCCGTTGGCGGCGGCGGGGCGGTGGATGGGAGGAAAGGATAGGAACGATGTTGTCTTTTGCTTGAAAAGAGACATGCGTTGGGGAAAGGGGGTTTCGAGGCACTGGCACTTTTTGCATTGGCGGCGTTCCAGGGAACAGGTTATAAATAGATGGTCAGTGAATACTTTTCAAGGGCTACCGTCTCGCAATGATTGGTTCTGTTGGTTAGGTCAGTACTGCTTGTACTGGGTCGTATGATGGATAACGAATAGAGATCAATTAGACGGCCTATAACTCGGAAGTTGTTGGGTTCTTGGAGTCATGGTGAACTCCCCGTTTCCATTCAAAATCACGCTATATTTGATAGAAAGAAACCTAAGTAATTTGCCTTGTATCGCATACTCCTGCTCCTTAAGAGTTCCAAGACGCCATTCGCGATGCCTGTAAATACCAAACGCCAACGCTGAAAGCCAAGACATTATTTCCTACAACAAGGCCAGTCCAGTCTGTTCCGACTTGACAGATCATCCCCGCTAAACGCACATCGAAAGCCATAATCACACTGACAGCCTCGTGGATCGCTGAATCAAGCCAGCCTCAACGGGCTCCCTGGAAGTTTTGCATGAATTGCATGGCCTGCTCCATCGGATAGCCGATAAAGACTGGACCCGTAATATTAAATACCGTCTGTGGGGTGCTGGCTGGTTTGTCCTCTTTCGTCTCTGGGACCGGTGGTGGTGGGTTTACAAAGGTTGGCATCGTAGGCGGTGGCAGATAACTGGCTGGAGGGAACGGGTTCTTGACTGGAGTAGATGGTCTCTCGATCCTCGGTTCCGGCTCGGCAGCAGCAGCGCTCGCCAACGGTGCCTCGCCCTTGGGGAACGGCGACGCGAAGGCCAACTTTGTGTGATCGAAGGGGCATTTCCGCGCCGCCGTACCCTCCACCTGCGGCGTCGGCACGGGGCTCGGCATGCGGACGGGTGCCGCGGGCGACGACTCCCGTCGGGGGTGGGGGTGGTCACGCTGGTTCGGCGCGGAATAGACGGGGATGGAGATGCCCCAGGGTCTGCTCGGTGATTCCCCGACCCTAACCTCGTTCAGGGGCCGGTCAAAGTGGCTCTCACGCTCCTCGCCCATGGAGCTCTCGGGTTTCTGGTCCTCGGGTTTCTCGGGATCTCCTGCCTCGCTAACACTGACGCCGTTCGCCCAAGTTTCAACACGGTCGTTGGAAGCGCCGCCCACTGCATCCTCTTGCTCCGCGGTCGGCAGCATAGGTTGATGGAGTTGGCTGAGGCCTTTGATCATGCTCGAGAAATTGCCGTACTTGGCATCGATCTTCCTTATTTGATCTTGAGTCTTCTGATATCGTCGTACACACACTTCATGGCTGCGAGGAATCTGGTGCTTGTGTTTCTCCACATATTGCGCGATCTCCTCCGGCGAATGCTGATCGAGGAAGCGAATCGGGCATTTGGAAGCAGATCCGTGCCCAGCCGAGGGAGCCGGCGCAGACATGGTCTCTTCGTACATGGCTGCACAGATGGGATCCGTCGACCGGTGAGGGGTCGGATCGTCTGTTGCTGCATCGGCGGCGACGGAGACGACGTTCGGTTCTTCGGCGACATCGTACTTCTTTGAGAACGGGCATTCCAGGAGACCCTTGCGACCCTCGACGGTGAAATCCTGCTCAAGCACTGTGGAGAGTGAGGTCATAGTTTCCGTCGCCGAGAAGGGCGATAAAGCCTCCTTGTCCGAACCGCTTCCCTTGCTCATGTCCGCCGAGATCGCGAGCTTTTGGGCCGCTTTCCTGCCTTCTCTGATGAATAGAGCGATATGATGTTGGCTGTCCGACTGTCCGCGTCTCGGGAGAGGGACGAAGTTTGTGGCTTCTACTGTTGAGGGATGCAGATCCGGTGGCAGCTGAAGCTTGGCCAGGGTTTCCGATATCTCGGGAACCGCTGGAGCATACTTGTCGGCAAGATATTGATACTAGAAGTGCAACCCAAACGTCAGCTAAGGCGCCAAAAGCGTCTCGTGGGATGGGGAAACGTACTTGCTCGTGGGCGAAACGCAGTTTGTGCTCTAGAATGGTCTTGCGGTCAATCAAGGACTGAACCTCATCGGCAAGCGCATTGAAAGACTCGACCAGAGTCTTTGTGTGATGAAGGCAATTCATTACATTGACGGTAGGAGCGATGGTGAGCTGCGCATTTATCAGCTTGGATGCCGGGCCGGGCCTTGGGTAGAAAGCCTGTGTCAGGTGCTTGTCATTCTGCCTTAGCTGAGTCGGAAGTTAGGTAAGGCGAAGATGCAATAATCGCGGATTCCGTCCGAAGTTCGGACGTGGACAGGCAGCGGGGCGGGTCTACCAGGGTACCACCCGACGGCACCTACCGATTATTACGTAGGTACCTTATCTCTCCAGCAAGCAGCAAAGGGCGCCTACTTCGCGCCATCCAATACCTAGGGATTCCCGATACCTAGGTGGGCAGGTAGGCATTTTGGTACTTCGTATCATCTCACCAATTATCGTCTAGCCATTCTGGCAAGCCATATTATTTAGACGGTTGCAACACCTGAACAGTACCTCAAGTTGCGTTGAGGAACTGCCTAGCTAGAGCGGCTATCGGCAGTTACTGATCTCGAACGGCGCCGCTCCGGCCCAGGCTGAACTACTGCGTAGAAGTGGCCCCTTCTAGCTCCAGCCTCCAAGCCAAGCAGGAATGGCTATACAACCCGCGCGGTTGATCAGCCGAAAGGCTCACTTGATACCCGGTGAGAACTGCCTAGGCGCCTCTTCTCTCCGACAGGGCTTCTAACTATCGTCCAGGTCAGTTTCATGTTGCCGAGCTCTTCTTCGAGGTGCCAAAGAACTACGCAAACCCAGCTGCCGGCACTCTGAGGCTATTTGGTCGAACTGTCAATAAGTATGAGAGATCGATAACACCGCCTCTGCCGGCCGAGCTGGAGCAGCTTCACCAAAGGCCCTACTTCGTCTACCTCGAAGGAGGGCCAGGCTATGGCAATCGCGAGCCCCAAGAGCTTCCTCTGACCAGGTTCCTTCTGGGTCGTGGGTACCAGGTGCTGTATCTGGACTATCGCGGCACCGGCCTCAGCACCCCGATCAACGCCGAAGCCCTTGCCAGGGAAGGGGACACCCAAGCGCAGGCAGACTACCTCAAGCTATTCCGCCAAGACAACATCGTCCGGGACCTGGAAGCGGTCCGCTTGTGCCTGACAGCTGATCAACGACCGGACAGGCGGCAGTGGTCCATCTTCGGCCAGTCCTTTGGCGGATTCGTCTCCCTTACCTACCTATCCAAGTACCCTCAGGGGCTTCGCGAATCTTTCATCACTGGTGGCCTGGCCCCCGTGCGCAGGACTGCCGAGGAGGTGTACCGGGCCACCTACAGGAAGGTTCTGGAGCGGAACCAGGCTTACTACGACAAATATCCCGAGGACGTCCAGGCAGTCCGTCGAGTCGTTGAATATATCACGGCGCAGGATGGCATTGCCTTGCCAGGCGGTGGTAAATTGACAGCCGGGAGACTGCTAAGCGTTGGCATGTCATTGGGATTCCATGGCGGGCTCGATTCTATCCACAGCCTTATTCTCAAGATGGTTACGGACCTCGATCAGTTCTCTTTCCTTACTCGGTCGACACTCACCGCGGTTGAGCTCAGTGTTCCATTTGACTCGAACCCAGTGTACGCCATTCTCCACGAAGCCATATACTGCTACCAACCCGGAGTCTCGTCGAACTGGGCTGCCTATCGTGTCGGCAGGGAGATCAACGGGTTTTCCTGGCTAGCCGGTCAACCCCCCAGCCAGGAAGAAGGTGGAATGGAGACTCCGCTGTGCTTCGCCGGGGAGATGGTCTTCCCTTTCCATTTCGAGACGTACCCAGAGCTCATGCAAATGAGGGAGGCCGCCCGGCTGCTCGCAGAATACGACGGATGGGAGGACCTGTACGACGAAGAGCAGCTGCGGCGGAACGAAGTCCCCGTCTACGCCGCCAGCTTCGTTGACGATATGTATGTTGACTTCGATCTAGCACGAGAGACCGCCAAGCTAGTCAGGGGTATCCGGGTTTACGAAACGAACTCCCTGTACCACAACGCAATCCGGGCACGGTCAGAGGAGGTCCTACCTCAGCTGTTCAAGATGAGAGACGATCCGGTCGATTAGGGTGCTTCCCCTATTGCTCGTCATCCTGGAACTACATGTCTTCTCTATTCCGGCAGCGTCTTCCCCGCTGCTTGTCTGTGCTCCCTCTAGATTTCGCATCATCAGCTGGAAATCAGCGGTATGTAGTCGGTCGCATTATTCGCATTAGATGAGTATCTTAGGATAGCTTTTTCCTCCAATGCCTTCCAGAACTGTTCTAGCTCGGTGACTGCAAGCCCCCCAACGTATATGACAAACTCGTTGGCCCTGCCTCTTCCGTTGCGACTGATAATGCTAAACAGTTGAAACTCATCGACGCAGGTGCCCATAATCCCGTGATAATGGGCAAAGGGACTCACGAATACACCAGGAAGGCGGACAATCAGGTTTCGCTACATTAGATGACCAATGCCTCTCATTACAGTAGATAAGAACACAAACCTCCGGACCCTATTCGCTGGTATCAATCAGCTGCTTCCCAATGATTGAAATATCCGAAATGCAAGAACAGGGGGACGACAGAAAGAAAAAAAAAATTCCAAACGAAAGCAAAACGGGAACACCCAGTGACAATAATCATTCCCACACAATGTCCTCAGCCGATGATATCCTAGAAAAAACAAACCCGAGCCTATCCAAACAAGAGACCGAGAGATGGCCAATACCCAGCCCTTGCCCCTCACTACTCCCCAACCCAAAAACCACGTTGCGCACCCAACCACTCGCGAGCATCTACCTACCACCTCGGCCCCGCCCTCAGCCAGTGCTGCTGATACGGGAACCTCGGGTCGGGCGGCGGCGGCGGCGGCAGCGGGAGCCACAGCCTCTCCATGCTAGGCAAGAACCTCCCGCTGATGTCCTCCTCCCGCCTTGCGACCGTCTCCCGCAGGACCAGCGCCGCGATCTCGGGGTTCGCGACAAGGAACCCGTTGGTGTCGTCGGGCGCCCGGCGCCACAGCAGGGGCTGCAGGAAGCCGACGCGCGCAAACACCATGCGGAGCAAGGGGTCCGACTCGGCGAGCCCCGAGTACAGCTTGCCGCACAGGCACAGCACCTCGGGCACCGCCGCGTCGCTGCCCGCCGTCTCGAGCATGTCGATGGCCGCGCGCGCGATCTCGCGCTTGAACCCCTCCAGCAGGAACTTGTTGGCCAGAACGTACACGTCGATGTTGAGCTCGTACGCCAGCAGCCACGTCCGCAGGTCCTCGCCCCGGATCCGGCCCCCGCCGTTCGGATCCGCCGGGTCCCACCCGGTCCCGGTCCCGCCCCCCGCCGTCGGCGTCGGCGGCGTGCGCGCCCGCGGCGGCGATCCGGGATAGTACCTCCTCCTCGGCGGGCGCGCGGCCACGCGGTCGCGGTGGTTGCGCGGGTGCGGGTGCGGCATTGGCGGACCCCGGTGCTGCTGGTGGTGGTGGTGGTGGTGGTGGTGGCGCGGGTGGACGCCGCCGTTGGCTAGCATGACGACGGGCGGGTGGAAGGTGATTGGCTGCGGGGGCGGGGCGCGCGGGGCGGCGCACGCCCAGCACGGAGGGCCCGACGCCGTCATGCACGTCGGGCAGCCGCAGTTGGGCCGGTGCATGCCCGGGTGCTTCTGCCGCATGTGTTCCCAGTGGCGGTCCTCGCGCCGCCGCCGCCGCGCCCGCCGCCGCCGCGACGCAGCGCTGATGTCCGAGTCCGGAGAGCCCTCGCTGTCAGAGCTGCCCGAGGAGGCGTCGGTCGAGGCGGCAGGGTCTTTTCCCTTGCCCTTGTCGACGTCAGCGGCTATAGCGGAGGCGCGGTTGGTTAGCTTTTGGACATCGGTATTGCCAAGGGGTGGGCTTGACTTACATAGCGCACTGGAGGCGGGCTTGATAGGGTCGTAGCGGCCTTCATAGAGGTACGCGACCAGGAAGTGGAAGATGGAGGGATTCTCCTCGGGGAGGTCGATGGACTGCGTCGCCGATTCCCGGAACTCTCCACATAGAGCCTTCTTGAAATACTCAGATTTGGTCAAGATGTGTTTATGTACCTGATTAGGGGTCCTTTTTAGCATGCCCCTACTCAGTGCTTCAAGCGAGATAAGTTGAAAAGTGAGAGAAATAGGGGGTGCCCTTACATAGAAAGTCTCAATATGCGGTGGCGCTCCTACCCGAAGTGGGATGATGGGAGAGCTGTAGCGTCTGCGACCGACGTTAGCACTGGCAAAGCCATGTTATAGCAATGGGTTTCATGAAGGCAGGAGGGTCACCAGTGGATGGCGATGCGCAGCAACAGAAGGCTCATTATGAAAGCCCGTCCTCCGCTCAACCCATGTCGATTGCGTGCGACATAGAACCAGAAAGGAAAAAGCGCGCCGATCGCACATACCCGTCCGAGGTTGAAAGCCACAGATCTTCCCTTGGATCGAGCACCTCCCTGCGCTCGAGCCCATCAGGGATTGAGTCCAAAACGACGACATCGGGCAACGTCGTGGATGGCTCCCTCATGACGTCGTCCAGGGTCTCAAGGACAGCACGTCGTCGGCCGCCAGTGTTGGAGCTGCTCCCCTCACCGCCTCCGTTGCCGTCCGCGGCACCTCCTCCCGCCTTGTCCGTGCTTGATGACCCAGACATGGCCCCAGCGTTCGTCGGACCAACGAACAAAATGAGGGATAAAAAAAGGGAGACGCCAAATCGGTTTATTTGCGGCGATGGGGGGGTTTTTGAGGTGCAGCGATAGAGCTGCGACAGCTGGCAAGGCGCGATCAATCAACCACTCATTCTGGGGGGAGGTTGAGTATGCGACAGAAGATGGGGAACGAGGCGACAGGGGGTGCAGATTGAAAAAAAAAAAAAAAAGGAATAAAGGGCACGCTGCGGATAGGATGGAGCCTAGGTTAACACGAAAAAAGAAAAGAGGCAACCAGGAGGGCTGAAGGTCGGCCGAGAAGGTGATGGTGTGTGTAGCGGCGACCCTTTAACAGGCAGCCACACCGGTCGACTATCGTCGGGAGGCACTACCTTCGTTTACATTGATGGGCAACCACCAGAAAATTATGGGAAGGAGGGACAGCAGCCTTCTCGAGCGGGCTGTGTGGTACATGGGTCTGGTCGGCTGGGCCCTAGGTCCATCGCTGGTTGGTCGACTCTACGGAACCTCGCTTTTGTTGGTGTTGCTGTTTTATCTGGGTTTGTCTGCCTTGTCTGCCTCGCTTTTGGCTGTAGCAGAGAAGGTGCGGACGTTGGCATCGCCACCGACGGCATCTTTTCATTTCTCCCTTCCTTGTTTTAATGGAATTTTCCGGGCTCTCTATCTAGAGCAGGGCAGCAAGTAGGTATGGAACATGGAATCAATCCGGGGCATGGCGATCTGGGGTGAAGCGCGAAGAAGGGGGGGCATTTCCTGCATGCTGCCTTGGGAGAACATGGAGGCCTATAGGAGGGGTTCGAATGGTGCCACCGCCGTGCGTCTTCGCTGCAAGGCGGCCGAGGTGCATGCAGGCCGGCGGCGTTTGGAGGACTCGTTGCGTGTGAATGGAGCGCCCGAAAAACTGTGTAAGCATTGAAATTTAGTCCAGGCAGCCCTTCTCACGTCATTGAGGGATCCTCTTATAGGTTCCTGCATGTTGGTTCATGGTTTTGCCTGATGACAATGTTGTTGCGCTTCTGTTCTCTATATCCCCAACGAACAAGTTTTGATATCGACCCCTGCCCGTATGTGCGATCTTGGCATCTATCGGTTCAACAGAGGGGTTTCCTATGTGCTTGAGAATATCTGGATCGTAAGAGGCTGGGGTCAATATCCCGCATTATCGAACGCCTCGCGATAAGTGCCTCACTTGACTGAGCTTGGCATATATCTTTGAGTTCCCTATTTCTGTCAACTTCTGAGTCCCGTCCCAGTTCGGATGCGGCATTTTCGCACGTCACGCGGGGATTCACAGGGTTACTCGAGATGACCAAGGACCAAGCAAGGCGCTGGCCGAGGATGAGGCGATACAGAGGAGGATACATGTCATATCCAGGAGATAGGAGTCTACTCTTCGTCCAAGTCTTGCTGCATTTCCATCTCTGCTTGCCCGTTAGTCTGGACTCATCTCCCACGCCATGTTAGCAACTTACGCCAGATTCTGTTTGCCGAATCGGCAATCACCTTCGCTTTGGCCAGCAATTTTTCGGTATACTTCTCTTCATCCTTTTCAGCAAGGCGGAGCTTGTTTGGCTGTGCCTGCAGGAGAATGGGAACAAGTTCGTAGGGATCGGCGTTGGCGACGGCAGCCACCGTCTTGAATCCGTTATCCCAGAAGATACGACTGTTAAAAAGGAAGATAGTCAGCCAAGCACCTCCGATATCAACCTCGACTTCCTCAGAAGACTTACGCAGTCCTGCTCTTGATAAAGGTGATCTTCGCCAGTGCCAACAGATCAGCCCTTGCTCCAGCCTTCAATCTGTCAGAGAAGTGATCCAGAGCGGCTGCCATCGCCCTATTCAATGTTTAGTTAGCTTAACAGGGAAAAGCCGAAGACCTCCAACCTGGACCTTACCCCCAACCCATGTATTCGCAGAACTTGATCATCCCCGCGGCAAATCCTTGACATGTTTGGGAAAGGTTCTGGACGGCTCCCCGAGGAGTACCGTACTTCTGTGCTACGCGGTGGATGGGTACTTCATTGCACAAGTCCCGGAGCTGCAGAGCCAAGTAGAACCTGCGATATCGCAGTGCTACTTCTTTTTCCTCCGCTGTCGTCTCCTTCATATTGCCTCCAGAGACCCTGGGACAAATTAGCCGTGATTCGACGCCGAAGCCAACGAGAGACCCTACATCTTGCCAACCAAACTTGGCTTCAATCCAAGGAGGCCCATGGCTCTGAGGCCACTGTCATCGAGTCGCTCCATCTCATTCCAGAAAGCGCGCCAATTTATGGTCACGCTTCCTAAGTCATGCACCGGCGTGAAGCTATAGAGCACATGCATATCTCCGTCCATGACGAATGCTTGAAGCGCCTTTTTCAGCTCGTTGTGTATGAAGACTCCGTCCTCTGGATCGAGGGATGATGCAACTATCGCCTGACCCAGCTGCGTGACTTGAAAGTTGGAAAAGGTATCCACGGAGATGAAACCCATCGATTGCAAGTCTGTGAGGCTCGATTCGACATTTGATTGAATAGACTCGACAGCTGCCGAGTATGAAAGCATGGTTTTCCCGACGAAGTCATCTAGAGACTCCTTGCTAGTTGCAAGCCGAATAGCGATGGCCTCAAGTATCGCCCTGGGGTTATTAGTCGGGCGGGAAGGCTTGACATAACGCACAGTCTCCTCTTACCTTTGTATCCGACGTTTATTGGAGATGAGGCAGCTTGAGATCTGCGGAAGATCTGCATTCATCAGGTCCACGACTTCCTCTAGGTCGGTTGGACGACAGCAAAGATAGGTTTCGCCAACTTCATCTTTGCCTTTTCTTCCCGCTCTACCTCTCATTTGGCGACTGATAAAACGGTTAGCAACGTCACCAGGTATCCAGGGAGGGGGACCAATACAGAAGAGAAGGACCGACAAGGTCTCGGCCCATGCGAGCGTTATGGAGGATCACCCTCCTTGCCGGAACTGTGACGTCTGTGAGCTAGTGCCACGAAAGACAGGTAGACACGGGGCGAACTGACGATTTATGCCGGCAGCGAGTGAGCAGGTTGCAACGCACACCTTGATCACGCCGCTATCATAAGCATTGGCAATCAGGTCTCTCTCCTCGACCGTCAGACCAGCCTATTCAAGTCAGTGAGGTCCCAGATCCTAGGGGTCGGAACGTGACTGACATCTGCAGGTGTCAGCGCTGGAATATCGGGCAATTAAACAGACACACCTACGGTGGAAGCCCACGCCACGTGGTATCGTTTGCTCGAGCGTCCGATCCAACCCCGTGCTCAGACTCCTGAGGTTTCCGAGTAGGTCTATGCGCCTCTCCTGGACCGTAAGGTCTGCCTCATTAAACGATGGCATGACACGGCTAATCAGAAGTGCGTTGGACTCGCATCCCGCGCGGGTGCTGGCGAACACCAACGCGCCGTATCCAGACCTTGCCGTTTCGTTCGCAAGTGCGACCACGGCGTTGAGGACCGGATCCTTAAATTCCTTGTGCGTAGACTCCCTGATGACTCTCGTCGGCTGCAGCCGGGACTGAGAACCATTGTCTACGTGGGTCGCCGCCTTGATCAACTGGCTGGTTGTTCCAGCTGGGTATATCCTCCCTTCGTACACCAGATGCTCTTCGATAGGCACTGGCCGATAATGAGTCTCGAATGAGTGGCCTTGCAGCCAAGACTTGAGGAGGTTGATGTTCTTGAGCTAGTCAGCAAGCAAACGCCAATCTTCGGGGCTCAGCAAGAGGCTAACCGTCAGTGTTGCACTCATTCCAATTATCTGTATTTGGTGCCCCACGCAAAGGAGCTTAGTTGCCATGAGCTCGAGGAGATACCCACGATAGTCATCATCGATCATATGCAGTTCGTCCAGGACTACAACTCGCAGCTTGGGGATTGAGCAGTCATCTATCGCGGTGTTCACGAGAGAATTCGCCTGAGCATCCATCCACGTTAGTTGCAACCGGACCAGACGGAGAGGCGGGAAGGGGCCAATGACCTTCTCGATGGTGCAAACCCCAATATCGAAGTCGGCCCAGGTGGCCTTGACCTTGCTGCCACCGAAAAAGCCTACAACCCTTACGGTATCTCTGTCAGGCCGCCTGGCCCAGAGCTTCTGGTTGCTCTCCTCCTGCTTCTGGCCAAGGGCCTCTCGTGAGATGCCCTGCACAACATTTCGGAGCCATCGGACTTTCTCCTGCACAAGAGCGACGTATGGGAGGACCAAGAGCGCCTTGACATCGGGATCCTCCAAGACGCGTTTCAGCATGAGAATATCGGCAACTAAAGACTTCCCCCCACCAGTTGGCGCACTGTAAACCAAGTTCTTCTCACCCTCCAAGAGGCCTGGTCCGAGAAGGCAGTTTTTTTGCCAGGGATAGATAGTTTTGATTCCGAGTGAGTAAAAGTTAGCTACGAGTTCATGGGATAGGCCATAACGGCCATGGGCCAGAGACAGAAGAGGATCGGCAGTCGAGCCAGGAGTGGCGGAAAACTCTTGGCGCTGAGAGTACTCAGACGAGCCATCTGGGATACAACCTGCCGAGGAATCTATGATGCTCGCTGTGAGCCTTGGCGGTCCTATGGGGGCCGTCAATGCTGGGCGGGATGCAGATGGTCGTCGCCGATTGTCGGTGACGACTGACACACCACTCTGAGTCTCGATCAATGTCCGCTTGTGGCCAGCAACAGGATCTGTCTTATAGGTCTGCTGGGCCTCCAGTGCAGACTGAATGGTGGTTTTATGCCATATTCCAATATTGTTCGCCATGTCGGCCGAACGCAACCTGCCTCCCGCGCCGCCAAAGCCTAAGCTTTATGGCTGATAGGATCGGTGGAGGGACATCAAAGCTGAAGGGAGAAGCACCGGTGCAGCAAGTAGAGAGAGGCTATCTCTCGGAAATTCAGGATAGCTATCCGAAGAGCAAGTGGTCGTGACTCTTGGAAAGCGATGGAAAGCAAGGCAACTGGGCAAGATATGGAAGTTCACGGTTGTGTCGCGTTGTCACCTGCATTGCCACGTGGGGTTGGGCTCAGGAGCGGAGCCTGGACTTGGAGCAGCCCCACTCGCCCCAAAAAGATGCCCGCAGCAACACCGCATGGGCTATGAGCGGAGGCGGGACGTTCCCATTGTGCTGACCCCCTGCAAATTTTGGGGGCGCCAGTGGCTTGTTAATTGACTTGTATTTTACAAGGCAACGGCACCCGTTGAGAAGTACCCAGTACTTCGGAATATCATTGGATGGGAATTTGGGCGGGTGGGCTCAAATAGGTTGGTTGCAGCCGCCAGAACAACGTCGAGGCGCCCCCGGATGGTGGTTTTCCTCATTTCAGGATTGAGGGATGTGACCAACAAGGCGAAGAGAACCCGCCGAGCCCGCCTACCACCTCATGGCAATCGCGCGCGTTTATATAAGAAGAATCCCAAGTTTCGGGCTTCCCCCTACCCGATGCTCAGCCGACGTTAGTGTCTCCATACCCGTGCTCTACGCCACACGTAGGTTAGGTAGGTAGTGTACAACATAGTGACCTACCATGTCATCATCATCCCTCGCTGCAGCAATCACCGAAGTGCTCTGCACGCTTATAGTGAGGCCTGATAGTGAAGATAAAAATCGGATCTCAAGTGATGACACAGAGTGGCGAAGGCAATCAGCGACTAACTACTCAACTACGTGACCGGGAATGCGCAGTTCTTGGCTGGAATGTCAATTGCAGCAATGCCAGACATTGTCAGCAGAAGGGGGCGGGCGCCTGTTCCCCATGTCCAGTGCTCGATGCTGTCGCTGATGATGTCGCGAACTTGGTCCGTGAATCAGTGGTATAATGATATGGGAGGGTGGCGATATCAAATATCAGGAGGTATTCCCACAATCTCAATTTACGGGATGCTTAGCCAGCACCTCGTGATGTTCCAGGTTAACTCCAGAACTTTATCGGCGCCCAAAGACAGCAATAGGAGGATCGGAGCGCCCGTCAGGGTTGTAAAAATTACCCGACATGAGGCTTGTACCCTGGACCCAGCCAGGCCGGTACGTACCTCCGTACCTTCCAAACGTGTTCCGGAGCGGGGCGACTTCAGTTGCACTTCGTCCGCCTCTTCTGCGATGCTTGCGCCATAAAAATATAAAAATGGGAAGAGGTCGTGAAGTCTGGGACACAAGGAATGGGGGGAAGGAACACAGATATGCGCTTTGCTTGCAGTTTTCAGGTTCTCATTGGAGAGTTCTTTGATCCATTTCGCTCTCATTGGGTTTGCACCACAGTAGTTTAACCTGACGACCACGATCATGCCCACCACGGCCACGCGTTCTGATTGATGATACTGTAGGGAGACGGGACGCTTTTTGGGGTGGGAAAATTGTTGACGGAGCGGATTCTTTTCTTCTTTCCCAAAGAAAACCGCTTCTCCCTTCATCTCTGCCAGGACTTGAAATCGCGTACTGCACGGAAGCTGGGGCTATCCATACAGGACAGACCTCCCACTCAAGACACCGATATTTACACCCCCTGCCATGCCAAGCCAAGACGAGGAAAATACCCAACGGATGTACAGTTTTAACTTTGAAACGTTGCGCAGCAGTGTTTCTACACTCGGTCCTTCCCGACTCGGACCCAGATCTCTTCGCAATAAATCCGGAATCTGGAAATAGCTGGAGAGTGCGAGAATTGAAGATAAGTGATTCTGTCGCTTGGTAAATACCTACCTCACCTCCAAGGTGGCATATCCGAATTGCACCCGCTGGTAGTGCTTCATTTTCGGGGGGTGGGGCCCGTCTGTCTGTCTCGCCATTAGGCAGGCTGACGGGAAAAAGTGACCCTAATCTTGAGAGGCAACCACTGTGTGAATACTTCATCCAACGCAAATTGAACAAGTACCTCGAGGTCGATAGGTAAGCCGATGGTGGGTTACTACCTGGGTCATAGAACGAGCCACAGGACGCACAAGGATGCGTGCCGGCAGATGCCGGGACAACGCCGAGCCTGGCCACGACTACCTAGATGGCGGCGTGGAGGGCATCTAGCCAAGTGAGAAAATACCTAAACTGCAGGACATGGGTGCGCATCCCCTTGGTTGACCTTGCAATCGGGGCAGTGGATATGCGGGCTGGGGGGAGGTACCAGGTAAGCCGTGGAGAAAGTAAAAATGGCGGGGGGGAATAACGGATGCGATTTCAGCGGATTGTAACAGATTTGGCCAGGGCAGTAGGTATGAAATCGATAGACAGCGGCTTGGGGAACTGCCAGGGGCGAAGGAATATTGGGGTTATTAAGGTGGAAGACGGAAAGACGCAAGAGCATCATGGCCCCAATCTCCCCAATGGGTTACATGTGTCGTTTGGCAGGCTAACACACGCACGCGCGCAGCATATGCGTACAATTTGTGCGAAGATCAGGACCTGATATGTGCCCCATAATAAGTCGATGGAAATACGTACCTTCTGCCCGCCAGCACACCAGCGCGCGCGCAGCATATTTCCCGCCCTGCTTTTCGCTTCCATGGATGAAGCTAGATCCTATGCATATTTGCTCGTCAATTTGATCAGTGATACTAGGTAGCTATCTAGATCGCCAAGGTAGGTCACCACGCCGAGGTAAGTACTGGTAGTTACTACGCAGTATGTGGATGCCTGCTCGCCACGCCTGCCACCTAGTCATTGTCTGCCCCGGCGAGAGAGGAGAGAGGGAGAGAGAAGAGGGCAGGAACTGCCGCGAGAGACCCTCACTGTCGCTGGCCCAAGGCCAGGTAAGGGAATCAGAGACCATCTACCTAGAGCAGATTTGACGGGGTGGATCGGGGGTGACGGTTGGATTTCACGACAGGCCCATTGGGAGAAGGGAATGGAGTGATGTTGATGAGATTTACAGTCCCAAGTAACATTGAGGTACTTCCATCGGCCTGCATGAGCGGTTTGGCCGCGCGGGTGGGTTGGAAAAGATAGAGAATGTGGGATCCCTGACCCCTGCAAGTACGCGGTGGCTACCTTTGACGACACTAGTGCCTGGCCCCACTAAACCGAAGAAGGGTTGTTGTCGATGAAAAAAGGTCGGGGGAGGAAGCATGGCGCCGCCTTGCTTGCCCAGTCCAGTCCCAGGCCGGGCCCCCCAGTCACACCAGACCCAGACGTCTGTCCCATTGTCCATCTCTCCGGCTTCCATTCGCGCACCCTCCTGCGTGGCCCATTGGAGATTTCCCCCTACCAGCCTAGGTACCCATAGTATGGGCCGTACGCAGTACACAGAGAGGTACAGCACCTAGCTAAAATACCTTACCCTGTCTGCTCTGCCCGGCTGTCCATGCCTACCTTAAACTTAGGTTACTTTTGACGTTTCTCACTCTTCGCTTCTCCTTCCTCTACTTCTTCCCTTTTTCTTGTCCTCATATATCTCTTCCCCCCAAATTTCCCTCACCTTTTTCTCCCTCTCGCGAGGGCCCCATGCTTACTTGCTGTGCCCTCTCAAATCCCGACTACATTTCCGTCACATTCCCCCCCAAGCCTGACCTACGCATACACCTCTTCTCATCGTGACTCGCTTGTCACTTTATATGCCATCCTGTCGCCACAGCCCGGCATCCCGCCAACCTTCCAACCTCGCAACCTGGCTGTGGTGTCGGCTCCGAGGATCCTGCTCATTCCCCAAGATATCAGCACCTCGTCACCTACGCGATTGGCTAATATCCATCAGACCTGGCCATCTCTTTCTCACTAATACATTGGAGAGCACCTGACATCCCACCTGCTGCGGCTTATGGATTGGGACCTGGCCCATTTCCGTGTTCGCATACCACCACTATCCTCTTCTGCCGTCTTTTCCTCTCGCGTATTTTTTTGCGAGAGTCGCCTGGACGACCTTGCGTATCCTCTTTTCTGCGTCGCTGCTTTTCGTCTTGTGCCATGGCCCAGAAATCGCAGAATGCAGGCGATTTTGAGGTCCACTCCAGTGCATCCTCTGCCGCCAAAGATGCATCGGGAACCAGCACTGCAAGAAAGCAGTCCGCCACACCAACCATGAATGGCACCGTTTCGACGGTGCTGCCCAAAATGTCGGATCTAGCCCCCGTCATTCAAACCATTTCAGAATCATCACAGCCGATGGAGAAGTCTGTCTCGAATGGCTCAAATGGCTCTGCCAAGGACGCCACTGGCGAGACCGCGTCGCCTTATGGCACGCGCTCTCGTAATCGCAACGGCAACTCACGCATCAACTACGCAGAGGACAAAGACATGGACGTGGAGATTTTTGAAATGTACCCCGAGAGGCGAGATGACGATTCCAAAAAATCCGCGAGGCAGCTACTTCCGTCAAGTGCACCCCAAGGCAACATCCTCCGCGCCGGCACTGGATCGTCGAGGAAGCCACTCCCCGACGACAGCAAGAGCAGCTCTTCCCAAAGCGGCACCAAGGACAGGAGCGCGGCCCCGACACCTGGCTCAATCTCTGGCACCAATTCTGCCACTTCTGCCTCGATTTCGAGAAAGCGCAAGGCCGCCTCGCAGCCAAGTGTGGCGGCCAACCAGGCGCAACCAGCGTCAAATGGGCACTCCGCCGCCCTTCAGAAGAAGCTCGGGGCGGTTTTGCAGGGCGGGAATGGCTATGCTGAAACTAACCTGCTAACCTTTGAGAACTGCGGGGCACGGCCGAAAGGTGGGAAAATGGTGGCCGACGACGGCACGGTTCTGGAGGTCAACAGTAAGTGCATCATCAAACTCCTACGTTTATTTTTGATTGATTTATTTCATTTTTCAGTTATTGGGGGGGGGGGGGATTTTTTTTTGGAGCCCCTCGTTTTCTCCCCCCGCGTCCTCGAGTTGCTGGCGCGTGTTTCTAATTTTCGCTGGCAGATCACGTCTACCTGGTCTGCGAGCCACCCGGCGAGCCCTATTACCTGGCCCGCATCATGGAATTCCTGCACAGCAAAAACGACAGCAGTAGACCAGTCGACGCGCTGCGCATCAATTGGTACTACCGACCAAAGGATATTGGCCGCAAGGTGCAAGACACCAGGATGGTTTTCGCAACGATGCACTCAGACATCTCTCCTCTGACCTCGCTGCGAGGCAAGTGCCAGGTCAAGCACAAGTCGGAGATCCCGAACATGGCGGAGTACAAGCGGTCGCCGGATTGCTTCTGGTACGAAAAGCTGTACGACCGCCACATCCAGAAGAACTACGAGGTCATCCCCACGTCGCAGGTCGTCAACGTGCCCGAGCGCGTGAAGAAGGTGCTCGACGAGCGCTGGAAGTATATTTTGGTGGAGCAGGGTCGGGGTAAAGAGCTCACCAGTGCGGTGAAGCTTTGCAAGCGATGTAGCGGCTACTGCGCCAGGTCAGTCTTACAGTTCCTACTGTCGGTTCGACCGAAACATTTTAGGCCGCCCGGGGCCAATGAAGTGCGAGCTAAGCGCTGACACATCAAACAGCAACGATTCGGTGGACTGTGCGGTCTGCCAAAACACGTATCACATGAACTGTGTCCGCCCGCCCCTGCTGAAGAAGCCGTCACGTGGTTTCGCTTGGTCATGTGCTGCATGCAGCCGAGCACAGGAGAGGAAGCTGGAGGCCCGCCACACGCCCAACCTTTTGGATTCCAATGCTAATGGCGAGGAGGAGGAGTATTTCGACGATGAGGAAGACGACGGTGCCGGCGCCTGCACCGGCGGCACCACTCCCGCCAACGAGGAACACAACGAGCCCGCGACAGCCGAGCAGATCTACCACGCCAGCCTGTGGCCCTACAGGTACCTAGGCATTCACTGCAAGGTAGAAGACGCCTTGGACTATGACGACAGGATCTTCCCCCGCGCCAGCACGAGGCTAGGCCCCCGCCACCAGGCTAATGTCCTTCCCTGGCCCGGCCGCCCTGTTCGCTACGTCAAGCCGCTAGAGATCAAAAAGTCGAACAGGAAGGACGGAAAGCTCAGCAAAGAGGTCCAGGCTGCGATAGAGCAGGAGCGGATCAGGCGGGAGAATCGGCCAAAGTGGATCCAGGATGAACCCCCAGGCTACGTTGCCCGGGGTGAGGACTGCGCCGATGACGACCCGAACAACACGGCGCAGTTGCTCTGGAGGCCGCCGGAGGCTGTCGGTGCCAATATCTCAAACAAGGCAGTGGACGACTTTATGGAAAAGGCCAGGTCCGAGGCACCGACCTGGGGACTTGCTCCAACCTCCACTAACCTCCAAGACATTGCAAGAGATGTTCTGTTCAAGAACGGCTTCGACACCAAAAAGGCCATGCGGGAATTCTTGAAGGTGCCCAAGTCGGTTTTCAAAGAGCCGGAACTCACACCAGCCGAGCAGAAGAGATTCGAGGACGGCGTCCAGAAATTCGGATCCGAGCTGCATAGCGTCATGAAACACGTCAAGACCGTCAGCTCCGCTAACATCACACGCTACTATTACAAGTGGAAGAAGACGGAGCGCGGTCGGCAGATCTGGGGCAACTATGCATCCAGGAAAGACAAGAAGGCAGCCAAGAAGGCCGAGGCGACTGCCAATAAGCTCGCCGACGATGTAGCGGACGACCACGATGATTCGGCCTTCGACGCCGAAAAGGCTGTCGAGAAGAAGAAGAGCTTCATGTGCAAGTTCTGCTCGACCAAATCCTCACGCCAGTGGCGACGAGCCCCGAATGCATCCTCAACGCTGGTTACCGAGAACGGCGGCAAGAACTCAAACAAGGACAAGAACGCCCAGTACATCCAGGCCCTGTGTCGCCGCTGCGCCGAGCTGTGGCGTCGCTATGCCATCCAGTGGGAAGATGTCGACGAGGTTGCCAGGAAGGTTGCCCAGACCGGCGGGCGAGGTTGGAGGCGGCGGGTCGATGAGGAGCTCTACAAGGAGCTGCTGACGGCAGACGAGATGATGAACAACACGCGGTACCGTACGCCCGATCTGTCAGCAACTGCCACCCCAGCGGCTGGCCCCAACGGAGATCAGGCAGGTCAAGAACCGCCGCGGAAGAAACTCAAGGGCCTGCCGGACAGGGAGGCGGATCAAAATGGGTCGGACTCGGGCAGTACGTCGGCTGCGAAGAAGAAGGAGAAGGTGGTCGCGAAGCCGGCGCCTCCGGTCGTACCAGAGATTCCGAAGCCGAGGACCATGCCCTGCGCTATATGTCAACAGCTGGAGCCGCTGGGTGCCCAGCACCTGTCCTGCAGGGAATGCCGGATGACGGTTCATCGTAACTGTTACGGTATTGTCGACAACAGGGCCCCTGGAAGGTGGACCTGCGACATGTGCACCAATGACAAGAACCCTCAAGTATCGATCGTGAGTTTTGCCTCCTTCCTCCCCAAGAGTCGTTGCGTGCTAACGGGTAGGGTTACAGCACTACAAGTGCATCCTCTGCCCCGTGGAATACACAGAGCACGACTTTGTTGAGCCGCCGAAACCGTCGCATAAGAAGAAGACGGAGAAAGAGCGCGAGCGCGAGAGGGTGGAGCGCGAGAGTGCGCAGAAGGCTGCCAACTACTACAGGAAGAAACAGGAGGAGATGAACCGGCCTGTCAATCCCCGCGAGCCTCTCAAACGAACGGCGGACAACAACTGGGTCCACGTCACCTGTGCGGTATGGACCCCGGAGGTCAAGTTTGGTATGGCCAAGGCTCTCAGTCCTAGCGAGGGGATCCCGTCCATCCCGCGAGCGAGATATGCCGAGGTGTGCAAGGCGTGTAAGAAGCAAGGCGGTGCCTGCGTGGCCTGTCACCAGTGCCGTGCCCCTGGTAAGCCGAGACAAGACAACCCCTGGCGGCAAGAGGGCCGGAGACTAACAAGCTGCAGTGCATGTTGAGTGTGCTCATCAAGCCGGCTACCTGCTTGGATTTGACATCACCCCTGTCAAGAGCTCTCGCCGCGACCAGTTCAACATCGTAACCATCAACGGCGAAAGCGGGACCATGGCTGCCGCCGTTTGGTGCAAGGACCACGTGCCCACGAAGACGATTGTTCACCGCATGCAAGACACGGTCGACGACAGCGGCCTGAACGCCCTCCAGCTCTACGTCCAGAACTTCAAGCAGGCCGATCTGACTCTGACCGGCTGCGCGAGAAAGGCGAACCAGATCTCCCTCGCTGCGAAGATGTCCTCGCCGCCGCCACCAGCGCCGCCAAACCGCCGAGCCTCGACTACCACCCTCGTCAACGGCGATCGCACCGAGCAGGCCCCGCCCTCCCTGGAGCCCGGGGTGAAGGTCTGTCTCACCTGCGGCATCGACGTCAGCCCCAAGTGGTATCCCATCGACCAGGCACAGGAGCGGGGGCTTACGAACGGCCATTATGGCCACCTCGGCGCCGAGGCCCAGAAATTCGTCGAACAGCGAAATTTCCAGTGTCACAAGTGCAAGAAAGCGAACCGCCAACCGAACCCGCATCTTCCAAAGGCGCCTTCGCCTCAGCCGGAGCCGGTGCGGCAGACTTCGCAAGTCCCCCTGGGGGCCGCAAGCCCACCGCCACCGCCAGAGGAACTGAGACATTCAATCAGAGGTCCATATACATGGTCGCCCCTGGCTCAACCTGGTCCGGCTGCGGCTCCGGCTCCGGCTCAGATCCCACCGATGGCGCCACTGCAGGCACCCATCCTCGGGCCCCCCCTCGCCGGACCCGTCGGGCATCCTCCGGGAGGACCACCGCCGGTGACTATCCCGCCTCCTCTGCCTCCGACTATCGCGCCTCGCGGCCCGCCCGTCCAGCCTCATTCGTATGCCCATCCGGGCGGTTCATACAATGACTGGCACAGACCCGCTCCTCAACACGCGCATCACCATGTTCACTCGCACCGCGAGGTCAATGGCGGGCCACCTCCTCTGGCGCCGAACCCTATCCCACCTCTGGCTCCTCCCAACCATCTGCGACCGCCGCCGATGTCGAGCATCTCACACCCCCCGCCGCCGCCGGCTCCGGGCCCGCCAATGCATGGCAGCCACGTGGGGCAGCCCCCGTTCGCGAACGGGTTGCCCCTGTCTCCTCGCCGTCTCAGCGGGCCGCACCCCGCTCAGAACGGGTCGCCGTCATACATGACGTCGCCGTACCACCATTCTGTGAGCCACCAACCAGAATATGCCAATGGGGGTGGTCAACCTCTCTCATCCATTCTGCGCCACCGCACGCCTCTATCCACACCGCATGGGAGCCCTCCAATTGCAAGAGATAACCTCCCGCTGAATCGGGAATCAAGCAACCCCCCTCAGAGGGATGGACGTCCGCCCAGTGGTGCGAGCGCTAGTCCATCATTGCGCAATCTCCTCTCGTGAGACTCGGCTCTTGGCTCGAGCGGGTCGTCTCACGAATAAGACAGCAGCAAGCTAGCCGTGCGGCTCCTTCCCAAGACGACGATATGAGGGATGGGATGCTATCAGTCGATAATCCCCGAGGGAAGACAGGACTGTCTCTCCATGTATGATAATTATGTACGGTACTTCATTAGATTTCAGTGGCGTTTTAGTTGATTTCGGTCAGGCCGAATATACCGGCCTCGGGACAGGAGATGATATTATGGGCAGCAAAAGCGGAGTTTAGGAAAGACATTGTAGCATAGATACCGTTTTAACGGTGTATTAAAAGGCATCGGAGAATGATCAGCGTTGGGGCAATACACAAAGTGGTTATACTCCATTGCCGTGCCCATGACATGTCGGCATATCTATCACAAAGTGCCTCGCAATCACCCTCGAGGAGGCGAGGGCGTCCTATGATGAGGGTGGCGTTCCTGTGAGCTTTCTAGGCCCCCCGACCTTGCCTGCTCTCCGTTCTCCCAATATCAACATGTCTCACACACTCTCTCTCTCTCTAGATAGGTGCAGCTCTGTTCCCCAGTCTTCTCCCCGACTTTCTGAGAGGAAGGACTCCGGATTTGGAATCGAGACCACTCACTAACTCCCGGGATTTGCTGATCGGATGGGGTGTGGTGGTAGGAATGAGGATATTGGGGTTGAGGAGAGGGTTTACTCGAAGGAGGGAGAAGGCCGCCAAGCAGGAGTGAGCCAAGACGGTTCTACCGGGCTAGGTTGGAGGATACGATAATGGAGGAAAAGTCTGACACTCTAGGGACGGAATTGCACAATACGAGAGACATTGTATGCCCTGACTGAGGAGTACTGGCTCGTTATTCTATCGCATATTCCCCTAGCCCAGCCCGAGATAGCTGCGTTATTGGAAAGGAAGTTATGGCAAGCACTACTGTTCTGCTTTGGTCTCAATATCAGTACAAACCACCGATCTCATCCCGGGTTGCCCATCAATAGATCGGCCGGGAGCCACACTGGCGGTCGGCGGCAACCTCGGTGTCTCAATATCCGGCTTTTCAGTATGCCGCTGACAAAGGGGTTGTTTGTGGTATAAATAGGTTTGCCACAATCCTTGAAAGCAGCGGTTAGCCCCCGAGTTGGATGGGGCTTTGTCAGCAGCACAGAAAGAATAAGCCATGGAGAAGAGGGATCCCAGCAGTGAGAGAGTCAGTCTCCACCGTGACGAGCCACTCTACTGCAGAGTACTGTACTGTACGGCGTACCCGGTGGTTTGGAGTTAGCCTCGGTCCTTGATTTGAGAACGCCTCCACTGAACCATTTGCCATTCAAGCTGTACCATCCTAGCGTCAAATGCACGAGCCACAGGCAGCCCCTGGTGTGTGCCTGGACGGGATTCTTTCGGATTCCTACTAAGGGAGTACCATAATAATCGTTGTCAGTCTCCACTAGCCAGAGTCATCTTTGGCGTATATAATCTACGGAAGATACCTGACTGCAGGTACCCCTGCTTGTATTGCATTAACAATCCCAGCCACACTCCAAAAAATTCGATCGCCTTCCATCGAAGGCTGAGTGGAGGAAGGCGATAGACAGCCGGTGAAATTCTGTAGATTCTTCAGAGCCTCTCGCCTCTCCAAGTTAATTTATTTGAATCTTCGCCTCGAGATCACAGCGGGACCCTTCCACTCGACGAAACAATAGCAACATTTCACCACGCATATCCAAGTGTTCTCCGTCTCGAACGAAGCCGTCAATCCGCTTCGCGCTCACAGGGCGGGCACTTTCCCGATTCTCTTGGTTCTGGTATGTTCATGCGAACCTGCTTTAACTACTACGTACTCCCTGCCGTTCGTGATTCACCGTCATATTAGACTTGTTCGTTGCAGGCCTCGAATTCTTGGTCTTCTGTTTCTCTTTTTCTCGGTCGTGCTCAACACCCTCCGTTCTCTCCTCACTTCGCACTGCGATACTATTGCACTCTCTTACTGAATTCCAACCCAGGCGCATTTCGTCGGCTCTCCAAACATTCAACTGTCCGATTAAGTGCCGCAACTTGACAGCACAAAGTCATCACGACGCTCTTTAATCTCGACTTGGACACATTAGCGCATCGTCAAGATGGTCAAAGAAACTAAGCTCTATGACCTCCTCGGCGTAAGGATCCCTGTGCAGTCTGGCATGTCCGTTCAATTAACTAACTGCTGCGGATAGGTCTCACCGACTGCCACCGACCAGGAGCTGAAGAAGGCCTACAAAGTCGGAGCCTTGAAATATCACCCTGGTAGGCTCTCCTCCCGCGCTATTGTCCCCGGCTTCTCGTGATTTTATTGATTCTAATTCGCCTCCTTCCAGACAAGAACGCCCACAACCCGGCGGCCGAAGAAAAGTTCAAGGAGATCTCACATGCCTACGAGATCCTCTCCGATTCTCAGAAGCGGCAGGTCTATGACCAGTATGGCGAGGCCGGGTTTGAGAATGGTGGCGGAGGCGGTATGGCTGCCGAGGACCTGTTCGCTCAGTTCTTCGGCGGCGGCAGCTTCGGCGGAGGCCTTGGCGGCATGTTCGGCGGCGGCATGCAGAGCCGCGGACCCCCCAAGGCTCGAACGATCCACCACACCCACAAGGTATCGCTCGAAGACATCTACCGGGGCAAGATCTCGAAGCTCGCCCTTCAGCGATCAATCATCTGCCCCAAGTGCGAGGGCCGAGGCGGAAAGGACGGCGCTGTCAAGAGGTGTGCTGGTTGCGACGGGCACGGCATGAAGACGATGATGCGACAGATGGGCCCCATGATCCAGCGCTTCCAGACCGTCTGCCCCGACTGCAACGGCGAGGGAGAGCTGATTAAGGATAAGGACCGATGCAAGCAGTGCAATGCCAAGAAGACCATCGTCGACCGGAAGGTCCTCCATGTCCACGTCGACCGTGGCGTTAAGAGCGGCACAAGGGTCGAGTTCCGAGGCGAGGGCGACCAGGCCCCCGGCATCCAGGCTGGCGATGTCGTCTTCGAGATTGAGCAGAAGCCCCACAACCGCTTCACACGCCGAGAAGACGACCTTCTTTACAAGGCCGACATCGAGCTCGTCACTGCTTTGGCCGGTGGTACCATCTATATCGAGCATCTCGATGACCGGTGGCTCAGTGTTGATATCCTGCCAGGGGAGGCGATTGCACCGGGTAAGTTGAGAAGCCGGGATGGAGCTTACTAATTCCTTGCTAACGTGATCCCAGGCGCGGTGAAGATGATCCGTGGACAGGGCATGCCATCCCACCGGCACCACGATTTCGGCAACATGTACATCCAATTTACCGTCAAGTTCCCCGAGAAGAACTGGACCGAGGATCCTGCCGCTTTCGACCTTCTCCGCCAGGTCCTCCCAGCTCCGGCCTTGATCAACGTCCCGCCAAACGAGGCGATGACTGAGCCGGCCGACCTGGAGGATCTTGATAGTTCGGCCGGTGCGAGAGCCTTCGGGGCCGGTGCTAACGGCATGGCCATGGAGGAGGAGGATGAGGATGGCCACCCTCATGCCGAGCGCGTCCAGTGCGCATCGCAGTAAACGGCACTTGGGGGGAGGTCGGAATGGTAGCATGGTAGCATTGGTGCGGTGTGGTTCGTGCTTCTCGATGCATATTCCAACGTTCGCATTGAATATGACCTGCTAGGAGAGGCCTTGTTTCAGGGTATGATTTCTACGCCGGAATCGTGCCCGAGGACCGAAATACCCACCTTCCCTTTTCCTTTGTTGTTACGAGATGGGACCCGCTCGCGGCCGATGAGCTTCTCGGACGGAACTGGCACTAATGAAAGGGAACGAACGCGGCATGCATGGTGACGGTTTCATTTCTTCCCTATTGCGTTTCATTACAAATCAGGCCAGGTCGACGGCGTTTTGACAGGGATAGAGAGGCATCTGGCTTGCTTAGCTGCAAGATGTAGAGATCACGTTGCTAGTTTATTTTCCCTCGGCAATTGATTTTATGATAAGGCGAAAAGCTATCTACTTTCCCCCGCTTACTCGTCGTCGTGTCCCATCTTGCGCAGCGTCGTCTCGGTGCTGTACAGGGATTTGGTGAGCTCCTCCCGCGTGATGTCCGCCTCGCCGTCGTCGAGCGCCTCGTCCGCGACCGGGAACGGCGATGGCTGCCAGCTCCCGGACTCGCCGTCCCAGCCGAGGGTGACGAGCGAGGGGTCGCCGACCGCGTCCCGCGGGGCATCCAACGCGGCGAGCAGCTGCAGGCCCCGCTCCGTGTCGAAGGTCACGGCATCCAGTAGATTTCCGGCGAGGGGGACGGTCTGGGCGTGCTGGAGGCTGTTCCCCTCGAGCCGGAAGCAGAATAGCACGGGGACCCTATTTCCAGAGTTAGCTTGTCAACAGCCAGCATTTATTCATGGGTCACAACTCACGCCTCGCACGCGGCGACAACCCAGGTGGTGCCGCCCGGGTGGTGGAAGGCGCGCAGGGTCGAGACGGCGAGCTGGGCTGCCTCGGGGAGGACGGCGCACACGAGCGGCAGCAGGTCCGCCGTGGAGAGCAGGGCGCCGGCGAACCAGTCCCAGACGAAGAGGTCGTCGTCGCCGCCGCCCGAGACGAGGAGCTCGGGCCTGCCGGGGACGGCGCACAGGCGGCTGACGAACTCGTCGTGGCCGAGGCAGTAGGCCTCGATGACGTGCGCTTGGGGCGGGGGGCGCGACACGCGGATGTGCTCGTCCCGGTCGCCCGTCACGATGTAGGAGCGCCCGGCCCGCGTGGTCAGGGCGATGGCGGTGAGCATGGACACATGGCCGAGGAGGAGGGTGTGCTCGAAGGTCGCTGTGCGGGCCTTTTCGACCTGCTGCGTGACTAGTCTCTGGTTCTGGTTCGCGAGCGCCTTCAGGTTGCGCTTTGTGTGCACCGTCAGCGTGTTGGCCTGGGGCTTGGCCGGCTGCGGGGTCGCCGGGGTTGCCGGCGTGGATGGCGCGGATTGGGGCGAGCCCTCGGCGGGGTCGCCGTTGGGGATCAGGGGCAGGGAGAAGACGTCCCCGAACTTGTCTGCTGAGAGGATCGTCTTGTTGTCCGGGGTCAGGACGATGGAGCAGGGCCGCTTTGGCATTGTTCTGGGGGGCGGTTAGTCACGTTCTCTCACTCGTAGGTTTAGATGGGATCTGGTTCTTGCCGTTGACCGAGTTGTACGAGGTTTCCCGCGCCGTCGTGCTCGAAGACCCAGATGGTCTTGTCTGATCCAGTAACGGCCACCACATGCTTCCCATCCGTCGTCGCCGTCAGGCACTGGATCATGGGCGGCTCTGCCGGTCTTTGGACGGGGTGCAATGCCTGCGACTTCTTCTTCTTCGCACGCCTCTTGGACCTCCTGCTGGGATGCTTCTCGCCCCCTTCCTGGCCCATCTCCTGATCGGGCTCCTCCTGCTCAACCTCCTCGCTGTTTTCCACCTTTCTCCGCTTAGGAGGCGGGCCAGAATCGCCGTCTTCCACATTAGGGTTCTCGGCATCACAGGACATTGGAGTCGGAACACTTGAGCCATTCTCCCGTGCGGGTGTTGCGTCTGACGGCTCATCTTTCCTCAATGACGGGTATTTCCACGTGAAGAGATGAGATCCGTCTTTTATGCTGAAAGTATGAAGATTGCAGCCTCGGGCGGCCAAGAGGACGTCGCCGCTGACGAGCAGCCCGTGATATGGGATCTTCATTTTAACCCGGTATCGATCATCAATCTCTACTCTTCTGCGTGGCAACGAGCTGGTTACGCAACGTTCATTACTCTTAAAGCCTTTCATCACCCACCAAGCTGTGAAAATATGGTCCAAGCAGAGTGCGGGACCTGAAAAAGCACGGACACCCAGGAAACTTTTCGGTTGGAAATATATCACGTGGGTCCGGATCGAGAAAAAGGGGCTCCGCCATCATACCCCTTATTCATGCAGCTGGATGTTGGCTGCAGTAAGTACCCGCAACACCATAGAATCCACGACAAGCGTACAGAACGCGAACCATACAACACTATATGTCCATCGTCCCCCTTCCTTCTGGATACCCTGCCAACCCTCACCAATAGGGCTTTTTTGCGCTCCTAGGCAATTTGCTACTCACGCGAGAAAGTTTTGCCAGGTGGTCGCAAAGCTGCCAACAATTGACATCAACGGTGACGGCAATGGTGATGGGATGACAATGGCAACGGCAGTAGCAATAGACAACGATGGCAACAGCGATAGACAACGATGGCAACAGCGATAGACAGCGACATCAATAGCAACTGACAAAAATGGCAACAGTGACTGATATCAATGGCAACTGCAACTGGCAAGCAACTGCAATGGCGATGGCTGTGGTAAGATACAGACCCAGGCGCGCGCAGGAAAGCCCCACCAATAACCCTTGACCGTTCCCTCCAGTGACCATCGTCCTCCTCTCTCTTCTTCTCCCCACCCCAACGCCACTTCCAGAGTCACTCCCTTCTTCTCTTCCTCCATTCCTTTGAGCTTGCTGGTAGGTTGTCAAGCAGCAGCTTCTTCGTTCGCGACCCAGGCCGGCATAGCGGTCATGGAAACCTCTCAAGGCTGTGGCATGTATGGAGGGAATACTGGCCTCCAAGGGAACGAAGCGTGATCTATTGGTGGATCCAGAGCCTTGCTTCGACTTATCAAGGCAATTATGGCATGTTTTCGCCTGTTCCACGTAGTGAGGCGGAGTTGCGATTGTCCACCTGGGCTCAGTATCGATGAGGGTGCTTGACCCGTCGGCCAATCTGGTCCGATCCTTGCATTGGATACACCAGCACGCAACAACCGGCAGGCAACCGTTGTCCTCTAACCCTCGCTGCCGTAAATAGGGATTTTTATCGAACTTCCTTGAGGGAGTAGGCCACCGAAATATCTCTTCTGGCTGGGTTGAGGTGGAGCAGATGCTCGTGTCAACCACCACACTGTTTGTGCCACGGTAAAGACAATTCTTGCACCGCCGATAAGCTGTAAGGTAAACTCCAGGCCGATATACTGCCCATCGAGGGCTGGAATCAGGCTTCATAGAACCACCATTGCACTTCCGACACGTGAGCTCAACGACCTGTCCGTCAAACCTGCTATGCCATAATTGCTGATGCAGCCCCGTGATGGCTTCGAGATGTTGCCGCTGATGGGCCAAGATTTTCTCGAGAATCCATTTTAGAGGCTGGGAAGCTGTCTGCGGGGTGCGCTGCTGTAGGATCCGTTCCAAGGCTTTAACCACATCCTGGAAGCTTGAGATTGGGACGTCGGCGAACAAGATATGTCTCTGTCCCTGAAATCATTCTAGGACGGGATCGGGGAGATCCGTAGGCAGTTTCCAGTCCTCCTCAGTCGTGCACGTATCCAAAGAGTCCAGCGCCAACGGTATAAGTTTCCTTAAGTCGTCATTACTGTGAGGCTTCTTGACGAAATAAGCCTGCCAGGCGCCTTCGGTTTCCGACTTGGATTGGTCCACCACGAGACTATCGTCATCCTCTTCAAGAACGGTTGCCGCAGGCATGCGGTGATCTTTCTCAAGGACCTGCCCGAGGAGCCTCATTTCTCTCTGACGGAAAGTACTTGGCACACACTTCAACCATATCTTGTCTGCGAAATAGCGATCCACCAAAGGGACAGCATTCCCAACCATCCGAGCCGCGGCAACCATCGTCTTGTCCTGTCGTGTGGCGCAATCGTTGTTCCGACTCTGGTAAAACATGAACTGAGGGTGGTATGCAATCAGCATGATTCGCCACAACTCAAAACGTAGGTCCTTGTTGCGGTAGCTGTTTTCGAAGACCAGTAAAAGCGACACCCCTTCGAATTCACCCCACAGAGGTAGTACCTCAAAGTTTAGTCCGTTGGTAAGGACACGACTCTGAACTTTTTCGCCATAGAGTATTTCAACCTTGGCCATCATGGACTGGCCAATCTTGTCCGTGTACTCCTCGTGGCAATTGAGGAGTTCCGGGTGGTATTTCTCAATCCCTTCGGATCGGGCATCTCTTCGATGGATGTGGTCAAAGACCAGCGTTTTTCCAGGTTCATAGGCATTGCCCATCACCATAGCAATGCATCCATTCGAAGGGTCTGCCGTTTCACCATCCTCTGGCTGGGATGCGGTAAAAGATGGCTGGTTCAACCGATGTGCCAGCAGTGAGTCTAGCGATCCCGATGGTCTGACTAGGTAGGCAGGCAACTTGTCCTCCTGGCCTAAAGACTGGCAAACCATCTGCTCACAATTCTTGAACTCTCTAAATGAGGTTTCAAGGTCTGTGATAGGACGCTTTAGCTCTAATAAGGAATTGTCAGTATATAACTATATACACACTACGCAGAAGGGCATATCTTACCTCCCATGTCCCGAGTATCAAGCTCTTGCAGGTAACGTTCCTAACGCTCTGCACAGGCTTGATACTTGTAGGGCGGACGGGAGAGCACCAAGTCCCCCAAAACAGCATAACGATCCGAAGCCCGTGTCATACTTGGGGGACTTGGTTTGTTGCTAGGACTTGACTGCATCTGATGCTGGCCATCAAGTTGGCGCTGTCTTGGTTGGTGCTGTCTTGGTTGGTGCTTGGTTTCTTCGATATATGCTCCATACGATAATTTCCCCTTGTGCCTTGGTCGGCTTTATATTCCAGCAGATTAGCGACAGTTCATATGATGCTGAGATTAGTACACATAGTAGGGTCTTGCAATCTCCATGGCTGCAAGGTTTATGAATATATATGCAATTCGCACAGCGCCCATACTGCTCGTCTGGTATCCGAATACACTCTGTGAATGGGCCTTCTGATCGTCCACAGCAGCTGCACGGGTCCTTGGACACCTGGCCACGTAATTGGATCGCTGCTGAAAGCTTGGAAATGACGGAGGTCAGATTGACTTCAGTGCGATAGTCGTCGGATCGAAATTGCAGATCGCGCTTCCGGGGATGGTTCGCAAATATGCTCTTCACGACACCACTTGTCGAGCTGGCCAGGATTTTGTCGATATAGCTGGCTTGTTTTTCTTTATCTGTGGGCAGACGTTCCCACGCTGCTCGAGGCATACTGTCGACGGTCGTAGAGGTGCAGGAGGTTCGTCCGAGGAGGCAGAGGATGTCGCAGAGGATGTCGCAGCAAAACGTCGCAACGAAGACGGAAAACCAGGGACCGGAGGATCACCCACTAGTGGGAATCTGGAATCGTGATGCGATAAGTACGCAGGAGACGCGAAGTGAAGACCAGGGCAGGATCAGCGTGACTAGGACTAGACAAGGTCAGCGCAATATCGCAATATCGCAATAGGGCTGCCGGCGCGCAAGGCGCCGTCGCAGTGGCAGAAAGGATCACCTACCATAGGTTCAAAGGTGGCTGTTAAAGGAGGGAAGAAAATGAGGGCGAGGAAGTGGAAGGCAGGCCCTATATATTGAAGGCCAGGGAACAAAGACAAGGCAAAAGTACGCCCCATTCAGACGAACAACCTCAGGATCACAAAGATGCAGCGCCTTCTTTCACATTCCATTCACTTTGCCCTCGGGAAACAAAGGAGAGCAAGGAAAAAGACAGCAACACAATAAGGCGCCAACCTCAAACAGCAGACGCAACAATCAGTCTGCAAACAAGTCAGAAGCTGCCTAGACCTGCCAGGCCTAGCCAACAACAGGCCAGCAGCCTGCTGACACAACCAAGCGCGAACCGCAGGCCCAATAACCAGCGCACAAACAAGTCAGAAGCTACCCAGACCCGCCAGGCTCGGTCATCCCTGGCCTGTCCGCTTACAAAAACACAGACACAGGCCCTGAAAGGGCCGCGACAAAGACCTCTCCACGACAGCGCAATGGGTGACTGCAAGACAATGGCCCTACCCCTGTGGCTAGGGGTCCGAAAGACAAGATCCACACTCACATTACCCAACTAAGAACCGGGCCAGATCCCGAATTCGGTACCGGAGCCTTATAGATTAGACCTCAAATGGAGAGTACAGGGTTTTCATCTAGCTCCCTCCCTAACCACAGGGCGACACAGGCATGGTTCTATCCTATGTGTAAACACCAAGTTAGATGTACAGCATGGTACTAAGCTGAAAGCTGCGTAATATAATAACGTTGCAGAGGATGTTGCAGAGGATGTTGCAGATAACTCAACGTATGTCTGTACAATGGAGTGTTTATTGAGGTTGCGTGCAAAGATTTTCGCCCCGTATGTCAGGTAGTATTTAATACGGCGATCCAAGCATATATGCCTGAGTGTGCCTGTATAGGTAGTGAATAAGTGTTCAAGTTCTCGCGGCATGAAAAAGCGGGACCTCCTCATGACGCGACTTTCGAGGCTTCGAGTATCGAAATTGTAGGATGGTTCTAGAGGTAGAAGGTAGCGCAGTCAACCGAGGTTTTCATATCAATAATCAATCACGTATTCCCCTTACCTGTCTGCAAAACAGTTCTTAGCTTCCTACTTGTTACTAGGTTATCAGCTCTGAGCTACGTCTAGACTACCCCAGATATCCCGCGGTGACATACAACATTTAAATTGTCCAGCGTTCCCCGTCAAATAGGAGATACAACATTATCTAAGTTGTCTTGGGGGGAGCCTGACTCTGTTGGAGAGAACCTAGAGCCCATCAAAACAACAAGGACTACAGTCAACCCCATCCAAAGGCGGGGAAAGATCCCGTAGCTCGCAAGCCCGTTATTATGAGCAGAGGGGCGGCGAATAACCAAGGGGCTAATTCCTCGCACGAGGACATCGTTGTCGTGGTAAGGGTTGGTCTCATGGGGGTTGGAAGGAGGGCAAAGGGGCCAAGGGGGTGATGAAGGGGATAAACTATGGGAGGGGTCACTGACGACAGAACTTGGTTTTGCTGGACCTGAATAATCTACGAACCGTGGCGAAACCCCGCAGTGCCAGGTATTGAATATGTAGCCCGCGACGGCAATGGCTACCAACCGCGATAAAAACAGCAATGCTCCAGTTGCAGCCCCTGACTGTTGCCACGGCAACAAAGCCGTTGCATTTAGTCTTTGCTGAAAAGTCAACCTCACCATGTAGATGCCTTTTACTTCTTTAGCGGGCGTGTTGTAAAGCCAGGTGCGAATATCAGGCGGGACTATTGGGGGAGTAACGTGAGTTTTATTCATTCATATCTCGTGTGCCCATGATTGGGCTCCACCGCGGTGGTGCCGCGGCGGTGGCCGCCCCCCACGTCGCTGCCACGGCCGCCGCCGCCGCCGTTGTTGTTGTTGTTGTTGTTGTTATTGTTGGTGGTGGTGGTGGTGGTGGTGGTGCTGCCGCCGCCGCCGCCCGCGCCGCCGCCAACTGCCGCCGCCTCTGCCGCCGCCAGGCGAGCCTGGAACCGCTCGGCCTGGCGGCGCAGACGGCGGATTCGGCGCTCGGACTGTATACACTGTTAGCTTCTGTTCATTACAGTGTTGGTGCCTGGATACTCACGAAGTTGGTCGGCCCGCCGCCGCCGCCACCGCCGCGCCCGCCACGGCCACCCCGCCCGCTACGGCCACCCCGCCCGCTACGGCCACCCCGCCCGCCGCCGCCGCCCCGCCCGCCGGTGTAGTTTATGGTGATATTGTAAAAGTCTATTTGTTAGTATATCAGGTGACTCGTTTCATGTACATCGTGTTGACACCCCTGACTTGAAGTGGCAATGGTGTAACTGATGATAACAGTGTGGCTCAAATTCTGTCCGCTTGCTTGGCACTTGCACATAAGCAATGCGGTACCTCACATGTGTCGCCGCTGAGGTAGTCAAGTGAGAGGGGAGGGGTGATAAATGCTCGGTCTCTTGGAACAATCTCGCCGAGACACCTAGGCGGAAGAGGGGTGAAGGGGCTGTGTGTGTGTGGTGATGGAGGGCGAGGGCAGAGTGTGCTAGGAACGCGAGAATCCATTGAACTGCAGGCCGTTGGGATATCTGTGTGGTGGGTAGGCGCCGCAGAAGCCCATGCCTACACTCGCAACGCATGGCCACAGCCACCAAGCGACAGCTTGTGGAACAACATGATCAAAAGGAAACAACTTTCTTGACCGGGCTGTTGATAAGGAGGTCGGAGCCAGTGACGCGTGAGAGACGAGACGACGAAGGGCTATACTTACCAGGCATTTTTTTTTCGAAAAAAAATTTTGAAATTTTTTCGACGAAGAGGAAAAGAAGAGAGAGAGAGGGGACAGGCTCACCTGAAGGATATATACTCACCAGTACGACTACCTAGGTACCTACCTAGGCCCCACATAGACGAGCGTGCCTGAGGTGCACGGCACCTTGGGGAAGGAGTGCCTAGGTTGATAGGGAAGGCACAGACATCATTGGTAGTGTATTGCCGGCCAAGTAGGTATCTAGGTACATGACTTCTGGCCGACCAGCTGGCTGGTCGGTTGATGTTCTCAAGGGTGGCACGGAAAGGAGATGGACAGGGGTGTTGAGTGTTTCCTTGCTTCAATAGATGTAGTATCCAACCTGTCGCCATGGGCGCCTGTCTTCCGTTCTCCAGTCCGCTGCTGTGCCTGGAGGGTTCCTTACAATCTAGCCGTCATAAAGCCGAGTCGGGTGGAATCTTCCATCCTCATGCTGGAAGGGCTCCAGGTTCTCTCCTCATGTATGGCACCTAGGTACCTAGGTATCTCTGCCTAGATCTGACCTACCCGGCTGTCATGGGAGCTGACATTTCCGAGTCAAGCCTACAGTTTAGCACAGATGCATCACGCCATGTTCCAAGAGTTCCTTCTTCCTCTGGATGTCTATATCTGATATGGCTATCATGGGAGCCAATCTTGCCAGTCTTTACTTGGCTGGCCTCCCCTCCTGGATACACGGCACACAATGCTAAAACAACTGCAACCGTTCCTTCCTCCCCTCCTGGATACACGGCACACCACGCCAAAACAACTTCAAGCGTTCCTTCCTCCCGTGGCTGATCTGGCAGTCATGGGGGTTGACTGAGTCCCCTCCTGGATAGACATGGCACACAATGCCAAAGCAACTTCAATCGTTCCTTCCTCCCCTGGCCGATCTTGGAGTCATGGGAGTTGTCTGGCCCTCAGACAGGCACATCACACTAGCCAGGGCAGCAGCGATCGTACCTTCCACTATGGGTAGCCCCATTCTGTCCCTGGGCATAATCACAATGGATCTCTCCTGTCTAGACTTTTACCTTGTTTTCAGTTTCGTATCACCATTGAATTCGGATTCAAGCAACTGAGACGTTTGAGCGCTACAACATACCGATAACATTTAAGTCACCCTCAGAGCGCGATGGCGAGCTGCTTCTTGAACTCGTCGATGCCACCAGGGCCCTTCTCCTTTGCATCTGTGGGCGGAGTCGTTGTTGGCGACAAGACCAAGGACGAGGAAGGATGGGGGCGGGAACCAGAACGAGGAACAACTCCCAGTCCAAAGCCGCAGAGGTGATGTCCTGCGGTTTCAGCCCCGCGCGCGTGGCGATTCTGGGGTCGGCAAACACGGCATTGTCAACAGGTCCCAACCTCTTGCCTTTGGCGAGCCGGGCACGCCGGGCGTTGACGAGGCGGGGATATATGTCAACTTTGAAGTTGAGGTTCGGATAGCTCTTGACCCAGACGCAGAGCATGTGGAGCATGCGGAGACTCCGGCAAGTCTCCCAAGGTACGGGATTTCCGTACTAGTACGAGGTGGCCTGTTCAGTATGAGGAGAAGTTCTTTGTGAAGAAGACAAAGGTATAGTAACAAGTACCCGAACGGGCTCCGCTTGCCGGTGCCGACGGGGGCGATGACAGCTTCCATATGAGGGACAGGACCACCCGGCTGCCAGACTGGAGAACGGATGGAGTACGAAGGTGAAGCAAGAGTTTAGGGAGTCAGCACTTTCAGCAGCTCCTGGCGCATCTTCGAGTTCGGCTGGAGCGCCAAGTGGCCAGATCGAGCAACCTTGGACTGGTCTGCTTGGTGTACACCAGCATCGTGCTGGTGAAGGGGACACTACGTCGGTCTCTGACACACAAACTAACACCTGCGTTGCTGTAAGCTGACGCTACGTTCTGTTCAAACTCTCGTTTGGATGCTCGTGGTAATGGTCAGCATCAGGGTTCGCCAGGGCGTCCCAATTCTTTTCAGTCAAGCGGTGACAGGTATGGCCTTGGTGTTTGCACCATGCGCGTACGTACGCCTGTCCCGGACCTGCATAATGCTATGGCCTGGGGTTTTACCCCTGTGCGTGTCTGCCAGCAGTATGCTAGAGCCCAGTTTCGCACTGGGGCGATTTGAGTCATTTCCTTGGCTGGTGCCATGTGCGTGTTAAGCTGCAGGTTTGGAGGGAGGGTCTTGTGGTGGAAGTCTTGTGGTGATGAGCCTTGTAGTGGAGAGCCTTGTGGTGGAGGGTCTTGAGAGAGGAACTTGCAGCGGATGGTCTTGTGCCAGTGAGCCTGAGGAGGGTCTTGTGGCGGAGAGTCTTGACAGAGGGACTTGAGAGATGGACGTGGAGGGACGGTTTTGTGCCAGTCATCCTGGGGGGAGGGTCTTGTCGTGGAGAGGATCATGCAGTGGAGAGGATCTTGTGGTGACAAGAGCTTGTTGTGGAGATCGTGGACTGGAGATCTGGAGAATGTCTGGTCTTGGGTTCATGCCAGGGAAGACCTCAGGTGGTAACGTCGAACGGCTCTTCGCACATAGATGCTAACCTCCACTCCTCCAGGCTACGGAAAAGTACCAGCACCGGAACCCGCGGCATGCGACCGACCACGATGTTGCTCCCTTGGGCACTGCTACGAGACAAGCGCCTTCACGTCATCATGGTTGTGTATGTCACATCTATGCTACCCCAACGACCTCGCAGATACTAACAAGCCGACACTTTCTAGCATCGATGCCGACATCTCCGCAGGCGTTCTGCAAGCTTCACCGACCAGGGCCAGCCTCCTTCCAAAGGCCGCGGTGCAGTTGGCGTTTCGAAGAACCCTTCTCACTAAGCCGACATCATCCTCGAGCCTGACATCATTCTCGAGTCCGACATCAATGAGAGCTTTGTCGGTGCCATTGTTCGCTTGTTCGTCAAGCATGCGGGAGGTTAGGTTGTTCCGGAAGCTATCCTGCACCCGAAACAGCTCTGGGCCCCCCCTAAAAAGCGATAGGCTCTCGGAAGCTCCACGACCACTATCTCAAGCCCTGAGCGCTGCCCCGTCCTCGTCACATCCAAAACAACGACAGAACATCACAGCACGACTATTGCCTACGGCCCACCACGCTTCTCCACCGCTCCTGGCCTCTGCAAGTGCTCCGCACTACCATCAAGGATAGCCCTGGCCGGCCAACCCCCTATCCGCTGCTCTCAAAATACACCCTCTACAGGTGCTCTGCAACTTCACCAACCTGGGTCAGCCTTGTGTCTACTCGACGCTTCAAAGCATGGTCTATTGACGAGGTACAGTGCTGCTGCCGATAACCTTGTTCCGGAAGCTAACCTGCATTCGAAACGGTTCTGGGGCCCTCAACAACCCTGATTCCCTCCATCATCGTCGCCTTAAAAAGCCCTAGGCTCTCTCGGCAGCTCCACGACAACTACCTCAAGCCCTGAGCGCTGCCCCGTCGTCGGCACATACAAAACAAAGTCAGACCCTCCCAGCAGCTCCACGAGTGTTGTCTCCGGCCCCTTACGCTTCTCCATCGCTCCAGTCTCTGCAAGTGTTCTGCACTACTACCAAGGACAGCCGTTGCCAGTCATCCCCTCTCCGCGACTCTCAAAATATCACCCTCTACATGCGCTCTGAAAGATCCACCAACCGGGGCCGCCCTTGTGTCCACTCGGCCCTCGAAGCATGGTCTATTGATAAGGTACAGTGCTGCTGCCGACAATCTTGTTCCGGAAGCTAACCTGCATTTGGAACGACTCCGGGCCCTTCAAGCGAGACGCCGAAACCCTGCGGCTTTAGACACGGCAGCGACGAGCCCTCTACGCGAGGCAGCGACGAGCCGACCTCCACTTCATATCCTACCCCTCGACGCCTCATCCAGGAATTGAAGCAGATGGGCTTATGAAGCCATCCTTCGGCATCACCATTTTGACCGGACAACGCCTGCACCTAATACCCTGCTCCTCAAGACCACATTTGAAGCGGATGGATGGGCTATGGAGTAATCCTTTAGCACCACCACTTCAACCGGACAGCACCTACACCCAATATTTTACTCCTCGCGACAGCTTCCTCTCAACTTGAAGCATCCTTCAGGCAATACGCTGTATCCCTGACCCAAGGCAATTCCGCGGGACACGCATGCCGACATCCTCCTGCTCGGTTGTGGAGATGTCCGCAATATCCTCTTCACTGCTCACACCGACGATACCTCGACTAGTCAGCACCACTTGGTATACACTGGAACCTAGCATAGTTCACGACACATTATTTTTATCAAGGGCATGTAACTAGAGTTAAGCGTAAATAGTAATTCTGGCTTGACAAGGACACCTAGATAGCAAATACCACGTTGCACCTCGACTCCTGCCGCTTCCCCAGACGTACCTCAGGCGCAGCTAAACTCTGCATACGACCGCTTTGCCGCCCCTTAACCGGCCGGCTCTCCCAGGAAGGGCATGATATTGCCGCAACCCGCATATCCTCCCACTAGCCAAGAGTTACCCTAGATCATACCGATATTGAACATTCATCGGAACTCCCCCTGTAGATGTCGTGGTTTTGTTCCGCACAACACTACCGTAGTTGCTGCTCGAATACATACCCGTCAGTACCACTGCCCCTGGTTCCCACAGGAATCGATACGAATACATCCTTGACGTAGAACTCGTCAGGTTCCTCTGTCACTCCCCTGCAAACTCCTCGCTCTGCTACACTCAAGCCCGAACCAGGCCCGTGTTGCGAGCCGACCCCTTGCCCAATGCCTTAACCCATATTCAAGAGGTCGACCCGAAGGCCTGAAGTCCTGTCGATATTCTTGTTGTTGCGCATCGGAACAAATTCACGCCGCCTCTGGGTTCACGCCTCTCTAGCGCGGCGTGTGTAAATAGGGCTGAGTCCTTGTCAGAATATGGGAGTACACGTGTTGTCCATGCGGCTCGGCATAGTTTGGTCCAATCGGATTACGCGGGGCTCACCCCGCTCTGCGGGGGCGCTAAGCCTAGTTTTTTTTTGGACCAATGGCGGCTGTCCACTAAGCGACAGTGCACGGATCCCCCCCTATTCCGTCGAGAGTCATGATATATATCGACAACTTTGACGATTTACAAAACCCGGTTGGCCGAGTGGTCTCTAAGGCGTGTGACTTAAGTTTCTTCTTAAATATCTCATATCCGAAAGGATGCGTGGGTTCGAATCCCTCACCGGGTATTGTTTCCCTTTTTTCTCTCTTTTTTTTGCTTTGGTTTGGGGGGTTTGTCTTCATTTTGTTCTGTATAGCAGTTATACAGTTAATCGACGACTATCGATTAAAATAGGCAGGCACGCATCTTCACCTGCCTGTAGGATAAGATTGTGTAGGGCAATGGGAGGAAGCGGTCGGGGTTGCGAGGTATAAATCCCGATATCTCGGTGGGGTACTTGGGACTCCCCCACCCAATATTATGGACGATGACGTCGAGCCTGTAAGCACGTAGAATGAGGCGGGCAAACCTGTCCACCTCGTTGGGGCTGTTTGGAAGCATCTTGTTTCGAAAATGGCTTGTAAAAGGAGACAATAATTAGGATTGCAAGGAGGAAGTTTTCTAGGGCGTGGTGGGACCCCCTTTTTTTACTCACACTGGACTGAACTCGGCCCACACTGAACCCTAGCCCTCCCTACCGTCCGCATGGTAGTGTTCGCTTTTTCTCGATCCGGAGCCTACCTACAAATTCCAACTGGGGTCGGTTTCTTAGAGGAAGAAAAGGGAAGGGGGCAGTCAGGGGTCTTCTAGCCGCCTATCGGAACCATCACTACGGATATCTCCAAGGGTGGCTTGGTACTCTCACACAATAGTTGATGATAACGTTTTAAGTCATAAGCATGTTAAAACCAGGCTAGCAACCCTATCGATATTCCTTGTTTGGGTTGTTTAGGTCTTTGGGAGTTACTTCTCGACTCACTCTGCGGCAGTTTGCTCCATGTAATCCGTAAAAGGAGACAGTAGCCTGAGTCGATACATTCCATGGGTGGGCTGTGGGGCAAGAAAATTCGGAGCCCCACTTTCCCCAGGCTGTCACACGACATGATTGGACCCAGCTTTCCCAGCGTGCACGAGCCAACATTTTTAGGCTTAGCGCCTCCGCAGAGCCCCGCGCAATCCGATTGGGCCAAACCATACCGAGCCACAGGACTACCTGTGCACCCCTATATTCTGACAAGGATTTTTACACACGCCGCTCCAAAGACTTGTTCAACATCAAACCACCGCAACCGCCGCAACAACAGGAACCTCGACGGGACTTCAGGCCTTTGAGTCGACCTCTTGAATAGGGGTTAAGGCGGGCAAGGGGTCGGCTCGCAACGCGGGGCTAGCTCGGGGCTCGAATACATATCAAATAGCTGACATGCGCGCACCGCCGGCGCGAGGGTCGCGGGTGTTGGTGGGCATCGGGGACTAGAAACTTGTGGTTAAGGTACGCGGGCTGCGACAATATCATGTCCTTCCTGGGAGGACTGGCCATCAGAGCGGTCAGATGCAGAATTTAACTACGCCTATAGTGAGTCTAGGAAAGAGCCAGGAGTGGTGGGAAACGAAGTGTATGTGTCCTATTACTATTCATGTATCTAGCTAAGTGGGAAACGGCGCCCAGGTCTCCCGCTACATATGGCTTGTCAACAGCTTATCATATGGTGGGCGATCATGGCTCGGTCCCTCCAGTTCTCCCGCTCCCTCTGGCTTGGGGCCCGGAAAGCGCGTTTTCACCTCGTTTTCGTCTCGCCTCGCCTCGCCTCGTATTTATGTCAACCCTTGCCACCACCATTTCGTACCGCCTATTGATGCCGTATAACCCCCATTCATCTAGAGTGCTCTCCCTGGAGAGGAGACTTCGGAGTGTAAGCAATTGGAATCTTGGTGGTGTACAGCGCATCGACACCTCGCCATATGGCTAGGGTGGAGATTAGACCACGCTCGCTCGGGCCGTCCGTCGTCGTGGACGCTTCGGAACACTTTTGCAATGACGGGTGCAGGTCGGATGAGGGCTGCGTATGGAGGCATTGTGGGCAACCTGCAGTGCCTTCAGGAAGTGATTGATGGTCGCGCAAAGGCACTTGGGATAATCGAGGGATGAGCGCGATTCGGGCAGATCTTCTGTATATATCGGGTCTTCGGCGTCGCGATGAAATAAGTTAGGGGTGGAGTCTGTGATACCCACTCAGCTTGGCAGCTTCGCGTGCGCATCAAGAAGATCGAACCACCACCATCAACGCAGCCATGCGAACAAGGAAAAGGGAAAGAAAAGGATGCCAGACTTCCAACCACCAAGGATTAGCGCGTGTCTCGTCGAGTAAGCGGTGTTGATCCGTCAGTGAGGAAAGCCCCTTTCCAATCCAAAGTGGTGGGGAGACAGCCGGGTCGATCATGGTTTGGTTGTTTGGTTGAACATGGCCATGAGGCAGTTTGCTCTCTAGGGGTTCTCTGTCCACGGGGCTGCCTCCGCCCTCGGCTCATCTGAACTGCCCACGGAGGGCCCTACATCATCACCAGTCTCCGAAGGTAATCCTCCATCATCGGCTCATGACTAGGCTCTCCCACCGCCGCCCTCGGAAGGCCCCACATCACCACCACCAGTCCCCGCTGGAGCCACCAGGCGAAGGCACCACCGCCGCAATGTTGCTGCCTCAAATTGATGGTGTGTCGTGTGAAACCAAGACTTGGCAATACGTCGGATTCGAGAACACAACTCCTTGGTGGTGAGCTGTGGGACCTGCCACCCAAGGAAGCTTGAGCGAGGAGGAAGACCCTAGGGCGACCGATCCCCTGGACAAAAAGGAGCTGGCCACGGGGCCCATTGATGCGACTGCTCCCACGAACGAGAAACTCGATCGGATCATCGACGACGAGAATCTTGCCGGAGCAGCGGCCCAGGCGGAGGAGAGGATGCCGAGAATGGCGACGATCCCGAAGGCGCCCTCCCAGATATACCGGTCCACGGTACTCGCAATCGTAACTATCACCACGTACATGCCTTTTGCTTCTTTAGCAGGCGCGTTATAAAGCTAGGTGCGAAGGTCAGGCAAGTGCCAAGCAAGCGGACAGCGATCTGAGCCACCCTGTTATCGTCAGTTACATCATTGTCACTTCAAATCAGGGTTGTCAACACGGCGTACGAGTCATGCAATATACTAACAGATAGACTTGGGTTACAAGGTGGATACTGATGATGCGGGCTGCCGCCACTGGTTGTCGAGCAAGTTCTTGCGAAGAAGCGCCACGCAATGTCAATTGCACCGCAACTGTCGCACTGGAGAGGTTGACGAGGAAGATCCTGTATGCTCAACCCAGTTCTACGTTATGAGGCGCGTGGAGCTTGGTCTCCACGCACTCCATTGGAGTTGCCAGTCAAACGGTTGCAATCATGCCTTCTTAGACTGACACAGCACACATGCCAAGACAGCTGCGATTGTCCTTCCTCAGAATAATACAGGACATGATGCCAGGACAGCTACAATATACAGCATACCATGCTAGGATAGCTGCAATCATACATTCCTCTAAAGATACCTTGGTGTCCAATCTTGCCTCTAGAAAATACCAAGCCTATGTAAAGGTTAGGCAGGGACTAATAGGGGAGGAACTTTGATTTTATTCATTCGTTTGTCACGTTGTTCATCTCATCTGCCCATGGTTGGGCTCCACTGCCGCCCTCAACAGGCGCAGCCGCCGCATCTGAATCGGCTACAGTAACAACAGACCCCCCAAAACTTGTGAAGGAACCACCACCGCGGTGTTGCCGCCGCCGCCGCCGCCGCCCCCATTTGTTTTTGTTGCTGCTGTTGCTGCAGCTGCCGCCACTAGCCAAGCCCAGGCCCGCTTGGCCTGGCGGCGCAGATGGCGGATTTGTCGTTTTGACTGTATACACTGTTAGCTTCTCATAATTGCAGTGTTGGTGCCTGGATACTCACGAAGTTAGTCGCGCCGCTGCTGCCGGTGTAATTGTTCACCGTCTGTGATTTGCGATAGGTCCCTCAGCCTCCGGAGCTGGGAGACCGGGGATGGTAGGCGATCATGGCTTGGTCTGCTCCAGTTATTCCGCCACCTCTGGCATGTCGACACCTCGCCAGCCGTTCTAGTGTGTAGGTGCTGAAGGATTACCTTGTAAGCCTATACATCCACTCGATCAACCCAGTCATGATTCTAACCTTGAAAGTCTCGAAGTGTTTCGCCCAAACCAACGATGTCCTGGACAGACTAGGCATTTTCCTTGCCCATAGCAAGGATGATCTTGGACCTCCTGTTGAGCCACTGCGAGAACTTGAGGAACTCGGCATCGATCTCGCGCCAGTTGGTGAAGTCTTTGTCTCACTTTATCTCCTTGGCGAACGTGTTTCGCACGGGGATACGGTTGTGAGTCCTGACGAATAGGCTCGCCCCTACCCTCCTGTGCTGGGCCTTCAGACAATTGCTGGTGCAGATAGGTGCTGTCTGGTCGAAGTAGTGGTGCTGAATGCTACATCCATCCACTTGAAGGCCTGGAGGCGTCGAGGAGAAGGATATTAGGTTGTCGCTTCTGCAGCTAGAGGCGCAAGTTTCTTGGTTAGGCAGACACCCTCGTCGCTGCCACGCCACGGCTGCGAGTTTCTTGGGCAGGTCTAGGCGTCGAGGTAGGATATGAGGTGGAGGTAGGGTACCCCATCCCTCGTCGCTGCCGTAGCTAGAGGCGCAAGTTTTTCGATCAGGCAGGTCTGGTTGGCTTGGATGAGGCTTCGATGAGTAGGATACGTGCAGGTGGGGCACCCTGTCCCTCGTCGCTGCCACTCTAGGGTAGGATATGAGCCCCTAGTCAATGGCATCTTCGTTGGTTCTGATGGGCTTCAATTCCTCAGCACCACCACTTTAACTGGACACCCAATATCATCCTCTTGACGTCCATCCTCGATGGCTTGGATAGTCTGATGACAACAACTGGAACATATATTACCACCTGTATCTCGACCAACATTACTCCCACATGCTCCAGGCACAGGCAAAGAAACTCCATGGCCTGTCGTCATCCATGGCAGCCTGGCACGAGAGCGAATATGGGAAGCACATCAGGTTTTGCGATAGGCCTGACTGCGCAGTTTTCAGGCCTAGGATCTGTTCGCCACAGCTGGTGTCGGAATTTCTGGAGGTGTGGTCTGCTTGCGGACCGCGTCGTCGGTGTCCTCGGCGCGGAAGCAGCAAGTTTCAGTATCTTCTCACCATCGCCATCGCCATTGCTGTTGCTGCCAGTTGCAGTCGCCGTTGATATCAGTCACTATTGTCATCATTGTCTATCGCTATTGTCGTCGTCATCACCATCGCCATCACCGTCGCCGTCGCTGTTGGCGATATTGCTACATTGCTTTACTTTGCCCCCAAAGGAGGATCGGGCAAGAAGGTAGATGCTGGGGTCACCAACGCCCCAGATGGCGAGGTTCTGGGACCTGCCAATTTTCGGAAACCACCTGCCAGGACGCCAGGCCCGAGTAGCAATGCCCTTTGCGATCCCGACACCCTCGCCAAGGTCTGCCAGATTTGGGACTTCTACTCTACCGAGAGAATGGACTGCTACTCTACCGACAGAAGGGACCTCTACTCTACCGAGAAAAGGGTCATCAGCGGTCTGCCTTCGAGACAGATGGCTGCTCGGGGAAGCCGCAGGCTATAGAGACGTAGTTTCTGATCTGCTTCACCAGTCTGCAAGAAGCGCTATACGACCGCCACCGGGCTTGTCCACCACCTCATGTCCCATTGCCTACGTTTTCAACCGCAACGAGATCTACAAGCGTGTGAGGGCTCGGGGTCCTGGCGGGGTGATCACCATGACTCACCGGTGGGAAGGTTCACCATCCTACAAGACTAACAGGCACTCATGGAATGGCTGTGCCTGCGAGTGCTATCTCTGCCACCGGAATTCACCACCCTCGGCGCCTTGAACCAGCACCTTAACTCGCAGACTCGTGAGTATACAGCCATTATTCCCGCACCCTCCTGTCCTGTCGTCTAACTTCGTTTTCCTCAGACCAGAGCAGCCTCCACCACTGCTCCCAGCGCAAGAGTTCAAGAGCATGGCTTCCCCTTTCAACTATTTACAGAGTGGAACCTGTGGGTACATGAAGTTCCAGATAGTCCAAGACAACGTTGGGAAAACAGTTGTCGTCTTCTAACCCATTGAGATGGGATTTCAGCACAAGGCCACGCATCCTCGACACAGTCTTCCTGACCGACCCACATTTTTTTCAAGGAACCACCCCCCCCCCCCCCCCCCCTTTTTTCCACAAGGAAGCCACAAGTGTGATGCGAGAACGCGCTTTCCGGCCCCAAGCCAGAGGGAGGCGGAGAACTAGAGGGACCAAGTCATAATCGCCCACGATATCCCCGGTCTGCCAGCTCCAGAGGCCAAGGGACCTATCGCAAATCACAGGACGGTGAACAATTACACTGGCAGCAGCAGCGCAACTAACTTCGTAAGTATTCATGCACCAAAACTGCAATGATGAGAAGCTAACAGTATATACAGTCAAAACGACAAATCCGCCATCTGCGCCGCCAGGCCAAGCGGGCCTAGGCTTGGCTGGCGGCGGCGGGTTCGCCGCACCAGTGCCAGCACCAGCAGCAGGGGCGGCAGCAGCTGCAGCAGCCGCTGCAGCAGCAGCAACACTGCAGCGGTAGACTGGTGGTGGTGATCTATCTACTCAGCAGTTCAGATGGGGCGGGCATGCCTGCCAATAGCAGCGTCGGCTGATCAAATGAGCATTTTTACCTTGCCTGATCTTCGCACCTAGCTTTACAACGCGCCTGCTAAAGAAGTAAAAGGCACATACGTGGTGATAGTTACCATGCCGCCTGGGGGGGGGGTCCTTCGAGTCTGTCGAACGGGGGGAAGACTTTTACAATATCACGTATCACGACAGGTGAACAACTACACCGGCGCGGTGGCGCCTTCTAGCAGTTTTGGGGGCCCAGTGGCTCCTGCGGGGGCTGGAGGTGAGGTGAGGCCCTCCGTGGGCACTGGGTCGACGGCGCCTGTTGAGAGCGGCGGCGCCCAGTCTTGGGCTGACCAGATGGAGGATTAAATAAAAGGAACGTTCCTCCCCCATTAGTCCCTGCTTGACCTTTGCACCTGGCTTTACAACACGCCTGTGAAGAGGTAAAAGCCATCTATCTAGGTACCTGGTGATGGTTGGATTGTAGCAGTCTGTCCACGACCCCCGGTCCTGTAGTCGACTCCTAAATATGCTAGGATTTCCTCCTTATCATCCTTGAAGGTGCGAGGACCCTTGACCGGAGTATCTGGGAGGGCGGCTTCGGGATCGTCGTCATTCTCGGCGTCCTCCACCTCCTGGGCCGCTGCTAGATTGGCCGCTATTTCGGCAAGGATATCAGCGTCCTCCTCCGCCTGGACCGCTGCTCCCTGGGCCGCTGCTTCGGCAAGATTCTCGTCGTCGAGGATCTCATCAAGGTCTATGTCGTCGATGATCCGATCGAGTTCCTCGTTCGTGGGAGCAGTCGCATCAATGGACCCTGTGGCCAGCTCCCTTTTGTCCAGGGGATCGGTCGCCCTAGGGTCTTCCTCCTCGCCCAAGCTTTCTTGAGAGGCAAGCTTCGTCTTCTTCGCCATAGCCTCCTCCTGCCCAGCCGGCCCCTTCTTACTGCCTTGGAAGTCCATGGCGTGGTAGGGGTCTCTGAATCGTGATGAGTCTTGTCAATCATTCACCTCAGGCCCTGCAGGCTTCACTTGGGACGACGTTGGATTCAGCCAATGGTATGTCAGGTCTATGATACTACCTCCCTTTAAGTTGGTAGAAATCACGTTTCAAGCTGTGTATAAGATATGCACGTACACAAGCAATTACCATTAGGAAGGGAAGAGATTGGTGGTTGGTTCATGCAGGGAGTCTTGGATGACTGCGGTATCTTTACATCTAGAAATCACATCAAAAGTAGCCTAGAATGATTACATGCGCATTCTGTAACAACCGAAAAGACTTTTGCTGCGAACGCGAGATCAAGAATCATCACCTCCGGGTAACTGGTCAATGACCCCCTCCACCATGTCGATCAGCTCGTCGATATCCGGGCGCTCGGCGGGCTCCACCCTCAGACACCTCCGGACGATCTCGCGTATCGGCTCGCTGATACCAGCCTCACCCCCCTCCTCCGCACCACCACCACCACCGCCGCCGCCGGCCGCCGCCGCCCCCGCGGCGGCCTTCCCCTTCCCCTTCCCCTTGCCCCTATCCGCCGGGCCGCCGCCTGGCCTCTCGTCGGGGAACCGCCAGTCGCCGCCCATGACGCACATGCTGAGCGAGCCGCCGGTCTCGTCGGAGCGGGCCTCGAACGGCGACTTGCCGACGAGGCAGGCGTAAAGGGTGCAGCCGAGCGACCAGATGTCGACCTTTGTGTCGACGACGGCGCCCGTCTTGACGTCGAACAGCTCGGGCGCCCGGTACGGCATGGTGCTGTGCTCGGCGGCCGTGTCCTGCGTCGCGATGGCGAGCGACCGGCTCGTGATGGCCAGCGGGGACGCCGCGATCGAGCCGAGGTCCATGAGGATGGGTTCCGAGCCCGAGTCGGAGATCATGATGTTTCCTGGCGATGTTAGCGGGGCCGTGGATATACACGAAGCGGAAGCAGCAACTAACCGGGCTTGATATCCCTGTGCGCATAACTCCTGACCTCCCGGGCCGCCGCCGCGGCGCCGGCCTCGTTGTCGTGCATCAGCGGCTGCTGCTGCTCCCTCTCGTTGTCCTCGTCGGCGCCGGTCTCCCGCGCCGGGGTCTTCTTATCCCGGCCGCGGCCGCCCCGGCCCTTGGCGACCTCGACATTCTCGTCCACGCCGTCCATCCGCGGCAGCTCCATCCTCTCCCCGGCGGTGCCGGCCGCCGCTGCCGCCTCCGCCGCCGCCTCCGCCGCCTCCGCGCCCGCCGGCGCCGGGCCCGCGGCGTCGCCGTACCGGTGCATCTGCCTGAGGGCGCGGCACACGCCGAGGAAGAGGAGCATGAGGCGGCGCTCGGGGAAGCGGGCGTGGTTGACGAGGTTTGCGTTGATCATGTCCTGCAAGTTGCCACGGCGGTAGTAGGGCAGGAGGACGTAGACGGTCTTGCTGGCGTCGCCGCCGGAGCCGCGGTCGGCGGCGATGCTGTAGCCGACGCTGTGGATGATGCCCGGGCTGCGCTCGAAGAGGCGGTACGCGTCCACCTCCTTCATCGCCTGCGCCACCGACTCGGCGCCGAAGGGGCAGTGGATCTTCTTGAGGGCGAGAAGTTCCGACGTCGAGGTGTCTTGGACGAGGTACACGTAGGAGAAGCCGCCCTGGAGCATGGAGTTAGCTGGAGTAAAGCCGCGGGCGGGATGTGCTTCCCGTGACGTACCTCTCCTAGCAACCGTAATATCTTGAAGCTGCGGCTGTTGATCTTGAGCGTCGGCGAGCCCGGGAAGCAGTTCAGGCAGTTCCCAAACGAGTACAGGACGTCTAGGAAGAGCTGCGCCATGGCGGCGTGTTGGCCTGCGCCTGAATTGGAATGGTTGCGCGGAGGGTGGTCGCGTAAATACAGTCAGGCGACCGGTTCAACACGATCGAGCATGCAAATGGCCTCGATCCTGGGATAAAACAAAAGCCAATCGCGTTCTGGGTATCACGGAGTGTTGTTCAATTAAAGAGCTACGTAATTGTAACGGCCATTGAGGTGCAAGGGGCTCAGCTGTGTTTCTAAATGTGGAACATCGTACAGTGCATTCCCAAACCTCGCACAGGCTAGGGACGCGATCAACGGTAACGGTCATGTACTCTTCATTAAAATAATCCTACTGCAAAAACAACAAACTCCATGGGGTAGTGTATGGGGTATCTTCCAGCTCCCACCAGCCAGCCCGCTGCTAAATACATAGCTCCCAAGAAGTGAAGAACTCCTGATGAACAAAGAGCGCGGTCTAGAAGCGAAATGGGTTTCGTCGTTCGTAATGTAACAGTTCATTTCCCCGTGCCAATCCGTCATGACAAGCTCTGCGCATTATCCCATAAGAGAGCTTCGGTTTCGTTCCGTGAATGATAAAAAACCCCGGTGGTTGCGTGTGGCGAGCATCGAAGTCGAGAATGCCCATGTGAGGCACTCAAAAGGCGTCCTCAAACGGGCAGTCGACGCTATCGTGGCCGTCCCGCTCGCACAGCGCGCACCACTTGGCCGAATCCACCATGCCGCTCTCCTTGCCGGCCACGGGGCCGGACTCCATGGGGTTCGGCAGGATCCTGACCGAGGAGAGCAGGGGCGCCGACGCCTTGCTCTTCAGGGGCGACAGGGGAGCCGGCTTGATGTCGTCGTCCGGGCCGGGGACGCCGAGGTTCTTCAGGCCCGCGCGGACGACGTCCCTGCCCGTCTTGGGCGACGACGACGAGGGATCCTCGGCGGGGCCCTGGCCCTTCTTCTGCTCCGCCTGGGGCCCAAACATGTTGGTGCAGGTCAGGATGTCGTGCCCCGAGGTCTCGCAGATCTCGCACCAGAGGGTGCTATTCTCGGTCGCGGTGCTGTACGCGTCGCTCTCGGGCATCGTGTCGAGGGTGATGCCCCGGCTGTGGCGGAGACCGCCGCCGAGAGACTTGTGGTGGGCCTCCGGGCTCCGCGGGGCCAGGATGACGGTGCTGCGGGAGTCGCGCAGCGAGTTGCGGTCGTTGGCGTTGCTGCCGATCGTCATGGCGCTGTGCCGATTGCCCAGGGCGGCGCTCCCCCGGCGGAGCGCCTCGATCTCGCGCTCGAGCTCGTCCTCGCGGCCGCTCTTGTTATCGACGAGCGCCCGGAGCTCGGCGACTTCGCGTTCCAGCTTCTCCCGCGCCAAGCGGTCGTCAATGGACTCCTGCCGCGCCGAGCGGAGCGAGCCAGAGCGCTGGGTCGGCGTCCTGTCGGCGCCGTCGCCTCCCGGGACGGAATCCCGGCTGAGAGAGTGGATGATGGCTTTCAAGCCGCGGATCTCGTCTTCCTTCTGCTCCAGATCCTTGGAGATTGAGAGGTTGTTGCCGTTCGCAGCACCGTTGGGTCCGCCCGGGGCCTGGACCTTCTCGCGCTCGCGGCGTAGCTCGGACCTTGTCCTCTCCACCTCGCCCCTCAGGAACTCGACCTCCCCTCGAGCCTCGGCCTCTCCCCGCCGGGCATCCTCCAGGCCCTCCTCCAGCTCCTGCACGAGCTCCTCCAGCTGCTTCAGCTGCGACGCCACATTGTCCACGTCGGCCGTGCGGTCCTGGAGATCGTGGACTTCCTGCATCAACTCCTCGATGCGCTTCTCGTACACCCTCTCCGTCTCCGTGCTCGCCATCTCCAGGGTGTCGATGGTGCTCCGGAAGTCGGCGCGGTGGGCGTCGAATTCGGCCGTCAGCATGGCAATCTTCTCGTTCTTCTCCCTGAGCAAGGCCCTCAGCTGCGGAGCATCCCTGTCCTCCATGCTGCCCCGCCGCAAGAGGGGAGGCGGCCCGTCGGAGCCCTCTATCAGACTCTGCAGTTCGCTTATGCTGCCCTCCATCTCGGCCAGACTCGAAGCCTGCTCCTTGAGCTGGCGGTCGCGGTCCTGGAGCTGTGCCCTCAGCCTCTCGACGTCCTCGTCGCTGGTGTGGGCGCCGGCGCGCGAGGCGGCGCGCGACACGGGCCGCAGCTTCAAGTTGAGCGAGGATATCGAGCCGATGCTGCCGTTGGTCGTCGTCGTCCGCGGAACCCCTACCGGCGTGGTCTCGTCGTCGGTGTAATTTGACGACGTGGTGTTGCCCAGGGCCGATGCGCTGCGGGGTCCGATGCTGGTTTTCCCGTCGCGGGCTGGCGGCCGCTTGCTGGGATCGCCAGCCGTCCCGCGGACGCTCTGGGCGAACTTGTTTGTCGTCGGACTCCCATATCGGGCGGGTGGTCTGGGACCGGGAGTCCCCATGGGTGGCCGGGGGGTGGCGAGCTGGAGCCGACGGACGGGAGACTCGGGTCGGGGGAGAGAGCCTCTCGATCTCTTGCCAGCGGGGCTTGGGGCGCGGCCCGGGCCGACAGACTGGCTGAACTGGCCGACAGACTGGCTGAACTTGGGCAAGGATGGTGTTGGGGGGGTGAAATTGGTTGAGTTCTGATTTCCGACTCTCAAGCCGCCGGGAGTCGCTGCGGTAGGGGTGAGGGGAATGGAGCTTGCCGATGTTGGCGTAGAATCTCGTTTGACTGCCTTGGAAAGGGGCAGGAAGATACCGGCGCCAGGAACAGTGGTGGTAAAATAGAAGACACTGAGGGACCCGCGTTAGCCGCAAATCAAATAGAGCACAAGGACAATTTCTCACCCGTCAACATCGCCGCTGTTCTTCCCGCGCGACGCAAAGTCCGCGTGTAACTCGACTCCGGCGAAGGTTCCTTTCCGGCCCGGCACGGTACCGACGAAACGAACTGTGCCGTGCATGTTGCCAGGGACGTCGACGGCGTCGCCCGTGGCGAGGTCGTCCCTCGCACCGAGCTTGCCGGGTGTGAGGGGTGCCGGCATTTTGTCGCTGGTCAGGACGGTGTTGAGGGCGTAGGCTTCGGTGTCATCGGGGATGGAGGCAAGCGAGTTCTGGGTCAGGGCGGCGAATGAAGCTTTTCGGGAGAGTGACGGGGGGGCGAGGCGCGACGAATGAGACGAATAAAGCTGGTTCAGGTTTGGAGTGGATGCCGTGGCGAATGCGCTGAGACCGGGGCCTCTCTTTCGAGAAAGCGTGTGTCGGGTGGTTGTAGAGTAGGTTGATGTTGTTGTGGAGGTCATGTTGGGAAGAAGATATTGGCACCCTCAGCGAGGTGCCTAGTGTTCATGCAAATCAAATGCCTTGGCCGGGTGCCTCATTGTTTACACCCCACACTACCACACACCGCGCGCGCGCGAATAGGGGCTAGCCTTTGTTTCGTTTTCTCCGGCAGGGCAAGACACAACTTGCCTCCGTCCGGTAAACCCCCGAGGCCAATGCGCGCCGCCAAATTTCTCGATCGGTTTGGTTATTGAATGACTCTCCCAATTTAACGAGGAACGCCTGGGGACAAGTGTTGCGTTCTCCTGGTGGTTTAATTAGAAATTCTCAGAGAACGGGGGTGACAGTAGAAGTGGGGGTTGGTGAGGCCCGGGAGCGGGCAAAGCAGGGGGATCCAAGGAGATCTAGCGTGATGGTTTTTAAGGTTCGGGAACGCAAGCTCAATACCTCCTGAAAGAATGGAAGCCGGCAGGTTCGAGTTGGACAAGAAAAGGAGTAGGTCAGCAAGAGCGGTGGAAACTGCAGTGGAAATGGGCGAGCTAAATGTGACCCGACCTGAGATCGCCCTCCCCGGTGCGCAGCAACACCTAGCACCTGCATGAGCGTCATCAAGCGACGTGGCAGGCCATTGAAGGGCGGCACTGCAAGCCCGCGAGTGGATATCCCTTCAATCTCCTGCCGCATTTCGAACATTCATACTGAAAGAAAATAAAAACAAGAGCCGAAGGACGGCTCCGGGAGAACCTCTGTGCTGTTCGCTCTCTGCCTGGGCACTGGACTCAATGTGGTTCCTCACCTGCCATGGTAGACCGGCTTCTATGTTCCTGCCTCCGTTAGGGGTCACTCTGCATCGACGAGCGACCGTGCTTGCTGCAATAAACAAAGCAAGACCAACAAAGCCGACCGGGAAACGAAACTGAGTCTCCGCTGTTGGTCTACCGAGCCGCATGTTGCAATATTAATAATTAATAAATCTACCCGACCTATGATTTCCCGCCTTTTGGTCACCAAGTTGCAGCCAGTCAAGAACCGCTGAAATATTCTTTTCACTCTGCTATCGCTCATTTCTATGGCTTAAACTTCCTCAATTGCCAAACATGAGCTTCAACACCTTGTCTTGTCCCCAGGTTCCAACTCTGCGTACACCATGCCTTTCAGCAGGGAAGCTTGTCTTGCCGGGCTTATGCCGGACGAAGTGGGACTTACACCTGGCGAGCCGCCTAGGGCCATGGAGCCACCGTGTTGCCGTCACGTCCCGCCTTCGTTCGTACAATTCGACCTCATTCTGCAATAGGCTGAACTGAATCCCCTGACCATCTTTGCATCGGCAAGACTCCGCCGGTGTCTTCCGAACAGGCCAATTTCGAGTGGCTATCTCGGCAGTGTGGAGGCCTGGCCATCAAGAGGCACCGCACATGATGCCAAGGTCGCGGCGTCGTCTTCCGGTGGCCGGTTGTTGACGGTAAGTCTATTTCGAGAATAGGGTGGTCTGCTTCATCATGTCAGGGAGCCATGGTCTCGCTGGATGATGTCTTCGCTATTAAGAGGCCTGGTTCCATCGTTAAACACCATGGCCTCCCGATGCCGATGACGGAGTCGCTGTTCTTCTGCGCTCTGTTCGTGTGGCCTGCCACCGACGAGTCGGCGTCCCTGTTCGTCGCTCTCTTCGCTGCTCATGCCGATGGAGATCACCACGCTGAAGCGGCCCGCCTGCTCACAGGCTTCTCTTGTATTCCTGCTAATGAGGCCTGCGCGTTCAAGCCTGTCTCGGCCCGAGTCGCACCCCAGGATCCTGTTCACGATCTCGGTGATGCGGTTTGACCGGCGATCCATATACTGGGCAAAGTTTGCGATAATCTTTTCCTCCGAGTCACCCCAGTTCTGCCTGGCCAGCCACTTTTCGATGAAATTGGCCTTGATGAGCTTCTCGGCGCCGTATCGGCTGAGGAGCTGGCTGACGAACATCAGGCACAGCTTGTCGGACATGTCCCGCAGGTAGTACTCGTCGAAGTACTTGTCTCCGAGCTCCTCTTGTGCCCCGCCCTCCGGCTCGAGTCCGAGTTCCAACGACCTAACGAGTGCCGCATAGGCTTTCCATGTGTGGAGGAGATGCAGGCTGTCTAGGGAAACTGTGAGCACTCAACAAAGAGGTACAGGCGTAGGATGAGGCATAACGCACGGTGATCGGTAATTATGGCAAGACATCGCAGGTTCTTCATACGCTCATCGTAGTCTGGGCGCGTAATTCCGTAGAGGAGGACATCAACCGTGGAGCCGTCATTGATAGCCCTGTCGCAAACTATTTTGCCTGCTGTTTCCCGGATGGCGTAGTTGTAATGACCAAGGAGAGTATCCAGGGTACCGAGCTTTAAGGCGTCTTCTGTCTCCTGGGTGATGTATTGTGTCTTTGGCTGCACTGGCTTTACTTCGGCATCGTCGCGATAGCTTGTCAGGATCGTGCGCATCATCAAGACGAGGCCGACGGCGCCAACGCTGAGGCTAGCAATGATCACTCGTTCATCACGAGCAATCGACGATAGCCAGCCCATCTTGGCCAGTTGTTGGATTCCAGCTTCGCAGCCCTTGATTCGTATGCAAGGTATGCCTGGAAAGCAACTGGAAGCCAAGTTACAGCTGCCGTTCATTCTGCCATTGCCGACCGCTCTACATATATGCTCTCACCACCCCACCCCGATAAGATAACGAAAGAAACCAAAAATTTCGCGGCATCCCGATTCCCTCTAAAACCACTGGACGGGATTTTGATTGCAGCCTTTTGACAAGGCCACAGGATTATCGTCATGGCCGGCTCACAGCTCAAGAGGCTCAAAGCCTCGCTCAGGGAGCAAGGAGTTATTGGCCCGCAGCAATCGAAGAAACAGAAGCGCAAGAATGCCGAGGATCAGAAAAGCCGGAACGACAAAAGACTTCAACGATCCGCCGTTCTTGAGAACATCCGGGAACAGTTCAACCCCTTTCAGTTCAAGACAAATGCGCGGGGGCCAAAGTTCGAGGTTACCACCAATCGCCCTGCCGGCGACAGGGCGTCTATGGGCATCAATGGCAGGCCGGGCCTATCCAAGGCTATAGGCGAAGAGAGGGTGCGTGACAAGTCTTCAGGGTGCCGTTGCACATATGCTGACATACAGGCGATAGCGTCGCGAAACTCTCCTGGTCGAAATGCAGCGCCGTAATAAAGTTGGCGGGATACTTGATCGGCGCTTCGGCGAAAACGATCCTACCATGACCCCCGAGGAGAAGATGCTCCAGCGTTTTGCACTGGAGAAGCAAAGGAATTACAAGAAGAGCTCCGCTTTTGACCTCGAGGATGACGAGCCAATGGACGGACTTACCCACATGGGGAGGTCTCTTGCGTTTGACGAAGGGGAGGCTGTCGTGGATGACTTCGACGAGTCTGATCTTCCCTCGGGCGACGAGTCCGACTCCTCCCAGGCTGAACGGAAGAGGTTAAAACGAATGCGACTCGAGGCCATGGGGGAAGAGGGGGGCGACCCTGAGAGCGAAGAGCCGGAGAGGAAAAAGACCAAGAAGGAGGTGATGGAAGAAGTCATCGCCAAGTCTAAACATCACAAGTACGAGCGTCAAGCCGCCAAGGACGAAGACGATGATCTCAGGGCCGAGATCGACAAGGAGTTGCCTGATCTTCGAGCCCTGCTCTATCGGCGAGAAGCGGCACAGGCGGGCAATGGGAAGGGAGACCGGGGAGAGCAGTCTCTGATCGCCGGTATCGACAAAAGCACAATGGAGAAAGATTATGATCTCCGGCTCAGGCAAATGATCCAAGACAGGCGTGCTCAGCCGTCTATGAGGACCAAGACCGAAGAAGAAAAGGCCGAAGAAGAGTCCACGAGATTGAGAGAGCTTGAAGAGAAGCGTCTAAGGCGGATGGAGGGCCAGCAGGACAGTGATGAGGATGAGGAGTCCGGTGATGATAAGGAAGCGACGGGAGCCTCGGCGGCCACCTCGGCCAAAGCCGTCGACGGGGATGAGGACGATGAGTTCGGCCTTGGAAGGGGGATCAAAATGCGGGCTACAGCAACGGAATTGGGATTCGATGACGAGGACGACTTCATCATCGATGACGATTTGGTTGCCAGTGGATCCGATCTTGATATTGACGAAGACGACGAGTCCGCTTCGGATGCTGAAGCAGAAGAGTCTGAATCCGACGATGAATTCACAAAGGGGCTCCTGACCGAGACAGAATCGAAGCATGTTCTTTTCCAAGGTCCTGGCAAGGCGCATGGCGACGATGAGGACGGCGTTCCTTACACATTCCCCTGTCCGCAGACACACGCCGAGATGCTCGAGGTCTTCAAGGCTGTTAATATTTCGAAGCTGCCGACCGCGGTGCAACGGATCCGAGCGCTATATCATCCGAAGCTGGACAGTCGCAACAAGGAGAAGCTGGGCAATTTCTCGAGGGCCCTCGTTCAGCATATTTCCTATCTCGCGGGAACCCCTGAACCCCAGTTTTCAGTGCTCGAGGGCCTCGTACGACACGCCCACTCCTTGGCGAAGTCCTTCCCAATCGAGGTGGCTAAAGAATACCGAGCACGTATCGAGGAGATGGGCAGGGATCGGCCGTTGTCGCCGAATGTGGGCGACCTCATAATCCTCAAGGCGGCGGCGACCACTTTCCCCACGTCGGATCATTTCCACCAGGTTATTACGCCGGCGATGCTGTCCATCGCCCGGTATCTGGGGCAGAAGGTGCCGGAGAGACTCGCCGATTATGCGACCGGCACGTACCTATCGATTCTGGCTCTTGAGTACCAGAAACTTTCCAAGCGCTATGTGCCGGAGCTGATGAACTTCTGTCTGAACACGCTATACTCGCTGGCCCCTGAGAAGCCGGCTGACAGGCTCGGATTCTTCCCCATCCACGAGCCCCCCTCCCGCATCCGCATACGGAACGGCCAGAAAGCACCCCTGAGGAAACTGGCCTTCAGAAACTGCCAGCCCGGCGACGCGCTCCCCTCCGCAGACGCCGAATCCCTGAAGCTATCCATCCTCTCCGCCACCACAGCGGTGGTCAAAGCCGCCGCGGAGACATGGTCGGGCAAGCCAGCCTTCTACGAGACCTTCCAGCCCGCGCTCGCCATCCTCCAGCACCTCGCCACACCGGCATGCCACCGGCACCTCAACCCGGCCGTCCAAGCCTCCACCACCCAGTCCTCCGCCTACCTCTCGCGCGCCCTCCGCCTAGCGCACGTGTCCCGCCGCCCGCTGGAGCTGCACCACCACCGGCCCCTCGCGGTGCGGACCAGCATCCCCAAGTTCGAGGACTCGTTCGACCCGGGCAAGCACTACGACCCGGACCGCGAGCGCGCCGAGCTGGCGAAGCTGCGCGCCGAGCACCGGCGCGAGCGCAAGGGCGCCATGCGCGAGCTGCGCAAGGACGCGAACTTCCTCGCCCGCGAGAACCTGCGCGCCAAGAAGGAGCGCGACGACGCGTACGAGCGCAAGTACCGCCGCCTCGTGGCCGAGATCCAGAGCCAGGAGGGCAAGGCCGCCAACGACTACGACAGGGAGAGGGACGCGAGGAAGAGGGCGTCGAAGAGGGGGTGAGGTGGGTGCCTGGTGGAGGATATTTATGTATATATGTGGTTTGGGAGGGGAAAAGCTACTATTGCTCTTTTGCAAAAAACGCGATCATCGTGTTCATATTCCAGACTGCCAGAAAGCACCTGTGGCATTACCGTATCATCACTCGCGCGCCATACTCAGATAATGATACCCGCCATCCCATCATAGAGGCCTGGCCTTTTGTCCCCAGATGAAGAAGTCTTTATTTGATTGAACCAAAGCATACCAGGCACATCCCCTTCAAGCTAGCAACATACCATCAACCAACTACAAAGCAAGACCAAGACGAGCCCCTATCGGAGGAGCTCTCTCAACCAAATAACCCTCATAGCACCAACTTATACGTCGCGACCTCAAACGGCCGCAGCTCAATGTCAAACTTCCCGTCCTCAATAACGACGTCCCCGAGCTCGTCCTCGAGCGCATTCACCTTGGCCACCCTCTTGACCTCCCACGCCGTCCGGACGGTCCCCCTCGCCCTGCCGCCGAGGCTGTCGTACACGCGCAGGATGACGCTGCGGCCCCCGCGCCTGCCGGGCAGCTCGCCGCGGCTGACGTCGTCGTCGTCCTCGCCGCGCTTGACCGTGTCGATGACGAGCGACGGGTTCCCCTCGAGCACGACGGGCGACAGCGACAGCTGCGCCGCGCCGGCCGTGTCGGAGCCCTGCGGCGCGGAGAGCACCCGCAGCGGGTTGTTGAACTCAAAGGCCTTGCGCACGGTGGCCGGGCCGAGGCCGCCCTGGTGCGGGAACACGGCCCAGCGGATGTGATGCTTGCCCATGTCGGCGTGGCCGTCGGGGGCCTTGGGCGCGCGGAGGAGCGACAGGCGCATCAAGTTGCCCGTCGTGGCGAAGCCGTACTTGCTGTCGTTGAGGATCGACACCCCGTAGCCGTTCTCCGAGAGGTCGGCGAACTTGTGGCAGCACACCTCAAACTTGGCCATGTCCCACGTCGTGTTGTAGTGGGTGGGCCGCTTAACGATGCCAAACTGCGTCTCGTAGGCGGCCTCGGTGTTCCTGATGTCGACGGGGAACTCGACCTTGAGGAACTTCATGGTCTCGTGCCAGTCGACCTCGCTCGAGACTTCCACATACGACGGCTCGCCCTTGATGGCGGCTGACAGGCTGATGGTGCTCTTGATCGAGCTCTTGTCGCTGATCTTGATCTCCGTGACAACGCTCACGCGGTGGTCCTTGTCTTCGGAGATCTCCGTCTGCCCGCATGGTAGCTCCTTGCGAGAGTCGAGATGGTACACCTCGACGTCCCATGCCTGCCAGTAAAGGGGCTTGTCGTCGAAGATGACGAACTGGTTGGCCGTCTCCCCCTTCGGAATGACCTCCCTCTTGGCTGCCTTGTCGTACAGGGACACGATGCAGCCGCCTTTGACCTCGACAACAAGTTGCTTGTTCTCCAAGACGAAAACGCCCTTGGAGGTCTCTTTCACCGTGGCTTCGGGGCCCTCGGTGGACTTGAACTCGCGCAGCGCAAGTAGCGGGCCGGAACCGTAGGCGACTGCAACCTCGGTTTCCGAAATATCGACAAGCTCCTTCCGGTCCCAGTGGAGAGTGTTGATGGCTATTCCCACGGATTCTGGGGTCACCTTGCACTCACTAAGGCCAAATACTTTGTAGATGTCCTTCAAGAGGGACTCCCCGGTTTTGAAGACTTCGGCGTAGAGCTGCATCCGACTGTCAGTATACTTCGCTACGTGTTATAAATCCGAAACGCCACTTACTTCATCCGAGTCGTCGTAGCACATCTCGATGGAGCTACCAGGGAGGCAATCATGGAACTGGCACAGGAGTGTGGCCTCCCACATGTCGTCGATCTCCTTCTTGGGATATTTGTAGGACGCACTCTTGAGACTTGCAATGGTTGCCAGGAGCTCGAGGTCACGCAGGAGGAACTCCGCCTGCCGATTGAACCGCTTGTTGTTGGCCTGGGTGGTGTATGTGCCTCGATGAAGCTCAAAGTACAGCTCGCCGTACCAAGTCACGAAAGAATCCGCCTTGCGCTCGAGTTTGTCGAAGAAATCGTCGACCGAGTTACCCAGATGCACCCTCGGCAACAGACCGACTTGGTCACTGATACCGCGGCACCGGCGGAGCTTCTCAACATGTTGCCAGGTGGGACCGCCGCCGCCGTCACCCTTGCCGAAGACTAGCAACGATGTCGAGTCCTGGTCCAGGGACTTGTGCTGTTGGAGGCTTCGCTTGACATCGCCAAAGTGAGCCTCGGCCGTGTAGGTTTCGGCGGGTGGCATATGACATATCACCTGGCTACCGTCCAGGGCGACCCAGTTGAAGGTGGTGTGCGGGAACTTGTTAATGTTGTTCCAGCTGAGTTTCTGAGTAAGGAATCGGTCCATGCCAGCCAGGCGGCAGATCTGTGGGATCTGGCTGGAGTATCCAAACGTATCCGGAAGCCAGAATGTTTGGCAGCGGTCACCGAAATTGCTCTCGAAGAAGCGCTGGCCATACAAGAACTGGCGGATAAGCGACTCGCCGCTGGGCATGTTGGTGTCGTGCTCAACCCAGCTGCCCCCGATGGGGTTGAACCGGCCCTGCTTGACCTTCTCCTTGACTCGGTCGAAAACGTAGGGGTAGTCCTGCTTCAGCCACTTGTACTGTTGGGCCTGCGAGCACGCAAAGTTGAGCTCGGGATAGCGATCCATGAGGTCGCACTGGTTAGACCAAGATCTGGCAACCTTCCGCTTGGTCTCCGCCCACGGCCATAGCCAGCAGCTGTCGATGTGGCAGTGGCCAATGCCGTAGACTAGCGGCTCCCTGCCGCTATCGTACACCTTAGCCGAGTCGACATTCGGCCCAAGATATTCCTGGGCAATCTCGCGGCATCTCTTGAGTGACTGTTTGTTTCCGAGCTCGAAGGCATCGATGATGTCAGTCGCAACTTTCAGGGCCTTGTGCTGCTCCCATGAGTCTCGAGGGAATTCTCTCGCGGCATCGCCAATGATCCAGAAATCTATGGAGAGCTGTCGGGCATCGGGGTTGACTGCCACGATCTCGGCTTTCCTGAGCTGGAAATACTTGTTGGGATCCGGGGGCTGGATCGAGTCTCCGCCGGGAGCATTACCAAACATGCCGTTACAGGCCATCTCGATGTATATGGTGTGCTCCTTGCCATCCCGGAACGAATCGGGGAGGATCCATTCGATGCGCTCCCCGCCACCAGTGAGGCCCTGCAAGGGATTGCCGGCTTCCGACCAAACCATACCCTCATTACTGGCGTCCCAGTGGAGCTCGATGATTTCCTTCCCGCGTAGCTCTGAGGGGACTGCTAGGATGACCTTGAACCAATGGGTCGACCATGATGGGCCGAACCAGGAACCAACTTGGGTGTGCTTGAACTCGTTGGAAACGGCTTCTTTGAAAGTCGGTCTGGACAGGTCTGGCGCATCCCAGACAGAGAGCTTGACATGTGGGTCGCCCTTGGCGACGCCCTCGAACATCATCGCACTCAGATTCTGTTTCTCATACTGTCCTCCGGAGGTGAATTGACGGAGTCGCTCCTTGTAGATGTTGGAGATCCACTGACCAACGGGCCTCGGCGCCTGCGCTGGATAGGAGCTCTGGGGCTTCTTTTGTGTGTCGGTTTGGCCGCCCATTTTCAGGTTTTCGGTAGTTGCCTCGATGATGGTCTATCCACGGGTTTAACGTCGTCGTAAAGCGTTGAACGTCCCCAAGCTTGGCAAGGAGCTCAGGACAAGTAGCTTATAAGCTACCGAGGCAAACTGGCTTTCGTTCGGCAGCAGATGTTAGCTGAGCAAGTTCGAGGATAATATCTATCTACGAGAAAAGAGAAACAAGATCAGTTGAACACCCTATAGATGGAAAACTGGTTGACGTGAAGTTTGAGTTTAGCAGTTTCAAGATGACGAAGCTGGAGGGGGCTGGAGCTGCAGCTAGACGGGGAAGCTACCCAGGTATTTAGCTATCCTCGATGCGGGGAAGCAGGGGTGATCGGCGGCATGCATCCTGATTAGGCAAGTATAGTTCACTAGTGGACGCCCCTGCACCTAAATCATCCATTTAAGTTACCAGCATCTTGTGTGTCGGCAGTACTGTGAAATGCAGGTGACACCTCGACACAGCGTTTTACCAGGTCTTTTATCGTTTGCCATGCGGTCTTTGTTCTATGTGTAAGTGAGCAGGTGTCTATGAATCGACGTTAAATAGAACCTATTGCATATGCCAGGATTGAGGGAGCATTGCAAGGTACTATCTAGTGTAAACTTTGATTGCTTGTAATCTCTTGCAAGCTTTCTTACACGTGTACTAAAAACCGTTATCCTGTGATAACCTCTTTATTAGGTTTGAAGCCTCTGTCATGAAACTGAACTCTGAGTAGGCTTTTGACTGCCTTTCCCTGTGCCAATTTGTATCGTCGCCTTCCAGATCACCGTCGCCGTCATAGTCGTTGTCCTCAGCTATCTCCAAAATGCCTTCCTAGAGGAAGAAACGGAGGACCAGATGTTTCGATTGTTCGCGCACGTCAGCCTGACCCGTGACCCTGGCGCCACGAGAGACGAGGTCTGGGCTAATCTGGCTCCGGACCCCGAGATCGCCGAACTGGAAGAGCGGAGAGCGGAGCTTAAGCAGGGCCAGTATCGCATCGACGGTCAGGAGAACGAGGCAGGGATCCGAGAGCTGGCAGCTACGATTCGATCGAAGCGGTCACAGGGCGAGAAGGAGATCGTGAAGGAGTAACGCGAGAACTACTTCCATCACCGCCCGACCTGGGACCTTGCGAAGCAGTTTAGGGGGGAGGAGCCAGGGGAGTACGCAGAGCTAGCTATTGACCTGGTTATCCCCGAGCGTGCACAACTGGCGGAGATCTTCTGAGACCGCAAAGATACCATGTGACTGTGGGACAACTGTGGGGGCAGCTGTCGTTACAACTCCCTTCATCACAGGGAGCAGCTACCGCAGAATGTCATCAGTTCATGAGACACGACGCGGTGTTTGGCATTCGTGGCTTCAGAAAAGCGCACATTCCGTTTCGAGAAGTCTGCCAGAAAGAAGGAGAGGTGGTTTGCACTACAGCTGCTGAATCCTGATTGCTCCGATGTGCCTTCCGTACTCCACCATGGCTGACCAATGAGATCTCCCACTCGGACCAGTTCTGTACCTTGGCGGACGAGGATCAAGTACCGGCTGCTTCTATAAGATAGTCATCATGTCTTTATAAATACACCGCAATCTCCCTGCCTGGCTCCTTTCCAACTTCCTCCTTCTTTACCTCTTTCTCCTCTGCATGCCGGGTTCCTGGTTGTATTTCAGCCAATGAGTGACGATGAGCTGCCGCCCTTGCCTGCTTCCTTCGGCGTCCTTCCCCTCCTTCATTGCCGGCCGACGTTCGCCTATCCTTCTCTCTTGAGAAGTTCAGAGAGATTACCTTACCTGACTCACCCCCCCTTCTCTTCCTTTTTCTTTCCCCCTGATTCTACGCTGAACCCCGGCCAATGGCAGAATTGCCTCATGCAACGCTCCTCACGGAGGCACACTTGCCGTGGCCCCCCCCCCCTAATCACCTAAGCCATTATCTTCCCTGCAATCCAAGAGTTGGCCAGCCTCCAGCTTTCCTCGGCTTTTCCCACCCATCCCGTCGTGGATCCAAGGCCACGAGAATTTCTCGACACGAGGACATAAATCATGTCCCCCGACGCCTCTCTATCGAGCGATAGTTGGATATCTGAACGAACCTGAAAGCTGTTTGCCCACGATTTGCACCACGGCCAAGAATGAGCAAGCGAAGTTCCGGAGTGTGGCCCTATTCCTTGGCGTTGATCGATGTGATAATCTTACAGGAGCTGAGCGGCAAGAGGTCATGCGGGCCCTCGTAAGAAACATGATAGGGTGACAAACAGCAGCCGGTGGTCTGTTGGTCCTGCACAGGATGCACGACGAGAGGGGAAACCCGGAGTCTTTGAAAATGACCGCCGATACGAGGACGCGGCCTCGACCAGTACGACGCTTCCTCCATTTGCGACAGGGTTATCGGGCGCGGCGTTGTCTCAGATGTGCCCGACTGCGGGTGGCTCGAACGCTATGGACAGAGCTCAACATTCAGGGCGGCGCCCACGTGTGCTGTGGCCGAGGTATCGTTTCTGGGATCCATAGCAGCTTTGCTTGATGAAGATCGGTCTAGTCGAGGACCAACAAGCGTACCTGCTGCTTTTCGCCACAACAATGCTGTCATGGCACACGAAGACAATGGCGACGGCATTATTAAGCGCTGCGGCGGCCTTGACCGGGCGAGCTACGTCACCAACCTGCCTCGCCCATGATGCTGCCCACCACAGACATGCGTCCAGAAGGGGGCCTGTCAGGGCTACCTCAGAAGACCATAAGATGGTCCCCGGGCTCTTCAAATGGCCGTCATCCCCTTCAGGCTCAAGCTCTCCTCTTTCTCTTTTCTCTCAACCTGCTTGGCCACCCAGCCGCTTACAAAAAACACCTACCATCTTTCTTGACCTCTGTCTAAAATGCCCGAAGCTGATCCTGCTTGGCCCCGAAAGACTGGGACTGTTAAGAGCTCAGTCACTGCTAAGCGCGTCTCCACGCCTGCGTACAGTCTGGCCAGCGTCGTGCTTATCGATCTGACTCAAGATGACGATGAGCCGGGGACTCTGACTCCTAAGACGCTGGTCAAAGTGCCAAAACGGAAATCTGGGAGCACGGAGCTGGATTGCCCAAGGCAGCTTGATGGACCCGGATTTGACCCCCCTCCGCCGAAGAAGCGGCAATAGGCCGTCCGCCGGGCCTCCGAGGCACCTATCAAGTCTGAAAAACTCTCCCTGTACCACTTGTTCGCGCCTCCACGCCTTCAATCAGTTCGCGTACACCGTCACCCAAGGACAATTCCCCACTGGCTATCTATGCCAGGTACACTGATGCGAGAAATGCCTGGTATGCGACCCAACCACCCACTTCCCGCACCGACCAGCGTTTTCGGAAGGCTCGGGGTCTCCCGTCGCGGTATAGCAACAAATCCTACGAGTGGTGTCTGGATTATAAGCAGATGACGCGGCGTTGCACCATCCCGACCAGGTCCAGGAAATGGAGTATGGAAGAGATGACGGCTTATTTAGACTGGGATAAGGCGGAGGACAGGCGCGTTCAGGTTATCGTCGACGACTGCGGAGACGGAATCCGTGGGCACAGGGGTATGGACTACATCAGGAAGATGGTGGACAGAGAGATGGGGTTGGACTCAGTGGAGAATAGGGGCGTTTGAAGAAGCAGAATAAACCACTCTAATATCTACTGCCAGTTGAGTTCCTCGATGCGGTCAAGGAAGTGCGCACCATTCCGGTAGAACAAAACCCTCACGCTCCGAGGCCCCTCTTCCGCCACCCCACTGGAGGCTGCGTATCTCTTTAATCAGTCGTGATGTCCGAGAGACAGCCTCTGCCGTTGTCATGGGGTCTTCGGCGCAATTCTTTATGACCGAGATTTTACCTTGTAGAAGGTTACTGATAGCGAACCTGACAGTACCTTACATACAGCATGTCTGTATGTTTAGGGTTCCTCCTTTGTCTTAATGAAGCTGCGCCTAGCTTACCTATTACTAACCGCGCCCCTTTTATTTCCTCGCCAGTGCTAATAAACTCATCTCTTCTCAACCACTTTTCTGTCAACCACTGCTTTTCTCCACCACTTCTGTTCTCGACTCATTTCGCTTCCCAGCCACTATTTTTCTTCAAATCTTCCACCCTTCCACCCCTATTTTCCCGTTTCAAACTCTCTGCCTATTCTCCTTTTCGCGTGAGACATCTCACGCCTTGAGAATCTTGACCAGCTCAGCAACGATGGCATCTCCTGCTTCTGCGGTGCCCGTGCTGCCGCCCATGTCCTTGGTTCTCAGCCCGGCGTCGATGGCGGCGCGGACCGAGTCCTCGACGATTTTAGCCTCGTGGGCGAGATTCAGAGAGTACCGGAACATCATGGCCACGGAAAGGATGGTGCCAATAGGATTCTGGAAATGATGTCAGCTCTGTACTTGCAGCGAATGGATAGGAATCGCCCAAAACGGGGCCTTGACGCACGACAATCCCTTTCCCTGATATGTCCGGCGCGCTACCTGTCATCTGCGTTAGCGACTGATGTCTACATGAGGGCTCGAACAGGATAGGAGTCTCACCATGAATCGGTTCACAGATAGAAGGCACTGCAGAGCTCGGAATCCCGCAGAGACTCGCGCTCGGGAGGAGCCCAATGCTTCCAGCTATGGCGCTCGCCTCGTCGCTGAGAATATCCCCTTAAAACTCATTAGCTAAACCGCCTTCGAGGTGGACGAGAGGCCTCGCTCACCTGCCAAGTTGGGCGCTATTATGACGCCATTCAGCTGCGTCGGGTTCTTGACCATAATCATGGCCGCGCTGTCAATAAGCTGATGCTCGACCTTCAGATCAGGGAACTCGTTTTTAAAGACCTCCTCAACGACACAACGCCAGAGTCTGCTTGTCGCCAGCACGTTTGCCTTGTCTAGCGAGATAACCCGCGAGTCTCCCCTAGACCTGGCCAGGTAGCCGCCCAGCCGTGCGATACGCTCGATTTCTGGTTTCGTGTAAACAGTAGTGTCAAACGCATTAATCCCATCGTACTCTTTTCGCTCTCCGAAATACAGGCCTGAGGTTAACTCTCGGACTAACATCATGTCGATGCCGCGGCAGACGGACGCCTTCAGGGGGGAGGACTCGACAAGGGCATCGGACGCGAAGAAGCAGGGACGGAGGTTTCCATAAGCGCACATCTCACTGCGTAGCTTTAGGAGGCCCTGCTCCGGGCGGATGGCGCCAGTGCCCCATTCAGGGCCGCCGATGGCGCCGAGGAGCACGGCATCGGCGGCTTTGGCGGCGGCGAGGGCCTTGTCTGTGAGGGGGGTGCCGGTCTGGTCGATGGAGCACTGGGGAGAAACGCCGAGGTTAGCAAGAGACTTCTCTCGTGGATGTCTTTGGGCCCGTGTGATCCGTCGTCAGGGGACGACTTACCCCTCCGAGCAGGTGGTCCTGCAAATTGAATTTGCCAGCAGTCGGGCTCAGCTCCTCGACCGTCTTGATAACCTGAATCCTGCGTCAGACGTTCTCAACTGCAGGTCGCAAATACTAGACTCGTACCTTGATTGCCTCAGCAACAACCTGTCAAATAACCAGAGTCAGCCTCTCTCCAGCCAGAGTTAAGGGTGGGAAAGCTCGGGGATAGTGAGTCACCTCTGGGCCACAGTGGTCGCCCGCAAAAACAACAATGTTGTGTTCCGCCATGGTCGCAATACTTGTCCGATGGAGTTCGTCCAAAGAAGGGTCCGTCTTGTGTGACGAAGCACGAGAATGAGTCGAAGACGAGGTGGGAGGCGGGAGGTCCGACGGAGAAAGTCAGAGTTATGACGAAGGAGGCTTGCGTTTCTTCAAAGACGGACGTGTTCGTATCAACCTAACCAATAAGCAATGAGGAATGTCGTAGGAAGGGAGATTGGAAACGGAAGTGAGGGGAGTTAAAGAATATATTCGACAAGATATATAGCAGAGCAAAGTCAGGGACGGCTTGTTCGTCCGAAATAGCATGCTTTTCGCTAGCAGCGCAACTCGCCCCACCGCCCCTGCCAAGTTGGAGGACCCCTCACCCCCCACCTGCCGAGATCGGAGAGGGAGGAAGCTCCAGCCTGCTTCAACCCGCTTCAATTCAAGAAAGGAACGAAGGTGAGGTACATAGCAGGACCACATAAAGGCAATGTGGATGGATATGGTCTCATACATATTAGGAGAACAGATTTCAAGTCCCTTTGCGGATGACGCCGTTGGATACAGGCAGTTATAATAAGTATCAGCCATGGCTAGCAGCGATCAGATCATATGCTTCTCTTCACTATCGTACAGTCAGCGTTTGGAAGCTCGTCCCAGGGGCCAGAAGCTCCATACTCGGCATGTATACATAACTCAAAGAGACGAGCAAGTAAGATTTGCGTGAGCATAGTCGAAGGCATCCAGATACCCTATGAACTGGACCACAGCGGCGCATACCACCAGGATGTGAAAGATCGAATGGGATCGGATTTGCCGGGATATTGACTTTCGGGAAACCTGGTCTTCAGAACCACATGTGTTAGGTTCAATTTCTCTCTTGTGTGCGAAATTGGGAGACTCACTGCATAAAACGAAGTCCCAGATAGAAGGCAGCCTGCTTTTGCCAGAGTATAGGGAAAAAAGCTTTTCTCATCATCTGCGACATGCCGAACACATTGAATCCATGGATCAAGGGCGCAACACCGGACAAGCCAGTCGCCACGAACATCAATGCTCGGAAGACGCGATACTTTGAGCCCTGGAACTTGGGATGCATTGTCATGAAGATGGTCAACGACCCGAAAACTCCAATCTATCAACCGAGGAAAGAAGAGTGTTAGACTCAAGTACCAGGTCTGAGATGAGGAAAAACAAAACTGTGCACATGGAGATTAACTAACCGTAGACGAGTAGATATTGCGCGGCAAAGGTTCACACCAGAAAATTATGTATATTCCCAAGATAAGGTCGCCCAGTATGAAGATCACTACACCCAGCATGTCCAGTCGCAGGCAGAAATGTTCCACATGTTGGGAGTGGTTCATCAAGGTGTGGTATGTCGCCGACAACGACAGGCAGGTGACGGCCGTCAACATGAAGATGGAGAAAGCAATGAAATCAGCGCCAGTGACCCCGTAGTATCTGCTGGCAAGGTACTGCTGGATATACCACTCGCCGAGCAAGAAGAAAATGGCCGGGATGAGGTGGGAATGAATGTTGACCGACTCGTTGTAGATATACGACCAACTGCAGAACGAAGCGTGAGCCGAGCCGGACATGGGCCGATATCCATGGAGAATCCACTGGTTGGATTCAAGTCGGAACCATTCCGGCATCTCATCGAACGAGAGAAGAGCTGGGCGTCCTGCCTTGTCGGCCTTGGATGCAGTGTCGCTGATGGATTTCATTCCCCGCCCCTTGTGCGCCTCTGGCGGGTGCCGGGGGGGGACTTGAGAACGGGGAGCGGATGCCATTTGCTGTCGTGCCTGATGATAATGTAATGTAGGGAGGCTGGACTTTGAGAGGAAGTGGAAATGCAAGATGAAGTCAAGAGGTTTCCCTCTTGCTTTGTTTCTTGCACTGTTGTACTAGGAAATGCAGATGACACCCCAACATGGCGTTTTACCAGGTCGTTTATCGTTTGCCATATGAATCGATGTTAAATGGAACCTTTGCACATGCTAGGATTAAGGGGGCATTGCATAGGTTCTGTCTGGTGTAAACGTTGATGTGCTTGTGATCTTCTCGCAAGTTTTCTCACTAAAAACCGTAGGTTTTAAATAAACACATGTTATCCTGTGATGACCTCTTTATTAGCCCGACAAGGTTCCAAGCCTCCCTCATGAAACCGAACTCCGAGTACGCTTTCGACTGCCTTTCCCGGTGCCAATTTGTACTTCTTGGGACCCTATATTATCATCGCCTTCCAGATCACCGTCGTCGTCATAGTCGTCGTCCTCAGCCATCTCACTGTCCTCGCCATCATCATCATACTCTTCTGCCATTTCATCGTCGTAGTCGCCTCGGGAGCCGGACTCTGCTTCGGTCTCGCTGTCGCTCTCGTCGAAGGATAGTGTTCCCATCAGTGGGACATCGATTCGGGAGAGTTGACTCTTGATCAGGTTATCCGCAACGTCAAAGAGCTTGCTGTCCTTGTCCGGCGTCGACTCTTTATCTATCGAGAAGTCGTTTTCTTCCTGGTCGGCAAACTTCCCCCCAAACGGCTCGCTGGCTGACAGGACATCTTTGGGGACACCCATGATCCAGCGTCTGACTGATTGGCCCTTCGCGGCGGTCGGTCTCGAACGTCTCGCCGACAAGCCTCCCCTAAATTGACGCCTCTGTCGCCTCCGCCGGCGTTGGATGCGATCTCGGACATACCATGCAACTACCAGCATGGCAGCTTGCATGGTCTCCTGACACTTCTGCCGATGCGTGTTTGCCCAAACCTGGCATCTGTGCTGCTGGTATCTGGCGACCGCCTGGCACCGCTGCTGGTAGTACGCGGCAATCCGTGATGCCATGGCGAGGTATCTCGGATCGAGACCCCCGCCGGAGGGGCCGTGTGGTTGTGTCGGGTTCTCCGTCGCCGAGGGGACAGACGTCTTCGATAGCTTATCCGCTGCCTCCCCGGGCTTCGCTCCCATCGGTCCGTAGGCCTGCTGAGCGAAAACCTTCAGCAGGTCAGGGGATAAAGGGGGGCCTTTCGTGAATGACGCTTGATCTGGTGGCGGAGTCACCGGGATCTGGGGGTTGAATGGAAAAGGGATGGACGCCGCCATCTTTTCAACGGGGACCTTCTCCTGATGAATGTTTGTGGAGGTGGCCTTGAGTCTTGACACCACGCACTGGTGGGTATATCCCTTCAGCGGTCTCACGCACAGACGTCACGGAAATCGGTGGTAGTGGGATGGGCGAGATGTACACGGAGTAGTATGAGAACAGAGTTCGGGACGAGCAAGGTAAGGGTGCATAAGAAAGCACGGGAGCGAGCCTTGCGGGGGTGGGAGAAGAACAGCAGGGCTCTTTATACAGCATGGTCTTACCACCTGGTAGGGCCGTGGGATTTCTAGTATATTATTACCTTATTCCTGAGGGTGGGCTGCGCGAGTCCCCAGTCCATGGCCTGTCCAAGAGCCAGGCTCGGGGATGGTGGCCTGTTAGTCCCAAGTATAACGACAGCATAACTGTACAGCCCTCTGCTGGGCAATCTGGCCCGTCTCGTAGGCTGCCTAGTGGATATATCTGGCGATTTCCAAGGCCAGACGAGGTGGAGAAGGGGGTGGTTAGGCAGGAGATAGAATGTGGATGCCAGGGAGGAGATGATAAAAATGGTCTGAGGTATGGCGATAAAAATGGAACACATCGGTCGATACTGATGCGTGACGCCACAGGTCAGCGAATGGCAGCCGCCAGCTGGACGAATCCTTTCAAGGCAGGCCAGCCTTTGGGCTTCCGTAATTGGTTGCTGTGCCTTCTGACCTGGCCTGACGCGGAGGCTGTCCATACGATGCCGTGCTGACCACCGACCTGCCAACATATTATTTAGATCCAAACTTCCAACGGGCTGGTTGATCAGCTATGAGCTTATTTCTGCGGAGTTGTTTCTTCGGCAGCACTCGGTAGCCACCTTCCCTGTTTCTGCCCTTCCGCCCTTCATTTACTTCATTCCTGGGAATTTGGAATTTATGAAGTGGCTTGATGTGCATGAACTAATCTCTTCGCCATTGGGTAAGGACTAAGGAAGACCTAAGGACTGGGTGCGAAGCGCCATCCGACTCCAGAGTTTGGCTCGTCTGATTCAGGGTTGTTTTCGCAACTGGTTGGAGGGAACTGTCAGCTGTCAGGTGAAAGATCTCCTTGTTCACAGTGTTTTTCACAGTGGGCTGAAACCCAGACCCGACCGTTTCGCACTGTATATCCCCTGTCCCTTGTCCTGGTCATTGATGAGAGACAGGCAGCTCCCAACGAAGGCATCGAACTTTGTTGATGTTTCATTCCGCCATTTCCTCCATAAAGTAGGTTTGAGGTGGTCGTCCACCTTGGATAAATTCAAGTTTCCTGTCCATCACAGCCTCGCATCTTGTCCCAGTCATTCGGCACATGCACCAGCGGACGACCAAAAACGGGCGATATTGATGCCATCACCGCGCTTCCCAGCCGTTGCGCGATCGCGAATCGTCTGTTCCAGAGCTTATTCACACTCGCGCGCCAGAGTACCCCTTGCCACCATCGGCTTATTCGCTGCCCGGGATGCGGGGGCGATCTCGCCCCATCCCACCAGCATTTTCTCCCCTCCATATCCACTGGGACCTGGTCACCGTCTTCCGCATCTCCACGGTCAGGTCCGGAGAAAGCGGACGAAGACCACCGTGAACTTCGATGATCTCCCCCAGGGTCGCATCCGGTCGGCTGATCCTCTCCCGCCAGAGGATGATGGTCCAGCATACCCAACAGTGGTATTGCAGGCCCGCCGCAATATGCAAAAGTTTGGCAATTGCGTCCTCCTAACCCGGGTCGGCGGCTTCTACGAGCTCTACTTCGAGCAGGCTGAGGAGTACGGGCCGCTGTTGAATCTCAAAGTAGCCCAGAAGAAGACCAATGCTGGGCCCGTACCAATGGTAATATACTCGCATTTTCCTTCTTCTTCTTCTCTGCCAATAGGCCAGCTATTCTACTTTGAACGTTTCGTCTGATGGGTCTTGCCAGTCAGGGTTTCCATTCTTTCAACTGGATCGTTTCCTCAAACTCCTTGTCCAGGACCTCAACCGCTATGTAGCCATAGCGGAGGAGTTCCCCAACGACGCGTCCGAGAAGGTCAAGTCCGGCGGTTTGATGCATGACCGCAGAGTCTCCCGTGTCATCACTCCGGGTACCCTTATCGACGAGAACTTCATGGACCCATATGCGAACAATTATGTAATGGCCATTCACCTCTGTGAAGTAGATGCCGCGAATGGCTCGGTTACCGGACGAGAGGACCAGCATGCTGTCTTGGACAACCTAGCCAATGACTCCGCGCCATTGGGCCTGGCATGGCTGGATCTCTCGACTGGTTGCTTCTTTACTCAATCGACGACCTTGCTGTCTTTAACTTCCATCCTCACCCGTATTTCGCCTCGGGAAGTCGTCCTCGACGAAGCACTCGAGTCTCAGCGTGGGCATGATCTCTTCACGGTGTTGGCAGAAGATAGACACCTCGTCACTTATACGCCGCAAGGGAAACTGCAGGGGCTCGCTGATTGGGCTCCGATGCTTGAGTCCGAAATCCCCTCCGATACAATGGACGCATTTACCGAAGGCGAAGTAAAAGCTGGCGGTTTGCTCCTCAACTATGTCAAAGATCGGCTTCAGGGTTCGAGCTTGAAACTCCAGCCGCCGGTCCGCCACGAAAGCAGGCAGATCATGGCCATTGATAAAAATAGCATGCGTTCGCTAGAGATCAAACAAACCATCAGGGACAACACTTTCCGGGGCAGCTTACTGCATGCTATTAGACGGACAGTAACCAGGAGTGGTGCCAGATTGCTCAACGAATGGATAAGTAGGCAAACATGACGGCTATGCAGTGTCACCCTTTGCTAACCCACCCCTCAGGCTCACCCTCCACCTCCCTCGAGGTCATTGAGGCTCGACTGGATCTTGTATCACGGTTCATCCAAGATGAAGATCTTCGAGATGGCATCATATTGCTCCTGCAGAAGAGCCATGACTCCCAACGGCTCGTCCAGAAATTCGCACTCAATCGAGGGGACCCAGACGACTTGCTTCGCCTTGCGAGCACAATCAAAGCAACGGGAGATATGGTTAACCTTATTAAGAGCAGGTTGAATACCCTGCGAGCATCTACCAAAGGTGACTGTCTTGCAGCGTTGCTGAAGCGTATCAACCTCGAACAGCCTATGAAGTTATGGCATCGCATTTACGACGCTATTGATGAGGAAGGACTCGTCCAACAACACCAAGTCGAGGACAGCGAAGCTGGGGAGATGCTGGCACTTGCGCAAGAAGTCGTCAATTCCGAAGGGAAAGAGGAGGACAACTCGGTCCTTCCAAAGACGGCCGCTAAGAAGAGAAAGGTCACTTCAATCAGAGAGCACTACGGGGAGGACAACGAGGCCTGGATTATGAAGCCTCAGGCTAGCTCTGAATTGCAGCGGCTTCACGCCGAGCTCGCCTCCCTTTTTGAGGATAGAGTCGCCCTGACCGAGACATTACGCGCTCGATTCGAGGCCTCATCGCTCACCCTCCGCTGGACACCTGGGCTGGGCCACATCTGCCACGTCAAGGGCAAGGATGCTCGCAGTAGCGGCGGCGGCGGCGGCGCCGTCACATCGGCGATCAAGACGCTGTCTTCTAGCCGCACAACACGCTCCTTCCACCAGCCCGAGTGGACGGCCCTGGGGGGGCGACTCGACAAGGTGCGCTTCCGGATCCGGCAGGAAGAAAAGCGGGTCTTCAACTCGCTCCGCGAAGCCGTGGTTCTCAACCTCGTCAAGCTCCGCCGCAACGCCGCCGTCCTGGACGAGCTCGACATCACCACGTCCTTCGCCCGCCTCGCCATCGAGCAGGACCTCACCCGCCCCACCCTCGTCGACAGCCCACCCGCGCCCCCGTCGTCGTCGTCGACAACAACAACAACAGCGGCAGCGGCCCCCACCCCCGCGACCATCATCATCGGCGGGCGCCACCCCACCGTCGAGGGCGGCCTGACGACCCAAGGCCGGACCTTCACGCCCAACGACCTCGTGATCGGCGGCACGGGCCCGTCGCACGGGCGCGTCTGGCTGATCACGGGCCCCAACATGGCGGGCAAGTCGACGTTCCTGCGGCAGAACGCGCTGATGGCGATCCTGGCGCAGGCGGGCAGCTTCGTTCCCGCGGCGCACGCGACGGTGGGGATCGTGGACGCCATGTTCAGCCGCGTGGGCAGCGCTGACAACCTGTACGCCGACCAGAGCACCTTCATGGTGGAGATGCTCGAGACGGCCGCCATCCTGCGCCAGGCGACCCCGCGGTCCTTCGTCGTCATGGACGAGGTCGGCCGCGGCACCACCCCGGCCGACGGCGCCGCCGTCGCCTTCGCCGCCCTGCACCACCTCGTCCGCGTCAACCGCTGCCGTGCCCTGTTCGCGACGCACTTCCACGCCGTGGCGGACATGGCCGCGCGCGCGGGGATGATGCTGGGGGACGGCGGCGGCGGCGGCGGGGACGACGCCGGGGCGGTCGAGGCGTACTGCAGCGACGTGGAGGAGGATGCTCAGGGTCGTTTCGTCTACGTCCACAAGCTACGCAAGGGGGTCAACCGGCAGAGTCACGCGCTCAAGGTTGCCAGGCTGGCGGGGCTGCCCGAGCCGGCGATACGGGTTGCGCAGGAGGTGCTAGAGGGATTCGAGAGGGACTACGAGGTGGGTCGTGGCGGGGAGGGAATTTCACGACGTATGGTAGAGGTTGTAGGATAAAAGGTTGTAAGGGTGGGTATTTACGCATTGCCTATTCTTCAGGGGGGTAACTGTTAGCCTTGATACCCGACATTGTAATTGCATTGTAGAATAAAAAAAAACATGTCGAGATTGCGTCTCATACAGTGTTGATGGGTTGTCATCATTAAAAGATCAGGGTTAAAAAGCTCTTTGTAGTTTTTAATCTTCGACGCAAGAATCTCGACATGGAAAACGGGCGGCTCTTGTAAGATAGGAAAAATCGACTAACCTGAGGTTCATAAGGGGTAGAGACGCCGCTATTGAATGTCACCAGCAGTCTCAGCATGTCACAATAGTTGGGCGGAAATGCAGATATCGCCAGATGCCATGAGCTTGTTTTACCAGCAGTGGATATATGTTGCGACGGGCAAAGATCCGTAAAACCTTTACCAGACCCAAACCAGGCTGGCCAACCCCAAAACACCATCGCAGTACATCTTCGGTTACATTTAATCGCTAGAAACAGAGTTAGTCGAGAAAGGGGTAAGTTCGGTCGAGACGGGAATACGAACAAGAGACCACCGAAGCCACCATCGTCCTCGGACTCCTCGTCCTCCTTCTCCTCGGCCTTCTCCTCGGCCTTCTCCTCGCCCGCGCCGCCAGCCGACTCTCCGGCAGCCGGAGCGGCAGCGGCGTAGGAATCGGGGTTGGCGATGCGGTCCTTGAGCTCCTCGATCGCGGGCCAGCTGTAGTCGGTCTCGACGGCGATGGCCAGGACCTTCTTGTAGCCGTTGAAGACGGAGTGGATCACGGAGGGCAGGGTGGGGAAGTTGAGGGCCAACGACAGGGAGGCAATGGTCGTAATAGCCTGGGTCAGGGTCCCCAGGAGCTGTTCCTCGGTGATGTCCAACACGCTCGGGGGAAAGGTGTTGCCGTGGTCGTAGACCTGGGTGATGCCCATGCCGTAGGTGAAGGGCGAGATGTTAAGCATGTTGAGCAGGGTGGCCTCGGAGGCGCCGACCTTGCCACCAGCCTCGACGAGCTTCAGGTCCGTGGTGATTTCAATAGTACCACGGGCAATCTTGGTGGGGACACCGAGGGCCTGGAAGAAGGAGGTCTTGCCGGGCTCCATGCCGGTGTTGCCAGCAGGGACGTACACGTCGGCGGGGGCGAAGGCACCGGCACGGGCAGGAGCGGCAACCTTGTTGGCCAGAATCTTGTCGCGGATGGCCTTGAGCTCGCTGTTGGTGAAGACGAAGCCGATGTTGCCCTTGACGAAGGGGAGGAGACGCTCGTACTCGGGGGCATCGGGAATGAAGGTCCTCAGAGCTCGGCGAACCTACGAGGGGAGGAATGGTTAGTCAGGACCGCACCTCTTCCGCCAATTGGGAAGTTCTGATGATCAGGCTTACCATGGTGTTCTTGCCCATCAGGACAACCGCCTCGCCACGGAGGGATTGCCTGATCTCGTGCATCTGCTGAGAGCTGACATTGTCAACGTCGACGATGAAGGCCGAGTGGTACTCCTGGAGCAAGCCCTTGAGCTTGTCAAAGTAGCCGGCCTTGTTTGCGGTTTTGCCCCCCATATCTTCTTACTATGAAGGCAGGATGTTTAAGGGCTAAACGATTTTTGTTGGAATAAAATGGATTTGGCGGGTTTTTGCCTTGTTTGCGATGTCAGAAAGTTCGGCGATTTCGCACACAATTTTGGTGTTTAAGCAGGTGGGGCGGTAGGGCAAGATGCATCCAGCCAATCAGACGGGAACCTCTCATAGAATCCAAGTGGGCCGCCACGGGCCGCCAAAGGTTCTGGCAGCCGGTACAATCACTTGTACTTTTGCTTCTCTATACAGATCCGTACGCAGCAGGCAGTAGGTGCCTAGAGGAGCAAGGAAAGTATGCATCATATTTTGACCTCACAAACATCCAAGCTGGATACCGGGGCCGGCAAGCCCTTAATAACTCGAGGCAAAACCAACATGCTTTAGCATCTGCTCAGACGTGGGTGGCTTGCTAGAGGATCTTGCATTCCAAAGCCCCCGCTCGCCTTTGAAGGATACTTCGAAAATCGGGCCACGAAACGAAACTATAGACACAAAAATGATTACAATTACATGCAGGCAGGCTAATCCCCTTCCGCCCGCCAATAAATGGCACCGGGGCCGTGTTTCCTTGCCGACCGGGCCATGACCCCCTTTCGCGCTTATCACTTGGCCGGCCAGCCGACTCTCCTGCTCAACAAGTCATCCTCCGGGTATCATGCCCGGTGGCGTATGCCTCGTTCTGGTACCAAGAGGTCCTCGTCGTTGGGTTAAAAGTCTTCTGGTCCGTGACAGTGTGGAATTTTCCACCACCTTTCCACCACCTACCCAAGAAATGGGAGGGATTCTGGGTAGGGAGCAGTCAAGCGACTGTAGCTGTGCAGGTTGATAAGTCTGCAACTTGCCGGCTTATTATGCATCGCAGAACTGTCGCATCAGATCGGTATCGTTCGCGAGGCGTGAAACGAGGCCAGTCAGATTGTTGGGCAAGTTGAGATCGTGGGGCGTCCACAGCCCCGTTCACCTTCCCGAACCAGCCCATCCCCTCTCATTCGATCGAGCAAGAAGGGGTTTGGCAAACAAAGCCTCTGACGCGAGGTCATATCTGCAACTGCGCACCCCTGCCCAACGTCAGCTGGCTGAGGCTAAGCGTCCGCGCCGCCTTCTTCCTCTTGGGGTCGTCTTCGTCGCCGTCATCCTCCCTCAGCTCCTCTCCAAAGGCGCCGTAGTGAGGCCGCGGGGTCTGGAAGTCCTCCTCCTGCTCGTCCTCGCCGGCACCTCTCTGGACCGGTCCCTTATCCGTCTCGCTGTCGTCGTCTCCTTCGAATGCCGAGCGCGCCTTGAGCGGCGTGTGCATCGGGGACACGAGCGGGCCCGACGCCGACCTCGACTGCTGCAGCGCCGGGGCCGGGGGCCGCAGGTGCTCCTGCGAGCGCGACCTGGCTGGGTCTCGCACCATCGCGTACATGGTTGTCGACAGGGTGTTGAGCCGCTCCGACAGCTTCTTGACCTGCGCTTCTAGGGCCTGGCGGGCTACGCGCTCCGCCTCGAGCTGATTGAGCAGCCCGGCTGCGTCGCCGCTCTCGTCACCCGCGTCTCGCCCCATGGTCGGCAGGCTTGCGGCACCGCGGATTGTCGAGTTGGAAGTGGGGCGGTTCGCTGGACTGATCGCCGGGGGAGCGGTCGCAGTCAGTGACTGGGCCTGTGTCGCCGAGGAAGATGGGGGGTGCAGCGACCCGATGAAGGTCTGGGCCTCGCCAAACGAGAGGTGCGACTGCCAGTCACTCTCAAGCGACTGGCGGGAACTGCCGTGTCGCGACGAGCCCCTGGTCTCGCCCGAGATGGCCTGGTAAATAGCGGGGATCATGGGCGGCGCTGCAGTGGTGTAAAAGAAGGACGACGGATCCGAAGTAACTCCCATGGATGATGGCTCGCCCCTACGGGGGGTCTCCACCAGCGGCGTCTTGAATCCCGGTACTGAGTGGCAGAGCTGATTCACCACCCGTTCTAGCTTGAACATTCGAGCTTCCAGACCGCCGATCCGGCTGTCCATGCTTGCCGCCTGTGTGATCTTCATGCCCGCCATCTCATTGCTAATCGATCCGAAATTGAACGGCTGCGGAGGGGTTTTCGGCGGCCTGTCGGCGGGCGACTCGGGTGCGCCAGCGACTCCCGCATTGTCGTTATCGGCCTCCGTTTCATCTGGCCCGGTTGACGATAGCGGCGACAAGAAGCCGGGGTCGTACGACTCTCGCCAGTACCGGATTTCATCGCTTCGCCGGCGCTGTCCCGGGCGGGCTCCGGCAATGTCATAAAGTCCCGAGAGACTCCTCGACCGCCGCCGAGTGCCGCCCCCACTATCGCTTGTGATGGCACGGCCGATCTCGCTGGGATCTTCCCCGCCGGCTATTAGCCGACTGTCTCGGCCGTGCGTGCTGGCGGGCCGCGGCGACAACCCTACCCACCCTGGATTGCGCCGCGGCTGGCTAAATAGCCGGCTTGACATCGTCGCGGCTCTTCGATGGGTTGGGCCACGCTCCGTCTGCAGAGAACTACGCACGGTCTCGATAGCAGTCATATCCTGGGGCCCGATTGAGTGTGATCTTAGAGCTCGATCGTACTCGGTGATGGGGAGGGAAGCGGAACGCTTAGGTTCGTCGTCTTTGCACCGGTTCAACGCCGAGGGATCCTAGAAGCCAAAGGTCAGTGCTCCTCCCCCATGCATAGTGAAGAGGTGCCGGAACTACGGATGACTTACACTGCGATGCTGAGACGAGGTTAGCATGCCAGACATGCGCCCCGAGGGCGTGCTGGAGGTCTGACTGCCGCCGGGCTTCTTCTTGCGTCCAAACAACCGCCCGAGGGCCGTCCGTAGGGTCGACTTCTTCCTTTGCGGCGCTTCATCTCTACTCCGTCCCGTATTCCCACTCGGCGCTTCGCTCACGCTCGAATACCTCAGCATACTTGCTGGGTTAGTCCGTCGCCTGGGCGGAGAACTTCTTGGCGGAGAGCTCTTTTGCGGAGAGATCCTTTGCGGGGAAATCCTTTGTGGAGGTGTTTTTGCCCGGCCCGACGAATTCGCTGACGGAGGCGCTGGCGGATGATGTGATGGCGCGTCCGGATTGCTGCCGCTCTGTGTAACGTCGGCCGGGCTCACGGAGACAGAGTCAGAGTCTGCTGATGCGTCGGGTGGGGGGAGGTTCTGTTCTCGTTGCTGCTCCTGTTGCTGGTGTGGTGACTCGCTGTCTGTCTCTTCCGGTAGCGGCGTCATGCTCGCAATGCCACTGCCAGGGTTTCGGATCGGGAACTCCTCCTCGACTGCCGCGTTTGCAACGCTGGAGCCTGGGCTTCGGATGGGAAACTCGTCGTCAGCGGGGCTGGGTATTGGAATTGGCCCCGATATCCTGCCCCTTATGGACTGGCGGCCCTGTGTAGAGCGGCTGGCAGCACCAGAGCCAGATCCCCAAAGGCTTGGCATGGTGTTCCTCAACGACTTACAGGCAGGTGAGGCTACAAGCGGCGAAATGAGAGAGCGTGATGGCAGTTGATAAAGTCCGACGACCTCTCTGAGCCATCTGACATAACGAGTGACGAGAAATATTAACAAAGAGACAGATCCAGTCTGGCTGTTGGCGGGCTCAATTCACAGCTGCAGTTCCCTACTCAACATCTGAGCTGGCTCAAGGTCCACATCGCCAGCAATGCGGCGTTGGTGCGCCTTGGAGGGGGATGTCAGGCCCAGGCTAGACGGTTCCGTCGCCGTCAACCAGTAGAGCGAAAGAGTCGGGGTCGGGCAGTGGTGACGACAGACGGACCAAGGCGATGCACCTCTCAGTTTATGGGCAGTGAGTGGCAGGAGAGAATGGACCGAATGACATGGGGGGTCCCTGTCCTATGTATCGCGTATCATGGTGGATTTCTGCGACGGGTATGGCCGAGGCAGAAATGCAGGAGAGAGCAAATTGGGGGCAACGCAACGGGGGCACATATTAGTGTCTCACACCAATGCGCCAGTGTTGGGAAGCCAGGAATGCAGCAACAGCAAGGATGGATTGGACGAGACGCGATGGATGGGGGAGTTTGGAGAGAGGGGTGGGCCCCCCCCCCAACCCCCCCCCCCGCCCCGCATAGTGGAGAAGGGGGCGTGAGACTTTGACTGAAAGCAGTTGCACTTCCATCTCGACTAACGTTGGATGACACTAGAAGCTGCATAGCTGCATGTCTCAGTCCCTGATGAATTGTAATACGTTCTACATACATACTTACCTAGTGTACAGTACAATCTGCTGTCATATACTTCAGGATACACGTAATATGAGCATTGTGTTCCTCCTGCGCCGCTTCGTATAATAAAGAATGCCTCGGCCAGACAGGGCAAAAGTCACAAAGAAACCTAGCATGGGTTGGGCAAGGGGCCCACGAGACCGAGAGTGACATCGGTGGGGAGCTAAAATAGCAATCAACCCCAACCATGCCACTCTTGTCTCTCTCCCCTGAGTCTCGGCCTCGCTCGCTCTCCGCCCCCCGGCAGTGCGGTAAGATCGAAGGGCGGCGTCAAATACTGCGTAGTACTCTTGTGAACAAAAGTTAATAGTGTAATTCCCCCTGCGTCTGGTATCCCTGGGCCACACTTGAACAAAGGACTGCGAAGGACTGAATTTCAGACAGTGACAGGCCTGACAGCTTCCCCAAAGTTATGGGGCTACCTACTGTGGTACGTGCACAAAAACTGATGGTTGAAGAGCCCCATGATTTTCTATCCGGCTACTCGTAGTGTAATATATGTGCTAAAAGTGTAATAAGAACGGGGATCTCGGGAGCGGGCCAAGCCCGAGCCAGGGAACATGGAACATGCAACCACTAGCTAGCTAGCAACCTACCCAGGTCTACAGTGTGCACATCCAGTTGCTTGACCCTCGCGGTTAAAAGACACGACCATGTTGCCCACTGCCCAGCGGTCTCCCCGGCGACCGCGACCACAACCAGCCATGTGAGTCGTTCGCCACGCGCATCCGCTCTGACGCCGAGGCCACGAAGCGACGCCTGCGCTCTTACTGCCCCTACCACGGCGGAACGTGCTGATGGAGGACCGAGACGCGCTTGAGGGCACGGATCATTTGTTGGCGCAATTGGCGCGCATTTACACGTTTCCGGAACTTTGTCATGGTCGACGGCGAGAGCCTGGCGTCGCTGGGGAGGCGGACGGTGATGTTATGTTTGGCTGGCTTGGTTAAAGGCGGATGTAGGAGAGCTGCGGGGGGTGGGGTAATTGTACGGGCTCCTGGAGAAGATGATGAAGATGAAGACAGCTATGAGCCGGTGAACGGATGCACAGCCTAGGTTAGGCCAAGTTTCTCCTCTTTGGTACTGCATAGTACACCCTCATCACACGTAAGTATTTGGGGCGGAAAGTGCATGACCTTGCTCACCTAGTGTACTTTCGTCAGGAGTAGTTTGATCTGCGCCAGGGTTCAAAATGGCCGAGCATTCAGGGCATCATATTGCCGGGGTCGTTGTTTATGATCTCCCTTCTTCAGCTGGGAATCGGATAGCATCCGTGCCAGATAACCCGGTGCATTACCTACATATAAGGTAGGTACCTAGGTAGGTACAGTACCTGATAGTTATCCGTATTGTGCCATCGATTTCTCCCTTGTTGCATCAGAGCGCCAGTCATGAATGATACCTCCTCGTTTCGCCCTTGCCATTTGCTCGTGCATGCAAAGTCCACGATGGCTCGTAAACAAACTGTTTGGACTCTGTATCCATGATTCGCCCAGGTGGCCGCGCCAGATCTCCAAAGGTGCGCTAGGACTGCAGAATGCATGCAGACGCCATCAGCGTACCGTACCACCTACCTACCTGGACCTAAGGCAGGCGGGCGGTCGTCAGCTAGGCAGGTGCCACTAGCGACGCCGGATAATGGTTCGTGAGAACTGTGTGGACTGCTCGGATGGATGTGCTGGACCTGCATATGTAGGTCCACATGTCTATCGACTTAGCCTAATAATAAGAGAAGGAGAGTTGCGATGAACCTGCCGCAGGAGACGGCCAGCTAAACAGTCGACCCATTTCGGCCCCATCCTCCTCAGCCGCAGGTGCTAACCGATCACCCTCTGGCCTCGACTATGTACTGTACTATGTAGGTCCCCGAGGTTTCCTTGCAAAACGACGGATGCACGGATGCAAACGAGAGGTCGTACTGAGCCTGGTGCGAGTATCATCAGCCTCCGCTGCGCTATGCGTCATCAAAAAATGGTGTAAAATCGGGTAGCCGGCCAAGGCTTTACAACGCACTGTTCGCCAAAGCAACATGAAACGTCCAGGGTTTGTCGGAATACCCACTAAAGTAGGTAGTTATTTCGTATCCGTACACGCCCCTGGGATTTTGCCAACAACTTGTCGGAAGGATTTCTCCTTTAGCAGTGGTGTGCTGGAAACCGCCGTGTTTTTTCGCCAAGCAGCCGAGACGGCGATTGTTCCTTTGATTCGTCCGATTGGTTTGACTCGAGAAGTGATCTAGAAGCAAGCCACCAGCAAGCCACCAACCAACAAACCCCCTGGACACCACCGTGCATTTCCATTGAGCCGTCAAGACGGTGCCAGTGGTTGAGAATCGATGATGTGCTTCAACGCACATGGATCTCTCCCATGGTTCGATGTCGAGGCTAAGAAGAATCCGTAAGGTGGTTCCCGTTTCCTGGTACGGTTAAGGGAACTCGGACCAAGTGGCCTACGGCTTGCCGATCTAGGATGCTGCCCATTCTTCGACCTTCCAACCGGCGTTCCATGCATGCCGCCGCCACCCACTCTCAAGTCAGAGAAGAGACATCTGGATATCTCAGATCTGCGTTCTCCTCGAGGAATTCCATCCATCTCTTTAGGAATGCACTGCCTCTAGAATCGGGGGCAAAATGAAGCGGGTACCAGTCAGACAAGTTCTGCAATAACTCGTGTCTCAGGAGGGAAACAAGAAACACAGCAGACATCTGTGCGAAGGCTCGCAAAAAGCGAAACCGGGAAAGGAAATACGATCACTCACCTCGTGACTGTCTCCGAATCGCCAATGACCGTCAGTGACCGTTTTGGCCTGGTCATTGCAACTGCACTGTGTTAAACCCCCATGCTACTCACTTCTGTCTCGCATTACCCGACTCACCATTAAGGCGCCGCTTCTCTCCCAGGAAGCCCACCTCTCCCTCGGAATTGCTTCGCACGAGGCTGACGATGACGGCTTCTTTCTCGCGCCCCTGGAACCCGTCGACACTCCCCAGCTCGATGCCGGGATACGCCTCCTTCAACGGCGCAAGGATGGCCAGCTTTATTTCGGTGGCCCGTCCCATGTCAGCTTCAATGCACTAATACCCTCAGGGATCCGGGTTTGCTTACCTGTGCATTGTACGGCGTCACCACAGCGATGTCTTCGGGCTCAACCCCGGACTCGACCAGGGTCTTGACGTGCTGTCTCACCAGAGCCGCCTCCATTTCGTTGCTCTTGCTCTCGCCGTGGAGACGGCTCTTGGTCAGCTTCTTGGCCGAGTCCTCCTCCTCGCTCTTCTCGGGGAAGTCGCCCCCCTGGGTGTCGATAAAAATGAGCGGCTCGCTCGTCTCGTCGTTATCCTCGACTTCGTAGGGGAGATCTTTGAGCAGACGTAACCTGACGGCTTCAGCTGCTATGAGCTTCCCCTCATACAACTCGTCCGAGGGGAAACGCATGATCTTCTCATGCATTCGGTACTGTGTCGTTAGCATCCTCTTAATTGTAGAGCCGTGCAATGCCAAGAGGCGGTCGAACAGGGTCGTTTCCAGCGTCGCCCCCTTCGCGGCGTCTCCCCCGGGTTTTGCCTTCGGCTTCGTCTTGGAATTCAGAGACTTGATAGTCGGCGGCAGCTGGAGGTGGTCTCCCGCGCAGACGGCCTTCTTTGCCGAGAGCAGCGGGACCCAGCACTGCGCCTCCAAGGCCTGGCTCGCCTCGTCGATGATCACCACATCGAACGACTCGGCGCGGATCTGGAACCCCCCCGCCCCGTGCAGGGTCGCGAGGACGACCTTGCTCCCCGCCACCAGGTCGCTCACGCACTTCCGTTCCCGCTGCCGATACTCCTTCCGCAGCTCCCTCAGGTCGGTGTAGATGGCCTTCCTCTCCCTGCCGGTCCGCGTCTTGCGGATGGAGGCCTGCTTCGCGTCCATCTCGGCCCGCACATCCTTGACGATCGCCCCGGCCTCGGACGTCTGCGTCAGGACGTCCAGGGAGTGGTTCAGCACTGAGGGGAGCAGCCTGGCCGGGTGGCCGATTCGGAGGATGGGGACCTTGTGCGGCGACAGGCGCTCGACGATGTTGTCGACTGAGATGTTTGAGGGGCCACAGACGAGTATCCGGAGGCCCCTCTTCAGCATCTGTAGGATCAGCTCGATCAAAGTATGGGTTTTGCCAGTCTAGTTGTCAATGTGAGTCTTGGTGACAGAGTCACAGAGGGCGGATTGTAGACCTACTCCAGGAGGCCCGTGAATGAGCGCGATCTCTTTGGATGCCAGGGCGAAACGAATGGCATCCTTCTGCGAGTCGTTGAGAGTCGGGTCGACCCAGTCTATCTTACCGAACTCCGGGTCAGATGTGAGATCTTCCGGGACAGTCGAAGGTGTAGATAGGCCAAACAGGACCCTGACGAAGATCGAGTGCTCAGACTCGGTCATCTTCTCCAGCTTTTCCATAGCAATCCTCATTCTGTAAGGGCATGTATTAGCACAGTTAACGGTGACCCCTTTCGAATACAATATTGCCCCAGCACCCTGCATGCCAGTCTTTGCCCCTCCTGTGATTCATCCCAGCCCAGCGAGCCGCCCCGAGGAAAATCAGCTGCACAAAGGGAAGGTTGGCGGGAAACCGGGACAATGTCCGCTTACCTTTTATAAGTCACATCATCCGCCAACTTGACAACCCAAACCCTCCCACTCATCGACCCAACAGCATCCTCCCCCTCCTCATCCAGCGCCACCCCGACCGCCCCCCTCGTCACCCTAGCCACCACCCCCTTCGCGCCCTTCGCCGCTGGGTCCCCCCCAACAACCCCCTTCCCGCCACCCGCCGCCTGCGCCGCCACGACGACCACATCCCCCGCCCGGATGCCATGCTCGGGCAGCACCGGCGTCCCGCCGGCGTCCCCCGCACCAGACGAATACACAGCCGGGTCCGGCACGAGCTCGACGACGGTGCGCCCGCCCAGCCCGGTCCGCCGCCCGCCGACGTTGAGGTTGGCCAGCGCGACACCGGCGCGCTGCAGCGCCGCGGGGCTGTGGCTCGCCGCCAGCGCCGACGTCTCGGCCACCTCGGCGGCGAGCTCGGCCTCCAGGAGGGAGAGCTGGGTGCGGGCGAATGAGGGGACGTCGAGGGGTGGTGGGGGCGGCGTGGGAGGCATTGCTGCTTTTTTGTGCTGTGTTGTTGCTTCTTTTCGGGCCTAGTTTGGTGATTTGCTGAGTGCTGATCTGTTGGTGGCGTGCTAGAGGGGTGGGGGTTTTCTCTCTGCTATTGCTTTTTTCGTTTGTTCAGCTTTTCTTTTCTTTTCCCCGTTAATTTCTTTTTACGAGCTGTTGTTCCAGAAGTGAGACATCTGCATCGGCGTCATTGATGAAAAGTGGATGGATGGTGGATGCCAAACTGGTGGGCATCTATATATGCATGCGGTGGTATCTTGGTAAGTTTACACAACCAACCCATCTCCCAAAATGTTGGCAAAAAATGGCTCTTTTCATTTAAATGTATATTCAAGAAGTGTCTCACCAAGCTATGGCAGCGTTGACAGTGAAATGCCTAGTTTTCATTTCTTTGTCCAACATCTCGGTCCTATGGTCTCCACCTCTAAAGATGGCCGGCCAGTCTCACGCTTTCCGATCCTCCCCTGGGGAAGGATGGACGACTACTACAACCAATAGCGAAACGACCATGACAGCAAACGCCACAAATGACACCAGCATTATGGTTCCTCGACTTGCCGGGAACTTGCCTCGCATTATCCAATACTGGGCCTGCAGGTATCGGTTATAGCCCAAGAATAATATCAGGATGCTGATCGCCAGGAACGTCGTGCCGAGGGGCTTCCCCAGCCGCCGCAGAGTCTTGTCCGTGCCGCTGTCGCTTGATAGAGAAGTATTAAGGCGGAACAGCTGTGTTATGGCAATCCCAATCGACGCAAAGGCCAGCGACGTCCGCAGCCAGGCCAGGAATGTCCGTTCTACGGCATTGTCAGCAGAGAGGACGGGGCAGCAGCCTGAGGAGGCAGGCAAACGCAGTCAGACTAACCGAGCGCCAGATGGTCTCTCGCCACGCTGCCCGTGTTTTCCAACTCGACCGACTGAACGTATTTCAGCGGCTTCCGCCACCAACTCTCAGCCTCTCCTCGCCGACTAGTTGAATGATCGGAGCGGTCGTTAGGGGCACCGTTTCTTCCTCTAGTTTGGTACGTAGTTGGTAGCTGCTGCTGGCTCGAAGGTTTCCGGCGAACGGTCGAGTCTCTCGGCTGCGTGTCCGATCCCGTCATGGTCTGGTAGTTCGGGCCAGGTCGCGGCTCCGGCTGCCGCGCGACAACCTCGTTGTCATGATCCTCGTCGCGGACCTCGACATTGTCTGATATCGTTGGGCCGGCTACGGTCTCGGCGCGGAGCAGCGGCTGTCTCCTCGCACTCGCGGAACCAGGGGAGCGAGGGGAACCATCGAATGATTCGGCTCGTCGACGACCCGTCTGTACACGCTTGTCAGCTCACTTGGCCGGGCGGCATTGCGGCAAGGTCGTCTGATGGCTAGGAAGGGGAATCTACAGACACTTCTGTCGAAGATATTGACGGGGTTGCTAAAAAAGCTTTGGATGGCATGCGCCATCATGGCAATAACCGTGACTTGGGAAGAGATTGAAAGACAAGGATAAATTGGGTTACCCCGTCTCAATCGAAGCTTGTGGAAGCTCTGCGCTGATCCGGTTCCTTGCTACTAACCTCTAGAATGCCATCGATACGCTCCTGTGTTTGCCTCCTCTTCAACGATAGTCCGGAAAGTGTTCGGCGTACTTGAAACTGATCCCGGGGGCTCAACGAGTCAAGAGCAGTGGCAGCGATCTCAGCCATGGCGAATACATTCGAGATGTGTCGTATTGGGTCTCGAATAGGTATTTACTCGGTAAATTCGGGGGTCAGGGTTAACGTCAGTGCGGGCCAAAATTAATCATTTTCGGCCGCAGCAGCCGCCCATGGCACAGCCTGTCTCAGACACTTTAAAACCGACGTAACTTAGGTACCTTTCTGATGCTAATGCTGGAGGTCGTGAGCTGTGTCGTGTCTTGCGCAATCGTTGCGTGATGTGCGGCGCGATCTCTAGTCGAATGAGAGGGACTCGACCCCATCTCCATTCAAGTCGAGCCCACGGACAGCAGGCTATTTACTGCCTCGCTAGACCGCTTTGGTCTATTCCTTGATTGCCCAAACAAGTTTGCAGGTGCTGACAGCCAATAGGATAACATCCTGTGTTTAGCGCGGCGGATCAGATAAGTGACGTTTGGCAATGGTGCTATTCGTCATGTTTCACTACAGGACTGCAGGCCGCCAGGGCCTGGCCTATGGAGTACTTATCATCGGCACAGTTATTCAACTCCCAAAATATTCTGGTCGCACCCGCCAAGCCTGTTCGCATTTGGTATTGGGTAGCGATAACGGCTCGAACTTCCAAGCCTTTGTGATGCCGTTGCTAGCAGTATTCCTAGCAGTATTCCTAGGCCCGATCTTTATCATGTTGGCTGGTGGATGTGTATCTTTGGAGAGCATTTATTGCGCCCTGCAACGGCCAAGAGAAAGGTTTCATGAGCATACGTGGATTTCTAAGACCGGGGAGAGAGTAGGAAAAGGTGCAAGCACATCTAACGAAATATCTCGATTTCAGACTTCCGACCGTCAAGGGATAGGGGCTAGGATGTGGGATCTCGACGTTAGAGGAGATATGTCCAAGCACGAATCGACCAGGTCGCTATTATCGACGCCGCAACCAAGAGACAAGCGATCAACGTCGTAGTGGACCAAACTGAGTGGTGACCCATATGCCGCGAGATTGGAGACAATCTGGATGAGTACGCCCATGGCCGTGCCGATGCTTCGAGCAGCCTGTCTGAGATATTCCGGTCCGTCAAGTCCGTGAGATGCGTCACAGCACCAAGTCTCCTGTCAGACCATGGTTGGATACTAAAAGACAATGAGGATCGTTGACCCCTTCATCGAATCTATAAATCAGACCGGCCACTCGGCGAAACTTCTCATCATGGGGTATACAATCCAGGGCAAAGAGGTTGGCAAGAGTGGCTATTGTCTCATGGGTATTGTTTAACAGTTAACGCCCCCGACCGATAGGTTACCTATGCTGAGCGAAGGACCGTTAGGCTTAACATGGCCCAGCCCATCGATACCTGGTGAGTATACTTTTGCGGCAATGAAGGCAGCCCTTGATGCGGGATGCAACTATTGGAACGGGTGAGAGCTCTACGGCAGCCCCGACAACAACTCCCTGGCGAATCTAAAGAGGTACTGCGAGAAGTATCCAGTGCTCAACGTCAAAAGGCTGCATCGCCCCGGAGCTGCGTCCCGACTCTTCTCCCGCGTCCGTTCGGGCGAGCATCGAGAACTCGGTCCGCATGCTGGGACCCCGGAGCCTGCGCGCAAGGACCCAAATGTCGAGATTAAGGTGACCATTTAGGCAATGGACGAGTATGTCAAGTCCGGCATTGCTCTGAGCGAAGTCGGTGCTCAGACTATCCGACGGGCTTCCAAGCTAGTCAAGGTCACAGCTGTCGAGGTTGAGCTGACAGACGGACGATATAGCCGAGATGACAAGATACTTAAAGAGTTTCTTCTTGTTGGTGAACGCTTGCACCAGGGGGGTATGGATATGGTTGACAAGTGATTGGGAGTTCCTCGGTTCTGCACAGCTCCGTCTGAGTAATCATATGCAGTATATGGCAGTTCTTCAGCGTCAGGAGTAACTTATGACGAAGAAGTTGTCATGTTACACTCCTAAGTGGCGCTCAATTACATGATGTTTTGTTTTATGGTTCTATCCAATCACCGAGGCATCCGGTGCAGCTTAACTTCCCTTCCCGGTCTAGCATTAGGACGCCGAGCAATTGCTTCGGTGGGGTAATGTGGTAAGAGTGGGGGGCCCAACTTTAAACAAAAATCTTATCTCAACCCCGAGCTCTCAGAACTCGATAGCTGCCATCACATTTCTTTCGCTGGTCAATCAGGCGCGCTTGAAACCGGCTACTTTTGTGACAAGACTCTCAACTACTCCCTCATTCCTTAGCGACTCCGACCACCGCCTCAACGACAGCACGCATAAACAAATCCCAGCTCATCAGCCATGGACAAGTGGGTGGACTGGTCCAAGACCACGCGGTCAAGGAACTACCGCGGGTCCGGCTCCTTCGCGACGTTCCTAATCATCGGGCGTGAGTAGCAGCAGCAGCCCGCATCCCACACCCCTTCTCAAACCGCCAACCAAGCTAACCCCCCGCTCCCAGCCGTCTGCTTCTTCCTAGGCATCCTCTTCGCCTCCTTCCCCTACGACTTCCCCCTCCTCTGGACGTCCGACCCCGTCCCGGCAACCTACTACGACCAGCTCGAGACGCACCTCCGCTTCGTGCACCAGTCCCCGCCGCTGATCGCGCGCCTCCTCAACATCATGGCCGCTGTGGGCTTCCTCGGCTTCTTCATCAAGCTCTTCCGCCCCTCCGAGGCCAACGTGCTCTTCGACGGCGCCTCCCTCGTCCTCTACGTCATCGGCGCCGGCGTGTACATCGCCAACATTGTCAAGGGCCTGCGCCTCGTCTCGGCGGGCGACTGGGAGGAGCGCGCCGCCGAGGCGGCCGCTCTGGCCGAGGGCGAGGGCGGCGCCCTGCGGCCCGGGGAGATCATCCTCGGCAGGGAGGACAGCCTCAAGGTCCTGAGCGCGAGTAACACCATCCTCGCGCTTGTTCTTGTTGGCGTTCTCGTCTTGCAGGCTGGGCAGTGGTATGCCGAGCGGAAGGAGGCGGATGACGAGGAGACTGTTGAGAGGGCTGAGGCTGAGAAGAGGAGCGCCGCGGGCGCGAAGAAGAAGCAGTGAGACGCCTCTTTTTCAAATATATCATTTGACGGGAAACGGCATTGGACAGGGGCGGGTTCCCATCGATGAGAATGGGTACGTATTTCGTTTGTGTCTGTGGTGGCGTTCGTCCGAGTTAGGGATAGCGAGTGAGTCTAGAAATTGGGAATGGCAAGGGATCATCTACCCTTCTCGTCTACATGTTTTAGGTGCATCTAAGCCAATGTCCTTGTACGTTGGTTGAAGAGGTCTTTTCACCTGGTAAGGTCGGTCTAATCATGGGTATGAGCATATACTATAAACCGGCAACGAGCCCCCCGAAAAACAAGCATGGTGTGTCGCATCAAATCAAACAGGCAGAGCACATGTTTCCCGTCCTTGAGGAGCTTGGGCTTGCAAAGCTTCCAAGTGACCTTCAGAATGGGACTCTGGAGACGAGATGCTTTATGCTCGAAGCAAATGCCAATAAACAAACTTGTGAGAGTATATGGTTTGTCCGCCTCCGATTATAAACTGCCTAAGATTCTATAAAAATTGGGTATAACGAATGGGATCCTCCTACCAAAAGCCAGGAACCGCGCAGTGAGCGTCCGACTTACTACTCCTATCCATGCAATATGCAAAAAAAACCGCACTGAGACGCCTGTCCAACTGCTCGGCCGGTCCCTGGCAAGCACCGCTCAGGTCATCCAAACGAAGGAAAGAAAGAAGGGAAATGCTTCAGAAACCCAACCCAAAACATGTTGCAACCCTTAAAAAAATTCGCCGTTCCACCATATCCACAAAGCTTCATCGTGTATGATCTCGTTGTCATGTATATACACTCTTCCCAAACCGCCCACTGACCGACACAAGGCTACCACCGTCTCGATGCCGGGCTGGCGTTAGCGCTGGGCGGAACGAATGGCTCCCCATGCGAGAAGCCGCCCAGGTCAGCCGACCTCAGCATGTCGGAAAACGTGGTCATGTGGCTGAATCGCTTGCTCTTTGTATTCTGCGGCGTGTTGCCCACGGTTTGGGGGTCGGCAAACACGTTGATGCTCATGGAGCTCGGCTCCCGCCCTTGCGGCGGCGGTGTTTGCGGGTACGGCGCCGTGCCGTGGTCTCGGGCATCATACCTGTTGTCCGCGGTGTTGCCGTACGGGGACGTGCCGGGACCGCCATAGCCGTACGCTATGCTGCTCTGGCGAGCCATGTTGCGGATCGGGGGGATCCTCACGGCGGCTTGGGCGCCGTTGTCCCTTGTGCGAGCGGGACTCGGCGTCGAGGGCCCGTATCCTGCATTGCCCGACCCGATCATCGTGGTAGAGCTGCGCTTGCTGAACATGGATCCGGCTCGGGTGCCTTCGGGCGACTTGCGAGCAAAGTCTGTCCTCCACGTCGAGTTCTCTGTCATGATGGGGTTGCTGATGATATTGCCAAACGACGAGGTGGACCGAGTCAGCTTCAGATTAGCCATCTCATCTTCCTTCTTCCTGTGGCGCCGCTTGAAGAATAAAAATGCGACAAATGCAAGGGCGAGGACCACAAGAACAGCAGCCACGGACGCCCCCGCTATCACTGCGGCTGGGGTTCCTTTCTTGGGAGAGTCGGTAGCCTCCGGCGAGACGGGGGTGACACCGGCGCTTGCCCCGCTACTCTGTCCTCCTCCGGCAGTGTTCCCTGTTGCAGAGGAGCTGGCTTCAGACTTGGTGCTGGTAGATGCTGCCGATGTAGAGGCGGGGGTCGGCGAGAGGGAGCTCTGAAGAGGCTTGGCGTTCTGGTTTGCATCGAGCTGGCAAATTGAGCCGTCCGCGCTGCAGGAGTAGCCGAAGGGACAGCATGTCCCGTCTCCGCAATGGCCCAGGATGCCATGCAGAGCGGTTGTCTTGATCGTGGCTTCTGGGTACTTATCGGCATCCTGAAGCGAAAGCTCGCAGGATATCGGTACTATCGTTGTACAGCCACTGTCGTCAGGACAGCACAGCAAGGTGGTGTTGCCGGCGAGGGCTAAGCATTGCTGTCCCGCGGGGCAACAAAAGCCGGACGGGAGTGTTTTCTGGGGGCATTTGGAGTAGTCGGCAGGGCAGGTGCCTCCTCGCTCGAGCAAGTCGTTTACTGAGATTGTCAAGGCCGAAGCCGCGATGCCCAGGACACCAAACAGAACTGCCCGCAGTGGTATGTACTTCCTGGTCATTCCCGGGAGCCGGATGGGGTAAATGTTGTGTAACTCTAGGAAAAGGAAACGATATTAAGCTGCGTGGTCTTGGCTCGGATTTTAGGGGTAGGATTTTGGAGAACTGTTGATAGTAAAGGAGGACCAGCCCCGAAGCAGAATAAGGGCCAAGAGACAGAGAGGTGGAATATGAAGTCTATGATTCAGAGACAAACTAGGAAGCTAGTCACGAACAGAGGAGTAGTTCCTTACGCGTGACAAACAATCAGGGGCAGAATTGGAAAGAGAATTAAGGGAAGGTAAATTTTCAATCACCTTCTCTAGTCGAGTACTGTCAGGCAGGCGGGTATATAGAAGGAGCTCGGGTACAATGCACCAAGACATGGGATCGGCCGTGTCCTTTTTGTTCTTGGTGTCAAACCAAGAAAGAGTCATACAATGCCATCTTGGGAGGGAACCCAAATGTAGAGTCTAGTTGCGACGGCCACGACGGGCGCTATTGTCCAACGGAGGCGGGCGGCTGAACTAGACTGGTGGTGGTGCGTCGGGCCTGGCGAATGTCGACTGGTCGTAAGACGGCGGCGCAGGCCCGGAATCATCCCTGGTCGTCCCAAATTTGGTTGGAAGGCGAGGCCGCGTGGGGTCTTGTGGCCCGACTGGCCTGGCAGCCACGATGGCAAGATGGAGGAAAGGCATCAGAACAGTCGATATTGGGAGCCCTAGACTGGAGAGTGAGGCAGTGCAGGTTTGGATATGTTCGGCCCTGGCCAAACGAGAGGTCAAGATGAAGCACTACAGCCTGTCGGGTGACCTCATCAGCAACGCAGGGGCACGACTGGCGAGGACAACCTGCGCGGCAAGAGGTTGGCTCCCTGGGCCTGGTTGGTGATTACCAGAAGCAGCCTGAAACATCGGGCCTGATTGGCCAACCGCCTCCGGATTATTTTACTGGATGTTTGTTTCTGATCAAGCACTAATCTCCAGTGATTCTCCGCCGATCCCTGCTGCAGTGATCCCTGCTCTTTTGCCTCTCCATTTCCTATTTAGATGATGGGGCGTCGTTTTATTGGCGCGCGAGGTTTAGTGCATGCGAAGAACTGTATAGGTACCCATTTGGTATCGACAACTCCAGGTCACAAGACCCCAAGGTTTTCACTCTAGGAAGCCTCACAACAATCGATGCCCAAGGGACAGAGAAGAGGCCCACTCTTTCCCGATCGTCAAGACTGGCCGTGGAATCTGGCCCGTCAGGCGCTGATGTGCGATGTGCATGTGTAGGTGCGGCAGATCTCCAAATACGCTGCGAGAATCCGGTCTCCACTGACACAAAGCCGTGGCCCGGCGGGAAGAAGATGGAACCTAGTCATGATGGGAAGCCGGACTCGAATGGGAACAGGGTGATTTTTGTTTCAAGCCTGGTAGTGCGGCCGCCTGTCAGCTCGAAACAGGCCTCTCTTTGTAGGGCTGCTGTCAGGTGGCTAAAAGTCAGCGGCCCTGGCCGCAAACCACTTCGTGCTTACGAGGATAGACGTCAAGATGCCAGATTAGAAACGCACGTTGCAAGAGAGAACGTATTTGTGTCTTTGAGTCTTTATTGGATTTTTTTTGATTCATCCAAATATTATACATTGCTTCCTCATCCCCTGTTCTTGACGATGCATAGGGGGAGCATTTTCCTAATATGCTCGAACCCCCCTCCCGAGTCCCATGCTCCGAGCCCCTGTGGTATTCCGATTCCCCAAACTCCGATGCCCATGCATGCTTGGTATATAGAGAGGAAAACAAGAGAAATTAGAAAAGTAACCAACCAGTAGCAGGTTGAAGAAATATCCAACGAAAGGAATCTGCTGTCCCATGGTTGAAGCTGTTGCCATGGCATGTGAATGTGTGGGCGTGTTGGAACCCCTCGCAGCCCAGTCCTACTGCGAGAGCGCCCTCATCCCCTCCCCAGATGTCCAAGTGTCGTCCCGAAATCCCTCTCCTCCTTGCTCATTGCCTCGCGGCAACCTCTAACTGTAGTCAACTCCTTGTTGAATCTGAAATAGAACTCTCTCCTTTCTTCTTCTTTTTTTCTTTCCCCCCCAGGGCTGTTTGGTGTGAGACTAGTGTGCTTTAGATGAGCAAGAAGTCCCAACCCTTCATTTGCATGACATCCCGCCAGTGGATGTATTGCTGTGGGGCCTCTGCCGCCGCGCTCACTTGCGCATCGGCCTGAACCCAGACCTCGCGAAGAAGGCAGCCAACGCGCCCGAAGCTGCCAAAGTTGGCAAGATCGCCCAGCTGCGCGATGCGCTCGTCGAAGTGTGCTCGGAAGCTCGATCCGGGAGCGCTGACGGAGCCGCCCACAAGATACACCCAGGCGAGCGAGCGATCGAAGCCGGCAGGTCCCGAGGGGATGTGCTGGAGCACGGTGGTGAGCTTCTCCACCAGGCCGATGCAGCTAGCCTGGCTGGGGCTGAAGCCGGGTACCAAGCTGCAGAGATAGATGCGCGCAGCCAGTCGGAAAGCGGACGTCATGTTCTTGCCCAGCTGCTTGGGGTCCAGGACGCCATTGGCATCCGAGGCGATTTTGAGCGGAGTGTCGCCCATCTCGGTGAAGCCGATCTGGTCGCCCAGGACGTGCACGTGCTGGCAAAGGGTAATGTCGTCCATACCGTCGGCCTTCAGCGCCTCGAGGCATGCAATCTCTGAGATGAGGTACATGACTCGGTCGTCGCAGCCCATCAACTCGCGCAGTCCCAGCGACGAGTTGGTCTGCGAAAGATGCTTCTCCCGGTAAGTGTGCGCAAAGGTCGGGGCGCGACCTCGCATCGTCGCTCCGATAATGTCGATCCACGAAGTGAGGGTCATGTTGAAGGGGGTCTGCGCCGCCGAATGCTCATTGGGGTCCGAGACAATGCGGGGCAAATCGAGCTTCTGCACCAAAGACACGGCGGCCTGGAAATGCTGGTGCCACGGAATGTCGGGCAGCGAGTCCTCGACGCGGCCCACACCGCACTGGAAGAAGATCAGTCCCAGAGCTGCCTCGAGAATCTGCTGGTGGTTCTCGTCGCGGTTCAGGGCCTCGCAGAGCGATGAGATGGTCACGTAGCGGTGTCGCATGATGTCGCCGTCGATATCCTCGCCTTGCAGGCCCATCGCCGCCTTGTAGTGCTGCGCGGCGATGCTCAAGCAGCAGTGTAGGTAACCCGTGTTGTACTGCAGTGCGGGCAGGATGAGGTCCGAGGCGACGGATCCGTGTTGGTTTGACTCGAGAATGGGGAAGATGGTCGGAAGGACGTATTGGACGAAGTGGTGCAGAAGCTGCTGGTCGCGTTCATTGAGCTCCAGAGCTAGCTGGCTCGAGGTCATGGGTGCGCCGTGGGCGAAGTCGAACGAGTTCACATTGTAAGTCTCCTCAGTGAGTGATTCCCGCCGCTCCGAGTACACCTGCTCGGTCCATTCACCTTCCGGAGGGAAGGACGGCATCACGGTTCCCGGAGGCGGAGGGGTGGGATACGCGGCGCTGAAGGTGGAGGTGGTTGACTCTCTCAGTGTCGGAACATCGTTGACGAACATCTGCCTCTCGGTCTTGATGTCGACCTCGTATGGCGAGTACCCACCGAACATGAACTCGGGGTGCATCTGGGGGGTGAATGGCGCGAACTCGTGGTGGGAGCTCTGCGGGGAGCTGAAGTTGAAGGCGAACTGCGAGTCTATCGACGCTGATCTGGTGCGGTCGACAGGGTCTGTGAAGGTTGCCGACGTGGGAAGAGAGTGAGACAGGCCTGGCGGGGAACCAATCGATGTTTGGATGGTGTGCGACGCCTTCTCCGAGAGCTTTTTCCTCTTGATGATCATCTTGATATCGTCCTTGTGCTTCCTCCTCGCCTCGTTGTTGCTCCACCACATGGGCCTCTTGTATTCGCATACAAGGCCGAGGTGCTTGCAAGCCGTGCACATTGGCGAACCCTCATCGCACTTCTTGCGCCTGAGTCTGCATGTGTAGCAACCTGTAAGTCAGCCAATGTTAGCTTTGGCGATCCCGGCAAGGAGGCTGGGAATGGTGCACAAACCTGTTCTTGAGCGACGGTGCATCTGTGTCTTCTGTTTTGGCGCAGCGCTGTTGGCAGCCTTAGAGGCCGTCTTGGTCTTGGTGGACTGCGCGACAGCCATCTTGTCCGGTGAGGTGCACATGAGGTCTGGTTGCTGGTTGGGGGGCTGTGTTGACATTTGTACCCTTCCTATTATCTCGACAGGTACCTTTCGGTGGGCTGCCGGGGGGGGGGGGGCGCCGGGGGTGGGGGCGTGTGGGAGGGGGTACAAAGTCGAGGTGGTCTGGGGGGGTGTGGATTGTTTCGGGGGTTCGTAATATGGGCTGGACCAAGCGAAGAACGCGGGAACTGGTCAAGGCCACAGATAGATCCCCGTCCAAGCGGAGAAAAATCAAAGTGCCGTAGGAAAACACGAAATCTGCAATTATGGTTATCGTCGAATGAATGACTGGTTCAAGAGCAAGTCCTGCTTGCGTTTCGAACTGGATTGTGTTAGTAACCCGGATGGGTGTTGCTATAGGCCAGCTGTCGCGAAAGGGTATAATTAAAATAGAAGAGGGCGAGGAAGAGATTATAACGGGACTGGACTGAACGACGACGACACTGGATCCAACTTCTTCTCTGGTCTACAAAGAAAGAGAGCAAAATCATCGAGATGGGATGGAAGTGGGCAAATTCTTATATCTGGCCGCCACTTGGACGACCACCTCGATTTGACCCACTTTGCAGCCAGCTTCTTGCGTGCTGTGGTGATTGCTGTGTTCTAAATTTGGACACAGATGCGGGCAAATTTACCGCCTTTCCTTTTTTTGGCCTCTGGGTTGGTCTGTTGGCTGCACCGGCAAGCCCTTCTTGGGAGAGAGATGGGCTTCTGGTGTGTGCTCACCGACAGGGGTGAGGGCTGGGTATGCGCTTATTGGTGCCAACGGGTGGAGTGCAGTCGGGCTCTCGCTCGGAAGTGGAGGCCGGCGCCAACCCCACCTAGAATAGATAGGCCAAGAGGACTCGAAAGTCGGAAGTCGAGGGCATGCAGAAAGGTACAATGGCCTTGTACACACACCTTTTCTTCCCCATCCGGTTGATGCGCACGGGAGAAGATGGCTGCAGGGATGGGAGCTGTTCGAGTGACCAGGAGGGTTGGCTGCTGTTCTCATTGGCACAGCGGCCTACAGTCCCACACCTCAAATGGCCTGGTCACTCGTTGATGGACCTAACCAGGGGGGATTGCGTTGATCCCGACCAGGATAGCGAGGGATTTCTCCGTCGGCCGTAAGTGGTTCACACCGTCGTGACTGTCGTGGTGTAAATCACCCTCAGCTGGCAGGGCCTAGTGATGGGATTGACTGGCTGAGTGCCGGGCACCTTCGATAAGGAGCAGGAACCAGCCTCGACGCTGCGAATCCAGAAAGGGTAGGGGATCGAGCGACTAGCGGAAAGGTCATGGCCGCAATATCGAGTCCAAGATGCGGGCCATGTTTGCCCAACCTACTTTGTACATACATCCAGAAGATCAGGAAGGATGCATATGCATACTCAGCGCTAGTAGACTTGTTGCTACCACGACAGGTAAGGTAAGGTAGGTAGGCCCATACCTAGTCAGTTAGGGCTACTATTCGGGCAGCTAAGGCACGGACTTGAGCTATATCGTCGGGGTGAATGGTGAATGAGCGGTCACCAACGGAATGCATTCGATGGTTCTGGTAAACGGAAGCATTTTCCCGCAATCTCGCTGGACACCACAGAAATGAATACCTCGAGGCCGCGCTTTCCGGATGAATAGGGCTGGCGGTGGAGATTGTCATGGACTGGCCTCGAGGAGCCAGCACTAACAGCATGAGCTCCTGTCAAATATGAGCGTTCCACAAATCATGACTGCTTAACCGGTGGTCAGCATCAGATTGGCCGGTCAGGATGGAGAGTCGATCGGGATTGGCCTGGTAACTTTCCGTGGCTGGCCGGGAACTTGTGGTCGACGTCCGCTCTGCATTGCATGGAGAATGGAGGGTCACACAGAATGGCAGGTAGATAACGGCGCATTACTAGTGAGAACCTCGCAATCCAGAAGGCACGTGGTCGATCACTCGCGGCGAGTGTCGGCCCAGCGGAAGTACAGCCTAGCAGATCAGTGTTACCGTGGGTACCTGCTTGAGGTGGCCCAGTAATGCGGCCTTCTGCGCAGAATGCAGTGTACAGCAGTACCAGAAATGAAGGCAGAGGAACAAGGGTTGGGCGGATGGTTGGGCAACGCCCGTGGGACTCGCGGTCTACACGCAGGTGGACGTCCCGTCGCCATCTGGAGGAAAAGGGCGATTGACGACGTTGATTTGATGAAGTGCGGTCGAAAAGTGTGACGACTAAATGGTTCGTGCATACGTGCATGCGGGCCGCAGGGCGGCAATCAATCCAGATTGGCTCAAGCTATCAGATCGTGCATGAGTAATGACTGGGATAACCACGCTAATGGAGGGAGCTTGGGCCAATCATGCGGGAAGGAACAGGGGCTATGCACTTGCCATTTTCCCTCGCTCTCAGGGCCAGCACCCCTAGACCCCTCCCTTGTCAAGAAGGCGGGGCCTGGTGCTACGCCAGCCTTGCAGAATTGATCATTTTCTCTTGGCTGCAATCCTACCCTGCCTGAACTTCGTGTGTGTCATTCGTCGCCTAGCTTTTCCCACCGTCTCTGGTTCCGAGGTCGCAACAAACGTGCGTCGCAACTGTCTATGTACTAACTGAGTTCACCAAGGTCTTCCTGATACTTGCTTGAAAGATTCGGGCTTCGGCGATATTATCACAGCTCCCCCCGCGACTGACACTGGCTGCTGTATACCTACCTAACGTTGATTCCTGAGACAAAAAGAGAGACAGAAACGAGGACGCTGGCGCTCTCGAGGCTTTATAAGTCTCGAGACTTCACTGAGTAACGAGTAACAAAGCACAGTATGTCGAACCTAACCGTCATCGCAAACTAGACTCGTCTCGAAACAAAGTCGAGGTCAAATGGGAGCCAACGAGAGCGGGTTAATTAGCCGCCCATGGGCGAAGGTGTTGGCCAATTTTACCAATCGCAAAACATGCAAGGTCTAATATTTGCCCACATTACATTCTGGGCTAATTTTGGATGCTATGCAGTGTGCTGCTGCCACACAAGCAGCTATTTCTATTTTAGCCCACATTCAGAGCTTTGCAAATTAGCCCACGCAACCATGAGAAGGGCTAATTTAGTTCCATTTCCTAGAAAGTGGGCAAAGTTGGTAAAGTGGGCTAATTATGGCATTCCCAAGTTGGAAGTCTCAACCTGTGGTCAGTGCTCCCACCCATCACATCACCACCCACAGGCTGAAGTCCATCTTGCTGATCGACGATAGTCGTCGGCGCCGAGCCGTCCTCCCCCATCCACTAACCACGGATCCCTGTCCAGCTCACGCCTTCCCTGGCGAAATATGCCGGCAATCTCAAAATCAATAACAACCGTGATCCGTGCTTCGCTTTGCGGCCGTTACACTACTAGCTTCGCCCTAGCTTCGCGCTGGTTCTCTAGGCGAGCAAGGTGTAGGATTTCCCTCACCACCTCGACTTGCCTTCTTCATCGCGCTTGTCTGCAATGTTCCACAATAGTGCAAGCACTACTATCCGTAGGTATTCTATCGTTGCAAGAACGCAACATCCTACTACCGCAGTGGACTGCGCTCCAGGTTGGGTTTTCGGTTGACGCGCCTCCCATCAGAATTTGGGCAGATCCTTTCAAATGCCTACCTGGTAGGTACCTCCCTGACCATGGCATCCAAAAGTCCCTTCCCGGGCTATTGACCGGCCGCGGACGGCTCAACGAGCTCAATCGACACTTTTAGTACCCGGTTGGGGTTTTTATTCTTGCTCAACGGCCCGAGGAGAGGTGTACGTCTAGTGCCTGAATTAACCATGTTCGGAAGAAGGGGGGTAATCTGACAGAGTTCAATGCTTCAGCGGAGCATTCTCAATTTCTCGCGAAGCAGAGCAGCAAAATCAGTGCTAACCATGGATCGCCGTTCACACCCCGGCTTCCGCGATGTCCGTGCTTGCAGGATCCGTACCATCATCCATGTATGCCCTGCCCGCACCCTGCCAAGGTGGTTCCCTGATTCCCATGTTTCTCTCAATGATCCAGCAACATTGCATGGTTAACAGCTGTCGAGGAAAGAGGAAATAAAATTGATTATACATAGGTAGGTAAAAAGCAAAGCCAGCCCTGGTTCGGTTCCGCGATGGGGGTGCACTTCCAGGCCGCTTATTTGCTCGATTGCTCATTTCCTCATTTCCAGGGTTCATTCGATCCCCCAATGCCCGTCATCAAGAGGGGGTGGGTGCGAGATGACAGATCAAAAGTGCGGAGAATAGGCCTGCCTAGAATCTGGACGATCCCGCACCTGGTATGTACATACATACAATGTCATGATAAGAGTTGATAACTCGCAAATTACCTACCATCCCGTCAAAGCATACCTAGTCGAATCCAATTGCGCAATGCGGCCGCATCGAAGGCCCGCGAGACATTAGTGCAAAATGTAGGTAGGGGGGACCTGCAGCCCCAGCTAGCCACTCACACCAGTCACTCATGCTTTTTCGTCCCAAACCTCTGTCGAGTCTCGAAGCACCTTACCAAGTCTTGACAAATTCTCTATGGGCTACACAATTACAATTGGGGTCACACCTTCTCTAGAGGGGTCAACCATTCAACTAACCAAACCCGGCAGTCACACCAACTTGTCAATGTGAATCAACCCAGACAGACAGAGGTTGAACACGCAGTCAATGGTCATCATGTGAAATTTATATGCGGGTGGCATCTGGAAGGTGTGGTGTGGTGCCGAGTCGGGACGGATTTTACTCATGCTAGTTCCTCACCGCAGGTAGTTGCCCTAGGGTTGAATTCGCTTAAATTTCTCGACTAGTCCAGCGACCACGACGTGGGAATCTATCTTCGGGATTATACACCGTCACCGGCTCAAAACCTAGGTCGTCATGACTAGAGAATCAGCGTGGTGTTGTGGCGTTTCATTTCCGTTGAGAAAACCTGTTGTACACATACTATGCGTCCACTAGATGGCCGGTTGAGTTTCCGCCGAGCTTGTACGCAGTAACATGCAGCATGCAGGTGTGCACTATAGTGCGCACTACATGGGATTCGCAGATCAGTCAACACTTACGTACTTTAAGCTTACCGCCATGTGCGTGCCATTGTTCAATATCAATGCAGCGTCGTGAACTTGCTAGCGAGTGGGGTTGATGGGGTGGGGTAGCTACGCCAAGGACAGCCATGGTCAGTTTTCCATGCGACATCTCCGAAATCAGTGGGTATCTCCCCGTAGGCCGATATCTCGTCTCACCTTGAATCTGCCCGCCTATGGAGAAACTGAGCCAGGTCGCAGAAGAAGCATGACCCAGATCCTCGTCAGGTGGAAGACGAGGCCCTATTGCAAACCCGTCCTCCAGGGCAGATGACCTGTTCAGCTACCTACGCATAGACAGGTGGGCCGGCAATCGACAGGCAAGGCACGTGGAATTTCATAAAGCATTGAATGGCGATTGTTCTCTAGTAGGTCCGATTGAGAGAGGCGGGCATTCTTCCCCCATTCTAGTGGACGATCTCAGCCGTTGCTGTCCCGAATAGGGATTCGGCTTCAACGTGCTTGTCATGTGCTCATCATGTTGGTCACATTGGCGGGGGGCAGCAGGTGGGGTTTGCTAGAGCTCCATCTCGGAGGAGTGGAGAGCTTGGGAGCGGACCGTTCCACAGCCAGAACCGAAAGTCAAGGTCCACCTCCGTCATTGACGTTCCGGTAAGATCCTCCGTGCGAGAGGCCGGCCGGCCAACGAGGCTTGGGATGGTGTGGGATATCTCCGGTTGGCATCAAGATCGTGTTTTCCAAAGTGAGTGAGCTTTTGCTTCTCTCACCCTCTCCGCAGAGCTCAGTCGAGTGCAAGCAGAGGCGATGTATGCGCCCTCGAAGTCGGGGCGGCCCACCCCTCCCGGTGCGGGTGACGGCGCTAACAGGAAAATCCCAGTAAATTCAACCAATGGGATGTTAGAGATGCTATTTAAATATCGACGCACATGAATTTCAGACCAACCAGCACTCTCTGAGCGCCTTTCTCTGCATGAGCCACCACGGCCGACACCAGATCCAAGCGTTTACTGGTATGCTGGCCTTGCTGCTGCCCAACCAGCTTTCGACTTTCGCTCGCTCTTACCGCTCACTTTTGCAGACCGACCTGGCCGTCGCACGCAGATAGTGCTATTATTATACGCTGAACCGGGCCTACATAGCGCCGGCGCGAACAATGGCGCCTCGCATCGAGTATGGGGGGAGGTTCCTATGTAGCAATATCACACCTGTGTCTGCTGCCTGTGGGTGACATCTTCCCACTGCTGCATACACATCATGTTGGTGATGTGATCGATCCCCCCGCTCCACAGGGCATGCTGTTTTCCCGTCATACATAACCATCGGTGTGCGCCTGTACCGCCTCTACGAGGCCGTTTTATTCTCGTTTGGCGGGTTACCCTAGTTTGTCTAGCATATCAAGCGATTTCCTTTTTGTCCCCTATTTCCGATTACCAGTCGCTCCTCGAGTAGATATCATAAAAAGCTCCCGTCTATTGTTGCAAACAGATATCGCCGGCAACGGCAGGAAAAGCAACGCCGTATTCACAACCAGTCCGCAAGACTACCAGGAGAAATGGTAAGCCTCGGAGGTCGAGCATTCGATCTGGATCTGGCCACACAAGTCTGACCATGCCCCTCTAGGAAATCATACAGGTCAGCTCACACGAGCGACCGCATCGCGAGATGCTGGAGAAGTCGCACTTGCTGGATGCCTTTTTCTCCCAGAGGCATGCAAAGCAGCGTCCAGTGTCGGTAGCAACCGAGTTCGTGGAGGATTGGGATGTGGACGACTTGGATGGCGGAGATGGCGACAGCTCGCCCCGTGCGAGTCTGAACTCGGTGAGTGCCTCGATTGTCCCTCCCCTCGTACCCCACGTCGCTCATCCATCCTAGTCTGGCGGCCAACGAAGTATAACGACGTTGTCATCCTACGACGAGGTCCAAACCCCTAGGTCTAGTAGGAACCGCGCAGCGTTCCTTTTCGACCTCGAGTCGAAGCAGGTCCAGGGCCCGAGGGGACCGCATCTGTTCCGGAGTTCCGTGTCGTCGACGCACTCGATTGAGCTCCAGCACGCTCTTTCACTTTCGCCCCTCACTCCCAAAGTTCCGAATCAGACAGAATACCAACTACCTATTGCCCTGGACCTCACTCCATTGCCGACCAGGAAACAAAAGGATGGGCCGTTCCAATACACGGAGGCGGCACTCGATACCGCCACACTGCCAGAGTGGTCGCCGGAAATGGTCGCGCAGTGGATGCTCAATGCGGGCGTTGAGCTTTCAGCCTGCGACCGGTTCGTCGAGAACGATATCACCGGCGGCATCCTCATCACCTTGAAGTTCGAGGACCTTGTAGAGCTAGGGATTCCGTCCTTTGGTGTGAGGACGAAGGTATGGGGTGAGATCCACACCATGAGGGATATCAAGTCCTCAGAACCGGTGCCCGAGACCGACATCGAAGATGCTCCGGATAGGGAAGCCAGGAGGGAGATGCGAAGACAAGAGTGCGACAAGCCACTGAAGCGAGGCGGCAGCAAACGTCGACCAAAGCTTGACGACGTGATATCGCCCCTCGAATCGGTGTCAATCGTCGGCATTGAGCAGATGATGCCTAAGCCGCATAACTGCTCCAAGGGCGAGAAATGCCGCAAGTGGCAGAGAAACAAGCGGATGATAGAGGCTTTCAAGCAGGACCACCCGTTCGTCAACATGGAAGGCGGTGTTATCATGGTTGCTGGCGATCCAGGTAACCCTGAAACGGCCGACGCCATCAAGCCAACAGAAGAGTTCTTTCGTCCAGTCTCGGATGCTATGCCCTCTGTCGTCGCCTCGTCAGACGTCATGGGTCCTGGCAGCTTCCTAAACCTGCAGCACCTGGCAGAGGCGACCCTCCGGAATGTCCAAGCCCGGGATCCTCAAGACAATGTCAGGCAATTCTTGGACTTCCAACGCCAACACAACCCCGGGTCAAGCGAAGTTCCTCCCACTCCGCCCTTCGAGATATTACCCAGCCAAAAACCTCCCCACCATGGCTTGCAGTCTCTCCCAAAGCTTACAATCCCCAACCAGGCACCGCCCGTGCCCAGGTCCCAACCATCCTCCGCACACCCGACGTCGGCTGTCCATGGCACGGCGGCGGAGGAGGAGGACGTCACTCCCACTGCTCTCTACCGCTTCGGCACGCCGTTCTCTGACATGGATGTGCCTCTTACCGCTATTCCTACGGGGCCCGTTGCTCGCGATCTTTCGCAGTCGGTACCACCAGACATGAATTATCGCCATAATCCAGCTCCTCCGCCCCGTTCAATGTCACGCGCTTCGGGTCGCCGGCCGTCCTTCCCTGTCATGCCCGCGCTCGACGAGAACTCCATCGTGTCGCCTACTACCCGACAGTCTCACAAGTCCTTTGCACAGCGGACAGCTGGCAGTCACCCGCTGAAACCACCCCCTCGCGTGCAATACCCTTGGACGCAGGCCGATCGCAAGACCTTTGAGCGCGCCATTGCCCCTATCCCAGGCTCCAGCGGCTGCACCAGTGCCACGACCCCCGGCTGCAAAACCTTCTCACCCCTCGCGTCGCATGCCATAGACATGGCTGGCACCAACCCAATCTCCTACGAAGGGCCGATGAGGAAGCGCAAGACCAAGATGCTCCGCCACGAGTGGCACGACAACTACTTCACGCTGCGCGGCACCCGCCTGGCCATGCACCGGGACGCGACGGCCACGAACCGCACGCTCGAGTACATCGACATCGACGACTACGCCATCGCCTGCAGCAGCCTCGCGAGCGGCAAGCTCAACGCCGCGTTCAGGGCCATGAGCATCCTCCGCGGCGACAACAGCAGCAGCAGCAACAAGGCCGACGTCGCGGCCTTCAGCTTCCAGCTGATCCCACAGGACAACAAGGGCGGCGTCCGCCTCCGCAAGCGCGAGAGCAGCCTCCCCGGCAAGATCGCCGCGGCGGCCGCGGCCGTCGGGGCCGTCGTCCCGCCGCCCGCCGAGGGCGTCAACGGCACGGGCAAAACGCACCACTTCGCCGTCAAGGGCCGCGACGAGCGCATCGACTGGATGCGCGAGCTGATGCTCGCCAAGGCGCTCAGGCAGAAGGGCGAGGGGTTCGAGGTCAGCGTCAACGGGAACATGATCTGAGCCGTGATGCCGGGTCAAGATTGGCTTTTTTGCCTTTTCTCGAGCATGGTCTCCTGCTCTCGTATTCGTTCTCTTTCACTCGATGATACCTTTTCTGTTTTGTTCTTTTTCGGCTTCCGGGTTGGTAGAAACCGCGTGCCTCATCGCATGGGCTTGGCGAACATTTGGCGTTTGGTGTGTGTGTGGGGGGGAGAGAAGTGATGCTTTGGCGATCTTGAACGGATGGATGGCGAAGGATAATTATGGATACACTCCTTAAACATACCAATGATGGCAACGTAGGTAGTCTAGCATACTGTAATTGAATGTAATTACGGTTATCAGAGTGCAAATCACCTTTGACTCAGTGGTGCTTCACGCATTTGTAACTTTTTCCACTGCCTCGGTCTCCTAGATATTAGGTCTTGTTCCCAGTCTATTGATTTCTTGGGCGGAAGGGCTTCTTCTTTCTTGGTCGAGAGAGCTGACTACTTGTTATTACTATTCATGAAAAAAATGTCTACCAGCTCCCCTGCTTCCTCGCCATCAAAACATTACAGCCCCTGGATGACGCATACCACTATGTTGTCATCGGCTTATCCACCGAGGCGAAGAGAGACTTCCCACTCAACAGCTCGAAGCCCTTTGTCCGAGTCAAATTCTCAAGGAGTGCTCTATCCCCGTCGATCACCTGAGTTTTGCGATCCATCATCTTATTTCCTCGCTGACATTGCTCACTCTCCTGGATATATTGTGGTTTGGTGTGTGGACTGGTACATTTGGAAAACTCTCTGAATATCATCTATCTCCAACCTCGCGCTATCATTCCGTGTGCCCCGTTCCCAGGATGCCTGGGCTCTCTAATGTCATAACCCCAAAGCACAGAAATCCCAAAGACTCAAGAATGAACATGCCGCGGCGGAATTGCAGTTAAATGTGTGCAATGGTATGCCTCGTCGCCGGTTCTGTGTGGCGTTTACCCCTTATTAGTCGCCAACTCCGCCAAATGTTCGCTCCCCATACCATTACCTCACTCCCAGCCCCTTTAACATATTGGTGCCCCCTAAAACATCTTAATGATGAAGCTAGGAGAAGCTATCCGAAGACAAGGTAAGTTTACCTCTTTGCTTGCTTGCTTCCTGTCCGGCAACAACATTGTACTACACATATAACTTTGACCTTACTAGGGCCTAAAGCCGGGCCTAACGACGAGACTGTGGTTGCGAGCCGAAGTGAAACCCGCCTTGAGGATGCCGTTTGTGGAACTCCCATGATACCGAATTCTACCCCCAACTTCATTGAAGGCAGATCCTTCTTGGAGAAGACTGAACAATAAAGTGACGCGAGGCTGTTTGACAGCGTATATTCCATGCCATATCTATCCTGTATACAGTATTGAAACATGAAGCATATGCCAACTAACGGATGCCGGGCTAGCACATGGTTGAGCACCCTTTGCTCTGGGAGTTCCTTTTTTTGTCCCGTATCGTACAAAGCCACCCGCGGCACCACCGAAGGGCCCGAAGCTGCATTGCATCAAGCGGGCATACCCTGTCAAGCGACCAACCCAAGACCAGATACATAATGCCCTTCCCCCCAATTGCGAGCATCGCTCACCGCTTGTACGTCGGCCTCGTGATGTTAGCATCGCTCGCCACGCCTTCCCAATCGATCGCCTTCCACCACTCCTCCACGAACTGCCTCTTCCCGCCGTACCCGCCGACGCCGAGCCCATAGTCCCTCAGCCAGACGTGCTCCCACGTATTCAGGCACAGCACGGGCGTGACGTCGATGCCGCCGGGCGCCGCGGCCTTCGCGGAGACGCCAGCGCCGGCGCCGGTGCCGCTCAGGGGCCCCGCGGCGGGGGTACCGGCGGCGACGGAGTTGCGGTCGACGGGCTGGCGGCGCCAGTGGGCGCCCGGGTAGGGGCTTCCCGCCAGGTAGGTGGTGAGCAGGCGGAAGGGGTTGGCCTGGCCGGGGGCGTCGCGGGCGCCGAGCTTGACGAGCCAGACGAAGCCCGGGCCGAACATGGCCGAGGCGGTGACGACGAACTCGCGGCGCAGCGTCTCGACCGACGAGAAGGACTCCTCGAGGGCGGAGCGCAGCGACTCGGGCATCGCCACGGGCGCAGGGGACAGGCGCTTGAAGAAGAAGTGGTTGTTGTGCGCCATCGAGGCGTGATTGAAGATGGGCGCCTCGGCGGGCTCGCGGGCCGTGTTGAGCACGATCGTCTTGACTTCTTTTTGCTCGTATTCGGTGCCTGGGGAGGGAGGGAGACGAGGGTTAGAGCTTGGCTTTGGAGGCGCGGACAAAGTTGACTACGGTGGCAGCTCCGCACACCGTGCTACTACTTCTCGGGGAAAGGGGGCCCGTCACATACCCGCTGTTAACGCGTTGAGCTTCTCCATCATCAGCGTCATGTACTGCGTCCACGCGATGTCGAAGCCCTCTGGCGAGAGAAGCCCAGGGACTCCGTTGCGGAAGTCATGGGCCAGAGGCGGCACATGATGAATTGACCTCCGAATAGGCGGCCGCGCGAGGCCAATTCGTGGTATTCTTAGTCTGGGTCGTCGGATCATTGGGCTGGCTGGAGCTGGATCCGTTCTCTGGGGGATTGACTTTCTTGCATCTGTGTAGCTTGAACTTTTTCTGATAGCATCCTAGATTTCTGCCTGAGAATCCAGGCGTAACGCGCTAGCGATACGGGGAGCAGCCCATTAATGTCAGGTGACCTGGCGATGCCTCTTCAACGCGACCATTGAGAGGACGCGTTGTGGGGAACATGAAACTTGCTTCTCATCAAAGAAAGCCGGTCCTGTGTCTCTTCAGATTCTCTAAACTTTCCAAAGGGACCGGTCTATCTCCCTGGTCTTACCTTAACTGTAACGATTCAAAATGCCACTAGGAATTCAGCGCTTAAATGCGAAGAAATCGCAGCCCAATGACCGAATCGTGTTCATCAAACCTCTAAAGGGGCCAGACGAGGCCGTTGCGCAGGATTTCCTGGAGAGGATTGCAGCACAATGCCGTGAGTGTGGTCCTGTTATTCTGGGAAACTTGCAGCTGGGAATTCTGACAGCTTGACTCAGTACCCATAATGAGAGAGCACCACCTATCTGTCATGTCGTTGGAGGAATACGAGCCTAATGCCGAGTTCGTGGGTAGGAACTTCAATGCGGGCGAAGTCATCCAGCTGGTCCTCAAAGCGCGGTTCACTGGCCGCTGGCTGCCGTTCAATTATGTTCAGATGGTCATGATGCATGAGTAAGTTATCCGAGTAGTTATGGCCGTTTGGTAGCCGGATGCTCACATGGGCCACAGGTTGGCACACTGCAAGCAGATGAATCACTCCAAGTCATTTTGGGCCGTACGGAATCAATACGCGGATCAGATGAGGTTGCTCTGGAACCGCGGTTATGCCGGTGAGGGCCTTTGGGGAAGGGGAGCTCTGCTTGGCACAGGTGAATGGGAAAAGAATACGGTCCAGCCTGGCGAAATTCTTCCCGAACATCTCTGTGGCGGGACCTACCGGTCGAGAGGCCGGAAGCGCAAAGCAAAGAAGACGCTTACCTACCAAGAACAGAAGGAACGCCGGATTTTGAGGAAGTTCGGAGCTAATGGCGTTGCTCTCGGCGAAGATAAGGAGACAAAGGCGAAATTAGAGAAGGGCCGCCGAGTCGCAGCCAAACCCCGAGTTGCTGGGAGCGCTCGCGGGCGAGAGCTCAGGGCTGCGGCAGCCCTGGCTCGTTTTGATCAGCCGAAAGAAGCGAAAGTCAAAGAGGAGACGGGGGATGATGACGAGACTGCGAGCGAAGCGGAGACAGAGAGCGGGGAAGACTACGACGATGACTCTCAGCCCGATGCTACGGGAGCTGATGGCACGAGGATCCTCGATGAGAGAGGAGGGAGGATGGTCAAAGTCTGCGGGGATGAGAACGAGAACCCGTCAGACGACCAGGATGCACAGAACGAGCTCCGCGAGTTGCAGGCATCATCAGTACCGAAACCGCCCAGCAGGCCAGCGTTGGAATTTAAACACGCAATCGATACTACACCAGTCTCGAGGCCTCAGAAACCTCGGGGAACTGGAACTGAGATTCGGCAACCAAAAGAAGTCACAGCAACGGATCTGGGATCTCAGAGAGATAAAAAGCTACCAACAAGTCAAAACCAGCCGGAACCGAGGACATTGCCTGCGGCTCCCGACCTCGGCCAGCCCACGCTAAAGCTGCGAGACTCTAGCTCGAGGACATGCCCTGTGTGTTCTTTTGGGAACGAGAAGCACTCGATTACGTGTGGCATGTGTGCCAATGTGCTTGATCCCGACAGCGTGGTCAACTCGTGGCGATGTCAAAGCGAGGCCTGCGTAGGCAGCATTTATCTCAATGCTGGGGATTGTGGCGTGTGCGGTGTCTGCTATCAGCGGCGGCCGTTACCGAGCTGATGAAAGGACTTGCCTGGGCCGGTGGTGTAATAGTGCATTGCCTATGGTGCCATGGTGTTACGTTGTCTGTCGACTTTCTAGCCTCCAATATACCCCAAACACGGCTGTTTAATCCCAATGGAGTCGGCCGCTGCAGTCGAGGTCACTGACCAGTCTGACGGGCGTCGACTCTCCGAAGCGAGAACCAGGAGCATGCCGACGATCTATGTAGTATCCGTAAGTAGGCTACTGCACTCATAAGTCCACCTATCCAATAGACTTAGGGGGCTGAGTGTTCTTGAGTCCCAAATAGCACCCTCTTGCTTGACATACAACGCCTCGTGACGGGTGGCAAGCAGTTGAGAGAAATGGGCAGTGCATTGCTGCAAAACGCACCTAGGTTCTCCAGGCATTGCTTGCGGACTCCTTGGGGGTACCGAAGACCGACCTAATATGGAAGTAGCACAGCTAGCCCGGTTTAACATGTGTAAAACGATTGGCTCTTGATTGAGCCTAGCAAAGAAACAATCGCCCCTGTTTCACATCTTGACCGTTCCTCCTATGGGAGCACACAATCCGCAAGAGGCTCTAAAATCCCACGAGCACAGACACCATTACATGATGGATTTCCCAAAAGGATCGCCTTCGATCCGCGCCGTTCACATTTAGCGATCCATGAACCGGATCTCTTGAGTGCCTGGATTCGTCTGTGCCGGGATTTCTACCCCCTGCTGTCACAGACGATCCCCCTGGTTCCAGCAAGACCGTTCCTGTCCAGGCATGGATGCCTGTCTCGCAGGTTCAGATGGTCTAGAAAACCGAGTGGCTTTCCGTCTCTCTTTCTTCTCGATCTTCTCATGTAGGTCCGAAGAGTGCATCATTCACCTCTCCAGCCAAGGATTCATTCGCCTCTGGAGCGCCGTGCTCCCTTTTCCTTCTCTTTCGCTTCGTCGACCCTGATCTGTGATCATTTTCTGTTCTCTTCTGCAGGCCTGCCTCTCTTTATAACCTGGACGGTTGTTCCTTTTCCACGATCTCTCCAAGCTCAGTCTCGATTTCCGCCAAAGTTCAAACCAGCAAAAGGGAGAGATCTCAAGATGTTGTACTTAACAGTCCTTGTTCAAACCATGCTCGCCCTCTCGTGTATCTGCATGGCCGCCCCGCAACAGTACCACATGTACCCGCGAGTTAATGTCCCACAAGAACACCTCGAGGTCCTTAAGATACGGGCATCCAAACCGATCAACCCCGCCGCCGTCCTCGACACCACCTGCCTCGATTCCAACAAGTTGAGCCATCACCGTCCAGACCGCCTGGGAAACACCATGCTAACCCGTCCCACCAGGAAAATCGTCTTCCACGACGAGAACGTGGCATTGCTGGGCATCTGCGGCGGCATCGCGGGGGCCATCACCAAGTGCGGCGGCGCCCCCACCAGCACGACTGGCCTGTCCGGGTCGGCGGCGTTCGCCCTCAACGCCGTCGAGCGGGGTTCCACCATCAACATCTCCAAGGGCCGGTGGGAGCAGTGCGTCCGCGCCGCGAGGGCCGTGTGCCCGACCGGGAGCCTGAGGGCCACGTGCGCGGGCGGCGCGAGCAAGGGGGACGTCGCGTTCACGTTGGACAACCCTTGAGAAAGGGAAAGAGAGCGGTTCGACTGTGGGGGGGATGGAGCAGCGCGGTTCTGGAGCCGGCGAGACCGCCGGAGTCTCACAGTTGACGACTGGAACTGCGGCTTGGCTGGATGCCGTATATACATCTGCTTCAATCACTGTACATATTTAGGTACGGGAGATGGGAAAGCCATGGGAAGGTCGATAGACCATGCATGTCTTTGCAAAAGACTCTGAACATAGACGCTAAACATAAAAGCAATGTCAGATACCCCCTTAAAAAGGATCAAGGCCGAGACCTAAGGCTCGTCAGTATTTGAACCAAGCCTTTCTGTTCCATGATCGATTCCCACGCCGTTATCCCGGGGTATCGTGCCGCAATTCTATTCCAACACACTCGACTCAACTCAACCGGTACGCCATCCCAAGCAGGTCCATGCAAGCCCAGCAGCCACGCCAACACCAGCGATCCGCCACCCACGCACCTCACGCCCCATACCTCGTAACGCAATCCTCCCGATGCACATCAAGACAATCGAGCGCACACACCCGCGCCCCACACCCGGCGCACCGCACCCGCCCCCAGTACCCGCACACCTCGCAGAACCGCCGCACCGGGTAGCCCCCCGCCTCGCGCACTTTGCCGCCCATCGCCTCCCGGCCCGCCCCCGCCCCCGCCTCGAGGTAGCTGAGCGGCGCCGCCGAGAGCAGCACCCGCAGCTCGTCGTCCGCCGGGAACGGCGGCACCCGCGACGCCAGCAGCGGGTCCGTGTCGCCCGCGTGCGCCCGCGGCGGCGCCCTGCCGTAGGCCGGGAGGACGGTGCCGTCTGCTGGGTATGAGTCGGCGGGGGGCGCGAGCTGCTGCTGCTGCTGTTGTGGTGGTGGTTCTGCGTTGTCGGCGTCGGCGTCGGCCATCTCGACGTCTTGGGAGGACTGGTCGGCTGTTGCTGCTGCTGCTGATGATGACGCCTTTGCGGGTGTTGATGCCTTTGCAGGCGTCGAGGTCCTGCGCCCGGCTTTGGATGACGCCGTGGCTTTTTGGGCGGCGCCTCGCTTGGTGCCTGGTGCTGGGTGTGTGGGGGGAGGCGGACCGCCGGCCGCCTTCGAGGACGGGCCGCCGCCGTTGCCGCCCGACGATGGGGTCGGGTTGTTCTCGGCGTGGGCTAGCATGGCCTGGAAGTCGTCGAGGTGGTTCGCGAACGTCTTTTGCGACTGGAGGATCTTGCGGACGTTGGGTGTGCTCTTGTTCTGGGCTGCGGGGGTGGGCGTCTACGTTAGCTGTCACGTTTCCTGCACGCCGTAGATGTATTTGGGCAAGTCGCGTTACCGGGGCTATGTGGATCGTACCTCTGCTCCCGCCAGCTTTGGGAGGTAATTGGATGTTCACATCCCTGTGGTTGTCCCTGTCGAGGGCCTCCAGCTCCTTGCGGATCTTGGCCTCTTGTCGTGCGGACACATCGGAGACGCTGAGGGCGGCCTGCTTGCGCGCCGCTCGCTTTCGGTTTGTAGGTTGGAAAGACGCGGCGGCCGGGTTGACGACCGTGTCGGGTATGTACGCCCAGCCCGGCGCGTTGGTAGTCTTTGAGCCGGCTACTTCGATCACGCCGAAGTTGTTCATTGTCAGTTTTAAGTAGGTTGCGAGGAGTGGGAAAGAAGCGGATCTCGACGGGCCCGTGGTCAATTTTTAGGTTAATCCGGAGGCGGGGCAGTTGCGGTTGGGTCCGTCCATCCGGGGCGTCCTCAGCAACATCGAAAGTTAAAAACATGCTTGTTATTGATATGCCTGTTTTCTGTTTCCTGTAGAGCATTATGCCGTAATGTACAGTTTGCGATCATTTCCTGTGTAACCCCCGACAGCTCATCCAGCCACCATCAACTCCTGAGCGTGTAGTGTCATGATCATTTCTTCTTCCTCTCCAGAGAATCCACCTTCTCCTCCAACGCCGTCAGATATTTACTCACGCGCTCGACCGCACCTTGGAGGGCCTGCAGAGGAGTCGTGGTTAGCCGACAAGTATCTGCGACGAGGGGCAAAAAAAGGAGCAGGAACAGATGCCAGATGCGTCTCTGTCAGAGCAGTTGTAATGAAAATCCAAAAAGACGGACAGGAGCAATATGGTCACGCAGAAGGAGGGACTATATCAGATGCAGAAACGCACGTAGATATCTTCCGTCAAGAGCTCGTTCGACATCTTGTACTCCTGTAGGATGTAATAGTAGACGCCGCCACCCGCCAAGGTGCTGCCCATGAAGAAGCCGAAGAGACTGCGCCAGACAACAATCATCAGCAATTGAACTCGGGGAAGGGGCAGATGGGATCCAATTCCTTACCCTCCCCGAAATGCTCCAACGGGTTTACGAGCCGGCAACGGGGATGCCGCCACGGCGTCGAGTCGTCGCGCCGATGTCTGGAAGTTTCGGGTCATTCGGACGGCAGGCATGCCGCTCGTGAGCGCTCGCGCCCCAGATGAGAGTATTCTTGAGGCCATTGCAACGGCTGTGGTTTGTCTAGGGATGGTTTTGTCTTGTCGTGTGAGCTGTCTAGGGGGATCCCTAACGACGGCGATATGCTGCTGGTTTTGCCCAAACATCCAGGCCAATCAAAACACGTTGTAAAAATAGGCGGTAAATGCTGGCAGAAACCAATTCCCCTTTATGCTTTGCGTCGTGGCCTCTTCGATGCTTGGCAGATTGACGCGTTCTAGTCCAAGCTCCGAGATTATTACGGATACTCGACCGCCAAAGTGACATTGTCACCGCGCACATTGGAGAACAGCACAAAAGACGTCGGTTATTTCACACACACAAAGACCAATCTCAATTAGAAAACTAGACGAGGTATTGCGTTTGCCCTCTTTGCAGAACATTTTTAGGCCCTAGCCCGGCCCAAGTCCCAAGGAAAACCATTGAATGCAAGTAATACATATACCAACCCTTAAAGCTCATCATGGGCGTCCTCAGCAGCCTCAGGCTCCGTGGCCTCGGTGGCCTCAGCCTCCTCAGTCTCCTCAACGACCGATGCCTTGTACTTGCCATTCTCCGCGATGAACTTGATCAGGTCCTCAACAGTCCGGGAGCCAGAATAGGTGACGGGCTCACCCTTGGCACCAGCCGGGAAGAGCTTGATGGTCGGGAAGCCCTGGACCTCATCGGGCACATCGTTGGCGGTGGCATCAACCTTGGCGATGACAACCTTGTCCTTGAACTCGCTCTTTGCGTAGAGAGAAGCGAGATCCTCGTACTTGGGGGCAAGAGCCTTGCAATGTCCGCACCAAGGAGCGTAGAACTCGACGAGAACATCCTTGGTGTCATCCAGGACGACGTCATCGTAGTTCTTGGCCACCACAACGACGACTGGACCCTCCTGGCTCGTGGGGATGGGCTCAGACTTGATGCTGGGCTCAACCTTTCCGGCAACAAAATCATCAACGAAGGCCTTGATGACATCGTGGGTGATCTCCTTCTCCTGGTCGAAGGGGAACTTCTGGTTCTTTGCGATCTCCTGGATGGCGAAGGCAGGGAACTTGTCAGCCTTCAGGTTGAGGTTGGCAGCGTGGGCGCCGAACTGCTTGGCATCGATGGTGGCGAAGTTGATGACGCCACGCTGGGCCTCGGCGATGGGCTTCAAGGCATCGCTAATCTCCTTGCGCTCCTCAGCCGTCTCCGCGAAGATATACGCAAGAGGGAGACCAGCGGACATGTAGTCCGAGTAGGTCTCGGGGCCGACCTCGCCGATCAGAGGGGTCGACGCCGTCTTGGCGAACTTCTCAATTGCCTCGACGTCAAACTTCTCGGAGAAAACGGACTTGCCCTCATCGAAGTCCTTGTAAAGGACAATGGCAGGGGCAGTGACACCCTCGGCCTCGGCGAGTGCGGCGTCGTTGCTAGCACCGAAGGGGTAGTTGTCCCGGAGCTTCTCAGCAACCTCGGCGAAGGTCTCGTTTGATGCCTTGTCGCTAGCATCAATGTAGGCAACGAGAACAACCTTGTCGGCCTTCTTAAAGTCCTCTAGGCCATCCTTTGTCAGGATCGATACGGCAGGCAATGACTGCTTGATCATGTAGGATGTGATGCTGTGGCGAATGTCAGTTTGGCATTTGCAATTACGATACCGAGTGACGAGAAACGTACGCATTGGCTTTCCGCTGGCCCTTGTAAGGGGTGATATTGTCCTTGCCGCGGAAGACCTTGAGGGTCGGGTAACCCTCAACGCCGTAGGACTGGCAAAGGTCCGCCTCCTCTGTGCAGTCGACCTTGGCCAGCCGGATGTTCTTCTCCTTCAGGGAGGTGGCCGCCTCCTCGTACTCCGGGGCGAGGGCCTTGCAGTGACCGCACCACGGAGCAAAGACTGCAAAGAACAAGGCGTCAGAAACTTGATTTCAAAGTGTGGCGTCCCGTAGGAATCGAAGGGTGGAACATACACTCTGCGAGAACAATGTCATTGGCATTGACAAACTCATCGAAGGTATCCTTCTTCAGCTGCACGACATCGGATGCTGAGGCAACTGCCGCGGCTGCGAGCAGGCCAAGAGCGAAGTTCTTGACGGTATGCATATTAACCCCCGATTGAACCTAAGTAAGGCAACTCCAGGTTAGCTGGCTTCAGTTTGATGATGGGCCGATGCCGGCGGAGGGCAGTAGCGACGAGGATGCCTCTGGAAGGTGGTGGCGACAATACTGAACGTACCTGAAGGAAGTTGAGGAATGATAAAGAGAAGAGAAGGTGGAAATGTACAATAGCGAACGGCCCTCGGCGGAAAGAAGGCTTCACTATTTAAGGGGAATTGGGGTGGTAGAATGTAGGAAGGACAGCTCTCCAGTTCCGGTTAACTTTATCTTCGAGTCAGGTTCAATTTCTAAGCCGTTGTCTCCCCAAGCTCTTGAGAACAGGTGTCTTTTCCACAGTAGCCTGCGCTTACTATTTCGGGGAAAGGTACAAAGTAGGTAAGCTAGGGGTGATCTGCTAGTGTGAGGCACCAATGGATCTCTGCCGGAAAAGTGGGGGTGCTAGTGGTGAGTGAACTTCAGCCTCCAGGGTCTTGCCATGGGAGACAACTATTCCATGGCAACATCAAATACTTCGTCTAGCCTGTTTTGGATCTCACATACCACTCTTGAGACAACATCGTAAGTCCCGCTCAATACTTATCCCGAAATGGGCTAGTTAGTTATCATGGTCTCATCATGAAATTCAATAATTCTACCAAGCTGCACCGCCTTGGGGATCCGCCTTCACAGCCTCTGGACAGATCGACAGATCTTACATCTCTCAACCCTCCAAAAAGGGCGGCGAGGGCCAAAATACCTTCCCTTGAGGTCCCTCTTTGACATGCAATGTCTCTACCGGCTATGCAGGCTTATTCCCTCTGAATCCTCTGGGCTTCGAATCCCAGGTCTTGGGGGAATGGCTCAAGAGTTACCCAAATAGCATCTAGGTATCATCCCCTCTCTGCATGGTATGTATATACAAGCGAGAGGACAGATAGGTGTCATTATAATTCAGCCGCATTAAAGTGGCGTGCCGCTTTCCCAGGTCTTGGCCCATGGGCGAAGGTTCCGCACCGCATATGGCGAGGCTTGAGACAAGTCTCGTTTCTTACTGGTACTAGTAGGTATATATTCCGATCATCACGCCTGCTTCCAAGACTTTCCGCAGGCATGTAGTCCATGCTGTCTACAATGGATATCTATGTCGGAGATTGCTTGGATCGTCCAGGGCTACCGACCGAGTGGTGGGTGACATGAATGATTGAACTCATACCAGTATCCACCTGCCGACCGGAACGTATCAATACCTAGTTACCCACCAAGGCCGGAAGAGGCGCCCATTCATCCGGCCTCCCTGTCAAATTCGGAAGCACGGTGCTTAGGCCCGGCCCCGGCCCGATTCCCGGACCACCGCACTTGGTCCCGGGCTGTCTCCGCGGCGATAGCCACGCCGGCAGTCTCTGGCAACTGCTCTCCATGGCATATTTGGCAACGACACCACGCTCAACAGTATTCACCCGTCATTATCAAGTAAACCACCTCAGTCCTCAAATCCCTGACCTAGAGTAGGTACCTACCTAGGTAAGGTAGGGAGCATACCTAAGTTAGGTAGGTAGGTGAGAAATTAGGTCAGGTAGGTAGGTAGGTAGGTAAAGTGTTATGCAGCGATTGGGCAAATCTACTGGCTTTTCCCCTTTTGCCCATGGTGCCTTCTCTTTCGGATTTCAAAGCGGGAGGATATGGCATGTCGATCCTCAATCGCTCTTTCCTTCTATCCTCATATTCTCCGCTCATGTTTTCAACGCCGTTAATGCTCTTTCCCTCTTGCGATTCGTGAGGAGCGACCCATCTCAAGAACAGCGCTTGTTCATGACGAGCAACTGCTTCCAGCTTCTACACACACCATTTCAACTCACTCGATTCTAGCACATCGTCGCCGGTATCGATGGTTTGTACATTGAGTAGGTACTTGAGGTACTGCATATTTCGTTACCTGTTTCACCCAAGCTACGTTCCACTGCCAGGTCACCCTATCATATGGTCTTATGAGAGTCTCAAACTGGGTCTGGAAGCCATGATGGAGCAACTAGAACCGTCAAGACGCTCGGCAAGCCATGGGGCCTTCAGAAAGTCTAGCTACATCCACGGAAGTCTCGACAGCCGTGCAGTCTCTTCCCAAGGCCCCCCTCGGGCCCGCTGGTGTGGCAATGAGAACACCAACTTAGTTTCCAGGCCCAGCACCATAGCCAGCAAGCTCGAGATCACTACCGAAACAAGGAACATCAGCGTCTCCTCAAATACAACGGTCGCTTGGGCGCGTCCGGTCCACCTCCCTCTGCAGCCAAGGACCAACTGCAGCGACAAAATCGCAATCAATCCGTTGAACCCTGAATCGGCAACTACCCCCTGGCTTCAGGATGATCGCCAACGGCTTCCTTCCTACAGGAACACAAATCCAAGCGTTGTTTCTACGTACAACCCTGGCAACCACGAGAACGCACTTAGCTATTCCTATTCACCGCTGGGCGATTCAGGTCGCCGCTCTTATTCTATGACGAGCTGTGATTTAAGACCTCCGAACGAGAGGTCAACTGGTAGTCTCCGATGCCAGCTCAGTGGCTTGCCACCACAGCCCTTCCCAACCTTGCCCCGTTCTACTCGCCTCAGGCGCCATGGACTGCGGCCGTTGCTTCTGTCGCCGGCACAGACTAGATGTGTGGATCACGGTGGGATAGTGGGGACCGATAGGATCTCTCATGTAGGTCATATTCAGAGAGTCGATGATGGCTGCTTCAGCTGATTGATGATTTTATAGCGAACTGTACGTGGCTCGTACAATGCGGCACACCCTCCAAGTGTGCGACAGTTGCCTCTTATCCAATCTCGATCTGAAGCCAGCTGTCTGGCCCAGGCTTTGTTGAACCACGACGGAACCAATGGTTCTCCAGATCCACCCAGTACGCTGTCAGCGCCAATGGCATTTCGGGGAAGCAGAATCCACGACTATTTTGAGGCCGATTTGTTGGATCAAGGTCCCAGAACGTCCAGCATAACATCAATTGCCGAGGCGTATCAGGATTTACGTGCCTCCGTAACACCCCAATCTGGTTCGTTCTACTATGACTACACCGAGGATTTCGATAATACACCAAGCGAGAGTATGTGCCATCCAAGGGCTCTGGACCAAGGCCTTGATGCCGAGCTCGGTGATGGGACAGCTGACCCACCCGAAGCTGGCGACATGACTCCCCCTTCGTCTTCTAATGACATGTCTGTAAAGACTCTTCCTGTGATCCGGACTATATACGAATCTTGCCCCGGCCAGCCGCGTAATGCATACTCAGCCCCCGATATAGGCGACTGTCAACGGCTATGTACCTCTCAGCTGGTGTTTGGCCAGAATTCAAGAGATGCCCTTGACTTCATCAATCTTGACGAGAAGTATTCCAGCACATCCACATCTCCGGGGCGCCGGATCGAAGGAGCCGTGGTCCTGGGGGATAATGACCCCGGCCTAGGGATTAAGGGGTTGCACACTCAGGCCAGCAACGAAGCGATTCGTCGCCGCAACTTTAAGTCACCTGCTCCAATGAGTAGCAATGATCAATTCCCAGTCGGAGCTGATCGCACGCTGCACCCACCAGGTCGTTCAGAGACTCCGATCTTGGCTCCGAAACCTATCTCGCCAGCTTTCCGGCTGGAAGCTAACAACCACAAAACTTCCCGACTAATGAAGAGATTGCCATCGTTGTCCGATGGCCAAACCAAATGCACCTCAACAATGGGGGATCCCTTTTTCAATGAGAACGATTTTCCTGTTCTACCAACCCCCCTCAGTCGGTCCAATCTGACCACGCCACAGTCGCCTCTAGGTACCCCACTGCCCTTCAACACCTTGGGGGAGAATGAAGACAATTTGGCCCAAGGGGACCTCAATGGCCATGAGGTAGGCCGTGGTGTCGTTCCAAACTCCATGCCGATATTGGGGGATTCAAGTTCAGTGGCGCTAGTCGTCCCGTGTAGTTTCTCGTGCTGTCATACAGGCGGGAGGATGGAGCAAGGTTGCATTGGGAACGAGTTCACCGAGACATGGACAGACAAGTTTTGTACAGGGAAGCCAACTAACACCACTAAGAGTCAGTCGAAACGCAAATTATTGCCGGGCGGTTTGACAGAGCCGTCCAAGGACTGCCATGGAATAATGAGCTCGCCTGACAGCAGGATTCTTGACGAAGGGTGTAATATTCCCCCGGAGAAGTTCGGAGTGCAAACAGCGGAGGCTTGTGTATCAAATCAACCGAGATATCCACCTCTGCCCACCGATCACCCCAACATCCACGAGTCCACAGCTGCTATACCAAGAGTCGGGGCGAGCTTCTTCTCCAACAGCAGCAGTGACGAGCCGGTCCGCGCGGGCTTGAAAAGGCGTCTATCTGATTTCCGGGCTCGACTCGTCGAGCCTCGCCGGCACAAGGATGTACCTGTGACATCTTCCAGCGCGGTTCAGGCGTCCGGTGGTGTTGCTGCAAAGTCAAAGTCTACGTCGGCCGTGGATCGAGGAATTTGGTGGAAAGTATCGGTGTGGATGAAAACCGCGAAACTTGCTGTCACTACCCGCGCAAGAAAGAAGTAGGGCGACGGTCGGCTAGTAGGGTCTTGGAGAGGATTTTCTCCCCCCGGTTCATCAACTTAGCTTTGGTTTGCAAGGTTCAATGCTACCTTGAGGCGATGGTTTGGCAGGGTATTCAAACATAGATAAACATGCTATCTGGTAAGACAGGACGCTTATTGACACCGCCGGCAGTTCGAATTTCGAGGTGGTCTGAACCTTCCGTGACTGATGTGCTCAGACAAAATCGGGTGGATTCTAGCCTCTACAAGCATTTGCAACTATGTGATGATAAGTGAACAGGTACTGGCCAGGGCAAATATTAGGGAATCAACACTTCCTCTCCCAGTCATGAATCGTGATCGCATGTTCTTTGACAACTGGACCCAGGGGTTCATCCGTGACCCCTATCTATCGCTATAAGCTCCCGGGCTTGGTTTGATTGCATCCCTGCGATCCCACTGAGAAATTGGGAAACTAAAAATCCCGCAGTCGCGGCCCTGGCTCAGCCATGGATATATATGTATATACTTTAGGGACTATTGTCTGGGAAACATCCAAGATGGCACAGCCCGAGGGTTTCTGATCGCTTCACTGGTTCCCGACAGACCAGGGAAGAAAGAATAATAATGATTAAAAAACTCCCATCAAAAAACGCCGCCGCCAATGATGAACAGGCGCTCCTCCTCCTTCTTAGCCCACTGGACGATGGCGTTGGCGCCCTGCGTCACGGCGGCGCGGGACAGGTTCGGGCCGGCGACGCAGTAGAACTCGAAGGCGGGCGTGACCCAGGCCAGGCTGGAGGCCTCGTCGCCGACGCAGTGGAGGACGCGGAGGTGCGAGTGGCGCGCGTGGACAGCGGCGTGCAGCTGGTGGTAGATGGTCATGAGCCGTCGGCGGCGGGTGACGACGGTGCCGCCGCCGCCGCCGCCGCCGAACTCGGCGGGCTCGAGAGACGACATGCAGAACTGCACGTTGGGCCGCGACTTGTACAGGAAGTGGTTGACGGGGAAGCCGGGGGCGACGGAGGCGATGCGGGGGCGGCCAGCCTGGACGGCGGCTTTGATGATGGCTAGGGACCCCTGTCGGGCGAGCTGCTGGGCGACCTTGTCTCGCATCTCCTTGAGGCCGTAGAAGCTTTCCTTGTCTGGGCTGATGAGTATGATGGCGATCTCCTCGCTCGACGACTCGGGACGGGCCGTTGCGGCTTCGGAGCCGTTGTCGGTGCCGGTGCCCTCTGCAGTCTTGTCGAAGAAGCTGACGTACATATATAGGTAGCCGCTGTTGTTGAAGGCAGGGAGGCAGAGAGGGATCCAGTTCTCCCCCCCGTCGGCCTTGACGCTCCCAGATTCAAAGAGCATGTTAAATATGAGCTGAAGATCGCTGGGGTGGAGGGAATGTCGCCGAGGGCGGATGACGCTGACGAGTTTGCCTCCAGCCACAATTAGGCCGTAGAGTAGTTTCTCGGTTCTGGATTTCAGGAAGATATTGCTGATCGAATGCCGTTGGGACTTCCGCAACTTGAGGCACTCCAGAGCCCCGAGGAGTGCAGATGGGGAGCCCTTGGTAAAGCTATCAGCCAGCGATGACAGCAACGACTCGGTGCCTTCCAGAGGCTTCCGCAGATCTGACGAAGGACGGTTGGCAAATATGCTTTTGAGGCCGGGCAACGTCAGCGTCGAGAGAATCTGCATATATAGAGCATCAAGCTGAGCTCGGAGCTGGGCATCGTTCTCGCCCAGCCTGCTGATAGCCACGAAGTACAACGGCCCTTGTGTGGCAATGACGAAGCGGGCATTCCCCGCCGTAAACCCAAGAAGCGGATCCTTCGCCCCTTCGTAGAATGAGATGATCGTCTGTACGACTCCGATGTACGAGTTGATAAGGCCCAAGTCGCCATGGCGGCTGTATATCGGTTTCCCGGCGGATGACAAGATCATATAATGTTTCAGTTTCGACTTCCATAGCAGGAGTCTCCCTTCGTCAGTGATGCCCGTCTTCTCTGCGACATCGGGAATATCATCGAATTCCGTCTCAAAGTCTGCTAGCCCATTTGGGGTGTCGATTTTGATGTTTTCAAAGGGCAGAACGCTGGCGGACTGTGAGCTGAGAAGCATCCACGCGCGACTCTTCCTGTTAAATTCCCCGGCAACGAGGCTCGCTAGATCGCCCGGCGGGCGGAACGTCGGTGCAAAGCTCATGACGCTCATGCTCTCGTCAATGTCGCTGCTCGCCGACGCGAGCCCAAACCGGGGCGTCGCATATCCGCTTGCGCCCGGAGCGGGCGTAGAGACAGCCCTCGTGCCGGCCGTGGAGAAAGTCCCCCTGGAACCATCTGGGAAGGAGAGCGTCTGGATGTCAATCGGGGACACTGCGGTGGTTGGCTTCGATTGGAGCTGGCCGGGCTCTGCCTGCAAGGTTCGCTCCGAAGATCGCTTAGGTCGCGGAGGAAGAGGCGGCGGCGGCGAGTCATCGATGCTGGCATTGCTCCCGCCAGTATCTTCTGGGGTCATTTTGCGGTTGGCAGCCCGAACGGCGCATCCTTGAATAATCAGGGGGCTATGGCTTGTGGAAGAATTCAGGGTCTTGTACCTTATCAGGCATCAAAGTCCGGCACAATTCCATACTGGAATCGCCGGTGTCTTGGGTTGTCCTCTGTTCATTCAGACCTCAAAACGGCCCGAGCTGCTGTTGGGATCATGACGACAGTGGGGAAGCACAGCATTTGATAACCGATAAGGAGCAGCCTTGCAGACCCCTTGTTTTGGCGCAGATTCGGGCCAATCAGAACGGCAAAATGAACAACACTAAAGGCAGCAATGTACCCTTGTAACTTTTGATGACAGCAACGTAGCCTTCCCTTCCCCCTTGTCGACAACAACGAGACAAGTGCGCGGGTGTCTCTCTGCGAATAATGCATTTCAGGCCGCCCAAGTCCGGATAGCGATGAGCAGTGTCAAAACACAACCACAACTGCCCGGGAATCTCCTGCCCTCGGGGGTTTTGCGCCGATTAACCTGCTTCCCAAATCATGGCCCTTGAACCTACCAGAAGGTCCATCTCACCAGAGAGCTCTGGCCGAGACTCGCCAATTCCACGTCAGTGGAGGAACCAACTAGGAAGAGGTAGGAATAGTTCATACTGTGCCTGGTTCTTTTCAAGTTGTCCAAACTGACCTCGCGACGTTTCAGAGGAACCACCGACGAAGGACAAACACTACCGAAAGTATGCTTCCGGTATTGACAGAGCGCTGTCCTTGTTTGAGACGGCCCTCCAAGAATGGGCTGATTACATATCTTTCCTGAACCGTTTATTGAAGGTCAGACAGCCTGCCATAAGTAGGAAGCTGCCAAATTTGCTCACTCTTGGTGATCTAGGCGCTACAAGCTCGACAGCCCAGTGTTACCACGATTCCCTCGAAAGCCTTGGTCGCCAAACGGTTGTCGCAATGTATGAATCCGTCCTTACCTTCGGGTGTCCACCAAAAGACGCTGGAGGTCTACAACTTCATCTTCTCGGTCATTGGCAAGGATGGGCTGTCAAGGGATCTTCCACTATATCTCCCTGGGCTCGCGTCGACCCTCTCCTTCGCATCCCTCTCCGTGAGGACTCCGTTTCTTGATCTGCTCGAGCGACATTTTATAGAGCTCAACCCGCGATCGCTGCGACCCGCCATGAAATCCATCGTCCTGGCCCTTCTGCCCGGGCTCGAGGAGGAGACAAGTGAAGACTTTGAGCGCACCTTGAAGCTGCTGGAACGATTCAAAGTGGCCATCCGACCGCCTAACAGTGAGGAGATCACGCCTGAACACTCATCGGGTGATGATTTCTTTTGGCAGTGTTTCTACCTGGCGTCGATAACGAGCCAGAGTCGGCGTGCAGGGGCTTTGGCATACCTATCGCGATTTCTACCCAACTTGGGGCATGCGCTGGCACAGGACTCGCATCGGATTCCTGATGCGCCAAATGGCTCGGGCACTGAACCTATCTCCAAGCTCTCGCAACTCGTCGCCTCCCCAGAACCCGGCCTATTGATCCGCTGCTTCGCGGCTGGCCTTGCAGACGAACAGCTTCTCATCCAGCGTGGTTTTCTAGATCTCTTAGTGACTCACCTTCCCTTACACTCCAAGGTCCTACAGGAGAGAGCTAAGGCCAGGGACCTGGAACTCCTTCTTCGGGCTGCAGTTGGGGTAACCGTTCGACGTGACATGAGCCTCAACCGGCGGCTGTGGACTTGGCTGCTTGGCCCGGAGCCCGTATCGCAGGAGCATGACGGCGGTCTGGACTCTCCAAGCTCCGCTTCAAGCCACCAGAATGGCTATTTTGTGTCTAAAACAACCTACTTTGAGGAGTACGGCCTGCAACCCCTTACCAGGGCGCTTTTGGGAATGGTCAAGTCTGGTACGGACAGCAGCCCAGCCGAGAGAGCTCGGCCTTACCGGATATGCCTCTCCCTGATGGACAGGTGGGAGATCGGCGGACTCGTCGTTCCGGAAGTCTTTCTCCCCATTGTGGATAGCGTCAGGGAATTCAAATCGAAAGCATCGAACAAGGCTGATTTCGCCGAGATTTTGCGCAGCGCCAGCGTCTTCTTTGATGGTGTCGAGAGCGGGCTGATATATGGCGAAATACTGAGTCTGATGGCCCAAGCCATAGGACCCGGCGTGCTGACCGCCTCGGGAAGAAAGGACAAACTTGACCTTGTCAACTTCATCCTGGGCCACTTCAACATCAGGGAAGAAGACATGATCACTGTTCACGCCCCCGTCTCCGTTCTCTCGATACTCTGCATGCTCGAGGAGGCCAAGGAGAGAGAAAACGGGCTAGGCAGTCGAGAGAGGCAGCAGGAGAAGCTTGCTGTCCATGAATTAAGCGTCGTGGCGGCTTTACTCGAGCTAATCCCCGAGCGTGCCTTTTCCGCAGATCGGGGCAAGGGGGGAATGCCTACGATCGGGTCCGAGATGCTGGCTGCTATACCCAATCCCGAGCTGCTCAAGAAGATCAAGACGTTCTACGTCAATGACCAAGGCAATCTGGATGCAACGACTCCGCCCTTTTCTCCCCAGGACGTGGGTGAGCTGCTTCTCCAAAAAGCCTGCAGTTTGAACTGCAAAAGCCTGGACGAGAATGAGCACGGGCAAGACATAACGGTGAAGAGCCGAATCCTCATGCTTCTGCTCTCGAAAACGTCAGAAGACGCAGCGATTGGTTCCAAGGCATTGCTCTCATCCCTCCACCAGTGCCTTTCATCTCAGGAGACATTAGCGTTTAGCACCTTTTCCTCCACCATGTCTCTCTCCACGCACCTGCATTTAACCAGCCGGATATCAAGCGTTGAGTTGTCAGACCTTGTTCCGCTTCTAGTCCGTCATGCGTGGTCATTTCTCTCTGCATCGGAGCCGAAATACCACGTCGAAACTGTCCGCAGCCTGTGGCTTCTGCAAACCACCCTCACCCCTCAAAATCGCGATATCGAAGCAGCTATATGCGATCTCATGCTAGAGAATGATACAACCGGCACCTTTGCTGTCCGTCCAGCTGACCCTGGCAGGAGATTCGGCGTTATCTGGTCACACAGCCTTCAGGACAACCCATCCGGGCCTGATAGGCGAACGCCAAAGACCCCTATTGGAGAGCTCAAAATCTTTTCGCGCCTTGCCGGTATCGACCACTACGATGTGATGCTAACCAGGCCACTATTTTTGATGCTTGATGCCCTCATCGATGACAGAACGCAGCTGTTCATGACGACCAAATCTTGGTTGCACAGCCTTATTGGGACGGACAGGTGCAGTCTCCCCATTCTGCCCCCCTGAGCTGAGAGTTGCTGACATGCGAGCTAGGCTCTTTCATATCTTTGTTTCAAAGTTCCTAGAACTCCCTTTCCTGAGGACTCAGAAACCAACATCCGGAACGGAGGCCACAAGTGTACAGATCCAGTTCACTACGGAGGACGACCTGGATTTGAGCTTGTATTATCTCCGCGCCCTCTCTAATGTCCTCCGCTGGGCACCTGATGCCCTTTGGGGTGTGCTTGCGAAGGACACCATCTCGTCCAGCTCTGGTTACCCAGGCATTTACGAGATCAGTAAGTGCAACTTCCCATCCAGTTCTCTATACCGACGATGCTTACCAGTTCGCATAGCTGGCATTGAGGGTGATGTGACGTTGCAAGGGTTCTTCGTGCAGGTCTGTTTAAGGTGTATTACCTGCGACAAGATTCCCGAGGAGAGGGAACTGGGGGCCAGGACAGCGCAGCTTTACCGCTGCGCTCTGACAGTTCTGCATCAAATCCTGCTGAATCCGTTCGCTGAACGACTTTCGGGCTTGCACCTCGAAGTTCCGCTTATCGAAAGGCTGGCCCAGTCACTCGAAGGACCGGATCCGTACGTTCAGGTCTTGTTACTCGATGTCGTGTTCGCTTCCCTCAAGCTTCGCGAGGCTGCCCGAGTCGAACTTCCATCATCGCCAATCAATGACAAGCGTCCGATGAGTCTTGAACAGACCAAGACCAGGCTCTCCCTGTCAGGGGAGGAGCCGCCGAGCATAAATCCCCCTCCGCCGTCGCTGCTCAAATGCATCCAAGCTGGGCTGAGTTCTCCGAGCAGTGGGCCGGTTTTGGATAGTTGGGTCAGCTTCCTGACTGAATGCCTTCCGCTTTACTCGGATTCCATATTCCAAGTCCTCATTCCGCTTGTCGAGACACTCTGTAGGCAGGTGGGGAGCGCATTCACCGACCTTCAGAACATCTTCCGAGATCCAAGTCAAGTCCAGGGCGATGCGGTGCATGCGCCTGAGACGACGCTCATCTCGTTGCTGAACGGACTCGAGCAAATTCTGGCCAAAGGACACGACAGGCTACTGGCTGAAGAGGCCAGAGCCCAGGTTGTCAAGAGTCCAGACCAACCTCAGAGTTTCTTTGGTAACATGGTGTCGGGCGTCTTCTCATCAGACGTGCCCCAATCTAGGAGTGTGACGGCCAACGACAGGCTCACCGTTCTCCTTGCCTTCCAGGACGCCGTTCGCATCTGCTTCAGGATCTGGTCTTGGGGCCAGGGAAGCGATGCCGCTGTGCAGGACCCGAAATCTGCAGCGTCGTTCAGCTACACTTCTCTGCGAATGAGGAATCGCGCTCGACGACTCCTGGAGCACCTCTTTGCTGCAGAGACACTGGAGTGCTTGGAAACCGTTATCGGGATATGGCGGAGTTCCCTGGACGAGTCGGATTCTTCCAAGCACCTCGAGGTCTTCAACCTCCTGCCAGCCCTGGATGGCTCGAGGCCGAAGCACACTATCCCGGCCCTGTTTAATGCCCTCTACAGCAGGACGAACCCGGGCGCGTTGGAACCGTCGAGAAGGTCCACCCTGACGATCGAGATCCAGGACGCCGACGTTGTCATCTTCCTCGTGGACTATGCTCGCTCCTTGGAGGACGATGCGATGGACGAGATCTGGCAAGATTGCATGTCATTCCTAAGGGACCTGCTGGGCAACCCCTTTCCACACCGGCAAACCCTACCTAGTCTGCTGGAGTTCGCCGCCATCCTTGGGGAGAAGGTCGACAACACAAACTTTGGCGAGCAGCGGAAGATGCGGCGCGAGCTGGCAGTAAGTCCCTATTTCACCACGCCCTTCGCGACTACTCCTGTGCTAACCATGTTAACTACAGGACCTATTCATCCGCCTTCTCACTGCTATCTTTACAACGCGGCCCAACATCGCAGAGCCTTCCAGCGCGTTGGCACAGACCGAAAAGTGGCAGGGTGACTTATCCCACCAGCCACAATCGTCTGCGAGGGCGCCAGCTGGACGGACCGACGATGTAGTCGGGATTCTCTCCTCCATCGTCCCAGACCTTCCCAAAATCCTGGTAGAATCAGACCGTGTCCTCACTGCTGCCGCAGCGATATCGACTAACGTCATCGCGCCAATGTTCCGCTCAAAGACCTTCCCGGACAGCGTCTCCAAGGGCACCCTGATCCTACTCCAGGAGCTGTCGAGGCTTCCGAACAACCAGAAGTCGTGGAAGAAGGACGTCGGAGATGCCTTCAACGACGCCCGCTTCTTCGGCTCGAGTCTCGGCCAGGTCCGCCACGACTGGCTCCCGCTGCTCCGGCAGTGGACGCTGAGCGACAAGGAGCGGATGCCCGAGATACTCGGCCGCATGACGCCCCCCACGACCGCCGGGATCGTCTTCGGGGTGGGGGCAACCTCTGCGCGGCTCGAGGCCGACAGGAGGACGCAGCTCAACCTCCGCCGGATAGCGACCCTGATCCTTGCAGCCGCCGACGACACGTTTGTCACCGATCTGCCAGGCATACTTGAGAAGTTGGTGGAACTAATTGGTGCTACCTCCACGTCGTCCCCTTCGTCGACGACGCGTGCCGAGGTCTACATGGTCATCCGCGCACTGGTGCTCAAGACCAGCACAATCCACCTCGCACCCCTGTGGCCGGTAGTCAACGCCGAGCTGCACGCGGCCATATCGTCGGTCGTCTCGCCGGACCACAGCGCCGCCTCGGAGACGTACACCAACCCCTCGGTCCTGCAGGCCTGCAAGCTTCTGGACCTGCTCGTCTGCATGGCCCCGGACGACTTCCAGCTGCACGAATGGCTCTTCGTCACGGACACCATCGACGCCGTGTACCGGCCGCCGACCTACCAGCCCGTGGCGCTGGTGGACGAGATATCGGAGGAGCTGGGCTCCGCCATGGTCGGGCACGGCGCCACCGGCGCCCAGGCCGAGTCGGCCGTGGCGGTCGACGCGATGGGGTCGAGCAGGCGGCCGCTCATTGGGCCGGGGGGCATCAGCGACGAGGTGGGGCTGGAGCGGAGGGACGAGCTCGTCGCCAAGATTCTGAGGCCCTTCTTCGGCCAGCTGAGCATCTTCGCCTTCGAGTCCGTCTATGCCATGGGCTCGATCGACCGGGAAGGGTATGCCATGGGGCTCCTGAAGGACCTCTTTGACGAGAGGACCATCATCAAGGCGTTGTAATTGTAATTGTAGGATGGGCGTCCGTAGAGAAGGGAAAAGAGACAACATGATAGAAAGTAAAAAATTAAGAGTCCTCTCTGGCTTGCTTGGGTGCTGCTGCTGCTGCTGATGATGATGGTGACTGGATCCCCCGCCCCCCCAGAAGCGATCAACTATCCTTCCACCTCGCGACTCTCGGGCACGTAGGCCACCATCGCCTTGCTGGCCCCCTCCATGCAGTACTGCACGACCTCCACCTTGCCACCGGGGGGCGCCAGCTTCGCGATCTGGCGCAGGTCGCTCGTCCGGGGCAGGTACAGCGCGTGCTCCACGGGGCGGCAGGCGCGGTAGATCGTTTCCATGTCGTAGGGCTGCATGGTGGCGAGGTCGAAGACGTCCTGGAGGCGGTAATCCACGCCGCCCCAGGGCGGGGAGGCGAAGACGGTGGTGGAGGCCCGGTCGAGGCGCAGGTCCGGGTCCAGGTCTCCGTCTCCGTCGGCGTCGGTACCCAGGGCCTGGGCGAGGTAGTCGAAGCAGTCGCCGAGGACCCAGACGACGCTGTCGGCGGGGACGCCGTGGGCGGCGGCGTTGTGCTGCGCGCAGGCCAGGGTGGGGGCGTCGCGCTCCACGGCGATGATGCGCTCCCACCGGCCTGACAGCGCGAAGGCTATGACGTTGCCGCCGGCGCCGGCGAAGAGGTCTACTAGGGTCGTCTTGGTGGGCGCGGAGAGGGCGCCGAGGTCTTGCGCGATGCGGCTGCGGGGCGGTTGTGAGAACTTGGGTGTGTTTGGGTGGGGGAGGTGGTTATCTTACGTAGCTACAGGCTCGGGGGTTACCCCAAACCATGCATCGTCGGTGAGGTAGATGTCATCGTCATAGCAGGAGAAGATTGAATATCGCTGATGCCAGTACCTGGGGGTGAAATCTGTTACCAGTCTGAACTCGGGGCAGGGGGAAAAGCCATATTCTTTCTTACTTCTGAATGTCCCAGGGGACCTCGTCTCGGGTGTAGTAGTGGTGGCACTCGCTGGTGAGGGGGAGCTGGCCAACCTTTTTTACCCCCATGGTTGCACAAGGTTACAACCGTTAACTGGGCCGCGACAGATACTTGACCAGAAACAAGCACCTCTACGACAGCAGAGCTAGATGAGCGGTCGTCTCTAGTGAGATAAAAAGGTGGGATGGGGTTAAATATGGGGTACCTGAACTAGTGCGGGAGCTTGGGCCACTCTGCAGCCCTGCCAGCCTGCATACCAAGCTTGAGGCTGGGACTCTAATGACAGCGTTGCTTCAACCACGACCAGGTGTTGCAAAACATGACCATACACGCCCAATAACACACAAAATCCGAACATTCCCAGCACTGCACATACGCAAGACGATGTTCAACGCCCTCAACCGCTTCATATCCCGCCTCGACGGGGATGCGCCTTCCCACAGGGAGAGCCATGGCGCATTCGGATTCCAGGTCCTGCGCAACGAGAACCTCCAGCTGGGCATTGAGCCGTGGTTCGACTTCATTGTGGGGATCAACGGCCGCATGATTGCAAGTGGACTCCGCCCCTGTTCTCCTGCCACGCATGCCATCCGGCTGTGCTAACCCGCCGTTCAGGATGACTCGGATCCGCGGCTCTTCTCGCAGGAGGTCCGGAATTGCGCCGGCGGCTCTGTCACGCTGGGTCTCTGGAGTGCCAAGGTCGGTGTGCCCCCCCGATCACGTCCTAGCGATACCGGGTAGCACAGAAGTCTAAGATTTATTTTCCTCTTGCAGGGCCAACGGACAAGAACGATGCACATCCCCGTCCCCGCAGACACCGGCTCGATAGGGCTGACCTTACAGTGGACCCACTTGTCCGTCGCCTCCAACATCTGGCACGTCCTCGACGTTGCCGCCAACTCTCCAGCGGATATAGGAGGCCTGCTCCCGTACAGCGACTACATCCTCGGCACCCCGGAGGGCGTCTTACACGGGGAGAGCGGCCTCAGCGAGCTGGTGGAGGACCACATCGGCAGGCCGCTGCGGCTATACGTCTACAACAACGAATACGACGTCACCCGAGAAGTCACCATCCAGCCGAGCCGGGACTGGGGCGGCGAAGGAGCCCTGGGCTGCGTCCTGGGATACGGCGCCCTCCACCGGCTGCCCGCACCCCTGAGCGAGCCCGTGTCGGCGCCCGGCGAGACCCTCTTCGACGGCGAGCCCGACGACACGACGACGGCGCAGGCGCAGTTCGCCCCCGCACTAGGCCCATCGGAAGCCTCCAGCACATTCGTCCCGGCAGCGGCAGCCTCGCCGTCCGGCGACTTCCTCGTCCCGGCGCAGATGGTGGGCGCTGCGCCTGCCGGCGGCCCGGCTCCGGGCCCGGGTCGGGGCAAGAAGAAGGATAGGCATGAGAGGCACGGACACAGCCCCAATCGGCTGATGGACGACTATTTCAAGGAGGAGGAGCAGAAGAGCAAGGAGCTGGACCACGCTCCCGGCGGCGACAGTGGTCGGCATACGCCCGTTGCCCCTCCTCCCAAGGCAGGCGGACCTCCAAAGGCCGGTGGTCCTCCAAAGGGGCCGCCCAAGGCAGCAGAAGACAAGGCGAAATCAGAAGATGAGGACGGCGGGGATGGCGGGGATTAGGTAAACCATCTGCTTATCATGGCTCTAGCAAATACTAGCAACTCTTTTCGTCGCGGACTGCTGAATACCCGCAGCTTCTCGCGTACCTTGCCGGTTCAGCTCCTTTTTGACTTGCTTTCCCTTTCGTACGCTTCCGAACGCCTATATATGTATACAAGATCGTCCCCATGAGTACGACGGAGGACCCATTTCCCTCACCAGTATCGTCATCGGCAGGCGTCACCTTGGCCTGGCTCAATTGATGAAGTTGATGCAGAAGAAGTGCAGGATCAGGCTGCACACAATGTAATCCGCGAATGCTCTAGAACAGCAGTCAGCAAGCCTGCCTTGTCATGGGTTTAGGCGCGAGGAAGACGAGCGTACCTCTCCGGGGACACTGCTGGGAAGTCAGACTTGTTCGCTTCGGTCGTCTGGATTCGTAGGGAGGCTAGTTGCGGAAGGGGGCGGAGACCGCTGAAGTCAGTGATTGCGCGGTCCGAAAACGGGGGAGACAGTGGAATCAATGGGGCTTCATACCAGTCAACACAAACTGCCCGACCGTGGAGGAGAAGCCGGAGAGGAAGGCATTGAAGGGCTGTTGAGCGTGTCAGTGGTTGGTCTGGTGAGCCTGGCTCCCGCTGGGGCGGTTCGGGGACTCACATAGTTGCCCGCCAGGACGCAGTAGGCGAATTGCAACGCGCCGGCGACGACGAGGAAGGCCATGAAGGCATCGATGAGCTTGGTCCGCTGCGGGGTTGTGTCAAGGTAGTGGTCTACGATATTGGTCACCACCGAGCTGTAGTTCTGGTTTGCCGTCGTCTTCTGGGCCTTTAGGACGGGCGCAGGAGTCGTGCCAGCGGTAGCTACACCGGCTTGCGTGGTCGCAGGTGTCGACGTGGTGCCGTCTCGCGCATTTGCTCGTTTGGGCGCCATTGTTAGAGTTTGTGGGCGTTGTTTGGTTGCAACAGTGACAGTTCTTGTCACATTGCCCTAGCTCGTTCAAATGGTCAAGCCAGCTCTCAAACGGACACGCAGCTTGATGGGAAGATGACGCACGGGCCAGGGATATCAATCGGACTTGGCTTGGTACGTACCAGCACTGGGCTAGGAAACGGCGAGTAATATGATTGGCCAAAACTGACGCACTAAATTCTGGGCACATGATTGGATAAACAGCTTCAACCCTCCCTCCCAGTTCAAGAACATCAACTTCATTCAACCTCACCCATCTTCCCATTCTTTAGCATTATGCGAGCTGTAATATGAGATGGGAGTTTTTGTCCTTTGAATCTCTAAGATAGGTTTGCTTGAGACCTTGAATTGAGCAAAGCCTAGCTTGTTGACTATCTGTACCATTTGCTTCTACGATTCCCTCACTAGTCTAGAGCAGTGAACATGTTCCAGGTACGTCGAAACCACAAAGATACTCTTATCTCTTGTTTTTCTTCGGATCAGCGATATCTGTACTGCTCTCATCTGTCCGACTGCTGATTTACATGGCCGGACAGGCTCTTCAACCCCATCCGGAGGACTACCTCCATCTTCGGCTTCACCGAGCTCGGTCAGTCGTTCTGACCAGTAATGAGTAAGTAAGAAAGGATTTATACCTTGGCTTACTATTTCACCAATTACTCTCACTCTGGTGGTTTTTCCCATGCAATTGAGAATCTAGAAACCCGCCTCTTGGATGATTGGCGCGCTCAGTGCTCCCACCTGGAGGCGCCACATTCATGCCTTGTGCGCTTCCCCGCAATCCATATGGCCTACTTCGTGTTTCCCACCCTTCTCGGGTGCTCTATCGAGTGCACCACATCAGTCAGAGAGGCCCTTCCTATTAAGTGATAGAATGGCCCGCTAGGCGATCCCCAAAAGGGCATACCGGATGGGTCCTGATGTTGACGATGCTGCACTTCGGTCGCACTGGCATCCCCCTCCTGCGTGTTGCCGCACCAAATCAGGCAATTTTCTTCTTCCCCTCCTTCCCCCCCTTCCCAGCCCCTCAGGCCCTCCCCGACAAGCACAACCTTGCTCACACAAGGGGGGACGCGGGGGACCACCCGCCTTCCCCGCTTCACCAGACTCACCGAGATCCGCGCCGCCCAGCGAACCTTCGAGGGGGCGTACATGCGGACGGCCATAAGCCAGTTCTCGTTTGCACTCATCATCCTCCGCATCTTCACGTCCGAGTTCTACCCCATCGGCGCCCTCTTCGCCGCCTACGGCGCCACCATCATCCTCGTCGCCATCTACCGCCGCTCCGAGGGCAACCGCCAGTTCTTCGACCTCGAGGAGACCCGGGAAGGGTCGTCCCCCGAGGACGGCGACCGCGACGGCGGCGGCAGCGGCGGCGACGAGGAGGAGGAAGAGGAGGGCCGCCACCGCAGCCGCGACCGCCGGCCGCCCGGCAACGGCGGCAACGGCCACGCCTCCAGCCGCTCCTCCGCGTACGCCCGCAACATCCGCCGCCACTCCGTCGTGATCAAGAAGTTCCGCACTAGCGGCAACAGCGTGGCCATGCTGACGGTGCTGAGCCTGGGGGCTTACATCTGTCTGACGGTGCTGATCTGGAGGCTGAAGTAGGGGGGTTTTTACTCTGTACGTAAGCACGTACCGTACCTGTGCTTGGGTGGGGAGGAAGGGCACGCGGAAGGTTGACCCCAACCCAGCCGTGTTCCCCCCCACCAACCCCGGACGGCTTGCAGGGTCCCGGCATTTACGAACGCAACAAGACCTTTTTGGCTCTCTCGCGCGCCCCTCCCGGAGCGGGGTTCCCCCCCGCCCCCCTCGGCTGCACGCAGCACGCACGCCCCTGTTGGGCTCTCTCCAGGGTAACCTTTGCCGCGCGCCCCCCCCCCCCCCCTTTCCCCAAACACCTTGGCCTTGGGTTTTGTGGTTTGCACCTGGCATGGCGGTCTAGGGGCTAGTGCGTGGACGTGAATGCCATGCCGTGCAAAGCGTGTTGGGCTCACAACCGCGACCCAGCCCCCCCAGTTCGCCCCCAACTCTCCGGGGCATAGGGTAGGGCAATGCAAGGAAAACTGCGGGAAGGAGGAACGACGAAGGTCTGGGGTACATACATGCAGCGCCAGCCAGCCAGCCAGCCAGCCCGTCAATCAGCTCCCATGCCGCTCCTCTTGCTTTCTCGCGGCCATTGGCGTGGGGGGGCGGCCAAGGGTTGGGGGGTGGAACGTCTAGACTGTTTACACATTAGCTTCGCTGCCCGCGTGCGTTGGGCCACTATATGCGGCCTGCTGGGATGGCTCGCGATAGGCGGTGTACCCCTCTCCTATTATACAAGGCATGGCTGTTGAAATGATGCATGTGCTATGTGGCACATATGATGGGCATGTGACCAGAGGCTGGATGTGGGAAACCCAACTACATGTTTGTATATAAAAAGAGAGTATGAGGCATGGCTTGCTCTAGAGATAATTCAGGCCGACTAGCTGGATACATACCCTCAATTCCTCCTTTCCCGTCCTCATTCCATGCCGGTCACACCACATACAGTGGCACGCACCATCCTTCCGACAAGCCACGAGAGAAAACGGTCGTCCAAGCAAGCTTTAAAATACCACGCGCATTCCAGAGAGCTCATCAGCACGGAAAGAATGACATCCATAGATACAGTCTGCCGAACCTAAAAGTACAGCTGTGTTAAGCTCGAATATGACAAGAAAGAAGGAAAGGAAAAGATGAAGCAACGACGTTACATGGCGAAAGACAACACCGGCCCAAACATGAACTACCTATCTCCCTTCCTTAAATTTTTTTTTTCGAACTTCCTCTTTTCTTTCAATGTTTTTTTGGAGCCCCCGACCCAAGCCAAAACGAACGAACCCCCATGGAGATTTCTTGCCCATAGAAACCCGCGGGAAAAAGAAAAATCTCGACGACATGAAACGGAGATGAATGCAGAGACGGTCCCATGTAGATGATCTCTCAAAGCCCCTTTTAGTTATTTTCCAGCCCCCATTCCCAGATATGCAGTTTTTTGTTGAAACCCCCCCCCACCCTTTTTGCAAACCAGCATCCAACCGTTTGGATAGCCGCCTCCCCCGTGGACCCAAGGTGTACAGCATCTCTGTGGTGTAACTCGGGGAGGGGAGGAGGAGGGGGGGTCCGGACCCAAGGCGTCTTCCTTTTTCGTTTTTGGGAATCTCACACCTCCCATGCCGCCGACCGACCGACCGGCCATCCCGACCCGACCCGTCCCGTGCCGTTCCTCTAAAACCCGCCCATCTCTAGCCCAACGAGCCCGCCCATGCATGTTGTAAGGCGCAACCTGCCGAACCGCCTGCCGAAGTGACGAAAATGGAAATGATGGAGAAGAAAACTCCATATGCCGCCGCCCGAATCAAACCTTGTATCCCCGTATATAGGTAAATGCATGCAGGCCGTTCCCGACAAAAAAAAAACCCGAAACCGGACCCATTCCCATAATAGTTGCTGCAGGAATCGGGTGAACCATGGCGGTGGGCACGAGGACCCCGTCCGCCCTCTTTTTCTGTTGTTTGTCTCCATTTATCGTCTCTTGGTTGTCGTCCGGTGCTCCAGATTACTATGTATTGACTTGTATACTTAGTTCCCCCACACCCGCACCTCCAGACCCACAGCCTAGTTTCAACGTTGTCGAGGCTAAGAACCAAGCGACCGATGGTTCGCACTTGGACGAGAATCTCCGAGAATCCCGGGGGTAGGTTACTACTCTCGGCCGCCGTCCTGGTTTCCAGTCCGAATCCGGTCCAAGTCGGGGTCGCAACAACCCCGGCATCGAAGGTTGATGGCGATAATCGATCATATCCGAAGCGAGGTAAAGCGCGAATCAATTCCGTACCGTGAAAGCGATCATCCCCCCTCCAATCGGTGACGACGATCAACTGGGCTAGACTCTATAGGACCTGGTATCGACCTGGCCGCCAAATTATGGAAATTCGATTCTGCGCACTTCAACTCCAAAACAGTGTTTCTTTTCTTTTCAAGAAAAAAAAACGGGAATCCGCCGGGGATCCTAGGAAGCTGAACGATGATCTCCTTTCGCTCCGGGCGACAGCCGAGATCTCGTGGCACACTCCGCGTCGCAAATCCCCCAATTCGGTTGAGGAAAGCGTTGCGCACAGGCTTGCGCTCCCCCCATTCAGGAAATCCCACCAATGCAGTCTTCTCCCAATTCGTCCTGGCGCTTTGACATTGGAGCGAATACGGTCGAAGTTGTTGGGCATATATATGTATCCTCTCTGCTGCTGCACTGGATTGGGAGAAAGTTGGCCGAGTCCACGAAAAGCTCGGTTTCCCGTGTAGCTTCGCTTCAAATAGCTTTGTGTGTGAACGCTCCAGTTGTTGCCGTCGCGCTTCAATTCGCCGCCCCAATGCGCAAGGGCCGACGGTGAGCGCGAGACCGGGGGTGTACACAAGCTCTTTTAATTTCCTGTCCGCCGGAGTAGTTAACCTCCGGAGATTCAGGTTCGACGGGCCGGCCGGCTGGCGCGCCATCTCGGGCCTCATCGCTCGGCATAATACATGCTGGATCCGGGTGGAGGATGTTCATTCGGGTGGTGAACCTGCGGTTGGTGTGCCCCCTGATCCCCATACCATCCTCCATAGCTGTCGCCGGGCTTCCCATAAGGGTACGGTTGTTGCCACGTCTCATAGCTCGGCGGCGGGGCAGCTCCTGCCGACAGGGAGACGTGGTGGTCCATCGCAGTCCCCGAGATTGTCTCGACTCCAGGGATTGTCGTCGAGTTCGGGGGCTGGTACATGTCGGACGGCACGGAGCCCGACTTGCGATCGTACGGCCGACCCGAGTGGGGGCCTACCTGCGAGATGGGCGGATATTGCTGGGGGTGGCTTGTCATGCTCTCGGCTCCAAAAGACAGGGACCGAGTGGGCGGTGCCGAGTACGGAGACCAGTGCATGTCTTCCCGGGACGACGGTTCGGCGCTGACCGGCGTCGTCCATGTCGCCGACGGTGGCGGGGCATGCGGCGTGTAGGGAGAGAAGGCCGGGGTTATTGGCGATTCGGTCGGATAGGATCTCCAGGTCGCATTCAAGTCCCCGGGCTTGGACGAGTTGGGGTTGGCGTCTGGAGACATCCAGTTCGTCATACCGGCGTGTCCGTAATCGAAGTTTCGGGCGCCGGAAGCGCCTGATGGCACTTTTGGAATGCTCAGCCACTAGGAGAGGAAAGGGGGCAAGGCGGGAAGGGAGAACCCGTGTCAGGAATTGACTTACTCTTTGCTTCGGGGGGGAAGCTCTCTGACCCCGGCGGCTTCATCGGCGGCGCCATGTTCTGGATCGACGGCATCGTCAGTTGCGGATAGGGCTGCTGTCCGTGCATGTCTGATGGGAGTCCGCTCTGCATCGCCGGTGAGGACGAAGCGGAGGCGATCTTGGGGCCAACCGACGATCGCGACGCCGACTTTTGTCTCGTGTCTTGAGGCGGCTGCTGGTCCACCGGGTAGAAGCTGCATTCTTTCTTCAGGCGGATGCAGTTGACGCAGCGCCCCTGGACATCTGCAGGCGATGGTATGCACCGGATTTTGCGTCGGCGACAGTGGCCTTTTCAAAGTCAAACGTTAGTTAACCGCCCGGAATGCGCCATGAGAACGGCCGGAGGACTGCGCTCTACGCGCCCCAGACGGATTACGGATCACTTACCACAAGCGACGGATGTTCGATGATAGCCCAGCTTGTTCCTCCTCTTTTCTGCGAGATTGAACTGGTTCTGTTCCTGTGCAGTGGGCTGTGGCGGTTGCGGCGGCGGTTGCGGCGGCTGCGCCTGCGGTGGCCGGACGTTCGGGGTCGACAGGGACCGTTTTATCTTCATGGCCTTGGACATGGAGTCTCGGCGCTCCCTATGGGGGAGGCTCGAGTCGGGACTTGGTCTCATGTCCATTGCAGAATGTGCTGATGGAGACACTTGGTAGTATCCGGAAGGAGGCATTTCCATGTCGGCGCCATTTTGAGGTGGTGGCGGGTATTGATATGACATTATGTCTGTCATGGGTTCTGGTGATTCGGCAGGATATATAGCGGAGTCGCTAGATCCCCAGGAGCCCAGGTTCGATTTGAAGGGTAGTGGAGCAACGACGGCCATGAACAGCTCTCTTGACGGGTCGGGGGGCTGACGGGCTAGGTTGTATGAGAGAAAGAGATAGAGAGGGATTTCGGCGCCAGGCAAGAAGATGGTAGCGAGAGCGCGTATTGGATATTACAAACGGGCCGGCGGAGTAAGACCTTGGTTGACTATGGTCCAGGGCTTGGTGATGTGGTGGGGGGGGTGTGTGGAGGGATGCTGTTCCTTGACACACAGGAGGGCCTTATGGCATTAGTTTTATGTTATGGGGTGCCCTGGCGTTGTTTCTCCTGTTGTTTCTGGTTCGGCTGGGGACCGGAGGGCGATAATGACGGCAATGACGGTGATGATCGCAAGGACCAGAGTGAGCAACAGGCTGGGTCCGGGCAATGAGGGCCTGGCAGCGGGAGGTCGTTCGCAGGAGATGCAGTGCAAGAAAGCGGGTAGCAATCAACGGGCTAGCCAATGACGGGTGCTGGGCGACCAGTGGTTTGCGGCGATGGGGCAAAGGAGGAAGCAAGCAATCTGACTGGTGATTGAAGAGGATACACCAATACACTCCCGGGTCTGGGTTTTGGTGGCAGCTCTTCCCTAAAAAGGCTTGAGCAGACACGGCAGGAGGGGTCCCAGCTCGGGCTGGCTGGAATGGGGTGCGCCGCTGGTCAACGGTGGTCGGGGGACGGGAAGACTGGGGAACCCCAACCTCCAAGGAGAGGAGGCCTGGAGGTGTTCGACAAGTGTGGGAACAGCACTGACACCCCTTCGGCGCATCGACACCCGGGCTCGATCCTCGGTTTTTTTTTTGGCACCCTGACTTAGTCCAAAAGTGGGAGACAAGGGATCCCACAGTTGCAATTTTTGGAACCCTGGCCGTGCAGTTTTCCGGGCCTAGGACGGGAGACGGCGCAGGCGGCGCAGCGGGGGGCGGCTTCGGCCGTTTGTTGGCGGCTGGTTCCCGCAAGCTTATATCGAATGGTCCAAGGCGAAGAAGCTTGGACTTGGTCGAGTCTAAGATGATTGTGTGCGAGAAAGGAGGAAGAGGGGACGCGAGCGAGAGGGAGCGAGAGAGGGGGACAGAGAGAAATAAGTGTGAATGGGCTTGCACGTGGATGAATGTTGGATGTGTGTGTGTGAGAAGGCGAGAAGGCGAGAGAGCGAGTGGGCGAGTGGACGAGCGAGTGTGCGTGTGTGTGTGTGTGTGTGTGTGTGTGTGTGTGTGTATGTGCACGCTCAGTATACGTTGTTGAGTTATGGGCGTGGGTGTGCGAATGCGTCCAAGTCGGCGAGTGGTAACGAGTGGTAATGAGTGGTGGTAATGAGTGTATGAGTGAGAACCAAAGAAGATGGCGTTCCAAAAGGTTGGCTGGGTCCACCCCGTCGTTTTAAGGCTTGGGGTACTATTACTGAATTGCGGGATCAGCGCAAGCTTTCAGAGCCGCCCACGCAGGCTGGTTCTCAACCTCTCTGGGTTTTGTTTTATAATTTTTTTTAAACCTTCCAAGGGTCAGGGGAGGGTGAAGAGGGGGGAAAGGGGGGCCGTTGGACAATCCTACCAGAGACACTCAACAACGAATGGCGGCGACGATGACGAGAATGGCTTCGCGCCACAATGCCGGTGTTTTGGCCGGGGTGCTCAGATCTGAGTCCGCGCTAGGGACGGTCCACACACGCATCAAGCTTCCTCTAACAGAACTGACTGACAGGGTGAGTCGGGGCCACAATTGTATCTTCCTTGCTTTGTTGAATCCCAGTCTGCCAGGGCTCCCAGGGCTCGTGCTGGTTCGGGACGTCGCGACAATGCGAACGGTGGAAGGGGAGGGGTGGAAGGGGTCTGTCTGGAAGGACAAAAATGTTGGGTCCCGGGAAGTTCCAAGGACCAGTGCAGGACGGTCAAGGGTTTCTAAGCGAGAAAAAGGAAAGGGAAGAAGCGGCGATGGGATATCAGAGAAGGCGCGGTTTATATTGAGCTCACAGCAAGCAGGAAGCAAGCAGGAAGGTGGTAGATCTGTGGATCTCAGCAGACAACCTACGCATAGACAACTGCAGAGAGGCGGCGCTCCATGTATCAATTGGAAGTGGGAAGGAGAGGAAAAAGAGAGGCAGAGTGTGCACGTAAGAGCATATATTAGTCCCTGTTTCGCCGTACTTTCATATATGGCTGTATTGTTTCTTTTCTGGCAGACACTTTGCAACTTGGAAGAAGATCCCGACAGCTGGACCAGTCTGGCCGAGCGAAATTGGGGAACTGCAGTCCTCTTGCGCCTTCCAAGCAAATCGATCATGGATGGACCCAATGGCTAACTTGGAAAAATGGCATTTAGGAAACTTGGCCAATTCATCCTTTCACCGTTGCCCAAAGCTGAAACGCCGTTCCCCAGTGCGAAGCCTTGTCAGAATCAGACTCGGATTTTCTTCCTTTGCTTCCACGACCCTCCATGCTAGTCAAGAAATCATACTAAATAGGAGGATTAACCGATCTGATATGCAACAGGCATCCCTGGATGCTATCTATCCCCTTTCACCCAGATGGTGTGGAGTAGCGCCGACCCTTTGGAGGTACCCGTTCTGTACCCCAATTTTTCCTATAATAGCCAGCAAGTACCACGTCTGTGCTCTAATTGTCCACACCGCTAGGCGGGCGCGCGGGGTGGGTACCTGAGCGCCAAGCCAGGAGTACCTGGTGTCTCAGGTTCAAAATAGTACGGTTGGGCGGGTATACTCGACCAAACTTAGCTGACAGTGCTCTTACATGTGCACACCTCTGATGCAGTGTACATACCTACCTAGACACGAACAGACCCCGACTCGGCCCCATCGTTCCTCCTGGGGAGAGCAAAGCATGGCTGGTTCTGCGACGCCGTCGCCCCGGCTCGCCATCCTCATGCGCATGTAATGCAGTCCCGGCCGGGAAGGAGGAGGATCATGGAAGGACCTTCTCCGCTAGGGCACGGAAAGTCGATCTCTTCACGAACGCTGCGGAGAATGGTGGAGATGGTGCCAGGTGGAGATGGCTGGGTAGGCAGGTATTGCCCAAGCCAGCCGGCGAGTACCTGCAAGAGCCCCAGACTGTAGACTAGGACTGGAGAGGCCGGGGGGGGAATAGCCGCAGGTTAATCGGGAGAGCAGCATGCATGTTGTCGAGAACGACCTGGGCTGGAAGCAGGGTTCATGGGCGCTATCCAGAGTAGGAGCTTGGGTCCAGAGCGCGTAGTAGTAGAAAAAAAACACAGGACCCTGTCCCAATTCATGACGTGGTTCAATCTGTAGAGTACTCGAACAGATCCGGTAATTAAGGCACCAGGCACAAATCCCCATCGAGACTGGTCTACCCACTACGCTGCAGTTGGAGAAGGATCGCATCATTTTCTCTTTTCAGTCGCCAACTCCTTTTCCCCCATCTCGCAGCTTGGTTCTCGAGCTTTGAAAGCCAGTATCGGCCACTGCCCGTGAGTCCTTGGCAGTGTTGTCAGTGTTGGCATAGATTGGAGTCGGCATTCCCCGACGATATGCGCATGAGCTTCCAGAAGCTGATCGACAGAGATAGGTAGGGGGAGCGCGCCCTCACGGCATTTGTAACCTCTTAGCGCGAACCTACAACAACGCTAGGGTCGTAGTAGGATGGAAGGCAGATGGGAAACAGGACAAGGGCCTGGGTACCTTGCAGCCAGGGGTCGGGGGCCCATAATCCATTGCCACATTGCCAAATTCTTGGTAGTTGCTGCCGTGCATCGGTCCCTCTCATTTCTCCCAGACCCACGCGTCGCTCGTGTACGACGCCATCTGTCGTAGTGTCGATATTGCCTATATTTGGTATCTGCGAAAAGACTCTGCGAACATCACAGATCCCTTCCCCGATCATGCGACGCTGAGGTAACCTTTGGGGCCCCACTGCCGACGCTTCGGCTCGCCGGAAAGCAGGTGCAGGGAACCTAGCCAGCGGCGCAGCCTGTTTACCTAAGGTATGTACAGTAGGTACCTTATGTTATCGATTGTTTGGGGTAATAGATCTTGTCGACAGAAAGACAACCAAATTGAAATGCAATGGTGGAGACACAATATTGCGTCGTCATGTTTGAATCCCATTCTATTTCCATTCAGCAGTAGCGCGCCGTCAGAGAGACTTCCTATGCAGGCCTGAGGTCGGATGAGGCCGACTCGGGCCCAGCATTCCGGACGCCACGAGGCCCATCCACAAGACCATCATGTATGATTTACCGATGGGAGTGCCAAAACCCGTAATGCTCTATAAAAAAAAGTGGTGTCATTGCCCGAAGCAAGAGAGATGGGACGAACTCGATCTGATCATGCGTCGACATGACGAGTGTACTGAAGCATTGCATAGTCGCCGGTCATGATTGATCTCCTCTGGGACTCAGGCCCCTAGACGACGATCGATGCAGCGAACTCTTCTAGCAACCCTTCCACAGAAGAGAGTCGCAAAAGAACAGGAAAAGAAGCAACGTACTTTCGTCTAATAAAATTAAGGTACTGGCGATCAAACCTGGATCGAGGGAGGATGGAGAATTATTCAGTCGACATCGGACGGGCATGATGCCTTTCGTCTATCTAGTCTTGATTCTCTCAGACCTCTCAAACCTCTCAGGCTGTCTTCCTGCAAAGGCAGCTGTGCGCCCTCGGCGCTCGCCGACGCTATGGCTGATGACCCAAGACCCAATCTCCAACCAAACCGGGATCAGAAATAACCACTGTGTATAGTTGAACCAGACCTCCACTGTTGACGGTTGACGGTTTGCAGAAATTTTCAACTCTGGGTGCCGTAAGGTTCACTCATGCGGTTGGCTGGGAGACGGGGGTTGGCTTTGTTTCGAACGCCTCATTCCCACGTGCTGTTTGACATCCCGATGCCGTTGTGGGTTGACCTCCAGGCTGGCTGGGAACAAGACCCAAGGGCTGGTTTTGAATAGATTAAATTTCCAGGCACCGCTGGTCTTTTGAGGTATCATCCTCTAGCCATTTGCATCCAGAACTAGCCGCAAGACGGATGAAAGTCGCACCAGCATTGAGGCATGCGGCTGGGTGTGTGATTCATATTACCCATAGCAGTCGCTGAGGCCGTGGACTACCAGCCAATCAGCATGTAGTAAGACTGGTTGCCCTGGGTCGCCCGGGGCCTCACCAGTGTTTCCAGTCAAAAATGTTCAGAAATGCGCATCTAGGTTGTTGCGGTGGCAATGAATCAAAAACTTGACATGTAGCGCACTCTATGTACAGTACAATAAGGTACAGAGGGAATATGACAGGACCAAGAGAAAAAGAAAAGAAAGGGCACGACTAGGTAGCTACAAAGCGTGGGGCGTGGGGTCGTCCCATCAGCCCTGCCATCGGAAGGGACAGCCGTTGCGCAGCTAGTGGGCCGTCGGTATCAGGTCCAGATTGAGTTTCCATCGTGCAGCGCTCCAACTTACCTAATAAGCTCCACTGCCTCCACTGCTGTTCTTTTGGTCAGCACCAGCGAGTTTCCGAATCTCCACGGCGCAACTCCAACGGCCGCAAAGATGGCAATGATGCTGTGCCCTGCATTATCAGCACGTCCCAACACTAGCAGACACCCTGGATAAGGGTCTCGGATCTCCGGAAGGATTTACTCGGCCATGTGGCAGATCTCAAGATGGACAAATCGCAACCTATCTTTCAACAGTCCCATCGTCAGGTGTGACGGCAATCACTTAATGCATCGCTATCTAGAAGCCCCACCGTCTGCTTCTGCGGGGCCCGAAACTGCGCAAGTCGACCTTTTGACACATGTCACATGGGCCACACCCAGCTTGACAATGGCCCTTTTTTGCCTCGCACTCGCATGTAAGTAAGCCCTTGGACTCTGCTTTGGAAGAGCGAAAGAGGACTTCGAGCACGAAGTCGAGGTGGATCGAGACAATGACAAGCACCTTCTATCGTGTTTGATCTTCTTTTAGCCAGAATGCCACCAGAACTGTCCCTCCACCATCTCCAGCCCCCTCTGGCCTTCGCCCGAACGCCCACATCTGGCAAAATCGGTGGCCGGCCCGGTTTTGTCAAGGGGCTTGCAGCTTTGCCTCTGGTAAAATTCTCGCCTGATTTGGCGCAGAGGACAGATCAACTCATCAGGCTGCCAGGCACCATCGTATTCAGCGCCGCAATATGGATCTGCAGCGACCTCGACCAGACTACCCTGCAGGAACACATGCCGATGCAAGCTTCCCAGGGAACTGACGCGGACATACATGCACATGGGCCGGCCAATGTTGTTCCTAGCATGGATGCCGACGCAAGCTTTTTCGGCTGCAACAAGAAATGGCCGAAAATGTCAAAAGCAATAAATAGCAATTGCATCTCAGGCGAGGATCGAGATATTGGCTACATAGCCGACCCAAGGTACAAAGGCGCTGGAAGCATTTCCCGGACCACTCGAGCCGGAGATCAGGAATTAAGAAATGTCTTATCTGGATTGTCTCGCAACTGATCGATCAGTCTCTGGAATGAGGCGCTCGGCAGACACCTATGGCCTCGGACGGTGTGGGTTCCTCCGGTCCACGTCCTCGGCACTCTGCGCCGCCGATTAAGACACCCTAGATGGGTGCCCTGGCGCCACCCGATTCATAGCCATTTTCGACAACCTTGTCTGTCCGGACGACTGGGCAACAAGACCAAAGTTTCGAATGCCGGCGAGGTGCTGCGCGGGACCTCCCGGCGATCACGGGACGTTCAGAAAAGGAACAGAGCCTCCTTCGCTGTGCTCTCCCTGCGCAGAAGCCAAACTGTTACATTGCATCCTGCCATTACATCTGTTGGGTTCCCACAATGGAACGCTGGTTGCCGTATCCATTGTTAAATGCCAGAACAGAACCCGGTGAAACGAAAGCCCAAATCACATTCCGGCCCCACCACTCTGCTCCCTCACCGAAGCCGGTGAGAGAATTGCTTATTTCAACTGTCCAAGGCACTGCGCCACCGAGTTGACCACTTTTATATCTGCCCTTATCGAGTATGCATCGAGATCTGACTCTCGCACACCGCCAGAGAATGAAAGGGGTTCAGAATTACCTGCCATCCTCCCCACGTCTGTGGCCGGGAACCCCATTGGCTGTAGCCTGGCTCACATCTCAAGCCTCTTGATAGACCAAGCTAACGACGCTGTTGAAGGCGTGTGGACGAGAGTAGTGGGCGAAGTCGACCTCAAGCATCGACGAGGACCTAAGGAGGTTCGAAAGTGGTGATGTCATGTTCAAATGACCTCGGTAGCGGCATGCCAACGCAGAGAGCCCGGTCTTGACAGCAAGTGCGCTACGATGTCGCTGACTTGGGGGTCACTGTCTTCGGCTTGGGGGTCTATCAAAATGCACTTGCTTTTTCCCACACTAGTGGTCGCATTCCGGGAGCTCAGCTTCATACGCTAACGGGGTTCCAAGGCTCCGAGCAATCATCACCATCCCCGATCTAGCGACAAGCCAAGATCAAGATCGACACGCCACCATCCTATACCCGTATACACTAACTTGCTGAACACGCATTTTGGGTTGGAGTTTGGCCGATCGGCTCGACTCCCTGGGGACTGTTAAGCGCGGTGTTTTTGTGGCGCATGCTATACAAGCTGACTGTTTTTGGCTTGGATCACAAAGTTGTGCTCAGCAGAAAGTCCAATCCCGAAGTTACTTCACGAGCAAGAGGGGAGGTCGGGTCGATATTTGAAGGCGTGGGCGGCTCCCGCGTGCAGTGTAGCTGAGCCGGAAAGCTGAGCGCCGGCCCACTACCACCTCTCTGATGTGTGATCCGACAAGGACAGCGGACCCGGGATACTGGACACTGCAGCTCCGGGACCGGCCCGCATTAGTGTTCACTAGTAGAGTGTGACGGTGTGTTGGTTTCCTTGTCACTTTCCCACATATCATTTTCGACAGATCCACAAGAGTTACAGGTCACACCGATCGTCATTCAAGTGAGACTGTGATCGAGACAGATTCTTGTCATCATAGCAAAAAAAGAAAGAAGTTGACGTTTGAGAACCCCATTCCTGCTATCCATACTCCGATATCACATCCCTGCTGGCCGCATCCCGATACACCAAAATCCCTGCTCACGATCGGCGCGCCATCACTCCCTCTCTCTTTACATCTCAGCTCGGAGCACCCCAGAAGAGGCGCTTGTGGCGGTCGCGATTTTTTTCTTTCGGTGACTCCTTGTTTTCCTTTATTTATTTTTCTCCGTCTCCTCCCGACCCCCTTCCTCTGTTTTGTCCCCCCACCTCGGGAAGGGGTGGGGGGGATGTCCCCCCACCTCGGGAAGGGGTGGGGGGGATGTCCCCCCACCTCGGGAAGGGGTGGGGGGGAAATGGCCTAGCCTTCCGGGGATATGCTCTCAGGTCAGCTGATGCACGCATCGTGGCGCTAGACGTCCAACTACGTAAGTGTCGGTGAGCCCAGACAGACAAACAGAGCCCGGCTACGGGCGTGAAATGTGATCGTGGGTTGATTTGATCCCCGAGGAGCGGGGGTGCCCCTGGTCTGTCGAGCGTCAAAGGGAAGAGCTGTGGCGCTAGCGGTCGCTCTCCTTCACCCCTGGAGCCTGGTTTGGGCCTTTTCCTTCGGCCTTGGTTGTTCGATATTTGTGGACTGTCTGTCGTGGCACCCGCTGACTCGGGCATTGGGGGTGAGTTGTTGGGTTTCGATGGCGTGGGCTGGTTCAAGGCTGTATGCTATTCTACGAGATCGTTGATAGCTACGGCCCACATAGCAGTCGATAGTATCCGTCCTCGTCTGCTCGCAACATACTTGATCCTGCCTGTAGAGTTCCTGTGGTACCGAAATTGACCATACTGCTCTCCTGTGCAAGCGTCACTTGAGCACTGGGTAACAGAACTTGAAAGATTGCTAGCTGTACTGGACGCCCCCCAAGGTACGGACGGGTATTGCTATAGACCAACGACCCCTAAAAGTCCGCTCAATATTCCCCGTGGAAGCAATATTCCTGTATTCTTTTCGCGCCTCGATGACAAAAGAAACGGAAGCCGTGTATCCCTTTGTGGATATAGGCACCGCCTTGGAGTTAGTTGCATATCGTCATTTTCCATCCCATGGGAGGAAACACAAAGGAAACCCGAATCGCTGTAGAGACCGCTTAATATCCCCAAGAAATCAAGGTTCCCGGAGTCCAAAACCAGTTCCCAAAAACCCCGTAGATCCCGATCCCGATCCCATTCCCGATTCCCAGACCCAAAACCCAGCTCCAAGCGCCCGAGGCTCCGAATCTCGCCCACTCAAGAGGTCCAGCCGGAACGGAACGGACCTCCCAAGACCGCACCATCATTAGGGAGCCCCTGAAGCAAAGCCAAAACAAAACAAAAACAAAAACCCTCCCCCCAGAATTACCCCGCCCCCCAACCAACCTCTCTCTCTCTCTCTCTCTCTCTCTCAACCGAACGAGTACGCAGGCGGCACGCAGATGGCGCCGCCGGCGTGGCCGACCTCGGCATCGTCGTCCTCGTGGGAGGGCGAGGCGGGCACGGTGGCGACCGACTTGCCGGCCGAGACGTAGGCCTCGTCGAGGAAGGCGACGAGGGCGTCGACGTCCTTTCGCGTGCTCATCGCTCCTAGGGATGCCCTTACGACGCTGCGGGTTTTCTTGTTAGCTCGTCTTTTTTTCTTCTCCCTCTTCCGAGGGTGAGGGAGGGAGAAACAGGGGGGGGGGGGGTGGAGCAGAGAGGAGGAGGGTTGAAGAGGAGAGGAGTTGGAGGGGGGAGACAACTTACCCCGTGGGTAGCTGATGGATGAGGCTCAGCCCGTCGGAGCCGCAGTGGTGGCCGGCGGACCGGGCGCGGTCGAGCTCCCAGGGCTCGTATTGCAGGGCTGCGAATAAGCCGCCAGGGCAGCAGATACCTGGGCCGGAGAGAGTGAGTCAGCAAGGCTGTGCCGGGTTACTAGACTTGTGGGGTGGGGGTTGATTTGGGGGGGCTTACCTCCAGACCGGATGTAGATGCCGTGGTCGTTTGCCGCCTTCTCGACGTCCGAGTAGGGCACGTAGGAGCCGTCCTCCCTGACGAGGTTGAAGGCGACGGTGGCGCCCTGGCGCAGCGGGTCGCCGAACGCGTCGTCTGCGTCCTCGCCGCCGTAGACCCGGCACGCGCGCTGGCCGTTTGCGTGCCTGAGCGAGCTCATCCCCTCGTAGAGCATGCGTGCGAGTCCCGTGGTGTGGCGCGACACGGCGGCCATGGAGCCGTACAGGCGCTGGTGGACGTCGATGGCCTCACCGAGGGCCAGGATGTTGTGGAAGGGCAGGGTGCCATCCTCGAGGGCGTCGTGCAGCGCGTAGCCCTGGCCCGCGGTCGCAACCTCGAGGCCCTTGGACTTGTGCCACGCGCCGCCGACGGCGCTCACCATGGTCACGGTTCCGCCGCCAAAGTACTTGCGCAGCGTGAGGATGTGGCCTGAGTCGCGGCGCACAACGAGGCCGCCCAGGTCCGGGAAGCCAAAGATCTTGTAGAAGGACACGCAGGCGAAGTCAGGGGCCGCGTCCGGGTCGGCGAAGACGTGTTCCATCGGGCTCGTCATGGCCAGCGCGGCCGCGTCGAGGAGGCTGTACGTGTTCTGCAGCGGCTTCGAGTCCCGCAGCTTCTTGGTCCACGACAGCGGCAGCCGCCGCCCGCTCAGGTTGGACTGGCCCGGGTACGCCAGCAGGCCCAGGCCCGTCGTGTGCCGCCGGTTGACATTGTGCCTCGCCCCGGGCCCGCCGCGCGGCTCCTCGAGCCAGCTGGCGAGGTCGCCGTCGCGCTCGAAGCAGTGGTGGTCCCCATTTGTGAGCTCGCGGACGCCGACGAGGCTTGTGTGGGACTCCTTGTGGTAGCCGTACCAGAAGGAGCGAGTCGTGGTCTTCTCCGCCAGGTCCCTGAAGGCGTCCGCCACGAGCTTGATCCCCGCCGTCGCGTTCGCGACGAAGACGAGATCGAAGTGCTTGGGGTCGGCCCCCAGGAACCGCAGCGTCTTCTCCCTCACTCCGTCCACCACCTCCCCGGACTGCTTCGCCGGCTCGTTGGCCGAGTGCGGGTTACCGTAAAGCCCCGAGCTCATCTTCCGGGCGAAACCGTCAACGGTTGACTGAGCATAGATGGTGGCCCCGCTGTGGTCGAGATAGACTCCTGGGCAACGCGTCAGGTGTCAGGTCTCTCGAGCGTGGCCAACGAAACACCACGGAGCCCACTTACCATTTCTCATATGCGGGTACTCTTCTTCCCGGAGAGCCTCTAGCGACTGGCTGTACCCCTTCGGAGGGCCCGCCACGCTCCTAAACGATACTGGGGTGACGAGGTCAGGCAACCAAGGACTTTCCCCCTAAGTTATGTCGGACGATTACTCACTCGTTCTGTGGGAGGGAGTTTGAAAAGCGTGATGGGCAACGCATAGCCTTCCTATGCTTCCTCCACCGCCAGCTCTCAGTGATGTCGGCCGCGAGATGCTTCGCCCCTGGCGTAGGAGCAGGGTGTTGTAGCGGAACATAGCTAGCGCACAATATGGAGGCAATATGGGAAGGACAAGAAGTTTGGACAACCCGACCAGCGAGGCGAATATCTTAAAAGGTTTCTTCGTACGAACCCGGGCGCGTAAACCGCGTTAAGAACCGAAGGATTACCCGGCATTAGGCATGGAATGAATAATAGTTTCCCCCCCTACTTCTGTCCCCTCCCAATGATCAGACCTGTGATCGCAGAGGGAGGGTTACTTTCGCTTTAGCGGCGGGTCATGAGGCGGTAACCTGGTACAGCCTCCATGATCTCCCTTCCAAAAAGAGGCAGCAGATGCGGAGTGGAATGCCATATCAGGTAGATGGGCGCTTGGAGCTCAAGATTATTTGAAACCTAACGAGGATCGGGTTAGGACTCACTGTCATAACAGGCTGCGGATGGTTCCCAAGGACTTCTATTCGCCTGTGTGATTGCCGCCTCGAGAACAACTTGTCATCATGCATGTAAGACACGGGACATGGTGGTGGTGTTGAGGGGGAGAGGGGCGCGGGAGACGCCGGCTGCTTCCCCGGAGACTTGGGACGTCGGTCATTGGATCACTTTGACAACCCAGGAGTAAATCAGTTTCCCTGTATAGACAGCATGTGCGGAGCCAGGATGTAACTCGACTCTGGATTCCCAGCTTTGTTGCCAAGGGCATCCCTTGATATCCGAGGGAGAGGCGTGAATGCGAGTGTCTGTTGCCTGGGCTCTTTGCGAGACCGGCCAATCCGAAGGCCCCGATACAGTAACGTAACACACCCGCATTGTGATGGAGTACGAATGGCAGCTCTTTCAGCTGCAGGACCACACTCATCCTCACCGTCCCACCCGGCCCTCGGCCCTGCGTCTGGAAACGAGCCCGCGTCAGACTACCCGCGTTGCGAGCCCGGTTTTTTGTTTTAGCAGACGCAGCCATAGGCAGGAGAAGGACCCAGTACTAAGGGTCTCATCTGGAGATCGGTCAAAGAGTAGTCTGTGTGTTCGAGTTGCATCGCATGTTGTCGAGCGACTTGGGGTTTGGGGATGGGCGCCCCTCTGCAGTTCTGCTGCGCTGGCAGCTTCAGTCTTCAGCGGGCCGGCATGCATGGAAGACCCATCCACCTCATATCTGGGCCCCTCTATTCCGCAACGGGAGCACCTGCAGGATCTCGGAGGGGGTGGTTGCGGGTTGCGATTGGTCCGACTGTTTGAGATTCGGTGCTGTCGAGGGACGGGAGACGCCCAGACTATTGCGGACGTGCGGAGTCGCTTGACAACACACCGAACCCAGGATTCGAAGGGAAGCGCACTTCGCGCGTGTTGCCGTGTTTCCCTTGTTGGCCCCCGCGTTTGATTGGCGAAGCTCGACGCCTCCATCTGGATAAACACCAGAGGAGCCGCGCTGGCACTGTCCGTATATCGGGGAATCTGGCTTCCGGCCCGTTCTGTCATATCTATCGCGACTGCGCCTCTTTTCCCTCTGTCAGCTACCACACTATTCCCCTCTGGAAGCTGTCCCACCCGACTCTGGTGCTAGGTGGCTAGCTGAGTCAGATGTTGAGAATTTTTCTGCACTATTTGTAGAGCGACGGCGAGGCAGGGAACTAGTTAGCACCAACAGGGTGATGATAAGCTCCCTCCCAGGTAATGTGACCCCATTGTTGACACATCGTTTGCAATCGTTGGAGGACTATGGGATTGTCTTGGAAATAGAATCGAATGTCATGTTAAGTCAGGGCTACAAACTGTCAAAGATCCGCGACACATTCTGCGCCCTTTGAAACGTCACCACGGCCATGGTGCCATCTAGGGAAGAAGGGGGAGCAGGAGGAGGAGGTTGTATTCCGAGAGGCTAGTGAACAGACACGAATCTGTGGGGTAGGAGCAACCCACCAAACCCTGTTGGTCCCAGGTTTGGACTTTTGACACAGGGGTCCCCACCATCTGGGCGCCTGCATATGCGTGCGTGTGTGTGTGTGTGCAGGAAATATGAGAGGGAGGGGCTAAGAGCAAACGAGCGACTTTGCTCAACAAGGTGTCGATTCCAAAAGCTGAAAAATTGAAAAATTCTCTGCGTTGTCTTACATCCTTGGAACGAAACAACCTACCTAGGTGGGCACAGTCGGTTACTAGGCAAGGTACTCGCAAGTTGATGGATACTAAGTGGAACTTGTGAGTTGATCTTCACAGGGACTAAATCCTTAGGGCCCGCTAGTCCTTGCGGTCCGCCCCATCAACTCCAACCTTATTCGGACTCGAACCCATTCCTTTCCCCCCTCGACGAGACATGGCAGGTCTAAAACTAGCTCATTGACAGTCAACCTTTGATGAGAACCTGGCGGGGAGGGATAGGCATTGCAAAAATGCTTCTATTTTATTAACAGGGTAGTAGTAGGTATCATATCTTTTGGCAATTTCCCCCCCTTGAATAAGGCAACCCCCACCAGCAATTACCCTGGCCTTCATTCGTCCACAATTCATTAATGCCATTGGTTTCCATGAAAATCTCATGTCTGGCTAGAAACAGAGTCCCCCGGTCCTGAGGGAGGTTTCCTTCCCCTTGTTTTGCTGCACGACATAGTGCCGCCGTTCAACTAGGATCCTCCATCTCGTGCAGGCTGGGAACCATCACTTGTCCTCAATCCAGGGACACCTCAATCCAGGGACACAACCTGGCCGAACACCTCGCAACGCCAAGGCAAACCGCAAAACCCGTTCTGTGGGATGGCACCAACAAAATGGATATTAGGTTGGCGAGAACCGATCCATTTCCAGCTTTGTTGTTTGTACTGTAACGGGAACGGATCAGCCCACCCACGGTTGGGTGGCGATTAGAGCAGGAACATAACCGCCGCGGCGAACGAGACGACGCCAGCCGCGCCAGTGAGCAGGCGCGCGCTAGTGCCGGCCGACGCGGTAACGGGGACCGATGGGTTGGCAGTCCCCGAGGTGCCGGTCGGGCTTGACACCGTGGTGCTGGCATTGCCGGAGCCCGAGCCCGAGCCAGAGCCCGAACCAGATCCCGAACCGGAACCGGAGCCCGAGCCCGAGCCGGTGGGGGAGGCGCCGCAGGCCGAGGTGGTCAGGTCGCCGATGCTGGACTCGGTGGTCTTCTCGAAGTTGGCGCACGAGATGCGGGTCTTGTTGGCGAAGTGGAGGACGAAGCTGCGGTTGCCGAAGAAGGACTCGGAGTCCTCGGCCGTCGACGCGAACGGGTCCAGGTACGTGACCTCGAACGGGTCCGACGTGATGGCACCGTGCTTGCCGCTCAGGTCGCCCACCTGGCAGGTCTGCGGCAGCTGCTTGTCGCAGGCAACGGTGTCGCCGCGGACGAAGGGATCCAGGTGGGCCAGAGTCGAGGTGCAGTTGCCGTCGGAAGGAACGGGGTCGACGTGGAGGTGGTACGCTGTTCCAAGGGGAGGGAGTTGGTTAGTCGTGGTGGAGAGAGATGGGGAGGGGAAAAGGGCCAGCAGGCCACTGGAAGTTTCCACTCACTGAAAGGACCACCCTCCTTGGGCAAGTTGCTGAACGTGACCTTGAACAGGACGCCGATGCCGTCGGGGTTGGCCACGGCCGCAATCGAGCCCTTGGCGTTCCCGCCGTCGGGATACGCCGCCTTCCAATTGGCAGTATCCGGAAGCTTACCAGCGTAAACGACGCCGGGGGGGTTGTTCACCACGACGGTGGCATTGCCAAGATCCTGGCGACGACTTGTTAGCATCGGAACGACAATTAGCTTGCGGTGAGGGCGGTGCGATTCTTACTCCCGTCAGAGGACTCTGGGCAGCAGCAGTGCCGATCACAACTGCAGACAGCAGGGACAGAGTAGTCGGTGCGTGCATCTTGAAGGCTGGCGTGGATGAATGAGGTTTACGTTCGGGACAGCTGTGACAGTTCTTGATTTAAGCTTGTCAGAGGGAGGGGGAGAGAGCACTGCTGAGTTTTCTCGCCAATGGATACTGTCGCTTCTGAGAAGGGAGTGAAGGCTGCGGTGAGGGAGGTTGTCCGTGGGAGGGCGGAGCAGGCCTGCCTTATTATATCTTTCGGCGACCGACATTTGTTCACTCGCACTCTTGCATGTACGTACACTACCAAGGTGGTGACTACTGACTAGCTTGATCAATCCTGTGTGACGGTCAACGGAGCTAGGAACCCTGGTGAATCGAATGCCGTCACTTTTTCATGAATCGTCCCCTGTCCCAATGTCTAAGCCAGGGATAGATCGGCATATTCCATTTCCTTGCACCACTCGGCTACGACGGCCAGTTGCAAGGCCAGGCCTGTCTACCAGCACATGCACACACATACATACAAGCGAGCAGAGACACACCACCAAGCAGACAAAATCCATACACAGGGCACATGCATGACCACCTTAATGCGGGGGGAATATATATTTATTTCAACCCCTGCGTACCAACCTCGCGAACATCATGATTCTAGGTAGCTACCTAATCTAAAGACATGGTAAACTTTCATATTGTCCGTTTACATAGTATCTGGTTTCTATCCTGCGCCAAGCTGGTTCCGAAGGCCATGGATATTGTACCGGCACCTTGTTTCTTTTTGCAGTGTCAATTCCGTCCAAGTCAAACAGACAATCCTGGACAACTTATCTGCAGGGCTAGAAGGATCGGCTTTGGAAGTTTGCAGGGGTGCTGGACTCAAAACTCTCCACCCTTGGGTCATTTCTTTGAAGGCCTCTATCCTGGATGCTGGTGAGTTACTAAAATGGACAAACTAACAGCATGACGGCAGGGCGCCCTGCAATAACCCCCCTGGACCTGCAGGCTGGGTGGCCAGGAATACCAACCATAGTCGCTACATTACGCGCCGTCAGCCCAACGTTCTGTGTATGATGCTGCGGCTACCCTCCTTTTAGAGTGAAGAGACGGCGCGTTTCACATACAGACCTGCAATCTGGTTGGCTTTCACTTTGCATTTCGCGCCTCTCGTTTGCGCATTCCACTCCCGCCCAAGGCTGGGCGAAGGAGAAATCAAATCGAGAAGAGCGTTTGCTCCTTCCACCTGGGGTTTCCTCTCTCTCTCTCTCTCTCTGTGTCTCTCTTTCTCGGCTCGTCTACGCAATTCTCTGTGGCGGACAATTGACGGAGGCGGGTAGGAGACAAATTAAACTAATATTGCGCGCAACACTGATATTACCCGTCTAGGTAGGTGTGACGACATGTTCCGTAGATCTGTGGCACTCGCATCTTGCCCCCGGCCGCTAGGCATAGTAGACACAGACGAGGTACTATACAGCACAAAGCTATGGTGTCATCCATCCCCTAGGTATGCGAATCACGCATCGGTGGCTACCAAGTAGGTACACACTTGCACCCAGCCGCCGCCTTCCCAACGCCAAGGCGACCTGCAGATGCCTACGCAGTAGAAGGATGAAGGATGATGTGAGAGGCTGAAACCCTGGCGTCCAACGACCATTCCAACATCAACATCAAATATGCCTAGCTAGGTATGGATACTTAAACGTCGGAAAGCCAACGAACACAACGAACACGTTCCCGCAAGAACTGCGCATCCTCTCTGCAGGTCTTCAACCATGGGCGCTTTGACAAGCACAGCCTTTGGTCGGTGACCCGCGCCTCAAGGCAGGGATGCCTGGTGGCGATCCTTCGCACGCCATCGGGATGGCTGTTGGTCGTTCCAGTCAATCGCATGGCCAAACTTTCTTTCAACCTCCTCTGCAACCAACACCATGGCTGGTACAAGGCAGAATCCACTGTTGATACCGAAACATCGGAGGAGCACTTAGCTTGAATCCATGGGGAGACTCCCCTACGGCAACGCCTCGGTCTCTTTCTGAACGTCCACTTTGATCCCTCACTGGTCATATCGCCGGGCAGTCTGACCTCTGGCGTTCTAGACTCTGGCATGCACGCCCTGGTAATCTCGGCCCTGGAAACACGAGATGCCCTGAGTCCTGCTTGTCAGCATGTAAGACTCCCTGTAATTTGCCGGTTAAACCAGTGCAGCATCTCCTTTTCATCGTGACCATGGCCGGGCTCAGCTTCGCCGTTTAGCCCATGGCTAGGCGACTCCTTTCAGCTTACCCAGGCGAGAATACTCCTGCTACAAAGCGCACATACACACACATTTGCTTCGTCTACGGCCGGCAATGCCAAGTCATTTCGGCAGTGTTCCAACTCGCAAGACTTGCCGAACCCTCGGGTGCTGGAACTTTGACCCGTCCGTGGGCTTTTGCGAATCGTCCCATGTTTCGATGACTGTCCTAGCCCAACCGCTCGCTCGTCTTGTTTTGTTGTCAGAGGCTTACGTTGCCTTGATAATGGAAGACCTGACCTCGTCTCCTCCATAAATGGGGCCCAATTGACGCCGACGAGCGGAAATAGGAAGATCGCATGCTGGCGCTCCTGACATCACCGGCCGACCAGATGCCGGTACCATTGGATGAGCTAGAGTTAAATGACTCAATACACTGAAAAGCGCAACTATGTCCCAGTCACCCAGTCCGTTGGCTCCAGCACTCAATTCGAAGAACTTGGGGAATAATTCATAGGTAGGAAGGGGGACTCCGAGGAGGATTCCCTCCTACCTACCTATCTTCTCGGAGGAGGACCTCCTGTCTTAGGTGGCCGTCTCAAAGGTACGGGATCATCACAGGCCAGATCTACAGACTTTATGGCACTCTCGTCGGAATTAGCTGGTTTGGGGCTAAGAGCTGTAAACTTAGTGGCAGCGGCAGTATTTATGGTCGAGGACGCGACGCATGCGTTCAGGTTGTGAGATTTGTGAAGAAGCCTGAATGATTACCACCACCAGGGATACAGGGGTAAACCGTTTGCGGCCTGACAGCTGCCGAGAGACCGAGGCCGAGGCGTCGGACCGGCAGCAATTGTGGGTCGTGGCTGCCTAGAATCCGAGGCCAATTGGCTGCTGTCAGCCGGCTGGGCCGCGGACTTGACTGAGCATCAGCCTCACCTAACGACATCATTACTGCAACCCCAGCATAAAACTCGCTATCGATTTCAAGGTCGGTGCGAACCCCCGCCCAGATATCAAACCAGGCCTGGTCTGTCGCGTTTAAGCCTGCGACTCTCCTCCCCAAGTCGCCTGCCATGAAGCCGGTCGTCAGTTCCATGCAAGCTTGGTCTTGGTAAGCTCCGCCGTCTCCCATCCATGCCTGCCTGCGACCCCCGCTGACAGCCACATAGCACCGTCATATCGGTATTTGCCATCATAATCCTCTCCGTGCTGGGTTTCCTATTCAATAAGAAACATCACGAGCTCGTCGGAGGCGAAGACGACCCGGATAATGGGCCCGAGGTGGCAGCAACGGTCTTTACCGCAGTGATCATCTATGCTGTGAGTTGCGATGGTCTTCGTCGCTGGAGTGCGCATTAACTAACCTCGTCTGTTCGATTTTACTAGGCATTCCTCGTATTTTGCGGCTTACAAGGCCTTCTACATCTACGCGAGAACCGGCGAGGAGCGATTGCATTGTGATAGACAGTTCGACATTTTGGATCGGTGCAGCACCTGGCGTTTGACCTCCATCCGAGGATATCGGGACCGAACACGCAACAAGAGAAGACATTGGAAGGGGGTTGTGTATTATAAGCATCAAGCGGAGTTGCGAAACGTCCTCTGCAGCCAGAGTGGCGGGCCTCCGTGGGTTGTTAGACTGACTGTGGATGGACAGTATATATCTGTCCCTCATACTTGGGCTCTATAGGCGTCTAGGGTCTCGACTAATTTGGGTTTACATGCACCTGTAATGATACGAGTTGTTGTCTGATTTGTGACTCTTTGAGTTGGATGTGGCTCTTCAGTTTCCGGCAATCAGCACACCACACATTAACCTCGGAAACTCCCTTGTCGACAATCGATCGGACTTGCTGCATTTGCTGCCAGAAGGCCAATGCCTCAACATATTTGGCAGGAGATTGATTGCCGAGCGGTGGTGTCATTATTCTCGTCTCCCCTCACCTTATCGCTTCAGCCACCAAGCAACCAGATCCCATAAAACAGGTTAGACAAAACGCCAAGGAACTAGAAGCTCCTCTATCACCAAAGTATCCGAAAGCTGAACAGTGCCAAACGACCAGTATTCCCATATTAGCATGATTCCTACATGCGAAATCAGTCACAGTTGAAATTAACACCAGGCACCAATGGGACAAGTGGGACTCGTGCAGGACTCCAGGCAGGGTCCCGTGCTCAAATGTCACAGGACCGCGCGACAGAGTCGCGTTGAAGCATGGGATCCCCTTGCAAGACTAGCTAGACAACTAGGCAGCACTGCCCTTATGGCTCGTATAGCGCGTCAAGCTCGAGGCCGTCTCGAGGCAGCTGAACATTTAAGGGGTTCTGCCTATGTTGCTGTTACCGAGTATAAGGCAGAGGCCAATTTCCAATTCCAACTCCATCTCAGTTCTGCTCCGAATTGCCTCTCATCATCAGTTGTAACTCGAATCCCAGACCCAAAGACCTAGCCCAAGCCACTCAAGTCTATCGTCATTTTGTTGCCTTTGCTTCAATCCTTTCCAACTTAGTCGATTCCCCGCAATCCCAGCCCCAACATGTCTGCAACCAATCACCCCCAACTGCCCGTTCCGCTGGCCGACTTGGCCGGCTACATTGCCAAGCATCCTGACGAGCCCGTGGCCGAGCTCTTTAAGCCGTATCGGGAGTATGAGGCCCAGCTCCGCCAGATGTACGCTCAAGAGCCGGATCATGAACTTCTGAAAGATCCGTACGCCAATGTCGTGCCCCTCTTCACCGAGGACACGCCCGAGCTCAAGATCCGGGCCCGAAACCTGGAGACCGAGTCGGAAGCCGAGAAGGCCAAGTACATCATGCCCCTGCCCGCCGATGTCCGAAGGCCGGATGGATCTCGTGCTACCGTCGGGTCCCTCAAGGAATTCCAGCGCAATTTCAACGTCTTCTCTGAGTCTTCCCTTGTGGACCTGGACTGGAGCAATGTTGTCGCTGCCGGTTCTTCTGCTGTCAATTGCCTCGTGCCCGTTCCCGAAGAGTTCAATGCTTCCAAGAGGTCACTTCGTGAATTCTACCACGAGAAATTCTGCCCTGCCTCGGACGTTGATCTGTTCCTGTACGGCCTGACTGAGGAGGAGGCTGTTGAGAAGATCAAGCAGATCGAGGCCAAGGTCCGCGATTCTCTCCTGACTGAAACGACCACCGTCAGGACCAAGCATGCCGTGACCATCTGTAGGGCCTCAACTTCCCCTTGTCCTGGTTATTAATACTAATGGTTGGCAACAGGTAGCCAGTATCCGACCCGCCATATCCAGGTACGCAGCTATGCGAATCGCAGTGAGCCCTTGACAGCATGGCTAAACAGCAGCAGATTGTCCTCCGCATCTATAAGTCGGTTTCAGAGATCCTCACCGGATTCGACATTGACTGCTCCGGAGCCGCGTATGATGGCAAGCAGGTCTACTGTACGCCCCGAGCCCTGCAGTCATACATCACACAGATCAACCACATCGACCTGTCGCGGAGAAGCCCGTCGTACGAAAACCGCCTGTCCAAGTACGGCCACAGGGGTTTCGAGGTCTACTGGGGCGACCTCGAGAGAAGTCGCATTGACCCGACCATATTCGAGCGCAGCTTCCAGCGCACCGTCGGCCTGGCTAGGCTCCTTGTCCTTGAACGTCTTCCGACGGCATCATCCCGAGACGACTATCTCAGCAAGCGTCGGGAGGAAAGAGGCCGGCCGGCCCTTAATCCGTATAGTCGCAATCTCCACTCCCTGGCCGGCAACATCAAGGAACAGCACGAGGACGAGGTGGCCGAATGGATTGTTGACGACGAGCTTACCGCCTCCAACTACAACACCTTTACCGTTCCGTATGGGCCGAAATACCATGCGAAGAGGATTGAGAAGCTGTGCTACACCAGAGACTTGTTGCTCAATGCCGAATGGAACCAACCCGAGGACAGAAAGGTCTACTTGCACCGCCACCCGGCATTCTTCGGCCGAGTCGCAGATGTCGTCAACGACTGTTGCGGTTACTGCCCCAAACCGGAAACGGACGAGGAGCGAGAGGTGGCCGAGCAAGAGGACAAGATCTACGTCTCTGGCAGGATCTCCTTCCTGAGAGATAACCCTGGAAGGCAGCAGATTGGGTCCTTCAACCCCCTGACAGACAGCGATTGGACTGAGATGGCATACGTCGGCAACACCGCGCGTCTCTGCCAGGCCATTGTCGACGGAGACGCCGAGGCGGTCCAAGACTGGCTCGCCCAGGAAGGTGCCGATCCAAACACCAGGGACTACACCGGAAGGACGCCCCTGCACCTGGCCGTCATCAGCTCGACACCCGAGATTGTCCGCCACCTCGTCGACGCGGGAGCGCGTCTCGTGGCCCGCCTCGCCGACGGCAGGACGGCTCTGCACCTGGCCGCCGAGCGGGGCGACACCGAAATCGTCAAGATCTTGATGGATAAGAGCAACGCCAACGAGGCCGAGGAAGAAGAGAAGACGGATCGTCGCCGCAAGATGAAGGCCGCTGGGCCAGAGGAGGACGGCGAACCCGCGGAACCGGTTGAGACCGACTCCTCGGACGAGAGCTCCGATGGGGAGCTGATCGACGACGACGAATCGGACGATGCGGCCCATAGCATTGTTACTGGGTCGTTTGTCAAGCTGAAGAAGGGGGAGGATTCGTCAAATGCTGAGGACGCTGTGCCGGAGGACACGGAGGATGACCCGGACTTCTACGACATCAACGCCATCGCATGGGATCGTCCTTGCTCTGCTCTGCACTTGGCAATCATCTCGGGGCACGAAGAGGTCGTCAAGCTTCTCTGCCAGGTAAGTTGCTTGTTTCCCTTTTTGCATCCTTCCCAAGTTATGTGTCAGCTGACAAACCGTTAGGAGTATGGAGCCGATGTTCTCTTGCCCGTCAAACTGCTTGACCACCGGAGGCAGCCCTCCGCCGCGCTGCTCACGCTAGTCCTGGCTCTAGCACTGCCCGTCGAGCAAGCCAAGTCAATGGCCAAAACTCTGTTGAGCCTCGGTGCCACATCGGCCCAGGGAGACCTGTCAGGCATCACGGCATTCCATCGATACGTACAGGAAAATGCCGAGTCCCTACTGGATGTCTTGCGGGAGAACGACCAGACCGGAGCCAAGGCAGCCATCAACAGCATCGCTTTCACAACGTACCATAACAAGGCCGAAACTCCTCTCCAGGCTGCTGCCGAGAATGGCAATCTCAGCATGGTGCTGAAACTGCTGGATAGCGGTGCGGTCGCCGAGATCGACTTCGAGACGTGGCTCAAGTCTGCGAAGCAGGTTATGGAGAGTCAGCTGGGATCATATGAGAACAACCAGAACCTTCACAAGACGACGACACAGCAGCCCCTGATACTGGCTCTCCAGTCATCTGCGGATCCGTCTATCGCCCTGGAACTGATTGAGAGAGGCGCAGATGTCAACTCAATGACCACGGCAGCGCACCAGAAAATTCAGCGGAGCTGGTATTCGTATTCCAAGGGCGAGTCGGCACTGGACCTGGTCCGTTCCAAGCTTGAGGCACTGCGCAAGTATGAGGGTGAGGGGAAGTGGAAGCACAAACCGGAACTGCCCCGAGGCATTGACGAGTGCCTGCAGACGTACAAGGCCGGGACTTACCAGCACTGGATGGTCTCGGAGAACATCGCCTCCATTCGGCGGAAACATGCTGAAGACCTAAAAGAGTATGAGAAGGAGAAGAGCCAGCTTGCCTCGAGTATCGGCGTCCAGGAGAAGAGAAAGGCCATCCAGGAGCTCACCAGTGCCCTGGAGAGGGTCGAGGAGGTGCTGCTGGAGAAGGGCGCCAAAACATTCAAGGAACTCCATCCCGACGTGAGGGACGATAGTTACAATCGCAACTCCGGGGCTGAGGAGCCCAGTGTTGAAGACTACAAGTTCAGCTTCGGTTTTGGCTCGGTCACTGACCTTACCGTGGTTAGGACGGCAGCCTACATTGAGCTGTAAGTCCCCAAAAGATAACAGACGAACGTTGAAACCCCCGGGCGACTAAATCTAACTCTCGTCTCTTAGGTTTGAAGCGGTTTGGAATGGCGACTTGGAGGCGATCAAAAACCTTACCCTCACATCCTGGGATGGGCTGGGGCTCGAGGCACCGCTCAAGATCGCCGTCACCGATAACCTGAGGAACAATCCGTTCTCTTTGGCGCTCTTCCGCGGCCACCACCAGGTGGCGAGGGCTGTGCTGGAGATCGCGCAGGCCCAATATGCGCCCGAGGAGAAGTCGAAGGCGCGGTACAGGATGGAGACTGGGGACGACAACGAGTGCTGCTCCGAGTGCGACTCGGAGTCGGAATCGGACGACGACGATTCTCGGCCCAAGATCTACCGCGAGCTCGTCGACCAGCGATTCACCATTGAGAACGTGGGTCAGGTCTCGATGAAGGTGAACAGCCGCACCAAACCGCTGGAACTGCTCGGCTGGAGCTGCCAGGAGTACCACAACGGAGAGTTGGGAGACATGCTCTCCGCTTTCAAGGTTGCGCTCAAGCACAACGATCTCAAGATGCTCAAGTTCCTGCTCGACCTGGCCGACCACTTCACGACGCAGAAGCTCGACATAAGCGACGAGATGACCGGTAGCAGCTTCTACTCCTTCCCCGCCGCCGAGTTCAACTATGCGGTCGACCAGGGCCGCACGGAGATGCTGGCGGAGATCATCAGGCGGACGGGCGCCGGCTTGCCGCTGGAAGAGCTGGTCAAGAACAGCGGGCTCGAGCTCGTGGAGAAGCCGCGGCACTACCAGGGGCTGACCGTGTACGGCAAGAAGCGGAGCGACTGGGCGGCCGAGGGGAGGCAGCTGGTCTCGAAGCCCGTCGGGACCGAGACCTCGCCGCTGATCACCGCCGCGCTGGCCGGCCGCATCGAGTCGGTCGAGTGGTTCCTGAGCGACGCGCCGACGCGGCACTACCTCGACTTCTCGAGGTCCAAGGCGGCGAGAGACGACGCCAGGCTCAAGCACCTGTCCCAGTCACCGGGGGGCTTTGACGGGGCCATCTCGAGCTGGCTGAACAACCAGAAGGACCTGGTCATCCACGCCGCGATCCTGGGCCCGCCCGGAGACAAGACCGACGCGCTGGTAGCCTACCTCGTCAAGACCTTCCCGGACTTCCTCGAAGCCAAGTCCAAGACCGGCGTCACGCCCCTATTCCTAGCCGCCCACCTCGGCCGCACCTCGATCGCCAGGATCCTCGTCGCCGCCGGCGCCGACCAGACGTGCAAGAACTCGGACTGGGAGAACCTCCTACACGCCGCGCTAGCCCGGTCGCCGCCCGCGCGCGACCTGGGCGCCCTCCTCGACGTCCTCGACGCGGGCCTCGTCCGGCGCATGTGCGGCGAGCGCAGCAGCCTCGCCCACAGCGGCAAGACGCCGCTGCACCAGTTCCTGCACGACGTCGTCGGCGCCATGAACAAGACCCCCTCCCGCCGCCAGCCCTACAAGTCGACCCGCAGCGTCGTCGGCGTCGTCGACCTGCTCGTCCGCCGCTCCGGCGGCGGCGGCCGCGAGCTCGCGACCCTCGACGGCGCGGGCGACACCCCTCTGCACGGCCTGATAGCGCGCGGCGCCGACGCGCGTCTCGTCCGCGCCGTCCTCGACTCCGCCGCCGCCAACGCCGAGGACGGAGACTCGGCGGCGGTGACGACGCTCCTCCTCCACCGCGAAAACGCCGTCGGCCGCACGCCCCTCGAGGTCGCGCGCGACCGCTTCGTCGGCGCCGCAGTGGCGCCCCGCGAGCCGCGGAGGCAGCCCGAGGACGCCGTCGAGCGCGCCGTCGGGAGGCCGCCGAGGTCGTTCGCTCTGGATGCTGTTGATGATGCGTCCGACGCGGACTCGGACACGGACGACGACGACGACGACGACAACTGGAGAACCGGCTACAACCCCAATCACGCGCACCAAGAGCGTGTCCGCAGCCGCGCGGCTGCGGCGCGGACGTGGGAGCTGTGCGTCGAGTACGCGGGGCGGGGAGGAGGGGCGACGGCGACGGCGGCAGCGGCAGCGGGCGCCCACCATCACCAGCACCGGCGTCGGCTGGTGGGGCTGCATGAGGCCAACGATGTGGCGCGCCGGTTGGGGGAGAGGCATAGCGGGGCGCGGTATGCGTTCAAGGTGAGGCGGGGCGGGGAGGGGGAGGGGGAGAGGGAGAGGGAGGTGGGGAAGGAGGATGTTGTGCAGAAGTATTGGCACTGTCTGCCGTATGGGGAGTGGAGGAAGGGCGGGGATGGGAAGTAGGGTACCTAGGGTCTGGACTGTCGCACGAGTGGCCTGGGGGTAGGTAGGTGATGAATGGTAAATTGCTAGGAGGTTGTTGTCGCCCCTGCCTTTTGCTCCGTCGGTGCTCCCCATAAAGAAATCCAGAGAGGTGGCTCAGGAACAGGAGTGGTAGTATACTGGATCCGGATACTATTTGGCCCATAGCGGTGGTTGATATGTTGTCGTCCTCTCTCTTTCTGGGTTGTAGAAAAGGGGTATTGACTAAACAACAAAAAAACCTAGACTTGGAGTCTAGAGAATCAAACCAACCAGCCCTCCAGAAAAGACGGATGCGACATTGTCATTATCTAGTCCATATGCAGATACATCCATCCTACTGCTGTATCTTTTTCCATTCTTCTTTTTCTCTGCCGCGAAGGGCATAAAGGTCGGTCAATTTATAAACTACCAGAACTGCTCCTGGGTATCTCTCTTTATACTCTCCGAACCTTGTCCTTCTGGTGGTATCTTACACACAGGTCAAAAGCGGTATGGAAGAATAAGCTAGATAGGATCCCGCAAGCATATCCACAAGCCCAGTGGGACGTATGATGCCAAAGTTTCCCAGTGCCGTATCTCCTCCCCCCCCGTCCTCGCCCGTCGGAGAGGCTCAACCTTCCCCCCCGCCGTATTTACAGAACCTATGCTTGTGGTCTCCGTCGTCACAGCATAGCGTCGCCACACACAAAGAAACGCCTAAACGATCGAATATAAACGGAAACTAGTTCGTGGGGAGCCGCCCGGGGCCCTCCAATCCCAACGCCGAGTAACAACCAGGGAACGCCTCAGCCATGCTAGGCGGTTGAATCAATCAATCTAGGAAAAAAAACGGTGCCTCATCTGTAACCGCGCGGAACGCCAAGCTCCGCTACGATCCGACTCAGATTTTTTGAAATTTCAGGTTCAACGAGTGCGGTAGAAAGTTGTGGTGTTGATATCCGACGCGACGCGACGCGACGGATTCATATTAGCCGTCAAGAGATTGGCCGAAGCCGACCGCTATTTTTCAGTGTCGCCACTTCGGCTTGTTGCTTTTGACCCCTGAATCCGTTACTGAAGAGGTACATCTCTGCATCGCGTTCCTCGCGCCAGCAACCGCCTGGGGGCTTTCCCGGCCGGTAACGCCGACAGTCGACCTGGGCTGCGGAAGCATGCTGGACCGCCGAGTCGTGGCAAGAGAGCTTGCGGGCCTGCGGGTCACGTCTGGGGAGAGATCGATGGTCTTTTGGGGTTGCAGCGAGATGCGCCGGTTTGCCAGGGCCGACGTGGACGACTTTGGTGCAAGGCGAGGCTTGGTAAGTGTCTGCTGCGAATAGGGCCCGGGCGACGAGATCCTGTCACGGAAAGAGAGACGGGATGAGCTCGATTTCGAAGGGGTGTCTTCCGGAATAGGTGATGCCGAAGTAGCTCGGCTGAGCGGACTGCGGAGTGGGAGCTTGGAGGAGGATGGTGTGAGCGACGAGCTAGCCCGGGAAGGGGTGTTGGGTTTCCGGGCGTAGGGGCTCGGGTTGGTAAGGCTGAGCGGCTTGAAGTTGTGCCCGGTATCGACAGTCGAGGCGTTGGCAGAGTTGTTCCACCGCGGCCGGCCAGGCACCGCGGAATTGGGACGAGAGATCTGCTTCCCTGTCGGCGTGGCAGATCCTTCCCGAGACGGAGTGCTCGAGGCTGACAAGTGTGACACGAGAGGTCTTCTTGGCCCCTGACTCGATGGGGTAGGAAGTGACGAATTCCCACGGCTTGCCGGCTGCGGTAGGTGGCTGCCCACGCTCGTAGACCGCTGCTTGTTAGCCTTGGCTTTGGGCGTCGACTTGCCGAGTCCCAGGCTCGACATGATGACAGACGACGGAGGCGAGCTTCCCGGAGTCTCATTGCCACTGCCTACGGTAGACCGATCATTCGATAACATGCTGGACACTGAATCACGAAGTTGCTGCCCCCTGTTGTCGGCTTGCAGCTCCTCGAGAGCCAGGTCCATCTCGGCCATGCGCTCCTTCAACTCCTCCCACTTGGTCTGCATCTCGGTGTGCAAGCGGAGGATCTCGCCGTTGACGGTCAACCGATCCTTGACCCCTTTGTCGATGATGGCCAACACGCGCTCGATGGCGGGTCCGTAGTGCGTCTTCTTGGCCTCGTAGCTCTCGATCTTCTTGCTCATCGCCGGCTGATTGGTCAAGTGCATCCCCCCGTCGACCCCTTCCTTCAGGCGAGACACGCTTCGCTCGACGGATTCGTACATCTTCTGAGCCTGGCGCCCTGCTCCTCGGAAGACCAGGACCCACCGGTCTTCACCTAGTTCCTTCCGTAGCGATTCTGCGTCCTTCTCCAGCTTCTTGTAGCTGGCGTCGAGGCCCGACCTCCTCATCTCCAGTTCTTCGCAAGCCGTGGGGAAGGCCCTCTCCGCTCTCGCTTCGAAGACGGAAAGCCTCATGGGCAGGAAGTCGAGAGAAGCCCTCAGAGGCTGCATCCGGGCGAACAGGGCGAGCAAACTCGAATCATCTTGAGAGATGGTCGGGGTGGCTCCTGGAGAGGGCGAGCTGGGGCTGGCAGGAAATGCAGGTAGGCTGAAGCGATTGTTGGAAGCCTGGAGGCGGGTGGCCGTCGGTGGTGTTTCCTCAACGATGGTCTCCAGGTCACCAATGTCCACTCCATCGCCACTCGAGACGGCCAGTATGGACTTGTGTCGACGCTCCTCCATCTCAAAGACCAGGCGGCTGAGGTCATCCATCTCGTTTTGGATGTCGCCCAGAACCATGTCCCACAGCTCCTCCCACTCCATGGCTATTTCGACCTGGGCCTTGACGCTGCGCAGGGTAAGACGGATCTTGGACCACTCATCCATGATGGACTCCATCTGGGCAACGGCCCTCTTCAGGTCGTCGGTTGACACTTGCGCAATATCGCTGCGGCTTTGCAACTCCTCGATCGCGCTCACGTAAACGTTGATCAACTCCTCGAACCTGATGGTGGCATTCTCCACCTCTTCTACGCCCTCGCGCCCGCCAGCAGCTGCCCATTCCACGTCATCTTCGCTCTCCAACCCGCCGATGACTTCGGTAGCCTTGTAAATCCAGCCGCGAATCTGCTCGGCAGCGCCGATCAGAGCCCTCGTGGCAGCCTGTGCGGTGGGAATGGCCGAGACTTTGCTGGACAAGGATTCGGCATCCGGCAGTTGGATCGAGGTTAGCTGTGCGAGTTGGCTCGCGAAGGAGACGCGCGACAGCGTATAAATGGAGCCCGGTCGCTGCAAGCCCAGGGGATTGAAGTACGATGCCGCGTCGGGGTTGAAGAGGTCTTGATTAGAAGGATCTGTGGCTGGCGGCGGCGGCGGCGTGTCCTTTCGGGGAAGGGGAGGCAGTTGTTCGGGCGACAGGGCCGGACGTGTATCCCGGGCGATATGTTCCTCGCGTGTTCCTAATTGCACCTTGACACCATTCCCATTTGTGTGATCCGGGAGGCGGTATTTGTGCGTATCCATCTCGACCGGATTCGCGATGGCGACCTCGGGCAGAAAGTCGGGCTTCAGTTCCGCATTGGCTTCGTCCTGGACGGGCGCGGTGCTGCTTTCGGCCTGACTGGCGTCTTTGGAGGGCTTCAAGCTTGACCTGGAAGGTATGCGGGCGATGGCACCCTTCCAAGGGCGGCCGCGCCGTTCGACAGGGTTTACAGTGTTCGCTTGATGGCCCTGCTCGAGCTTTCTGAGCTGTTCTTCGGGAAGGCGGCCGATGCGATCGAGGTGAGAAGGGGGCGGGGGCGAGGATTTCCGCTGGCTGCCGAAGCCGAGGGCTTTTAATCGAGCTGCCAAACCGGGAGAGGGTTTTCGGGGTTGGGGATGAGAGGTAGATGGAGGTGTGTCTATTGTGGAGCCGTCGTGGTCGGGTGGCTGTGGCGAGGTTGAGGTTGAGGTTGAAGTGTTGGCGGTGGTGTGCTGGAGGAAATTGGAGTCGAAGGAGCGCAGCTGGAAAAGTTCGCTTGGGATATCAGTGAAGGTCAAGACGGAATCATCCTGCTGGGAAATATCATTATTGCCATGGCGGCGGCTCGGATCAGGGCTTGGAGTAGCCGGACCACTGCTGCTGCCTCCTGCAGTGACAGATAGGCTGGTCATTTAAACACCCCCAAAACGAAAAGGATATTGCTCTGCAAGGGCCGGTTTTTTTTCCCGCAAGCTTCTGCGCCGCGAACAGACTGGTGCTGCTGTGCTTCTCTGGGGCTGCCGTACACGTACTGTACTTCTGCAGCAACCCTCCTGGCCGGGTTACACTGGTGCGGGCTTGGATGCCGACTGCTGCCTGAATGCCTGTCTCTTTGCTGCTCTCTAGGGCCACTGTGGGTTGCCTCCTCAAACTTGCAGGTGTAGGTGCAGGTGCGAGCAAAATGGAGCGAGCGATAGGCCGGCCACGGTGGGGTTGGGATTGGGTGGGTTGGGTTTTGCAGCTGGCGATTGGGAGGAATGTCTTTGCGCATGCAGTAGTCGGACCCAGGAATAAGGTGACAAGCGCAGCGCGATAGGATCAAGTCGGTTCTCCTGGAAACTGCAGTCCTCGGCGGATCGCAGGGGACATCTGGCAAGCAAATCCAGGCAATTGGAAGTTGGAAGGGTCCTGCTCGGCTTTCAGGGTTTCTCCGGCCTTCTCATCTCTCCCTTTTTTCGATGGAAATTGCGGGTATGTAGTGTGGTAAGGGGGTTGGTTGGGCTGGGTGATGCTTGGCCCGGGTAAGGAAGGTATTGGCAACTCCCGTCTCTCTTTACGCGTTCTGGTGGTGTGTGTGGTGTGTGTGTGTGCGAGCTATCTATCTCTTCCAGTTGAGCCGAAGAACAAGCAGAATGGAAAGCAACAAATCCAACGTTTCGACAGGACGCGATAGTGGGTAAAGGAGATGAGGGGGTTTAAAAGGGTGGATGAAACAGAGAGAGGTGTGATGGGAAGATGGCCCAATGGTCCACCTCTTCTCAACGGCCGAATCTATGTATATGACTACATAGCTACCCTACATTACGGATCGGGTTTCTACTGGTTTGCCGTCCCTTGCCCAGAGTCCCGTGGACGGTTCCATGGATCAAAACAGCGATGGGAAATTTCAAGAGGTGACCCTGCACAAGGCAGAGAAGCAGCAAGGAGCACCTTTCCATTGGTACCGACAACGGTAGTGGTGCTACTAGTGCGGACAAGGGGAGGTGCAGGGGCAGACACTGGGCAGGAATTCTCAGTAATTCACCTCTTTCCAGTTTCCACCAGGCTTCCGGAAAGCCACACCCGGCTTCTGGGCGAAGGGACGTGTAATTCGATATTTATTCTAGTGCTGGTACGCATACACTTCATTGAGTTATGGAGTGCTCTAACCTAAGATAGGCAAGCATGAAGACTTTCTAGTGGGGCCGTCCAGGTACCCGACCTTTAGTGATTGATTACATTAGATGTACTCCATACAGTGGGAGATGGTTTCTGCTACAACGATGATTCAGCCTGGGTGACAGGAAGTTAGTGACAATGTGTTTGGAATTTGGCACCTCCTCTCAAAGCCACAAGATTTACATGACAAGCCACAAGCATTCCATTCCAAAAGGTCGAGCAAGCCAGGACCGCCGAGGGAGAGATGTGAGCGATCCCTTTCCTTTTCGCTTCCTGGGGGATTTGGGTACGGCACGGGAAGCCATATGCAGGTACCGACGACGGGTGCTCCACCTCTGCGTCACCGTCAGTTGAACCCCAAGAAAGCTGCTGGGATTCGGAATCTCGTTCGATTGCAACTTGCCAAGCAAGATTCTCCGTTGACATTTTCACAGACGAATCCATCTGGATACCAAGGATAACTTCTGTCCACCATGTGATGACCAGCCCATCCTGATTCCTGGGCTGCCAGGTGGGTCGAGACTGAGAGCTGAGTGGGCAAGTCATTTTCCAGCTTTCCCCACACTTGCAAACCAAGCCATATCCTATGCACAGTATACGGAGTACCTAATGGAGTACGGATCCGTAGACTTGTGATATTTACCCCTGACAGTCCCAGAACACCTATGGAAGCATCTCGATACTCTAATTCGTCTCACCCCGATTCTTCCGCCTAACACTACTCGTTTCTGCCTGCAGCAAAGGCCAACCAAACCAACCTGATCTACCATTGTTCAAGTCGCTCTCTTCCCGGGAAGCTGCTGTGCAGTCTTTCTCCATACCGTCCCATCAATCCAAATCTGACTTGCCCGCCTTGCATGCATTCGTTGCTGCGGTGTTACCAGCTCTCTCATTTATTTTGGCATTATTTACTTGCAGGCCTTCTCCCTCGACGCATACGAATAAAGTAATTCTCATCGACCGCGATTCTAGTATAATATAGACGAGATCCTAGCTTGGAGAACGGTCAACCACGACAGCCACGAATCCCTAAGACCGAAATAGTAATCCTAGAGACGCTGAGCTGGTCCTCGGTTGGACTGACAACCCATTCCCCATGCTAGACCAGACCATGGCGTCCGCTCCGCTCGACGAGCCACCAAAACTCCGCTGCGAATCTCCCTCGCCCGATAGCTCGCCAACTCCAGCCCTTCATGCCCGGCCCGAGCTATCTCGCTGCCTATCTATCGCTTCTTCCGCCTCACACGGTTCAGCAACCACCGACGCCAGCCATATGCGTGAATCGCTTGGCAGTGATATCTCGGCTTTCTCGCGCCACTCCTCGGGCAGTTACCAATCTTCGCGTCGGTCCGACATCAGCAATGCCAGCTTTGGGCCCCCCCTCATGCCGTTGTCCCGTCAGTCCACGGGCAGTTTTGATACTAGGTCCGTTTCCGGTTTGAGTCGACGGAGGGGCTACATGCGCCCTCAGGCGACCGATTTCGCCGCCAGCGCGAGATCGAGGGAGAGCGTATTGAGTTTGGGAAGCATCGCGCATCTGCAGTATTACTTCGCAAGAACAGGTTTACTGGATGGTAAGGGGGGACAGCTGGCCAGGAAAAGGAAACAAAAGGCCCAAACTTTGGACCTATCGGCTCTGGATACCTCATCCTTCCTCAACCCAAGGCTTAGCGGCAGTGATGTCGATTCCAGCTACGCATCAATGGGGAGCAGCCCAGATCTCGCTGCCTCTTCGCTGGGCGGTGGGTTCGCCGCTGGGGCGGCCGGTGTCGGTGCGGGGCCGATCGTAGAATCGCCTATCGAGGAGCACCAAGAGGACGAAGAGAACTACTACGACGACTTCGAGGAGCCAGATCCGCACATGCTACCCCCGACAGCAAGCACATATAACTACAGAGAAAAACCTCTGCCTAGGCCGCCGTCCATCGTCGAACTCAAGGCCGACCTGACTAGCACGTTAACTGCCGCCTCCGAGGCACTGACTAAGGCCAAGGAGGTCAAACCACCCGAGTCTACGCCTACCTCTACACCGACCTCGTCCCCATCGCATGCTCGCCAGCCCTCCAACCCCCACGGCACTGCGCGGTCCCCTCCCGGCTGGCACGAGATCCAAGGGATGCATATCCTCGACGTCATGACGCTCGCCATCCGCGCCGCCAAGGTCTACTACACTGCCCATGAGCAGCCGGACCGGCTCGACGCTATCAAGTCCGAGAAACAGCTGAGGTCCGAACTGCTGACCGTCATGGACGTACTGAAACGGATGGCTACGCGGGGCTTCGTAGGCGGCATGCGCGACGACGAGTTCGCCGCCATGGACGGCTGGACCGCGTCCGTGCGGAGAATGCTCGCTGATGAAGAGGAGATGGAAGCCGCTGAGGCGGCGGAGAGGCAGTCGTGGACATGGCTGCAGGACGAAGGGTGGGAGGGAAGACAGTTCGAGAGGGAGTACGCCTTCATGGAGTCCATGCTAGCCGGGGGCGGCCCCATCGTCAGCAGCGCCGGCGGCCTCCCCAGCCCGGGCCTCAGCAGTCCCATCGACCCTGCCCAGGAGCCCAGCTTCCCAACGACAGCAGCACCCTCCCCCACGGCTGCCATCGCCACCGAACCCCTACCCCGCTGGACGCCCATCGACCGCAGCCGGCCGGCGTCGGAGCAGGAGCTGCCGACGCCCTTCCTGGAGGCGCTGCGCAGCGGCGTCCGGCTCGTGCACCTGCACAACTGCGCGGTGCGGCGGTCGCGGCGGCGCTTCGGGGCCATCCCGACGTTCCACACGGACACGCAGAAGCCGTACCGCGCGGCCGACAACCTGCGCTACTGGGCCAAGGCGGCCGAGCTGCGCTGGGAGGTGCTGCTGCGTCTCGACGCCCTCGCCGTCGTCAACGGCACCCCGCCCGAGGCCTGGCTTGAGTTTGAGGACGCCATCCTCGCCTGGTGCCGCAGGGTCCGCGAGGAGATCACCGCCGATGTCCGGGCCGGCTGATTCGGATCTGGCCTCCCTTTCTTTTGTGCTTTCCCCCCGACTCCCTGCTCCCTACGACGCAGCGCAGATTATGAATGGGACTTGGTGTCATGGTTTATGACTTGATTGTCTTCTCTATCTTGTTTTTATTTATACCTCTTCTTTTGTTCTATCATTTATTTCTGCCCCTTGCTTGGGACTTCATCTCCTTACCACTCGCTCACTATACAGCTCCTTTCATCTTTCTCATACACTCGTTAATTGCATATCACTTTGCGTTGCTAGCGAACGGGAGCCAGACGCATGTTGTTGCTGGACAATTGTGTCCATGATCTAGCGGAGAGGGAGAGGGAAGACTTGAAGGCTAGAAAAATCTATAAAGAAAAAAGAAAAAGAGGGAACATATGGGATGGAATGGGCCAAAGGGAACGTGCCCAAGAAGAAGAGCTGCATGGGAAGCATGAGAAGGATGCGAATATGAGACAATACCATCGAAGAGCAGAATAGCCCTCCCCCCCATATACCCCTAGCATATCATATCCGGCGTATATTGTCTGGGATTTTATCTTTTTTTCTTCTTCTTTGGCGGTGGATGGCTAGTATCGTGAGGGGTAGAGCACATCTCTCTAGCAGGGTTGAGTCCTTAGGGGAATAGACATTTCACCATATTAAACAACATGGACACCCAGTGACTGGCGTTGGTGTCGCGCTCTTAGCAATAAATAGGCCATGTCATATATGCCTCCCCGTACGTACAGTACATAGCGGACAAGACGAGAAGCAGATTGTAAAACGAATTTGCCCCAAGCAAAGCGCTGATGATATTTACTAGCAAGATTGGTGAAAGCCCCAATTGGCCCTCAGACAGGGAGGGAACCCACCGACCCCCTATCATGCCCACGACGTGTAAATGCTAATGGGGAACAATGGAACGTAGCAGGCTCTCCGTTGCATCGCCCATGCCCGCATGCTAATGCATCGACAACAATAAAGTGTCAAGACGCCAATGAATATTCTCCCCCTTCCTCACACAGGCATAAGCCCTATCCCGCTCCCACCGCCGCTACTACCGCCCGACCTCTTCGCCCCACGGTTCGCCAGCGCCCTCCCCCGTCCCGCCCCACCGGCCCCGGCCCCGGTTCCGGTTCCGGTCCTCCTCCCTCCTGCTCCTCCTCCACCTCCCGAGGCCTTCCGCTTGGTGACGCCTCCCCCGGAGAAGGATCGAGCCCTAGCGCCGCCGCCACCGCCCCTCCCGCCCGAGGCCCTGCGCCCCTGGGACGACCTCCTGCCGCCGCCCCCCCTGGCCCTGCCGCCGGCGCCGGAGCCGGAGGTGACCTGGGCCTGCGAGTTAATGACCCCGATTCTCGCCTGGAACTGCCGGATCCTGGCCTGCTCCGAGTCGCTGACGTCGACGAAGTACTTGGACGCCTCGCCCTCGCCGTCTTCTTCCTCCTCCTCCTCTTCTTCTTCGTCATCGTCGTTATCGTGGGCGTCGTTCATGCCGTACGGGTCGTCATCGTGTTCTTCGTCGTCGTCTTCGTCTTCGTCGTCTTCGTCCCCGTCCTCGCTTATGAGGTCGATGCAGTCATGGTTCCCGGACACTATCCTGCCGGTGCGCGGTTTCCGGGCCTGGGACGGCGCGGTCGTCGGGGGCGCGGACGGGCGCTCGCCCATGAACTCCAGGTACCGCCCGTGGTACGTCTCGACGAGGGGCGTGAACTTGGCGCCGTGCTTGTCGACGTTGTCCCTGTCGATGCCGGGGATGCGCCGCATCTTGTCGAGCGTATTCGTCCACCTGATGGCCATTTCCCGGTACTGCTGCTCGGTGAAGAGGTTCCTCCGCAGCGTGGCCTTGTTGCGGATCGTCTCCTCCTTCTTCATCGCCTCCTCGACAAATGCCGCGATGGTGTCCCGGTGTATATCGTTGATGGTGGCCTCGTCCATGCGCGCGTCCCTCGAGATCTGTGGTCCCAGTTGTTCCTCGAGAGTCCGTTGCCGGCGGCGCGGGAGGACGTGATGAGCCTTCACCGGCTCGAACCCGTCATCCGACGCATCCTCGTCCGCGACGACGAATCCATCGTCCTCGTACCCGTTGGCGTGCAGCGGGCCGCTGGGCTCTTCTTCGGACTCCTCGTCGTCGGCGTCGAGAACCATGTTTTGAGCCTTTCGCCTCTTTGCCCTTCCACTCACAGGAGACGAGACGTTGGTCGAAGGTGGCGGCGGTAGTGGTAGCATGGCGGCGGCCGCTGAGGTGTTCTCCTTGGCCTGCTTCTTGGGCTGCTGTTGCTTCTTCGGGCGGGCTGCTGCGCGGGGTGCATCGGCAGTCTGGATAATTATCTCCAGTTTCCGCCTCCCATTAAGGAAGGTATCGGCCAAGCGACCGAGGACATAATAGGTGACTGCAATGCCAAACTTCTTGTTCATCCTGTTATCCTCATAGAGCGCTCCCTCGGCAGCTAGAGTATAGATGATTCGTTGGACCTCGTGAGGCTTCATCGACTTTGCCATACCAAAGTGCTCCAGATCGCTGTTCTCCCTTGCTTTCCTCCCCATCAGGATCTCGACACACTGAGCGAGTGTGAGGGCTCCCCTCTGTTGAATTGTTTCAAGGACAGCCACGGCATATTGGGAGAAATCCTGGACCTCATAAGTCCCGTTGATCCTTCCGGTCCTGCAGTTGTCACAGCCATTGTTGCACATTGCCTGGTCAAACTTATCTCCAAAGTAACGCAGGATCTCGACCCGGCGGCAGGCGTGTTGGTTTTCGCAGTACGAGACCATCCTGTTAAGCATGTTGATCTGCCTCTCCTTTTGCTGATGACTCCCGTCGCCATCTTGGATCATCCTCTTCAGGGTCGCGATGTCGCCGTATGCGAAGTATAGATAGCAGTCGGACGGCTTACCGTCTCTCCCTGCGCGCCCCGTCTCCTGGTAATAGCCCTCGAGACTCTTCGGTATCTGCTGGTGGATCACGAACCGGACATCGGGCTTGTCAATGCCCATCCCGAATGCGATCGTGGCCACTACTACCTTGATCTTCCCCTGCTGCCAGTCTTTCTGAATCCGGACCTTCTCCTGCGGCTCAATCTGGGCATGGTAATGGTGGGCCTTGATACCATGGCCGCGGAGCTTCTTCGCGATCGTCTCGGTCGAATTCCGAGACAGGGTGTACACGATTCCCGTCAGTCCCTCATAATTGTCCTGAATCAGCTGGGCGATGCCGTCGATGAGGTTCGGCTCCTTGCTTCGGACTTCGTAGTACAGGTTGGGTCGATTGAAGCTCTGGGAAAAGACCTGGCACCTGTCCATGCCCAGATTATGCTTGACGTCGACGATGACGTTCTCCGTGGCCGTGGCCGTCAGGGCCATTACCGGAACGCCGGGAAACTTGCGTCGAACCGTACCCAGGGCTTTGTAATCCGGCCTGAAGTCATGGCCCCATTGGCTGACGCAGTGCGCCTCGTCTATTACGATTCGGGCTAGCTTTCCCCTCCGATGAAGTTTCAGGAGGCCGTTGGTGAAAGCCTGACTCTTGATGACCATTTCAGGGGTCACGTAGAGCAGTTGAAGGTAGTTTTCCGGTACAGCCGCGTCGAACGACGACATGAGGTGGCTGCGGGCTTCCTTGTCCAACCCCCCGTTCAGCTGGCCGGCTGTGATGTTGAGGGCTTTCAAGTGATCGACCTGGTCTTGCATCAGACTGAGAAGCGGAGATATGACAATCGTGATTCCCCGGGTCTTGCCCGTGTTGACCACGGCCGGGAGCTGGTAGCATAGAGACTTCCCGCCTCCGGTTGGCATCAGGACAAATGCGTCGTGGCCTGCGAGGGTCGCATTGATTGCCTCGAGCTGGTTGTGCCGAAACCCGGACATCCTGAATCGGTCCTTGAGCGCTCGCCGAACGTCTTGTGACCAGGGGTGTTTCATCAGGTCAGGTGGTATGAATGCCTTCGGTTGGTATGAGGATACCTGCTTGGACATGCTCCTTGGTTTAGGTGGCGCCGTCGCGTTGCCGGACGCCTCCGACAGCGCAGTACGCGGCCCACGCCCGTCCACTCGCGGGCCCGAAGAAGTTCGGCGCAGCTCAACGTCCTCGGCTGCCGCAATCATCTCCCCCTCGCTAAAGTCATCGTAGTCATCATACGCTGGCCTGCTGGGAATTTTCCCGGGACTCTTCCTTCGACATGATGCGGTTGAGAAGCTCGGATGAGCGCCCGCACTCTCAAAGTCTTCGAATGAGTCGTCATCAAAAAAACTTCTGCTGTCTTCCTCTACCAAGGACTGGTTCATCGTGTAGTTTGTGCGACTAGTGCCATCGATGCGTCTCCTGTGGGCGCTCGAGTCTTGGAGGAAGGGGGTTGGGGGTGGTGGCATGGCCCGGACAGGTTGGAAAGCTTGGTTGTCTGCATTCGGTCCCGACCTCCTCTGCGGGACTTGGGTCTGGAGTATGACCTGGGAGTTGTACTCGGGGATGATGGTGCTCTCTCGAGACAGCGACGGAGGAGCGAGCTTTGCGGGGGCCTGTGTGGAGAGAACAACAGGCGGAGGTGAGTTAGGGGCCGCTATGGAGTCATTTGGGTCTTTGAGGAAGTCAATGTCTTCCAATCCAGCTTCCAATAGGCCCTTCAACAAGTCGTTTTCCTGCGCCTGGATCTTGTCGTCAAGCTCCTCAAGCCTAACTTCGCCGTTGGGGATTTCATACCCGTCTCGATAGGCTCGGGTGAGGTCCTCAGTCAGGGCTTCCTTCTCATCGTTTAGTGACTTGTAGGCTGTATATTGAACCATTACTTCGTCTAGGGCTCTCCGCCGCTTGCGAATGGGCTCTGCCTCTTTCTTGACCCTTTCTCGGTGTTCAGCCGGCCACCTCTCCCGCAGAGATCTTTCATAATCTTTACTGTTGCTCTGGAGTTGGTCATCGAGATCCCGGCGCTTGGTTTGCACGGCCGACTGGTTGCTCAGGAACAGGCCTAGAAGATGCCTATTTCTTTCGACGTCGGAGCTCCGCGAATTCTCCTTCCGCGGAATCTCACTAGCCTCTAGAGACGCGGTAGGGATCCTCCTGGGGCTTACTGGAGCATCTAGACGAGGCGTGCGGGCGTGGCCGCCTCGCGATGGTTGATTAATAAACCGAGACGGCGGTGACTTCGTAGGCGTCTCCGCGGCGAGCACGGCATCGTCGTCGTCAACATCCATAGGATCCGGAGCCAAAGACGCGTTCACATTATGAGTCGGGGGCGTGATGAACTCAGTCTCATCCTCGGAATCTAAAATAACGTCGTCGCGTCGGGAGCTCCTTCGTCTCCTCGAAGGGGGTGGTGTCCCATTGTCGCTTGACTGTTCGGATGCAGGGAGCCTGACGGGTGGTGTGCGGGATGTTTTCCTGGGAGTCGAAACTGAACGTGCCGCAGAAGTCCCGGGGTATGATGTCTTGAGCACTGCCTCCAGGCTCGCATCGTCGAGGCGTCCTTGGGCTGCCAGTATATTGCTGGTTCCCTGCACACAGGGTTCTTTCTTGCTGGTCGTTTGCGATACTCCGTGCTCCCTAACGACCGCTGCTCTAGAAGCGACAGCCTCTGGCTTGGATGGAGTCTTTTGGCTTGGAAAGGACGAGGTGGGCCGTTTTTTTATGGATTTCACAAGAGCATCGATGTCTGGATACTGGTCGTCCTTGCTCGGGGCTCTGGGTGGTGGAACAGGCGTGTTGTGGGCCTCCTCGCTTTTCCTCTTTTTGCCTCTTTTCGGTAGTGGCTCAGCCCGAGAGGCAAAATCCTCTCTCCAAAGTCGTACATCGTCCCCGAGGACTTCCATGGGATTCGAAGATTCGACATCGTCGAGTTCTGTCAGGTCCACGATGTCGGAAAAATCGTCCTCTTCGGCATCGGGGGCATCCTGTGTCAATACCGGCGACAATGCCTTTTGTGCTCGGGAGAGAGTAGAAGGCGATTTCCGCCTGGCATTGGTCACCGTCGGTGGCCCGTCTGGCGGAAACGAGGCCTGATATGCCTGTTGCAGGCGACTGATCCCAGTTGTTGAGGCCGGGGTGAGAAGTTGTTGGTCTTGCTGTTGTTTAACCACTAAGGACGGCTTCTTAGACTTGGTGCTCGATGTAAGTCTCCCCATGGCCCCGTCCCCCGTTGCAACGTTTGACTCGTCCTGTGCCCGCTCTTCCCTGCGTGGAGCGTCATGGGTCGAGGTTGATGTCGAGGTTGATGTCGAGGTTGATGTCGAGGTCAAGCTCGAGGTCGTCTGGGGTCGGTCAGTAAAGGGACGTGGAAGCGGCCGTGAGCGAGAGTTCGTGTGGCCGCGGCCGTTTTGGGACGCAATTGGCCCCGTTATCTGGGGGCTGTCCAAGGTATCCCGAGCAGGTGGTAAAGAAGGACCGACGGGTATAGAGAGAGCTCTGTTGCTCAACAGCCAAGGAAGGTGGGTGCTGAGGTTGTTTCGAGTCATGAATTCGGGATGGAACCAACGTTCCGGCTAAACAACACGTGCATCTGGCAGTTCTCCGTGGAATTGGCACCTTGAAAGGGATCTTGGAGCATCAAAATCTTGGTCGTGAAGTGGGGAAGCCATCGTGAGACGCGTCGAGGCAGACAGCTTTACTAAGCTTCGCGGGATCACGTGGGCTTTCACGTGGGACCTACTGCCAAACAACTGGTTCCCAAACAACTGATTCACCAATTGAGCTGAGAACCAACGACGAAAATCAATAGAATAAATGGGAACGAAAGTTCCTGCTAAAACAACGAGAATAATAAAAATAAAAATAAAATAAAATAACTACCGCCTGTGCATCATATTTGCTGACGAGCTGCGTATTTTCGAAGCCATATTCGGGCTCAAGCTCGCTCTTCATTAACAATATCTCTAAGCTCTATTTGTTCTATAATTATATATCGCTTGCCAACTGGCTGATGCAACATCGCGTCATTATCCGTCATTATCCAGCTCGGAAGCCGGTGTCCTCCACAAGACCAACACGCAACCTCCATCCTGGTCATACGGCGACCTCGGCAGATTCGACCTTCCGTCTCTCGGCGCTGTTGAAGAAGTACATGATAGTCACGAGCAACTTCCCGGCACCGGAGACAGCCACGGCAGTCGCGGACCCGGCCGTCTTGTAGATCAACGCCCCGACCATCGAGCCGAGGATGAGGGTCAGCAAGAAAGCGGCGCGCCGGGTCCGGGGCCGGTTCTTGAGCGCGAGCAGGTTGGGATCTATCACGAGGTCTATCCACGCCGCCGTCGCCATCGCCGTGCTGATCTCGGTGATGGACAGCGACCTCGACTGGACGACCTGGCTGCCGGACGCGAACGCCAGCAGAGCGATTGCCACCAGCGGCACCGTCCCCTCTAGTTGGACGCCGTAGACGTACTGGAGCGCCGCGGCGGCGAAGACGAGGCATGACTGGAGAAAGTTGCAGGCTATGAGCCATAACCGGCACCGCGGGCCGACTATGTGGCTGAGTTGGCCAGTGAGCCAGCCGCCAGTAAGGAAGAATCCCAGGGCGACACCTATGTTCTTGACGATGAACATCTCGCCGTTCAAGTTGGGGAGGATGATGGCCAGCGTGAGAAATACAGTGTTTCCGGTCTGGTTCGAGGCGAAGCAATGGTAGTCTGGGAATGAGATGGCGTCTGTGTAATGGAAATATGCGTTAGTACGGTGGTCACCAACCTCCCGGTATCACTCAGGGGTAAAATGTGAGTCCGCTCGATGAAGTTGGAACTACTAACCTTGCAGGCCGGTACAGAAGGTTAGAATGATCAGCTCGATTTCCGCGAGGTGGGAAGGTCGTACTGTGGCAGTAAGATGACCCCAAACTCTTGAATAAGTAGAGGCGTCTGCTACTGGAGACGAAACGGGGAGGTCATCGGGCGAAATGCTGTTAACAACAACCTGAGATGGTTGGTGACCCAGCTGAAGGGGTTCGCTGGATGACATTGTGTCGGGTTTTTCTTGAGTCATCAATAATGAGAAGGAGGAAGGCGAGGAGGTGCCCTCGTTTCCTTTTCGCCCTGAAAGTTGAAGACTGAAAGTTTAGGGGGAATCGGAGAGACGAAGCACCGAAGTACAAGAACAGTTCGTAACTACCTGGATACCTAAGAAGGACCACGATAATATGGGAGGCACGAACCTTATATGCGAGGGAATGTTTTGAACGGGGAAGGAGTAATCGTCGGCAGCTAGATTTCACCGCTGGTTAATGACATGGAGATTCTTTTCGGATTGGCAAGTGGCTGCTGTCGGCAACCCGAGCCCGTTTGAATCCATAGATCCAGGCCGACACCCGTGTGTCCTGGTCCAAGTGTAGCCACTGGTGGTCTGGGAATTAAAGTTGAGGCTACTAGGTAAGGACCGTTCGCCGCTAGCGCCACCGACGAAATATTTTCGAGTCGTTTGAGGAGACAAAAACAATGACGGCTTCATTGGGGCATATCCCAATCCAGTCATGGCAACCTCTCATCCAGATCCGGGGTTGGAATTGAGCCGTTACCGCCACAGGGCACGCAAATCTATCGACTCAAAAATCAGGACCAGAGCACGGGTGACATCATGCAGTGCTCTGCTCCGAGAGGCCGGCGGCGGCTGCCGGGAAAAGTGGGTCCAGAGCCGACCGAGCGGGAAGCCGGACTGTAACGGCGAGCCAAGGAATAACATCCCATTGGTCAGCTGATCCGACTGCCGCCGATGCCCGTCCGACGTCGAGTTTTCCCTCTACCAAGCTTTACCAAAAGGCTAGATCGGTCCTGCCAAGCAACCTGCGATGGGACTACTTTTCCGTAATAAGAGCTAGAAGCCCGCGCATTCCCGCAGTTACGCGGCGTACCGCTTTTCATTGACACGTCACTCAATGTTGCGCCGGATGGATGAAAACAACGTCCGGACAAGGCTTCTCGTTGCCCTAGCTCGCCTGTTCGAGTCTAGACATTGTTGCCGTCGATGAGTCAGAAATCGCAAGATCATACAAAGCGTTGGACCATCGGGAGTGAAAGCAACACACGCAGCTCCCTGATCCCCCCGTGCTTCGAAGCAGATGAAGCCATTAGTTTCTCGCTTCCTCGGATTGCCTCAAATCAAACCGCTCCGCTGGCGAACCAGGACATCAATCCCAAGAAGCGGTGTGAAAATGTGGCTGTAGAGACGTGGCCATCAACATGAGGTATCCGTCCCGGCGCCAATGTGTTGTTGGCAGCTGCTTCAAAACGCCTCCCTATCCACCTTGGCATCTGGGCATCTCGTCCAACACGTCTTAGCTTCCCGTCTCGTGAAGGCGTACCCGACGCTTCCAATATTGGGCGGCAGACTGATAGCCGCAAAATCGCGGCACAAACCCGCGAGGCAAAAGAGCAAAGCTGGGCCGCCCCACCCCCAACCCACCTCCCGAGAGCCGCTGTGGGTAGTGTAGGTATCGGTCCCGCCCGCCGGGAGCGGAGTGCCAAGCCCGCCCGGCCGGATGGCTTCCGAGCGAAATCCCCAGTCAGCAGCGCAAGTCAGCACGCGGATTGGTCGCTGCCATCGGCACGTGGCAAGGTAAGCCAAGGCACAGGATTAATAAATACGTACGGAAAGAGTGTCCGGCAACTGGCGATGTGATGCCGTACCATGTTCAGTGCATCGGGACCGTCAGAGGTCAAGACCGCGGATTAGAAATACGGGTACTTCCATGTCTCGTCGAGGTTTCATCTACACATGCGCCCAAAATCATGAAGGGACGCACTTGGGGCGTCCCTGGGTACCTAGACAGGTATGATATCGTTGTCAAGCTTACGGAATATAACGCCATTAGATACAAGAGGTATACGTCCCTCTAACTCTAAACAACTACCCAGATGAGACGCGAACGGGCGATCGCAAAGATCGTCTATGAGATTCCCAACCGTAATTGGGAGACCAAAACCGGGTTCCCTTTGTCAACATTCCCTCGCTCCAGTGCACGGCGCGCATGCCCCTGACCAATTAGGTTCCTAATGAAGAATGAAAAAAAATCCCGGCGACACACAGCAGCTGCATTATCGACCCGGGCTTCGGACATTCGACCTTTTACAGAGCAAAGATGGCCATGGCAAGGCCGCCGATGAGAGCCAACGAGCTGGCCGCAACAGTCCCTGCCGGGTTGCTGGGGACGGTGGCGGGCGGGGAGGTGCCGGAGGCGGAAGCGGAGGGGGTGGTGGTGAGAGTGACGACGGTCTCGGTCGGGGCGCCAGTGCCCGAGGTGACCGGGGCCGAAGTAGACTTGGTCGCGCTGGTGTGATGGGTGTAGGTGGCAGAGATGGTAGAGGTGCCGTTGCTGGAGCCCGAGGCCGAGCTGCTGCCGGTGGCTGAGGCAGAGGCAGAGGCAGAGGCGGATGCGGAGGCGGAGGCGCTGCCGGTCGAGTTCGCCGAACCACTGCCAGCCTTGATGACGAAGGGGAACGAGTATTGGAAAACAGTCGAGTCCGAGTCCAGGTTGATACGGAGACCATAGACAGCGTCCTTGCCAAGATCCTCGCCAACGGCCCAGTCGTAAGAACCAGCCGCGGTGTCAATGGACTCTGTTTGCGACCGTTAGTACTTGTGGGACAGGGGAGTGATAGGTGCTTGGAAGTGCACTAACTTGCGACGACAGCAATGTCATCGAGCTTGTTGGGGGCAACGCCACCCAGGAGAGTAATGGTCACGGTGCCGGTGTAGTCGCTGCTGGGCTGCCACTCGATCTCATAGTTGGATCCGGCAGGAATCTCCTCGCCTTGAGTAGGCTTCGAGAAGACATCAAACCCAGCAGTCTGGGCAACAACTGCGCTCGCGAAAGCGAGGACGGCGGCGGCGGTGAAACGCATTTTGATAGTTAGGTTGGGAAGTCTAAAGCTAACGGTTCGAACACAAGCGTCTCAAGTGAGATCAAGAGGCTTTTGCAACTGAATAACGAGAGACTGGGAGTAGGTATAAAAATTAGGTACGTGTAGGGTGAAAAAGCGAGAGCGGGAAGGGGGAAACGAGTGACTGTATGTAAATATGCAACTTGTAAAAGAACGGCGGCTGCTGACTGGGCGATGCAGAGACGCGATGTGAGGTCGAAGAGGGTGGAATGGAAGAAAAGGGAGAGAGGATTGCGCCATAAAGATTCCTTATCCCCCCCCCTGGTGCCCCTTTCCCCCCTTTGCTCAAGCGCGAAGACGGTCTTGAAGAGGTTAGTGTAGGATGGAAATGAATCGAGAGCAAGGTACCCGCTGATTCGCTCAAGACAGGGGTCCTAGTGCAGGAGCCACAGATTGTGTGGGTCTATGGTCGAAGCGAACAGGGCTGAGTCGCATCAGGAGGGTGCTTGGGCGACTGGAATCCAATCCTCCTGCGAGAGACCGGCGACGCCATCAATCAACATTCCAGCCGTCGGCCAACAGCAAGGCATGGCAATTGGGATGACAGGTCTCAAACCAAGTCGTATTTAGTGTAAACTACAACGGGTATACGGAGTACTCAGTAGTTCTCCTCTCTCGGAGTCGTGTCTACTGAACAACAACGAACGTTGCCTATTCTCAACTTCTCTGTCTCCGGCGTAATACCGGTCTTAGGGCTGGTACCTGACCCCACCCACTCTGGTCAAGAACCTTGCCTGCTTACCCCTTACCGGGCAAACCTGGCACCCTTGGCTGTGGTATTCCGGAAGTGGTGCCTAGCGCCAGCTTAACCAAATGTCCTGGGTCTGGCCATCGTTGAGCCGGGAAGCAAGCTTTTTGAGTCAGAGCAGGCGCGCCATGTCTTAGATTCGCCTGTTGCAGGCTTTCGGCAACTTATTAGCTGGAATTCTTCATCATTTCCAACACTGCCGATCACTCGCCTACGCAGTACAACGCGTAGGTTTGGAAGGGTCGTCCTCGGCTAACGCGCAATCGAAATGTGGAAGCCTGCATGCGATATTGCACCGCTGGTGTCATGTCAGGCTTGTGCAACGGGAATCGTTGATGGTGCGCCTGCAATGTGGACGTGGAGAGTTTACATGCGATGTACAGAGGTAATAAGGTAGTAAACGAGAAGTGGCAGGAGGCATTGAAGCACAGCCCCAGCCCAACCTAGACCTGGAATGGGACTAATGTCACCAGTCGACGATGCAATACCCCCAAGCTCAGCGCCACCTGTCTAAAAAATGCAGCCCTACCTCAACACTTACATTAAATTGAATTAACGCTGCTTTAATTGGTCGACGCTGATATTCGTGGCTGACGGTGGTAAAAAGCAAACCTCTTAAAACCCACTTCGATATTGTCAAATGTCCGTGCCTCGTAACTGTGCCTCTGCCGTAGGTAGGCGAAGAAGGCTTCCCCGAGACATCCAACCGCCTCTCGGGTCCAGCCACAACCTGTAACAATCATCGTAGACCTTGTCTCGCAGCTTAATACTCTTTAAAGTTAACATGCCACATATCGACCTCCTTCCTTAAGGCGCGCAACAGATGGATATTCTCCTGGATGGCTGTGAGCCGTGGGGGGGCGGGGCGGTGCCCACCGCCAGGTTAGCAAACAGAAACAACATCACCAGCAAAAGGTCCAGAAGGGAAAAGGGAGTTGGTCCAAAAAAAGAATGAAAAAGAAAGAAAAAGGCCTCACCTCCAGCTCTCCCCTTAGCCTCCAAATGCGCCTCTCTACTATCCCACCCAACCACCAACCCCACCGCCGGTCCACCCCTCCCCACCCCCTCCCCCTCCACCTCCACCGGCCCAACCGCACACCCGCGATACCCCGCCGGCGCCTCGCCGCCCAGCCGCGCCGCGAACTCCCGCACCCGCTCCTCGAACCCGGCTTCCGCGCCGTACCCCGTGAACACCTCCGTGGTCGTGCTGCCGCCACCACCGAGCGCCGCCGCGGCGCCGTCGGCGGGCGTGAGGACGGTGCGGTGCCGCCGAGCCACGGTCGCGT